GGTTCTATAATTTTTATTAATAATTTATATATAGGTACTTTAGAGTTATAGCGCCCTTAACTATATTACTAAAAGGGAGTAAGTATAAAAAGAAGCTAGGGAGTATAAAGCTAAACCTTACTAAATAAGTAGCGTTTTAAGCTCTTAAGGATACTTTTTAAGGAGCCTTACTCTTTTAATATTATAATTTAAAAAGATATATTTATATTAAAATAAATATATTATAATTTATAATAATAAGAATTATCTCTTAACCTAATAATAAAGGGCGTTATTATCTAATTATATTTTAGTTAAGGAAGTTTACTAGAGCTAAACTTAAGTATAGTATTTTAGACTAAGAACTATTTAGTATTATTAAGTTATTTAAATACTAGCGATATTATATTAAAAGGGTAGTATATAAAGTAAAGGTATTATTAAACTACTATAACCTTTAAACGTTTATATACTAGACCTCCTTAAATAAGAGGTAAGTAAGATAGTATATATATTTAGTACTATTTAACTTTATAATTAAGTATTATATAAGTAAATTAAACCTAGTAAAAGTTAAGACGGCTTGTCCGCCTCCGGAAATGGTGGTCTTGGCCCACCACATTCGGTGGTTGCCCCATCGGGCAATCTTCGGCCCCTCCATTCCCCGCCGCTTCTGCGTCACCCATAAAAGCCCAGGTCCTGCCCAGGTATTCCTCATGTACCATGGATGTTCTTCCCTTTTCATGTTGACTTAGTCATCTTTTCAACTAACGCGCTGTTCCTTCGCCCATCAGTCGTTGCCACAAGACGAGAATTACCCTCGCAACTACACTTGGGGAGGTTTTGTTCTTCATCCTCGCCATATCTGCCACAAAGGCACCGGCGACTCGAAACTTTTTCTCCCTATGGGCTTGCACGATGTCGGCTGCGCGACCGGCTCGGCCACCATCCTCCTTCTTGGCCGTACAACCAACGCCCCGACATCTCGCCAAAGGAAGAGCGCGGCGGATGTGATGCAACTAGATGCACATTGGTTCGGCTGTTCAAAATTACTGAATCAGGCATGCCACATGCTATGGCCTATTTCCCTATGCGGATAAGAGTGGCCAGACACCGCGGACGCTGACTTCGTGCTTCGGTGTTAACGTTCCTCTACATATCGATTTTGCCTCTCTTGGAAATACTGGATACTCTTAAGAAGTCGAGAAGGTCCATCAATGCGAACGGACCCTGGAATGGGAAATGAGGGCGGAGTCTTGCTCACCCGCTGGTGCTTGGTGCAGGAGTAGGGAGGCCTTATCGACATTGACATCAATCGTGGTACGCAATCGCAAGGATTCTCCGAGAGAAATCGAGAGAGTGGGAACGCAGCCGGCCCCTAACGCCGACCCGAAATCACATAATCAACAGTTGACCGGGGTTTTTGGGAGACACACCAGCGTCCCATCTCTTCTCGCCTCTCCCGATCGACCTCTTGGGGCGGCACAGAAGCCTGCGCTGGGCAAGGTTTCCCCCGAATGGCAGGGATCTTCGTCGGTCATACACCGCCTCGACCAACGAGTGACGTGTTCTCACGCATTGATGAATGGATCGTCTCTCCAAGCTTGATTCTCATTATGCAGCGGGGAATCATCGGCTCGCCGGTTGCGCGGCAGGATAAATCCTACGGACTTTTGAGCGAACGCGTTGTTGACGGTGAGTATGACGAGGCAGAACTGAAAGAGGATGGACTCGCGGTAGCCCACATCCAAGCACGAGGCCCTGACTAACAATCTTGCTCATCAGGCCAAAACACCAACAGGACTTTCCGTTCGAGGGCGCGCGCCCACCACCGTGGGACAGACTCCCGAATCCTCCTAGCTATGAACTAAGATACAGGAACTTTGCAGCGCCGAGCCGATCACGTTTAACCCCAAAATGTGGAAACTGTACCGAGAAGGATCTGGGTAGGACGCAACTCATACCACATGCCCACCGTCGGCGGGGTGGCAGTTTTCCACGGCACAAATCACCTTGAAGCGTCCTGCACAGCCTGCTTTGTTGGTACTGGACCGGACCGGGTCCTGGACGATCCTCCCGCCGCTATCCCGTCGCAAAGGGGGCCAGGATGGCACTGCAAAACCTGATCGAGTGTGACTCAACCAGGCCTCTATGGGTAAGCCCGCAGGATGCAATGGCCCTGCCTTGCGAGGGTGATGTCCATGTTCGCACCCTTGTGAAAGTGTTGGGACGTGAGCGGTCAGGGGTCCCAAGAGGGTGCAACCAGCGGCGCCGATGGATTCTGCCTTGCGAATCGGTCGGCCCGAATCTCTCGTTTCGCCGGTCCTGCCAGTCAAGTAGCTGCAGCGCTGCAGACTCCGCCGTTGGTCGTGCGTTGCAGCTGGATTCAGGCGGGAACGGAAGGTCGATTTAGTCCCCTGTTGTTCCGAGAGCTGACCATCGTCGGAGCCAAATTTAGTAACCTTCAGGGACAGTGACAGAGGGGGTTGACGGGGATGACTGATATGGAACGGTCTCGATCCTGCGGCTCCTACCTCTCGGCGATGGAATTGTTTGCAGGACGACTTGTCCGACCTCAGCTCAAAGTCCCTTGCTGCTGGGTATCTGGTTGACGCGCCGCGAGAGGGCAACTGCCCCCCTCAATAAATAGGGAAGGCTTCCCACCTCAGCTTTCCTCTCCCCCTTTCTCATACCTTTAGTACAGACTACGCACGCATCTGGTCTCCAAACATTATGGCCGCTCCCCTGAAGTTCAAACCATATGTTCCCCTGCCGCAAAGGCAGCGAAAGAAAAACACCCAGATCTCGCGCCCAGGAACGTCGTCATGATGCCACGTTACTAGAAACTTGCGGCGAAGGCCAATATTCACAGCATAATGCAGAAGGCTTGTTGACGATGAACGGTATGCCGCTGAAGGGAAATCGTACTGGAGATAAATTCCTGCTGACATTTCAAAGACCAGGAAGTCGTGATGGCACTCGATTGGTCCGGCCACAATTGGTCCGATGACATGCAGTTTGTCTCGCACCCCATGGACAGGTGTTATGCTTCCAATTCTGGTGGCGAAGAAGTCGACGAACACCTCGGCAGTGCGTTGAAGCCTGTGGCGGCTCAGCTTGCAGCGGACAATCCTCAGGCAATATCAGGTAGTCACCACCTGCCACACTGTTCATTTCGCGGGACTGACAGAATTTTATTCAGGTTCCATCGTACGGGTGGAAGATATCCAGGAGGGGGATAGCAAGGCCACTGAGAAGTCTCCAACGCTGATAGACCCAGCCGCTCCGGCAGCGGTGATGGGCCCTACGGTAGATGTTGCCGATGACAATTTGATCCAGACAGCGTTGACCTGGCCCAAAGCCGGTACTGCCAAGCAGTCGGTGGATCTTTCAAGGCTCGGTATGGACCAACTCAGAGGTCCTCACTACTCCTCCCCTCTTTCCTCGCCGGGCTCGAGCGCATCTGCTCCTGCACCCGCCAATGCTGAGAGCCTCTCTCTGAAGAGCCCCCTTAATGACGATGCGGGCTTTCAGCATTGGCTGAATGAAGGTCAACAGCACGTCATCGCACCGATATTCAACAGGACGAAGCGATTACTGGGGGACAGCCATCATGGCAGTGGCGCTGATGATCAACAGGAAACAAAACGTTTAAGGTTATCCTCCGCGGCTGAACCTCGCACTTTGCTGCATCAACCAGGTGTTTTCGATATTGCCTCGATCCCAGTCGACGATGGGATTGATTCTCAAGACCAGGGCCCTCGACTATTGGAGACTCGTCGCATCAATGGCAGTCACGACGACAATCTCGATGACAATCGATTGGCTGTGAGGGCACTTGCCCGCTATCCCACGAGCGGCTCCTATCCAACCGCGGCTCATCAGGGCGGCCTTATCAGTTCTCCTGCAAGCTTTGGCTCTGACCCTATTGCTTTCTTCTGCCACGACGAGTCAACCTCCCTAGACGGCACACAGCGGTCGCTGCAAAATGGGCCCCATTCCGCAATATCGTTCCGTGGACCGCAAGAGATGGAACAATCTGGACAATGTAAATCATGCGCGATTTTTCGTGCAGCTCTCTTTGAAGCACTGTCCTTACTATCCAACCCATTCCCTAAGGATGTTTCGGGCAAGGCAAGGCATAGCCAACCCGTGAGCAACACCCTGAAGCGGCATTACAACTTGCGCGGAAGGTCTACGGCTCCAGAGAGCAGTCGCAGAGTACCTGCCAACGCAGAGTCTCTGAGTCCTATCGACGAGAATCGCAATGGGAGTGATGATAGAATTTCTGGTAGCGACGACGAGGACGATCCTCTAATCGTCAATAGCGGTAAAAGGGAGGTGCTTGCCAAGCGCCGCCGGTGGTCAGCGCTAGAGGAACGTCGGCTAAGAGCATGGAAGAGGGAGAACAAGTCGGAGTCCTGGATCGCTTCCAAGCTCAATCGGACGGTGTCGGCGGTCAAACAACAGTGGCGCAAAATGAGTGAGGAATAATAGTGTACCGCATCTGTAACTGTTGGTGAAATGTTATTTCAATACACATCGGAATAAGGAGGTCACACAGCTAGGTTCAAGATGCATGTTCTATTTCTAAAGGGGCAGTCTGAAGGGGCTATTTATACACGAGGTCTTAGGGACTTCTGGGGACCTCCTGAGTAAGGTGCTCTACCCACACATACGTGGCTGTGCCCACGCATAAAGGGGTAGCCTTCCTTACTCATGAAGTCCCCATGCGTTCCTAATACATAGGCCAGGAATCCCTTCTCCAGGTCCATCCCTATCGGGGCTGCCCCAGTCCACCGACAGTGTGTCCATCAACCAAGTAAAGCAGAAAATGACACCCTTACTTGACTTGGTTGAAGGATCCGTTTACTCGACTTGGTTTACTCGAAGAAATGGCTGTGCTTTACTTGGTTGGTTGACATTACTTGACTCCGGGAGCCGATTTGCTTGAGTGATCTCTATATCTTGTCCGCCTGTGACCTTGGGACGAGGGGAAAAAAAGTGCTCCTCGAGCATGACTACGATAGCATGCCAGATCGAAGTAGGTGCTTTTGGCATTCGATAGCTGCCACGGTGTTGGAGCTGAGGCGATTCCGCTCATCCGTGATGACCTTTTGGTCTGAGAGAAAACCCGCTCACATTCAGCACTCATTGCTGGACAAGTGAACAAGTCGAAAGCCATTTGCGACAGAACTGGGTAGTCTGCCGCATGACAGATCCACCATTGCAAGGGATCTTCGACTTCCGAATCAGCCTTGTTATTCCTAGCCATAAACTCGTCGAGCTCAGAAGTTAGTCTCGCTCTTTTCCTCCTTCCTTGCCGGACGCCGCAAGCTCAGCCAGCATCTGTCGGCGTTTGCGAGCTTCCTGGAGTGGGTCAAGGGCGACGAGATCATCGCCAGCCTTATCAGCGACGACTTCTCCTAGGGCCAGCGACGAAGCCTCCTCATGGTCCGCAGCGTCCGCTTCCATGTATGCGTCTTCGTATTCTGCGAAAACTTCTTGAACCACGCTCTTTGCCTCACTGATCCACTGCTTGTTGTGACTCCACTCAAGTTCGAAGTAAGTCCCTGCACATAGAAATGGGCACCCCCCTGTTTTGGGCACCCAAGATGGGTGCCCAACCTAAACGGCTGCGTCAACTTCAACAGCAAATTTCACCGCGGAAACGCATCCAATCTGCTAAAAAATTGACGCATGTGTCTTCAAGCCACTACTGATGAAATATACAGAGTCTGACATTCACAGCGCCCTTGAGGCAATCGCCAATGGCGGATCCGCCAAGAAGGCTGCTCGCGATTGGGGCGTCCGAGGGCAACTCTTTACAATCGCATGCATGGTCACGAATGCAGAAAGGATGCATTTTCTGCTCTTCAGAGGCTTTCAGACACAGGAAAAGCAACTTACCGAATGGATTCTCATTCAGGACGCCTTGGGCCTTCCTCCCACTCACTCGCAGATCAGGCAGTTCGCGCAGCGCATGCTCGCCGTCAAAGGAGACCACACACCGCTCGGAAAACACTGGATGCAAGCATTTTTAAGACGAAATCCTGCAGTTCGGACCCAGAAGTGCCATCACAGAGACTCTGCGCGTGTCAACGGCGCTTCTACCGAGGTAATTCGGCCTTGGTTCAACAATTTCTTCCTTCCCGAGATTCTGGCTATTAAGCCGGAGAACAGGTACAACATGGATGAAGCAGGCATCATGGAAGGACTTGGGGAGAATGGCCTGGTCGTTGGCAGTGCTGAAAAACGATCTGTACAAAAGAAGACGCCTGGTTCTCGGGTCTGGACGTCGTTCATCGAGTGCGTGTCCGCTGCCGGCACCTTCCTCCTCCACTCGTCATTTTCAAGGGCAAATCGGTCCAGCAACAGTGGTTCCCAGAAGATCTCAGTACTTTTAGTGACTGGCAATTCACTGCGACAAAGAACGGCTGGACTTCGGACCAAACTGCGGTGGAGTGGCTCGAAAAGGTGTTCATTCCAAGAACCCAGCCACCCGACCCTTCGGAGCGAAGACTGCTAGTATTGGACGGCCACGGAAGTCACGAGACGGTTGACTTCATGTATCTATGCTACCAGCATCAGATTCACCTTCTTTTCTTACCTCCCATACCTCTCATGTGCTGCAACCGCTCGATTTGTCTGTCTTCTCCGCTCTTAAGCACTACTACCGCAAACAGGTCGGATTCTCAGCCTCCTGACCGATTCAAGCCCAGTCGGCAAGCAAAACTTTCTTTCCTGCTACCAGAAAGCACGCGAGCAAGCGCTCACTGTGTCAAACATCAAGGGTGGCTGGAAAGCGACGGGTTTGTGGCCGGTGTCGATGGCGAAGCCACTTTGAGCCCTCTTCTGCTGGAGAACAGCAACAGACGCAAAAGAACGCGAAAAATGTGGCCAATGCATTCAATAGCCACTTACCCACCAGTGACTGGCAATCAGACACATCCCAGATTGCGTGGTCGACCCCGAGGCGCTCGCAAGATCTGAAGGTTCAGGTAGTTCAATTCAACCAGCTAGACGACGACGTGCCCACGAAGAGATTGCTGTTCAGGAAGATCACAAAAGGGTTTGACGAGAAGGATGGCCTTTAGCAAAAGCTCAATTGCAGATTCAGGCACTGGAAACACAATTGGCGGCCGTCAAGCCGAAAAAAAGGAAGAGGGTGGTCACGAGCCCGAATTCGAGGTTCGCCAATATTGAGGCAATACGACGGGCGCAGGAGGAGGTGAACGCAGCTGAGAATGAAGAATCTGATGAAACCGAAGCTGAGGTTTCAGAAATAGGTGACGATTGTATCGTAGTGCACGGTGGTGGGCAGTGAGAAGGGATTGAATTAATGGTGTTGAAAATGGTCGTGATTTTTTTGGGGTGCCCAAAACAGGGGGGTGCCCATTTCTATGTGCAGGGACTTAAGCAAACTTATTCGCCGGATGCAATGCGACAGCGCACCGATAAGCTGGGGTGGCATCGGTAAGGCCGAAGTACTCTTCTAGCTTGATGCGAGCAGCATCGATTGCGTGGGAATAATACGTTGAAACCACGTCGGGATGGTCATCGGCAAATCTTCCGGCCTCTTGGAGCTTTTTGAAGAGGACATCGAATGATTCAATTGTTTCATGAAGGGAGCCATGTGATCCTTCCAGGCCAGCTTTGTTGGCTCGGCCCTCCATGCGTTTTGTCAGATCTTTGAAAGGCTTCAAGATGTCGAGAAAATGGTGCAAGTCAATCCAATCTTGTGGGGTTAGTACGTCTTGCGAAATGTCGTACCCTACGCCACCGTAGCAATAGTTGAGGAAGAACAGATCAATCGCATGACGGAGCTTGACCGCCCTCTGAATCATTGCATATGCAGAGTTCCAGCGGATTCCGCCGTCGACCAGGACTCTAGTGTAGAGCAGTTCAATGCTGCCTTCCTCGTAAGCCTGCAAAATATACCGTTTCAGCTGCTCCCGCCTTTGGTCACTTCTGTTTACCCAAACACAGAAATTGTGAAGTTTACCGACGAAGCTATGCTTTCTCCAGATTTCAAAACGCTCCACTTCAGACGCGCCGCAAAGCTGTTTCTCCAACTTGCCGACACCCTGCCCAAAGAGAAGGGCTTTGACGATTAGGTTGAGCATATGGCCGACGCAGCGCAGGCGACTCTGAGGCTTGATGACAGGATAGCGCTTCGCCAGCTCTCGAATGCAAGTGTCGTTACTACTTGCGTTGTCCATCATGAAGAAACCAACGTTCTGACCGATCTCGTATGACCCCATGACCGCTGCAAGGACTTTGGCGATATTCTCGCCAGTGTGGGGGCCCTTCAAAACTGGCAAATCCAGCAAAGCCGTTTGCAGCTTGTATGCAGCGTCTAGAAAGTGAGAAACTATAGCCAAATAGTTGGTACCTTCTTCAGATGTCCAAGCATCTGTCGAGACGTGGATCTTGCTTTTGGACAGGCGGAGCTGTTCTTTCAGCCAGGCGCGCCTGCCGTTGTCACCGAACCATTTTTCGCTGACCCAACTGCTCAGCGCTGACGGGCTTTTCGGCAAAACTTTGTCGATGTCTTCCAGGCACAATGCAAATATTTCATTTGTTCGTCGGTGAGTCGCTTGGCGGAAAGTCAAATCAAGATCAATGACCCAGTCGGCAAAATGACTTCGAAACTGGAGGTCATTGAACACCATGCGTCGGCTCCCCAAGTACGACGCGGCCTTGGTGGCTCCTTGAGAGATGCTGAAGGGGTCGGACCCTGCCACTTTGTAACCGAACTCGGCAAGTTTGTGGTGGTGCCTAAGGTGATAGATGATGCTCGTCGTACTCTCGCTGGCAAAGAGCGCTGTGTCGTGACGTCCGCTTACATGGCAATATTTGCAGAGCCAGTACTTGTTGTCGCCGTCTGTCGTGAGTTGCGCACCGTGTTTGTAGATTATCGATGGTTGCGCCTTCGAGTTCATTGCGCGCTTGTGAGGCTGACGATATCGTATGGTGGCCAACGGTTTTCTGTCTTAACGAATCTTCTCCCAAGATATAGGGAAAACGCATTGCGATGCCTTTGGCAAGTCCCTTTCATGGGAGATGCTTGGCTCGTCGGGGACCGACTGGGAAGGCGTCTTGGGAGGCGTGACGTGCCCGAGATGATTGCAAGGATCGAAAGCTGAGTGAGAGGGCATTGCTGGCTTCCTCAGCGTTGAACAGTTTCTGCAGGATGTTGATGAATCAGGCACGAAGAAAGTAACTGTAATCACCAAGCTCAATCGGCGAGAGGAAAGGGGTTCGTCCACTTTCATGACATGGGTATCACGAAATTGCCTGAAATCAACGCTAGTCAGGTACCGGTAACTCGGAGTAAACCCGAGTAATGCAGAAAGCTTTACTTTTGCTTGGTCGGAGAGATCGTTACTCGTGATTGACTGTTATGTAATCAACCAACTTCAAGCAACCAAGTCAAGTTACTTGATTGATGGACACACTGTCCACCGACAGTAACTACTGAGGGCCAACTCGCTCCTCCTACTTACAGCATGATGGATAACATGGACAAATATTCATAGGGCGAACCAAGTAGTATTTTATATAGCTACTTCAAGCACGCTCCTATCTTAAGGGATTTTCCGGTGATCTGCCGGATCTGGCGATTCGCCGGATTTTGGGCTCATTGCATTCCAGCAAAGAACTGAGAATAACTTCACGAATACTATTTGAATTGTTCTAAAATCTTATAAGAGCAGTTAATAATGCTCAAAGATGCCACTCAATCTTTTTGAAGTCATCCAGCCATCGAGGTCGTCTTCTGTTACTCTCCGATCGCGCAAGTCCCCGAAATGCACCCATTGCCTCCCGATCACTATCAACAGCTAAAGAGGGCCTTTGAGGACAGGATATGTCGTTTGAAGTTATCATTGCCTTATTATTTGCGTTATTATATAGTGTGTTTGGTACCTGCAATGCTATGGCCCGCTCTGGTGTGAACGGAAGAGTGACAATTTTTGCAGCGTGAACATCCTGACTCCTCTCGCGACCCTCAGAAGCCACCCGTCGCTCATTCTGCATTTTCTGTGGCTTTTCCACTTTCAAAATCTTCAGCTCTTGTTAATAATGCCAATTTATCTCCTTATTTTGCTTCACGGCCTCCGTCATCCGTCGTTTTCTCCCAATTTCCGCCTCTCATTGCTTCCTCTTCTCTAGAGCGAGAGCTTTTGCTCCGCTGCCTTCTGCTGTCGCTGAAGCTTTCGGGCCTCCTTCTTCAGAGCCTCCTCTTTCTTTTGGAGTCCTTTCACTGTCATTTTTTGGCGAGCTTGAGCCACAATTTTAGAGCTAAACACCTCGTCTGCACTAGAATCTGTACAGCAGAAGAGATCATCTTTGAAGCCTTACCGGTCTGCCTGCGCTGGTTCTTGTGACTACTTGTTCTCTGCATACTTTAACTCTCATATCAAGCACTTAAAACTCATATTGAGGGCTCCCGAGGGTGCTGCTCAGCCTTCGGCTGTTGCGGCCAGCATCAACAGAGGACTTCTCGACTACTTCCTGAAATGCGTTCCAAAACACAGTCTAGATCTTCGATTTCAGCAATCCAATGAACCTTTTTGATTTGTCTGTGTACTGGATAAGATCATGCGTATACGCTGTTGAGAGAGGCTGAATAACGATACATCAAGGGTTGCAGCCGATGAATGGATTGAGGGGGAAACACCACAACGATCACTCGGTGCCGGTCACACCACTCCATAAATTCGATACTAAAATGGTTAAGTGGCCATCGGGAACCAAAAGGCGATAAGCACAACCGTTTCGAGCTTTCACCCTGGTAAACCGGTCGAACGTACCGGTGAGCTGCTCATTTCCAATATTGTGATTCGTCCACCTCGTTTTTGACGTGTTAAAAATATTTATTGACGACTTGATTCACGTTTCACGAACCAAAAGTCCAGAGTTTGTGCTGGCTTGTCTTGGTGGATGAGAAATGGGGCAGCGATGCCATCTCTTGACTGACGCACATCTTGAACGTAAGGGAGGATGGGTTGCCATTTTTTAATACGCCGAGCAATTTTGCCTTGTTTTCTTATAATAAGAGGAATACCCTGTTCGTTCAAATGCTCATAAGGAATAGAAAGCCCATTTCATCCATGTTATACGTGTTTTAGGGTAGGGTGTCGAATTTCTCAATTTTCGTGCACGTCTTTCCTTGTCAGGTGTGAAAGCGGAGCCTCGCGCACTGAATTTCAAGCTAAAAATAAACCTTACATTCAGATGCATAGATAGGTTCTTTTCAGAAGATGCTTGTACCGTCGAATCACGTTCAATCTGGCTCATTACGGGTGCGTAGAATGAAGTTATCCAGCTCGCCCTTCCAACCCCATTTTTGCAGTATCCTGAGCCAAGTTCTGCACTATGGATAGAATGGGAGAATCCCACATGATTAAAGCCTACGATGAAAGCCAATAATGTTCTGTTTTTGCTGTATTGGCTGAAATGACTTACACAATCTGTCGGCATCCTATTTTGGCCGTTGCTTGGTTTGATGTCAGCACCGCAGCGCATTGCCCCTAGATAAAAGTTCTAAATATATGCCAGACTTTCACTGCTTCTGATGATTCAGGAAATCAAAGGATACGTCAATTGGCACCGTTGTTGTTGAGCTATTGTCGATTGATGTTGAGCGTGCGAAGTCGCCGCAATCCGGCAGATCACCAGATCCGGCAGATCATCGGAAAATCCCTTACCTCTTCCCGACAAAGCCGTCGTGCAGCCAATCCCGAGCACGAAAAGGGCTGGCAGCGAGAATCCCCCGAAGCTTCAGCATCATCCTTCGATATATCTCACCTACACAACACAGCAACCAGAATCTACCCCACGGACCTCGGAAATTCACCTGCACATGCATTTTCCTGAGCACAGCCTGGGCTCCCTCGAAGCACCCTGAGCCGCCCTGAGCCGATCCTGAGCCGCCCTGAGCCGATCCTGAGCCGCCCTGGGCTGCCCTGATGACCTGAGCTGCCCTGAGCTGCCCTGAGGGCCTGAGCTGCCCTGAGCTGCCGGAATACCGCCTGAGGCCCTGGGCTGCCCTGAGTTGCCGGGAAACAGCGACAGGCTTTACCCAGCTTGCGTGCAGGGTATCGACTAAACCATTTATGACTAAGTTGCCACCATTTCTAGGACACTGATTTCACTCGTTCCCACGCCCAGTGCTGAGCGGCTGAACATTATGCTGCATGCTTGTCCGAGTTGGCGATACATGGAAGACCCATGGCTTACCCCGCCTATCGAGCTTGCCAAGCTGCCGTACAGTACAGTAGTATAAGGTTTATAACATACACCGAAAACTTTGTGCGCCAGCTTTACGTGTTAGGGCTTTGTGAAATACACTCGTTTCAGTTCGGGCTCCGTCACCACCGGCTATTGTTTTATTAGGTATCATTCGTGCCCTCCGCAAATGCCAAAGATTCCCGATGCAAGCTTTCTACCATGTCCAGATCACACAAACATTTTGCTTTAAGATACGAAATTGCAACTTGACACATTGAGGCAGAATCACCCATAGTCTGTGCGACGCGTTGGGTGCATGACCTCAATCATGTTACCATACTTGCGCTTTGGCAAAGCTTGCTGTCCCGTGTTTCTCACGGACACTATTTAGACCTTCTGCTGATGCTATGGTCGCCGCCCTGCCGTCTAAACCGTTCACCAAGAAGTCGCTTCTTTGCATAGCGTCTAATGAGGCTAGGTGATAACTAATCATAACCTCAGTCCAGGATCTGTAATGTTCTGAGCCCCAGTTCTCATTGGGCGGAATCATTCATACATACTGATCGATATGCTAGGGACGGCTCTATTCAGACGCACACCTTGGCCGTCTCACGAGACGTGCATAAAGTGCTCGTATGTACAAAGAGCCCTCCCAGCCCAGCATCAAAATTTCGCTCTCATTTGCCTCCAAGCGGAGTCCACATATCTACATGATCCTTAACTGACTTTACTTTTGAAGCTGGATCCTTTCTCCTCACGGTAGCGAACCAGGCTAAAGGGAAATATGCACATTAACATTGAAAGCCAGCTCGGACAACACAAGAGCACGTTGGCGCTCAATTTGGATCGGGAGTTCGCGGCGGCTGGGTTGCCGGGGCCTGGTGTGTGTTTACTGTACTCACAGAATTGTCGCTCAAGGTTGCAGCATCGCTGACCGGAGACCATCATCCTTGGCGCGGGGCGCAGCAAACGGCGCCTATCAATTCTCCTTCCTCGATAGAACACCGGAGCTACGCTACTGTATCATGCCCAAATACGTCCTAGGTGTGCAGCCATATTATCCCTGCAGCATAATATCTTTCGGAACGAGGGGCTAGGGGACGTAGAAGTGCATTTTGGCTGCAGTGTCGCGACTTGCAGAACGAGGACATCTAAGCTGCCTGGGTGTGGCAACCATCCCACGAGTGGGGTGAGATGCAGGAGCGTGTCACGCTGCAATACATACTAGGGGGGCCTCAAAGTCCGCCAATCCCCGTGACTGTGGTGGCCGACTTTGAGGCCCCCGTATTACAGTACTGTACTGCAGAGGAGCACTCATCTCGACAAAAGGTCTTACGAAGCTGAAGCATGCTGTGACTTGTAGAGCAATGGCACCCCTTGTAAGCAGCACGTCTTCCTGCAGTAGATAGAAGCGACTACTAACCTTAGTAAATGTACCATCCAGTTCAAAATGCGCTACGTCTCCTCACTCTCCTGGCAGAGACGCGCAAAGTGACGATCATTTCTGTCGGCCTCGACAAAGGCACTTTCCGGCTCTATTTGCGTGCTTCTTGACGCAGGCATCGGCTCCGAGCGCTGATGAACATTTCCATGCCGCAGACTGATTTCTCTCCTGTCAGCCTTGGCAAGGTCCTAGAAGCGGTTGTCGCGGAACGCCGGAACGCATCTCCTACACAGCGGAGGCCCGTAGCCTCCTCCCCGCAAATCACCTCGGGGCGAGAAAACGTAGGTCAGCGGAGCAAGCACCCATGCTCCTGCAGGAACAGACTTACATGGTATGGCGAACTGGCAAGGTGCTCAGTCTGACCAGCTTCGATATCAAAGGCGCGTACAACGGGGTCTGCAAAGAGCGAGTGCTGGAGAGGATGAAGCGAGGGGGATACCAGATAGACTGGTGGATTGGAGGGATGCGTTCTGCTCCGGGACGGACGGCCTCAGTGGTAGTGAGCGGGCACACGTCCGAGCAACGAGTCTTGCCCCAAGCAGGTCTGCCGCAAGGATCACCATTGTCGCCAATTGCGTTGCTGTTCTTCAACGCAGACTTGGTGCAGAGACGCATCAATGCCAAAGGCGGCGTGAGGGCGTTGGTGGACGACTACTCACTCAGCCTCGGTGACGGGGCCAACGGCGGAGGCGAACCGAGAGGGCATCCAATCAATCATTGCCGAAGCGCTCCAGTGGGAAAGATGCAGCGGCGCAACGTTTGAAGCGGACAAAACGACTGTCATTCACTTCACAAGAGCAATGGAGCGCACCTGCGACACACCGTTCATGACCAAAGGACAAGAGGTCATACCGAAGAGCAGCGTGAAACTACTAGGGGTGGTCATGGGCACAAAGCCGGTCCATGGAGCAGATGGCTAGAGCGGCCGCCAAACGGCTCACGGCCGCATGTCTTTGCGAAGACTGAAGATGATATCCCTGCAAATGGCGAGAAAACTGTTTGTCGCGACGGTAGCGCCAACCATGCACTCCGCCTCTAGTGTGCGGATGCACACGTGCGGCGTGAGAGAGGCGGCTTAGCTAGATAGGGCCCAGATGGTTGGGGAACAGGGCTGTCACGGGAGCCTCCGGCACAGTTGCAGCGGTGATAGCCGAGGCTGAGGCCGGCATCGCATCGTTTCGAGAACGGCACGGTCAAGTCGCGGCGAGGTTCTAGATCGGCCTGCGGACGCTCCCCAAGACGCATCCTCTGGCATCATCAAAGGTCAAAGCGAGCAAGCGACTCGTCTCGTCGATGCGAAGGATTGCCTCGATGATCGCGGAGTCAGACACAGAGCGAATGGAGATCATCCACGAGTACTCTCTGGCACCACGGAACGACCGCGTCGTGGGCGAGCGGGATCAGATACAGGTGGTCAAGCCAAACGACGTGGAAGGTATCGTCGTCGCCACTTCCAGCTCGCAGAGGAAGGAGGTGTCGTTCACGACACTAGCCTCAACAGCACGAGCGAGGTGCTGGCCAGCTACTCGGTCACCCTCGGATCGAGGGATGAGCAGAACCCGTACATAGCAGAAATCGCGGCAGTGGCAATGGCGCTGGCCAGCTGGACTGCGTCACCGAGATTTGACGATCATGACGAGCAACTGCTCGGTATTGGAGGTAATCAGGCGGGCACGCCAACAGTCTGGCCAGTGCACAATCCTACAGATATACGACCGCATCGATGCAACAGAGTCCGGGTGGGCGAAAAATATGCCTGTCAAACGATTGTCTACATCTTTTCGAACCCGGCACCAGAAGCCCTCATTATGCAGCTGACCAACCAGTGTTTGGATGCTGCTCTGGCCTTGATGTAGGTCTCTTCTCGTCGCCGCAATCCAATTATAAATGTCTTGTTGGCCGGCAAGAGTACTCGAATGGCTATGAAGGTATGTTATGATATCCCGAGGAGCACTACCAGACGCCACAAGATCTGAAATATTGGTAGCGTCGCGCTCTTCGAGTCGGCGATGCACTGGGTGTGCCGACGGGTCCCCCTTGTGAGTGGTTGTGCTCAGCGCACTCCTTGTCTGGTCGATGGCTGAGAGTCCAAGTGTGTCCATCTAGTGACTCTTTAGCTAATATTGAGAACTTGCAACCCGTTTTGCGACTAGAGGTTTGGCGTGCTCGTTCGACTGTGTCGGTCGGTGGCAGTCTGTTCCGGTCGCGGGCGCACACTATTTTGACCCTCCCATTTGGAGTCTTCTTCTCACGAAGAGAGCATGCAAGTGGGCATTGATTGTGTAACAATAGGGGTGATGTGTTGTATTTCCTTGTGTCTGCGTCCTCCTTTTCAATGCCCTCTTCTAGGCTCCCTATTTATATCCCTTGGTTCCCTATTGATATCCCCTTCTCAGTTGTATAGGTACAATATCTAGGGGCCGGGCTCCTTTCCCAGCCCCCTTTGCATACTGACTTTCCCTAGTCGCCGAGGGCTCTTTCAGCTTCACCCGTATATGCAGTCTCTCTACAGCTTGTGTGGCTGCCTAATGCGGTCTCCTAATAGCCTTCTGCAGCCTCAGAACTCTCTGCAGGCTGCCTTTCTGTCTAGCCTGTCGGGGCCCTTAGCTGTATACCCCTTATGGTCACCCCGAGCTCAAGATCTCAGACGTGCTTCGCGACACTTCTGGAGGCGGTGATGGCCGAGCGGATTTCCTTTCCGATGGAAACGTTTGGGCTGTTGCCTACTAACCGCTTTGGAGCCAGGAAGAGGGGTTCCGCAGAGCAGGCTCTCGTGCTCCTACAAGAGAACATTTACAAAACATGGCGAATGGGAAAAGTGCTTGGTCTTGTGAGCTTCGACGTAAGGGCGCATATAACGGAGTGTTCAAAACAGGCTTCTACAACGGCTCGCAGCGAGAGGCTTGGCAGATGATCCCTGGATGGGTCGATCGTCGTCGAAGAAGCAGGCCTCAGGAGCTCCCACGTCAAGGCATATCAGCACCATGGAGAGCTCCTGCTAGGCCTGTACCTGTACGACTACGTATCGCTCGTCAGACTCAAACGCGATAGCAACGACGGGAGTTGTGCAGGTTGGGGAGGCCCTGTCGAGGATGGGCGACCGCCAGGAAGACGTTGGGTTCAGGTGCTCAGGCGGCCGGGAAAGCAGGCCACCGTCCGCCTTCAAATACCTGAGCAGGGACTTTGCCCACGACGATGAGGATTCGTGTCATCGGGGGATTGTGCGGAAACCGTTTCGCCGGCGGATATGGGAGATCCCAATTTTTTTTCACCATTGAAAGGCAGCCGTGCAGCAGCTTGCGCTAACTTCTTTGTACCATGGGAGTTCTTCCTGTGCGAAGAAATGGGCGACATCAACAGCATCCGGGCGCGGGCGCGAAAGGCGCTGGCTCCGAGAATAGGATGTCTCATCAATAACGTGCAACTGCTTCGACGACCAGCCGAGGACGCAGAACGCGACGCCAAGCGATGGGCATCCTCCTCCGGAGATGGCCATCCGACGGTCGGACACGTGGGGACGGACGATGCGGGCGCAGAATCTACAGTGATGTATCAGTCTAACAGCATCGGAAACGCAACGCGGCTGATCGACGTTGTCCGAGGTGCAGTGGACTCGAATTAGATGGCGGCTAAGTCGCCGGAGCTCATGGCGATGATGCAACAGCTCTGTCGGTTCCAACAATCCGTGCTGTGCTCGACGGCCGAGCTGGAGCCCGCCGTGGTTACCCGAACGTGGTAGGTAGGTAGGATTTATTTCGCCCGGAGGGAGGTCCCTATAAGGCCTTTACACAGTCTAGAGTACAGTTCCGCACGTTTGTTCCTTGACTCCCCAAGCCCCACAGATCATCTTACGCTGCGCCAACCGTACCACTGTTTTGCTCCATGACAGACCTGCTTGAAGGTCAATTTCTCCAAGTGTTCAGCATCCTATTCCCAGCAACTGAAGCGCGATGTGTCGAAGTTGAAGCGTGGTTGTGTTAGTCATTGATGGTGGTTGGTACGCCGATTGTGTTTTCTCATGACGCTGTTCCTGTTGACGGGCGGGAACCCGGGTGTGCCCTGTTTCACCAGGGTGCCTCCAGCCGGCTTCGAACCGACCCTTCTGCGACGCAGAGGCTCCAGACGTGTCACCACTACGCCATGGAGGCACCCGAACGTGGGGCGAGACGGATAAGTATGTAGGGGCGGGTATTTTCCGGGGCCGCACTACCACCGCAAAATCAGGTCAGGGCCATCAAGTCGCAGCAGATGAGTGCTTCGAAGGAGAGGGAGAGGATGATCCATGGCATACCGTTACAAGATATAACCGTGGTCCGGGAAGGCGACCGCCGCGCTGCGGCGCTGCATCGCGGAGAGTCATGGCCGGCCACGGGGAGGACGATGTCGAAATGGCGACGGCCGACTTGACTTCGATGAGACCGCAGACGACGCAGAGGCGGGAATGCAAGCCCAATTTGGCCTATCAGCCCCTTTCTCGGCGACGGGCAGAGAGTTGGCAACACGGCTGACAAAACGCAGTCGATCGCTTTCTCAATCATATGCCACCAGTTCTGCCAGTTCGTCGGCGGTTTCGAGGGCGGGACCGGTGAGTCGCAAATCATCGAGGCATTCGTTGAGTTGTTCAGTAGGTGGAGCCTTTCGAATCGTCTGCTGATCACGGCGACGTCAGGGACTGCCGCAGCGCGGATCAACAGTATCAATCCACCCAGGTTCTCCAAAGACCAAGGGCGGCCGCGAACACGGCCAGGGATGTCGACGAGGTGCGACTGACAAGCAAGCTTTCGGATGGATTGGCAAGAGAATGACGCGCTGGTCATAGCGGAGAATTGTTGCAACCCCACGATAGAGTGATGGTGAAGCCAAGAGATTGGCGGAGTGGTTGGCATGACCGGATTACCAACTGTTGTAGAGACGAGTTGCGGGGTGTCGCTCCTACACCCTTCCGCTGCTGTCTGGTTTGGGGCAGCAATGCTACTCGGCGCCAGTTCACTTTCTGGCTGCAGTGAAGACAATGTTGCTTATCGGTGGTGCCCGCAATTGCGTCGTAATTCACTTAGACCACGTGACCACTTATTGCCCGCAAAACGCCGCCCGTGAAATCGTGTGCAGGACGCCTGATAAGTGCATTTGATAAGTTCCCACCCGACTTATCGGGTTTCCGGCCAACCGAGCCCAGACATTCGCCCTAGGAAGGTTGCCCGATCGACCGAGATGGCCGCGGACGACTCGTACACGGCAGCTGACGAGCGCGCCCGTGCCGCCCGGAGGGCGGGCATCCAGGCGAAGAAGGACGAACAGCCGGCGAACACGACGCGGAGTTACGCGGCGAAGCAGCGGGAGTGGAAGGCGCGTCCCCCGGCCGGTCCTCCACTTCGATCCCTGTCACGTACGGCCCCCTAGGCGGCTAACAGACAAATGCGTATAGGCCTGGTGCCATACGCCTCGGGCTGCAGCAGACGGCTCGCTCTATAGCTGGCCCGACGGCGAGCTCGTAACGCCGGACAAGCTGGCGGCGTGGCTCAAAGAGGATATCCTGTTACGACGCGTTGTGCCGCCGCAGAAGAAGCCGCGCGCGCGGGTAAGATTAGGGGCAACGGCAACGGCGAGGCCGTACAGGTACGGCAACAGCGCGAACAGGAGCAGCTCGAGGCCGCGGCCATGGCAGAGGCCGAAAGCCTGGCCGAAGCTTTGGAGGTCCCCCTGGCCGAGGCCGCCGAGCTGCTCGCTGACGACCGCGAGGGCTACGTGCCACCCACAGGCCTCGCGACGGCTGCAGTAGACCTTACCGAAGGGTCTTTGCTTACGAGGGCACTATCGACGCCTATATCGCGGCCGTTATCGAGCTATGGAGGCTCCAGGTGGCTCACGGCAACGCGAATACGGAGAATCCCGGGGCGCCGCCGTACGAGGATTCCTTGAGCAACGGGGCCGGCAGCGGGGAAGCACGACCGCGCCTCCTTTAAAGACCGCGGAAGCGACGGGATCCAGGCCGGCTACCTCCCGATGAATGGCTTCGGATCCAGGATCTCCTTCTCACTGGCGCCGCGTATACGCCGCAAAACCTCCGTACGCGAGTCGACCTCCTCTTCGGCCACTACTACCTCTTACGGGGGGAGAACCGGCGCAAGATGGAGCTTGCAGACCTATCCCTACTCGACTATCCGCCTTCGGAGGCCCGACCCCTGTGGTTGCCTGGTAAGCCTTTTACGGGACGGCAAGCTAAATAAGACGGCGAGGAAGGAGTTTATGGGCGCGCTCCGGCACAAGGACCCCTTATTCTGTACGCAAGGCCCTAGCACAGCTCTTCTTTGGCGCTGGCACGTCGCCGGCGAACCGCCCCCGTCCTTCCGGCGCCGTCAGGACTGGTATCGGATCAAGGTCCTCGTCGGGCGGGACCGCGAGCAGGAGCTCTCGTACCCGACGCAGCTACAAGAGACCTGGCGTATCTTCGGCGCCGTCAGGACTGGTATCGGATCAAGGTCCTCGTCGGGCGGGACCGCGAGCAGGAGCTCTCGTACCCGACGCAGCTACAAGAGACCTGGCGTATCTTCGGCGCTGCCGGCCTTATCGCGTCGAAGAAGACGCACCTCCCGCGCAGGGTGGGCGCCCAGGACGCGGAGACCCATGGCACGTCGCTCGCCCAGATCTCGCAGGCCGGCCGCTGGAACCAGAGCGTGCTCTGCCAGGCATATCTTACGCACCTACCGCGGCAGTTCATGCGTATCGTCGCCGGCTTCTCGGCCTCCCGGGGACTACTTCCTCGCGCGTGCGGCTCACGAACCCCGTACGTCTTACAAAAGCAGCTGTGGCCGTGGATCGAGGTGGGAACCCGCTTTGAGGCGCGGGCGCGCCGGCAATGCTGGGCAGAAGGCGGTCTCGACGACGACGACCCAGCCGCTGACGGCTTCCTTGCTTATGCGGCGCCTGCGTATAGTACTTCTGCAGGACCTGGCCGTCCTACAGCTCCGCTACCCGTCGCTACCGTTCTTCGCCTACGCCCCTTTTGGCGGGCCCGAGTGGGACGAGTTCGCCGTCGCCGTGCGGTCCACCGCGGTAGGGGCTATGGAGCCGGTAAGCCTGCTCGTACGACGCGCGCTGCCGGAACTAAGCGGCGTCATAGAGAGCACGCGGGAGGCCCTGTTACAGAATAGTCAGCGGCTCGCCATCCGGCTTGAGGCCCGGCTGGACGGGATTCAGGGCGGCCTCGATGCCCTCCTCCAAGGCAAGGTCCCTATTGTCACGACCCTGCGCGCCAGCGTAGAGACACCAGCGCAGAACGTCACCAGTGTCACGTGCCCAAGCAGCATCACGTGCCCACGTGCGACCTCGTGCTTACCTGAGCGCTGCTGAGGTAACCTCGTGCATATGCACATAAGGGCCAGCTCGGTCGTGTAGTCTAGTCTTTCTTTCTTGCTCCTTAGCTTTGAGTCTTCGTTCATAGTGCCAATACATCTTTATAGCCGTCAAGGCTCGTATGTGCCTGGCCGTAACACTACTCAAAGCTCAATAAGATCGCTTGCCAGCGATTAAGCAAATAGGCACCGAGCTTTCACGTCACACGCGCCTGACGTAAATCCAGCGCATCCGTTCTGACCGTTCCGACCAAGACTCCGACCACCGACCAAGTGATCCTCAAGGCTGAGATCACGTCCGTTCCGACAAAGACTACGCGTGTGTGTAGTCGTCCGACCAACCGTTCCGACCAGGGATTCGTCCCGTCTGACCTCCGACCGTCCCTGCTCGTGCAGGCATCTGACCGTGATTCCGCGTGGTACCATTTCCGACCCTAGACTCTGACCTCGAGACTATGATATCCGAGGAAGCCCTGCCCTCGGATCAGCCACGCCGTTCTGCCCGGCTTGCTGGCCAAGCCACTGAATCCGAAATAGTAGCCATGGCTGCCCCGAGCCCCAAGACGCTCTCATCCGCGAGATGAGGGGACAGATTGCGGCCTTAACGGCCCGTCTAAATGAACGCTCTCCGTCTGTTGAATCAAATCAACAGCACCGGGAGCCTCGACTGCTTTTGCCGGCCCAAATGGCCCGGCCTTCCGACCAACAGGCAAAGCTGCCTGGCCTGTTTTGCCCCCTTCCCAGAGGGCAAGAACCCCGAGTACAGCGACGCCGCCAAATCGCGCATCAAGGTCTCGCGACGTTCTCAGGAAGAAGGACGAGTTCCATTCCTTCATCCTGAGCATAAAGAACAAATTTGACGAAGACGTACGAACCTTCCGGACTGAGAACAGCCGGATGGTCTGTCTGTATAACCTGCTCGAGGAAAAGCCCGCCGAGCACTTGAAACCCGCTTCTCCTCTGACACTCGACCCTTCTTCTGAGTCCGCCTATGGCAATCCGAATGAGCTTTCCGAGGCTCTTGACCGCCTGCAACGCCTCCAGTTTACCGTGAATGGGAAGACCGACATTGTGGACTTTCTTGCGGAATTTGACTACTTAACTGCGACCGGTCGTGTGCCCGAGGACCAGATGAAGCATACCTTGTGGCAGCACATCCCGGCCAACCTAGATAACAGCCTCTTGACCAAGACCCGTGACGAGTCCGTGACCTACGAGGTTTTCTGTGGGTTCATTAAAGACGCTGTCCACTGCCAGAAGAGGAGTATGAGGCAGACACAGGACTCCCGCTCTTCCGACCGATCTCGCCGCGCGCCGACTAAGACTGCTCCGACTACCGCCAAGACTCCGAACAAGACCGGCTCGACCCCTATCACCTCGCGTGATGCTGGCAGAGCCTTGACCGACGATGAGAAAAGGGTCCATTGGGATAATGGCACCTGCTTTATTTGTGGAAAAACAGGGCACCTCTCTCGCGAGTGTCCCGACCGCACCCATGCTGTCTCCCGTGTCGCCTCCGTCCCTGTCCCTGCCAACGACTCTGATCAGGATTCGAAACGAATAGGACCATCACAAGACTCCTTGATGGTCCCTAAGGTGTCACAGATGGCGAGTAGGTCTAGCAAGTCATTCACTCTGCCAAGTCAAGTCCAAGTGGATGGTGTGAGCTTACCTGCCCGCTCCCTCTGTGATACCGGAGCCGAAACCCGTTTGCTGGTTAGCCCAACCTTCGCCCAGTCCGCCGCCCAAAGACTCGGAGCCCAGATTAAGGAGCTCCCGAGTCGGATTCCCCTCCAAGACTTCCGTGGAAAGCCAGCCGGCTATATCCAGAAACAGCTGGTCGCCACTTTCGTCATCGATGGCCGTTCGTTCGCAAACGAGACATTTGATATAGCTGAGTGTGGCCATGATATCTTTATCGGTCTTTTCTGGATGCGGGAGAAGCGCCTCCTACTTGACTGCGCCGCCCGACAGATCATCTGGCCAGATGATCTTCCTGCCCTCGCCAAGTTCTCCCCGACGATCCAGCTCTCTCGTCAAGCCCCGCTCTCGGGTCGGATCGACCCTAAGATCCAGGCCGACGCTGAGAGGCGGAACCGCCTGCTCGAGAAAGAGGAGAAACGCTACCGGATCCTCCACAAGAACTGGCGCCGCTCTGATCAAGCTCCTCCGGCCTCTGTCCCGACCCCGTTACCGACTCCGTCTCCGTCGTTTCAGTCCAAGTCTCCGTCTGCCAAGAAGTCTGTCCGTTTTCAGCTCACGACCGCCCCTGCTACCGACTTCGTCTCCGTCGCCTCGGTCCAAGCCTCCGAAGATCAAGCCCTGATTAACGCCCTGGTCTGCCAAGTAGAGTCTCACGAGAGATTCGAACAGTGGAACGAACTCGAACCGTTGATGCCCCGGGATCCAGTCCAGCTCGAGCCAAGCTCCGGCCTTGACCAGACCGTCCCTAGTGCTCGAACCGTTGCTAAAGTCTCCCCGGATCAGAAGACCTACCAGGGACAAAGCATTCCGTTCCCTCAGGGAGAAGACCCTGAGCATGTTGCTTGTGTCCGTAGTCGTCTACCGCCCCAGCTCACCCATCTAGAGGGATTCTTCTCGAAGAAAGAGGCCCACACCCTACCTTCGAGCCGACCCGGTCACGATGTAGTCCTAGAGCTTGAGAAGCCTCTTTCGCCGACAGTACCCCCATCGTACCGCACGCCCGTTAAGTATCTGCCTCTAGAGAAAGAGACTGTCGATCACCTCCGGAGATAGATTTCATGGGGCCCGATCCGAGTCCGCACGCCGCATCCGTCCTCTTCGCTCCGAAACCGAACACGACCGCCCGCCGCTTCTGCATCGACTACCGTTGGATGAACGATCATCTTAAAAGTCGCATCACGCCCGCTCCGTCCCTCGAAGGTACTGCTTTCGGTTGCCGTGAAGCTCAACGCTTTACGAAGATCGATGTGATCCAGGCCTTCCACCGTCTCCGCATGGACCCTGACTCCGAGTATTTGACCGCCTTTCGCACCCGTTTCGGAACTTTCCGCTGGAAAGTCCTCCCGTTCGGTCTGAAGGTAGGTCCCGCCTGGTTCCAGCAGTTTATCAACGCGCAGCTTCACGATCTCCTCGACCGGTGCGCCAGCGCCTACGCAGATGACGTCCTGATCTACTCGGATAAAGAAGAAGACCACTGGAAAGACTGTCAAGAAGTGATCTGGCGACTCCATCAGGCCAACCTCCAGGGAGACATCAAGAAGTCTAGATTTAACGTGACCAAGGTTGACTACCTCGGCGTTCTGCTTGAAGCCGGTGTGGGCCTTAGTGTCGACCCTCGGAAAGTTCGATCGATACAAGACTGGAAGCTTGAAGACCTCCGAGACCGCACCGCGATCCGATCATTCGTTGGCCTATGCAATTTCATCCGTGTTTTCTGCTACCACGCCTCGGGAGTGGCAGAACCCTTGAACCGGTTGCTTAAGAAGGATGTTGCCTTTGTGATGGGCCCGGAGCAACGCGAAGCATTTGATCAACTCAAGCGCCTGGCTATCGAAGCCCCGGTCCTCGCCTTCTTTAGACCAGAACTGCCGACCCGACTGGAGACCGATGCCTCCCGGAATGCCACAGCTGGTGTTCTATGGCAGGAACAGCCTGATCGGACCTGGAAGCCCGTTGGATTCTTCTCTAGGACCATGACCCCGGCCGAGCGAGCCTACCCAATCCAAGATCGAGAGCTCCTCGCCGTCGTACAGAGTCTAGAGCACTTCTACCCAGAGCTCTTAGGCCAGAAATTTGATGTGATCACCGACCACGAAGCCTTAGTCCATTTCTCTACGAAGCGCCTGCTCTCGGTACGACAGATCAGATGGTCCGACTTTCTCGCCCAGTTCGACATCCGTTTCCTCTACCGCCCCGGTCGACTGAACGTAGTCGCCGATGCCCTCTCAGGAAGACAGCCGAGCTTCCTACCGTAAAGGCCCGGGAAGCCGAGGAACGCACGGTGACCCTGATCCTCCGGAAAGGCTAGGCTTCGCGACCGACTCGCTAGACCCTACGGCCGCCGGCCACCTGCCCCCTCAGAACTTTAGTCCCGAACCTAAGCCTACTAGACCATTAGTTCTGAGGGCCACGAGTGCCCTACAGACCCCAGAAGACCAAGGGATACAGCAGACGCCCGATCAAGACCGCCCAGAACTAGACCCGAACTCGGTCCCGAAGGGAGCCGAACTCGTTTCGTTGATCCGCCAAGAGAACCTCCTCCAAGACCTCGGCACCCATGGAACACACCTGATCGTACCAGCCCAGACCTCAGACAAGCAGACGTTTCTTCAGACCGCGCTCATTCGCGAAGCCCACGAGCCCCAGATCTTCGCTCACGCCGGACAGAACAAGGTAATCAAGCTGCTCCAACGAGACTTCTACTGGCCAAGGATGAAGGAGGATATCCGTCGTTATATTCGGAACTGCCACGACTGCCGCCGCAACAAAACCCCTCGAGACAAGACCCCTGGACTGCTCCATCCACTGCCCGTGCCGACTTCTGTTTGGGAGCACGTCGAATGTGACGGGAAGGATATGCCGAAAGACCGTTACGGATATGACTATGTTTGGACCTTCGTCTGCAAGCTAAGCCGGATTATCGCCACGCTCCCAGGAAAGAAAAACGATACAGCAGAAGTCTTAGCTAGCCGCTACTTCCGCTACCTCTATCGTTTCTTCGGTATGCCCTCGTATGGATTTCTGACAACGCTGGACAGTTTATTTCTGCCTTCCTCGCAGAGATTAACCGGCTCACGGGAACGAAGCATCGTCATGGAAGCTCCCTACACCCTCAGACCCAAGGGGGTGTAGAAGTCACAAATCAATACCTGGATCAAAAGCTACGATTCTACGTGACGAAGCATCAAGACAACTGGAGTTCCCTGCTGCCCGCCCTCGACTTCGCCCATAACTCGTCTTGGCACTCTTCCATCGACATGGCACCGTTAAAAGTAGCCCTAGGCCGAGATATCCGGAACCCCCTGTCACTGCCCCCGACTGACAAGACCGCTGCCACCGGACCCGCCGCCAGAGCTAGGGAACTTGTGCAAACCGCCCAGGAAACCCAGGAAGACGCCAGGAATGCTGCCACCGCCGCTCAAGAACGTCAGAAGGAACAGGCTAATAGGAAACGACGACCAACCGACTTTGCCATCGGTGACCGAGTTTTTCTCAGCAGGAAAGGCTTCGCCACGAACGCTCCGACTACTCGGCTAGATAACCAATGGTCAGGTCCGTTCGTAATCCTGGAAGAACGCGGTCATAGCTACGTACTGCAGCTGCCCGAGTCGTACAAAATGAAGAACCTATTCCACGCCGACCGTCTTCGAAAAGCAGCCGATAACCCCTTGCCCCAGCAGATCCAGACACCTCCGCCACCCGAGGAGATCAACGGAGAACCCGAGTGGGAGGTTGATCAAGTCCAGCAGTCTCGAGTAACCGGTAGGAGTCGACGACTGGAATACCAGGTCTTATGGAAGGGATGTGACCTGATGAGACCTGGTACCCGGCTAGAATTTCCGTAACGCACCAATAGCATTGAAGGTATTCCACGATGAACATCCGGACGCAGCAGGCCCACCCGTCAACCTGCAATACTGGATCGAATGTGCTGCAGCGGAGGAGGGCTGCGAGGAACGAGACGATGATGACACAGCCGAGAAAGCCGTGAAACCAAGAACCCGCCGCCACGACTGACTACCTTGATACGCATATCAAGGCCTTAGACGGGGGGTAGTGTCACGACCCTGCGCGCCAGCGTAGAGACACCAGCGCAGAACGTCACCAGTGTCACGTGCCCAAGCAGCATCACGTGCCCACGTGCGACCTCGTGCTTACCTGAGCGCTGCTGAGGTAACCTCGTGCATATGCACATAAGGGCCAGCTCGGTCGTGTAGTCTAGTCTTTCTTTCTTGCTCCTTAGCTTTGAGTCTTCGTTCATAGTGCCAATACATCTTTATAGCCGTCAAGGCTCGTATGTGCCTGGCCGTAACACCTATCACCTTTACCGGCTACTTCGGAGCCGGGTCAGCAGAGGCGCTGGCCCCAGCCCCGGCCCCGGCCCCGTCAACAGTACCTACCTTGAATCTCAATACAGCTCCGGCCCCGGCCCCGGCCCCCGCCCCAGAGCCTCTGGTACCAGGCATGCCTATCGTCACAGCCCTGGCAAGGGTCTTTACGGTGGGGGACGTCTGGAAGGAATGGGGTGAAGGGTTTGCAGGTCAGAAGGCCGTACGGGAGCTGGAAGAGACGTGGGGAAGCCGCTGGCGCCCGGGGAACGGGGTCAGAGTGCAGTTCTGTCGCCGGAAGGTGATCTGGGACGAGCTGTTGGCCCGTATGGCGTCCGGCAAATGCAAGGAGGCGGCCGTTGCAGAGCTAGAGCTGTTACGCGCCGGCCGAAGCTTGAACCGACTCGTCGACGAGCTCAAACAGCGCCGACGGCGGGGCCAGGATCGGGGCCAGGGCCAGGGCCAGATACGGGTACAGGTAGGGACCCCCGTGCCCGATGACCCAGGTCCAGGCCCGGGACCAGGTCCAACTCGAGGTCAGGGCCGTCGGGGCGGAGGACCCGGCTGGGAAAGCGGACCGCCCTCGTCGACGTAAGCCAGCCGCCTCGTAGAGTCTTTATACATATTTATATCCATGTAACTAGACATATTTTTGAGGATCAAAGGGCCGTAGGATCGGTGCATTACTATCTCGCAGTTCCTGTAGCCGAGCCTAGCCCCCCCATTACCCATTCGCGGCGCTGCAACGCAAATATCTCGACGGACAGTAGCCTATACGGTGCTCCTCGACCAAACGCGCCGCCGGAGTGGAGTAGTCCCCCAGGCCCCGGAATGGCCTCGATTGGGCTGCTGGCCGTGGAGATATTCGCGTGCGCGGCGCCGGGCACTTATCAGATGGTAGATATGTAATCGCATACGATTTCCCGAAATTACTCCGCAAATCGACCCCACGATAAGTCCTGCTTACCAACGACATTATTCATCCTTCTCAGTCACCTTTGCTAGAGTCAGCCCGACTAGGTAACCCTCGGACTTAGATCGTTAACCCGTTTTCACGACACACCCCCTTAGCTATAGCCTATCCCGATCGGGTGTAGCTAAAAAGCCTTTAGGGGCAACGATCGAAGGGCCGATCGACCGGTGTGAATAGGAGATACGAATGCTTTACCTTCCCGGCGGCATAGGCTTCCTATGGTCTTTGATCTGGTCTCGGAGGTCTTCTAACCGGGCCTCTAGGCGTAGCCGCTCCCTGAGATCTTCGAGCCCAATCATCCTTTGGAACTCGAAGAGTTTCTGCTTTGGCAGAGCTTTGGTCAAGCCATCGGCTTTCATATGTGCCGTGGGGACCCAACGGACCCGGATTCGGCCTTCCTGGCATTCCTGACGTAGCCAGTGTTGATGGATATCGACATGCCTTAGCCGTGTAGATAGCTTCGCGCTTCCTTCTTCGAGGAGCCTGATTGTCTGCGAGTTATCACACTCTACTAGCAACGGCAAGGGGATCCGAATCCATAAAGACGTCAACAACCGGCTTAAGAAGATTGCTTCTTTTGAGGCTTCTGAAAGAGCTAGGAGCTCCGCCTCTGTGCTCGACGTTGTGACTGTGGCTTGCTTCGAGGCTTTCCACGCAATGGTTCCCCCGAATAGGGTCATAACGTAGCCTTGAGAGCTCTTTCTGTCAAGAGAATTGTCTGCAAATGATGCATCACTCGAACAAAGAAACAGTTCGACTTTCTTTGAGCCCCCAAGCCTTATGCCGTACGAACGCGTGCCGTAGAGATAAAGGATGACTCTGTCTACGGCTCGTTGGTGCGATTCGTCCGGGTTCTGGTTGTGGCGGGCTAGCCGGGAGACTGCAAATGCAATATCCGGCCTCGTGGAAATGGCTGAAAAGAGCACAGATCCGACCTTCTGGAGATATTGATGTATCTCCCCTTTGGGTTGCTTGGCTAGAAGCCGGAAGGAGCTCTTCGTTCGTGACCATCGGAGTGTCTGGGAGCTTTGAATGGCCTAGGCTTTCGTGAACGTACTTATGAGCTATCTTGTCGATATACGAATCCTGGGTCGGCCAGATCGTTCGATGGGGCCGATCCCGGAGGATGTGTATCCCTAGAAACCATTTAGGTTCCCCTAGGAAGCTCATTTTATAGCGTTCTTCGAGCCTTTGTATGGCTTCCTTAGCTAAGCCTTCATCTTCCTTTCGGTAGGCCCAGATCATGTCGTCCACGTAGAAAAAGACGGTCACGGCACCCTTCATCATCACACAGGGTTCCTGAGGGACTTTCTTGAACCCCAGCTCTTCGAGGGAGCCTGTGAGGTGCTGTTGCCAAAGAAGGGGGGATCGGCGTAGACCGTAGAGAGCTTTCCGAAGCCGTAGCACCTTTCCGGGTTTCTGGAAGCCCGGCGGCATCCTCATAAAGACGATTTCTGTCACACATAGGATATCAGCCTCCAACAGTCTGACCCCCTATTCGCACAGTCCGTTTCCACATTTCCCCACAGAAACTTCTAGGAGGCATCATCAACGCATCAGTGGCTTCCAGATGATCTGATCAGATGCTTCCATTCACTACCATTCCCTTCCATTCTCATATTCAGGCAGTCTATAAAGATCTCGCCTCTTTCCCACCTTAGATAGCAGAATCAAGAGTCTTCCAGTCCCTGATCTTTATGCCCACTTGCTCATCCTCCGTGCGATAGATCTTTTCGTGGGCGTTGGAGCGGGCGGTGCGCCCTGCTCCACCATGATCACGGCCTCAGCCGACTCTTCCACGGTAGAGCTCGTTCGTGTGCTCGCACTCGCCTCGACCCGATGGCGGCCGTTCGTCACTGGCCAATGGATCCTGAGGCGTGCGCACTGACTAATCTCCCACAGGGCGCTCTCCTATTGGCGCATGCGAGATGTGATATGCCAGCGACGAATACCTCTCTTCAACAGCTGTCAGTCCGTGAGACTCCACCGCGAAATGTACCGCCTGCGGCTAATCCTGCCTCGTCATTCCGCTCCCAAGGGAGGTGAGTCCAAGCAACGTGACTTTGTCCCAAAATGGTTAGACTCATCTTGTCTTTACCTTTGCTGAGGTAAGTCGCTTCCCTGCGACACGAACGTGATTAGTCGCGCCTGCCTATTTTCTTGTTTACCTCTTCCTTGCTTTCCCTTTCCTCCGCAAAGCAATCAGCAATGCTCTACCCGACACCAAAATGCGTCTTTCGGAGCAGCGGATCAAGATTATCTCAGACCGCCCGTTCGATGATACGCTTAATCACATTCGAGACAAACTGCGCGACTTCAATGAGCCCGACGTTTTGCGGCAAGAAGATGTCGCAAGCCTTTTGGGAGCCTTGGTCGCCTCTCCGGCCGCGTTCAGCCTTCTGTCACCAGACGAGAGCGGCAGCGTGGCAGTCAGGTTGCTCTCCATATTGCAGCATGTTCGAGGAGGCGGAGTAAAACCTGAGCTATTCCGCCCTCTCGTTCGTCGCGTCATCGCCAGAGCTCCTGACATCGACATCTGGGATGCCGTCTTCAGTTTGATCGACACCCTTAGCACCCTCACTCCCCCCCCGTCCAGCATCGCCCCAACCTACAAGGGAACACCCGTCAAGACCAGCTCGAGCCGACTTGCCGATAGCGAAACGCGCGACATTGTCGAAGGGGAGCTCTTCTTTGAGATAAAAGACTGCACTTTTCGCAATGTGGGGGGGTTCTGCGACAAGTTCTTCGACTCCAAGAGCTGGCGCAAAGAACAGAAAGAGATGCTTAAGGGGGTGATGGTGGCGCACGACGGAAAGAAATGGACAAACTTCCCGTCCACTCCCGATGAAAACCCGGTCTGGACATGGCTCTGTGCGCTCGAAGAACGCTTCTTGACTGGTGCACCCCACAAGTTATACACCACCCGAACCGCCAACCAATTCAAGGAACGGAAAGGCCAGATGGATCTCTTCTTTCAGACAACAGACAGGGAAACCAACAGCACCTTTACCTACAAGGATGTCCTTGTCGTTGGAGAGCAAAAGAAGTCATACGATACAAGCAGGTTCAAAGCGGATATCCTCCAACTTGCGCGGTATGTACGAGGTGTCTTCGCCGACCAGCCGACACGCCGATTCGTCCACGCGTTCTCGCTCTGCTCTTCCAAGATAGAGCTCTGGGTCTTCGATCGGTCCGGGCCGTATAGCTCAGGGTTATTCGATATTCATGACGAGCCAGACAAGTTCGCGCGAGCTCTTGTTGGATATGCTACGATGAGTGACGATGCGATGGGCCTGGACACGTTCATCGAGCGAGAGGGGGGCCATCGCCATGCCACTCTGGACGACACAAGCGGCAACGAAACAAGAGTCAAGCTGGAGGAGCTGATAGTCAGGCAGCGCGCTATCGTATGTCGCGGGACTACTTGCTACCGGACCCGAAACGGCCATGTTGCTAAGTTCTCCTGGGCATCGGATAAGCGGAAACCAGAGGTGGACCATCTCAAGCTGGCAGGAGAGAAGGATGTCAAGGGGGTGGCGAGAGTGGTGGCGCACCGTCAAATCACCACCATTGCAGACATGCGGAAGGGACTGGAGTTTCCAAAGTCTCACCGGTTTCGGGATGAAGATGTCCACTTCAGAGATCTACCATCGGCCGTAGGGAGCACGAGCACAGCAAGTCGCAAGCGCAAATCGTCCTCTGAGAACACGTCTGAGAACACGTCTGGGTCCAAGAGGCGGCGGTCTAACAGCCAGAAACCGAAGTTGGCTAAGGAGTTTATCGAGCAGCTGTCGATCGGCAAGACCAGACCAAGCTTGTATACTTCTAGAGTCGAGGATCCGTTTGAGAACAGGATCTATTCTTGCCTCGTCGTGTCACCGGCTGGCCGTGTCATCGGCGACTTTAAGTCGATCAGGGAACTGCTGGAGTCGATCCGAGACGCTATTAGGGCACACCAGTCTCTCTATATCGATGGCAACATCCTGCACCGAGATATCTCCTCGAACAACATCATCATTACGGGTTCGAAGATAGCTGATGGCTTCAAAGGCATGCTAATCGACCTCGATCTAGCTAAAGTCAGGGATAGCGGGCCGAGTGGAGCACGGCACCAGACCGGCACGATGCAGTTCATGGCGATCGAGGTGCTGCGGAAGGCTGACCATACCTACCGCCACGACCTTGAGTCCTTCTTCTACGTTCTCCTCTGGATGTGTGCGCGCGACTCATGGACGAACGGGTTTGGCGGCAAAGAGGAGCCGCCGAGGAAGAGTCTTCTTCGTAAGTGGGAGATTGGGAGCTTCAGTGACATTGCCGATGCCAAAGAGGGCCACATGACTGTGAATGGTCTCGAAAGGATTATGGGCGAGTTTCCAGAGCGGTTTGATATTGTTAAGCCGCTCTGTCTGAGGATCAGGAAGATTCTCTTTCCCTTGGACGAAGACGAAAGGATGAGCTTTGGAACCCCTGCAGGAGACCCAGAGCAACTTTACAGGCCCATGATAGCCGCCTACGATGAGGCCGTCGTCAAGCTGTACTGAGATGTTCGAGGCACGGGTGCTATTGACGAATCATTTAAGTTACAATCCACTTTTGGCACAGAAACAGATCCCTTTTTCAGTTGCGGTTTCCGCCCAGAATTCCAGTATATCTAAAGCACCCTTTCGATCAAGGCAGTGTTGCCAATAATATAATCCATGCGTATATTGGCAATATGGACCCCCTCGCAGTATTGTTGTATGCGATGAGCCACATGCGCCTTGCTTGCTCTCCGATTCACGTAGCGAAAGCTAATTATAGGACCCGTCTTGTCTGAATGGAACCAAATGGTTGTCATAGGTTCTGGCTTTGGTGGGCGGTCATCGGATTACCGCCCTGCCCTTGACAACACCCCCGAGTCCCGCCCGGTAGACGTCAACTTCGGAGCGCCATAACACGCGAGAGGCTAGATCCATGGCAAGAGAAATTGTCCGCCTAGATAGCCAATAGTCATACAATCGGAATGCACCCTATTGAAGGCCCTATGGTATCTCTATTGTAAGGCTGCGATATGAAGCATTCATTTCCCGGCCTCAACGCCCTTGGACTATAGCGACGCTTAGCGATATGCGATTTTGAGTATGGAAGGGTTACTGGCGAAAAAATGTACCAATTTTAGCCCAATGTATTGGGTCTGACCCAAACCTAGGACGCCCAAGATCAAAGGATGCAAGTCGTAAAGTACAGCAGTAAAATTATAGTGGCCCAGTTTCCATACCCTCAAACATCAGGTGCTCTATCGACCGTTCAGCACTAGGTCTTGCCGCCAAAGACAGTGTCAATGTTCTCTCCATGCGTCTTTTCTGGTGTCGTTTGATCATACCATCCAGAGATGCTACTGGCACAGCTAAAACCACTAAACAAAGTCCGCACTGTCCTCCAAATTGGTGCCTAAACCAACCGGTTATAGAACATATCAGAAGTATTAGAGATCCCAGGAATACCAATCCGCTAATGGCTCCGAGCCATACCAAACCACGATTCGTCGGCGGTTGTTCTGGCTGAGGTTGATGAGACTGTCTGCGTCCAAAGCGGCGAAAATGCTCTATTCTTCTCCAGATCACCACGACCATGATCGCGGTGCTCAAATGAGAAACCATTGGTGCAGCTAACCAGTACTCGATACGAGACTGGCCGGAGCGCCAGACGATCGTCCCAATAAATGGGAAATGGAAGACTAATATTAGTCCGAAAATAATAATCTTCGCCTTGACCGAGGAATCGGGCTCGACGGAGCGAGAAAAACAGGCGTGTATTAGGGAGTCGACAACTTGAATAAGCTGCGAGCCATCAGTATAAGATCATATGGAGTGCCCGAATCGGGAAATACCTCGACGATGTCGACGCATAGCACAGTCGCTCCTTTCCAAGCCATGAAGAATGGATACGCAAGGGTATCAGATGAAACTGCATTCCTCACGGTGCCAAACAAAGCGGCGAAGACTATTCCAGCGCCCAGAAAGAGACAGGCAGTGGAGATTGACGCCCAAGTTCGCCTCCGCGAGGCTTCTTGTGACTTGACTCTGATCATCCAGTACAGATAAGGAACTAGAAAGACCGCGGTCACGGCAAACACGACACCCGCCTCAACTACCTCCTTAGTAGTTATCTTATCCTGCATGTCGAAATGCGGTGATTTTCAATGATAAGAGAGCGAAATGCTTGACGTTGTGTAATGAGAAGACATGAGAGGACCGCCCTTGCCACTAAAGAGATGTGCTTTATATACACGTTCGAGTTATTCCCAAATACCATACTTGAGAATATTCGGTTCATGGCAAGCAACGTGCTGATGAAATGAGCAGGGTAGCACATTGTCCTGTTGGTTGACAAACAACCAGATCTACCTAGAGTGAGGAGCGGATGGAGTGCTTTGTGCATGGTACCTAAGGTTACATACACTGTTAGTGCCTCAAGACCGGGTTACAATTAACATGTTGATTTACATGTACGAGGCAGCTTCCCCCATCTTAACACGGCCTAATCAGAGTAGGGTGGGCGGGTCCTGTCCTGTCCTGTCTTGTCCTGTCCTGTCCTGTCCTTCCTGTCTTGTCCTGTCCTTTCCTTTTCTCCTACCCTCCTGTCCTGATCCGCTCATCTACTTTTCCCACATCTTCCAGTGGGGTTTGCTGCAAGCCTGCAAGCGCTCTGGGCACTTTTATGACATTTGCCAACGACATTTGTACCACGTCCTCGAGCACCCGAAGGCTTTGGAGGTCTGGTGGGATCAGAGTTGGTTTGGCGCGGTAGAAGTTGGTTATGTAGCGTCGGGGTTGAAGAATGGATAAATGTTGAGCCACTCGGGATAGTTTAATCTTCCATTATTCTTGCAACTTCAAGGCAATCCAGTGTCCCCTCCAGAGTAACCTCACGACTGTATTTACCTGCGACACGTAGCGCCGCGGCCGCCCGCCTAGTTGCTTCATACATGAGTACCTGCCTCATATTCTCATGGTGGAATGGAATCTTCTAAATCCTCCGGCCTGAGTCCAAAAAAGTTGAGTTCACGTGAATTCGCATCGTCATAGACTTTTTGTTCTTCGTCCCAGCTGAAAGCTCTCCACAGTTGAAGTTCGAAATATGGGGGAAAGTATCCTGCGAATTCCCAGTCTATGATTCCAACGATCTGAAAAGTACTCGGGCAGATAAATATGTTTTGAGGTCCAAGATCGTTATGGCAAAGTACAAAACTGTCGGTTTCCGACGTTATTCGCTTCCAAGACCGTCTGTCACGACCGTATACGCGCTGCGGGGGGAATACCGGAAGACTTGAGTCGACACTTCCAATGTAATTTCGACGAAGCAGACGAAGCTGAGGAAATATGAAGCTTTCCATCTGTTCATCAATAGCAGCGACCGCGGCTGGCCGAGAGTCTGCATCTATTTCTTCGAGGAGCACTCCGGTCGTGATCCGTTTCGTCTCGAGGTGGACAACCCCATCCATCATGTAAAGTCGGCATGTCGGCACCGGTATGGTGGTGTTTGCGCGAAGGAATTGAAGTGATGCGGCTTCGTTTAGCAACCGCTCCTTAGCCCAGAACGGTCGAAGAACGTTGCCATTTGGGCGACGAACTAGCTCTTCATCATAGAGCTCTCTCTTGATAACTTTGTCGTCGTAAATCGTAACACAGCGCTCCCAAGTCTTCCATGTTTTCGACTGGATGGTGTCTGCATATCCGGTTTCCATCGTATCCCCTACGCGTTAACGGAGCTTGCGGTGCTGTGAAGCGGCTGGGATTCGAAATTGGAGTTGGCTAGTATGAGGAGAAGAAGCATGGTGTCGGGAATCTGGTGGGCTGTGTAGGCAAAGTATGAGTTATGAGACAATATTCTTGACTGCTTATGTGCATAGACTCACCCACTTATTGAATTACCAGAATAAAGTACTTCACTACTCCCCCTTATTGAAATTTATTTATTTATTGTATTACGCCCGGAGGGTTCCCCCTATAGAGCCACTACGCTAAGCTATAAACCTTCTGTACATGGTCCCATCTCACCTAAAGCCCCACACTTCTTTTCATCTGTTTCCAGCCTCGATCGCTGTGACATGACAGGCCTGCCTGAAGGTCAGTTTCTCCAAGTGTTCAGCGTCCTACCTTCAGCGGCTGAAGCGCGATCTGTCAACTTGAAGGCTATTCGATGTTTGTGTCTTCGATCTGTGGTCAGTCCGTCATCGGCTGCTGGTCCATGTTGAGGCGTTTGGTTGCCAACGCGAACTGTACTGTCGCTCGTACAGCCTTCATATCCGGCCGCCACTTGTCATTGTCTGATGCTGCTTTGCCTCCCAGGAAGAACGATAGGTCCCCAATCTTGTCGCGTGCGTACCGAAGCATGATCTCTCGCTGTGATGTCCATCTATTGCATCGGAAAAGGAAATGTTCCACTGTCTCTGCTGTCTGTCCGCACATGCACTCATCCGAATCCACAGCTCCTATCTTGTAAAGGTAATGGCTCAGTCGAGATTTCCCGGTGCGAAGTTGTGCCAGTACGCTTGCTTCTTTCTTTCTCAATTCGTCGTATAGATTTCGAGTGTGCCCTCCGGGTAGCGCCTTGTCAATCTTTCTCGACCAGTTTCCGACTCGTTCTGGGATTTGGTTGATCTGTCTCTGTCCGTTGAGCAACAGTCGTAGCGTCGTTGACCTTGCTTTGAATGCCGCTGGTTCGGCAGCGCATTCGTCCCTGGTTGCTCTCTTCGCGGCTGCTTTAGCCAGCGGGCTCATCGTGAAGTCTTCGTGGGCGGGTACCCATTGAAGGGCAACGCTGCATCCTCTTCTCCGCAAAGTCTCGACGCATTCGTATATCTCGCGGATCGTACGTTGTCCCGACTGCTGTCGTGGCCGCGCAATGACTTGCAGGACGGACAGGTTGCTTGTCACGATTGTCATGCCTCCACGACGCAGACCAGCCGGTAAGCACTGCAATGTCATCGCAATCGCTGCGAGTCCTGCCGTGTAGGCGTTCTGCTCGTCGCTGGGTCCAACTGTAGCGGAGTAGCTGGCCAGTGCTTCGCCCGGGCTGTTGTGAGACGCGTCTCGAACGACGCCTCCCATTCCGACCAGGCCCTTTCGCTGTGAGCTGGACGTCGCGATGATGATGCCATCCAGTTCGTCAGGCTTCACCAACTCCACTTGGTCACGCTCTTGCGCTACGTGCAGTCGGTCGATCCACGGCGCCAGTGCGAACTCGTGGATGACTTCCAGGCGCTTGGTATCTAGTCCTCCCATCGCCGAGGCGAGCTTCTGCATTGGCGAGGCATACCTCCTGTTCAACTTGAGCCTCAACGATGTCAGAGGATGCGTCTTCGGGAGCGTCCGCATCCTTATCCAGAATCTCGTTGCAGCTTGAGCGTGCCGTTCTCGAAATGGTTGCAGTCCGGCCTCGGCCTCGGCCACTGCCGTTGCGACTGTGCGGAACCCTCCTGTAACTGCCTGGGCTCCACCCGCTGGGCCCTGTCAATCCACGACGCTTCTTTCGCCCCGCATGCGTGCGACCACACGTTGGAGGCGTAGTCCATGGTTGGCGCCACTGTCGCGACGAAGAGTTGCCTCGCCGTTCGTGGTAAAGCCATCTTCAGTCGTTTCAAACACATGGCCGCGGCCAGCCCCTTGGCGGCCGCTCTGGCGATATGTTCCTTGAAACGAAGCGCTTTGTCCATGACCACTCCTAGGAGCTTGACACTCTTTTCCGGCTTGATCTCCTTCCCTTTGACGGTCAGGGGCTCGTCGGTATCCCTCTCTGCAATGCGTGTGAAGTGGATGACACTCGTCTTGTCCGCTTCGAACGTGGCGCCGCTTCGCTTCTCCCAGCTGATCGCATCGTCAACGATGGACTGCATGCCTTCTCGGTTAGACTCGGCCGTTGGTCCAGTCACCCAAGCAGAGTAGTCGTCCACAAACGCGATGGAGCCACCCTTGTCACTGATCCGCCTTTGCACCAGGTCTGCGTTGAAGAAGAGGAACGCCACAGGCGACAATGGAGATCCTTGTGGTAGGCCAGCCTGCGGTAAGGTTTGCGATTCAGCCGCATGTCCGTTCACAACCACAGAGGCTGTCCGTTCCGAGCAGAATGCGTCTACCCACTTCACCAGTCGGCTTGGGATGCCTCGAGCTTCCATCCTTTCTAGCAATCGCTCTTTGCACACTCCGTTATACGCGCCTTTGACGTCAAAGCTGATGAGACTGAGCACTCTGCCCATTCTCCAGGCTTTGTAGATGCGCTCCTGCAGAAGCACGAGTGCTTGATCTGCTGATCTGCGCTTCCGTGCACCAAAGTGGTTCGCAGGCAAAAGCCCTTGAGCCTCGACTACGTAGCTGATGCGTTCCGCCACGACTGCTTCCAGAATTTTGCCAAGCGTTGACAGGAGAGAGATCGGTCGCCATGCCTTGGCCAGGGCGTAATCTCCCTTGTCAGGCTTCTTTAGCGGGATGATCCTGGCTGTCCGCCAATGATGAGGCACCACGCCCTCCCGGAGCGATGAGTCGAACAGCGTCCACACCCGGTGCTTGACCACGTGCCAGAGCTTCTTCCATACGATCGCAGGAAGGCCGTCCTCACCAGGCGCTTTCCAAGATTTGGCCGCCATCACTTTTTCCTCAATCTCTTGCAAGGTGAGGTCCGGCATGGCTATCGCTTCTCTTTGCGGACGCTCACCTTCCGGCTCAATCCTTGCTGGCAGAGGTGGGAAGAAGGTGCATAGGAGCTCCTCGGCTTGCTCGCCCTTGCCTTCGGTGATCGAGCCATCGGTTCTCCTCAACGGGGGAACCCTGTCGTCGACCATCTCCATACCAGACTTCAGGTACTTGAGTGCCTTCCAGATGTTGCTCTCGTCGGTGACGAAGTCGTCCCAGTGAGTCTTCTTTTGGCTCCGCACGTTGTCGTGGTACTCCTTAGACAGATCCGGCCGTGATTGACCGACTCGTCGCTGTGCCCTCGCTTGATTGCGCCAGTACGTGTATGTCCGCCGCAGTCGTGTAAGGTCCTTCGTCCACCATCGCTTCGCGTAAGGCGGCGGTTGTGCCCGGGGTGTCAGATCATGCAGCACCTTGGTGACCACCCGCATGAGCTGATCCGCCTGCGTCTGCACCCCCACAGTCCACGGAAGAGGTCGAAGCTCGTCCTCGACCCTGGCTGCGATGGCGACCCACGGCGCGTTCCTGAGCAGCAGGCGCTGCGGAAATGTTCGCTCCGGTACTTGAATGTCAAAGGTCGTCTGGATCGCTCTGTGGTCTGATCCATGCTCTGTCGGGTGAATCACGCAGGATATCACCTCGTCTGCCAGTTCTGCCGATGCCAGCACCAGGTCGATGGTGCTCTCCTTGTCCGGCCCTTGCCACGTTTTCGTCCCTCTCGGGAGAAGGCTGCAGAGACTAAAGTCGTCCATCAGGTCAACGATGGGCTGACCTTCCCCTTGTCTTCTCGCTGACACCTCATCTCCGCCCCAGAGGAGATCGTGTCGATTGAAGTCCCCCGCTAGAACCACATCTGTGCGGTTTCCTGTTCCATTGCGGAAGCGATCGATCACGTCGCGCAACACCTCCATCGCGCTCGCCAGCGCCTCGTCGTTCTTCCCTTCCACATACACTGACACCACCATCACCTCCCTCCCCTCGAGTCGAACTATCGCTACTGTAAGATCAGCCGACGGCACGGATACTTGCTGTCGGAATCATCTTTGTCCAGTTACGATGTCCCATAGGACTCGTCACCACCTTTCCGTCAATATTGCGCGCATACGGCTCAGAGATGGCCAGTACGGCAAAATCCTTCAGGTCTGCGTCATTCATCAGACTCTGCTGCACCACATCACGCTTGCGCACATTTAGTTGTAGGATGCGGAGGGACTCAAGCATCACTGCTCGGGTTCCTCATCCTGCACTTCCAGCTAAACGACTCATGCGGTCCGCCGCACGGGACGCATTTTGGCTCAATCGCTGTGCACTCTCGGTGGTGATGCCCAGCGTTTGCGCACTTGCCGCATGTCCGCTGCTTCTTGCATGAATATGCTTTGTGACCGATATCCTGGCAATTGAAGCATTGGATCGGTCCCGTTCTTGGCTCGAACATATAAGTGGTGGCCGACTCTCCCGCTAGGTCAAAGTAGTCACCGTCCAGAAGCCTTTCTGCATCGCTTTTCTTGGTGACGTATACTACCATGGATCCGTAGGCTTTACCAGACTCTCGTTTGCTCAGCCAGGAAATCTTGCCAATGGTCACTCTGTTTTCGGCACTCAAGGCTTCTATCGCTCCAGGCAGGATATTGCCCTCCGCGTCGAGGATTGCTGTCCGGTTGGCGTTGTCGACCCGGACCGGATACAGCTGGTCTCTCATGACTCGCGCTCCCTCCACGGCTGTCTTCTGCGCCGCCTCTTTGACCAGCTGAAGCTCGGCTTCGTCTCTGCAGACGATCTTGACTCGGTCGGCGTTCCGGGATTCTCTCACAACTGCGGCGCACCTCCAGGTCTCATGTCCGTTCTTCGCTCTCATCTCAACCTCGATGGCCTGTCGTATCTGCCCGATTTGCGCTTTGTTCCTGTTCGACTCACTTACACGAGACGTGTCAATGGTACAATGGACAGAATCGTTGGCTGTCTGCTGTTTGGTTGGACCAGGTATGCTGCGTGTACTGGAGGGCGGGCTGTTTGGCAGGGCGCGCGCGACGTCCGCAAACGTTGCTCGAGGGCCGCTTGGCAAAGCCACCTCGCCCGATACATCCAGCTTTTGCATCAGCTGATTTAGCTGCTCTTTCACTCCGACCAATTCTCTCTTAAGATCCCGGTGCTCCTGTTTCATTTCCTTGTCGTGCTCTTCGCTCTTACGTCGAAACTCTTCCTTGGATTCCTGGGCCTGGGCTTCCAAGCCTCGGATCAGATCTTCCTGTCCCTGAATGATAGTGCTTTGCTTGTAAACCGTGGCGCTCAACTTCCTGATCGTGTCGCTTTGCTCGGATACTCGATGTTTCAGCTCCACCATCTCACTTCCCATCTTCGCCAGCATCTCTGGAACCCTCTGCATCATCGATTTGGCGGTCTCCACATTGCTGCGTGACTTCACCTCGTCGCCTCTTTCGCTATCGTTGCCCACCGATATGACTCGCGTCGTTCGGGTCGAGACACGCTTGGGAGCTCTCGCGGTCGCATTTTCCAGCGATCGTAACTGTCGGCTAGTATAGGCACCGCTGTTAGTAGGTCACCTGAAGGATCAAGGGAGGGCCACCTGAAGGATCATTATGAGGCCATGTATCGGGGACCCATAAAAACCTCACGTATGGGGCCAGTTTGGTGCCTATGTAAGTCACCTGAGGGTCCCCCTGACTACGGCATAAATAGGACCCTGTGGCCGATTCTTTCTAGCTAGATTATGCATTTTTATCCTTTCTTGTGCTGCCCCTACCTCATGAGTACCAGAATAACAGTCCATCGACAGTAACGTATCCTGCACTCGTGCGCTGGGCGTCATCCCTCGCGTCGGACGCGTCAATGGCGACGGGCTAGTTGGATCCAGCCCCGCCCCCACGTCGGCCGGAGGCGCCACTTCAGGCTCTGCCATGATGGCAATCAAGAGCCACACCTACCCCAGAGTAAAGAAATATGAAGAACTATAGTAGAACGTAACCCTTCCCTGCATTTTTACTTTCTTGGCACGCAAGTGTTAAGGAAGTAGCCTATCCATACAGCTTTTCGCTTAACAGTGCTCTTGAAAATTCCGCAACAGCGCCGCGCGAAAGCGCCGGCAGCGGCCATGGCACCAGCCTCAGGTTCGCGCGCCGCTCCCTGTGCTGTCGACATACCCGTTGGCGGGGCCTCTGGCAGCCAACTAAGGGGCCCCTTCCCCTTAGTTGGGCCCAAAATTCCCGGACAGCCCCAAAACTCCCGGACGCGCGCCTACAGCCCCGCTATCGTAGTTGCTTCGTAATTACTGCGCATTCCCACCAAAACACAAGAACGCGTGATGCGCAGCACGTGTTTCAATGTCTCAATACGTCGGGCTTGAGCCGACGGCCACGTCAAGGGCTGTGGAGCTAGTTATAGACTCTCGCGATGCCATCGCACAAGGGCGGCGCCGTCAGACGCGCCGGGCGCTCCCCAACACAGTCACAATACGGCAGGCGGCTCAGATCTTCGGCGTACCGAGCTCTACGGTACACGACGGCGTCAAGCGGCATCCACGATGGCTTCAGGGTCGCGTTCGAAGCCGTGGCCGGCCAAGGCTGCTCTCAGACGACGAAGATGATGCCATCGCCGCCTATGTGACATGGCTACAACGCTCTGGCTTCCCAGCGAGCAAGATACAGGTCGAATCGGCCGCTCTAACGCTCCTTCAGCGTCGTAACCCCAATGCGAAGCCACCAGGCAAAAACTGGTATCATCGTTGGCTTCAAGACCACCCAGAGCTTCGAACCACATATTTAAAGGCCGTAGAGAAGTCCAGGAAGGTATTTGAGGCCAACGATGTGTCATACGTCGAGAAGTTCTTCTCGAGGCTCAAGGAGATCATCAGCTCGTACGGAATCGGCCCCTCAGAGGTCTGGAACGAAGACGAGTGCGGCATCCGTATTGGAAGTCTACGAGAACGCATTCACGTCGTTATAGTGCGTACAACGCGTCATCAACGCCCTCAAGTCTCTGACCCAGGGAATCGCGAGTCTTGCACGCTTATTGCCGCTGCCAACGCGGTTGGAGACACGATTCCGGCTTGGCTGGTGTTCAAGACCTTCCCTTGCGAGTCTTGGGCCGAGATCAACGCCCCCGACGATATACGATTCGCACGATCCGACACAGGCTTCAGCAACAGCGAGATAACGTTTGATTGGATACACCAGTTTAATGTATGCTCTTGGAAGCGGTCTGCCCGTGCCCAACGCACCGGAAAGACCCTTGAGGAGTGGTTCGGTGTAGATGAGTGGTGTAGAGAGCCCGAATATCCCTTCCTCGAGGCGGAGCCACGCCTTATCCCGGAAAACGAGCGAATTCATCGTCTTCTCGTCATTGACGGCTTCACTGGGCATACAGGCCTCGATTTCATACAATATTGCATCAAATTTGACATCATCGTCGCGGTGTTCCCTCCGCATTCAACGCATATCCTTCAGCCGCTCGATGTAGGCGTTTTCCAGCCTCTTAAGCACGCACAGCAGAAAATCCTACATAAGTTCATCGAGTCAGGGGAGCTGAACTTCACGAGGCACGATTTCCTCAAGTCTTTCTGGGAAGGGTTCAAAGAGGGCTTCGCAGCGTGTTATATCATAGGGGGCTTCGAAAAAACGGGCATCTACCCTCCCACAGAGCAGCCGGCAATGAAGAAGCTCGTGGCCGAGCAGCTGAAGGTATCACAGGCCGTTAACCCAGCGTTCGCATCGCTCCTCCCTAAGGAAACACGCTTCCAACAAGCTGCCGACACTGTACAAGACCTTCGAACGCGTTATCACGAGATTCTAAGCTCTCCAACGCGTGGCAGGCTTTCCAACGTCTCCCAGGCCGTCACAGAGGCATCTCTTCTTAGCTCAACACTGGCCAAGTGCTATAAAGACCGCCTACAACGCATCGAGAAGATAAGCAGCCGTCCGAGGCGCGGCAGGGCCGTCAAGGCTGCCAAGGGCACTTTCTACACTAGCGTCAGCCTAGAAGATATCCGTAAATCTCGTGAACGCACGCTTCGGCTCGAAGAAGAGAAAAATCAACGCCAACAGCTCCTCTCGATGCGTGGCATTATACGGCGCGAGAGAGAGCAGCTCCTTGACGAATACCGTAAAAACAAGGTGCAGCTCGTGAACGGAAAGATGAAGAGACTGACTATAAAACAATGGCTTGACTTTGTCGGGAAGAGCGAGGGATTCCTTGCCCTAGAGAGCAGCGAAGAGGTTTACAACAGACTCCTCAGACCACGAGACCAGTTCGCGATCGATACAACACGCACGCAGCGCACAGCTGCCGAGAAAGAAGCCGTTGATAGAGCTTGCGCCTCAGAGCGGCCTCTGCAGTCAGTTCAATGGCCTCACCTCCAAAGAGAGCAGTCTATTAGATCATCATATCGCCAGACAAGAAGCCTCAGCCCGAGCCCCACGAAACGAGAGAGCCGAACGAGCCCGCGTCCGACGAGAACACACAAGAAGCCTCACTCGATTCTACACTATACACTGCCGTCTTTGACAAGGTTGACAGTGTATTGGGGTCATCGCCACCGCCGGGGCCCACTCCGCCATCGTCGCCGCCGGTCACCCCAACACCACTCATTCCGGGTTGGAAGAGGCTTCAAGGGATCGTACAATACTTCCGAGCTTCTCAGGCACCGAATTCATATCAAGAAGGTATATAAACTGAGAAGAGCCGAATACGGGGCTACACACTTCAACAGTAATAGGTGCGCGCCTCAACGCCGCGCAACGCCGCAAAACGCGTGTTTTCTGCATCGTCAATAGCCTCAAATAATAAGGGCAACTGGCTCTACAATTTGCATGTCCAGAAAATTTATCTAGACACTCATAGGATGCTGTGGCGGCTGTTTGCCCGGATTTGCCCGGATTTGCCCGGATTTGCCCACCAGGCGCGCGTCCGGGAGTTTTGGGGCTGTCCGGGAATTTTGGGCCCAACTAAGGGGAAGGGGCCCCTTAGTTGGCTGCCAGAGGCCCCGCCAACGGGTACAATCGCCACCTGATCTAGCAGCCCGTGCATCTCAGCACCTACTGTCCTCTCCGGCGGAGGCTCGCCCAAATGTCTCAACCCTGGCGGCTCAGCAGCTCCCTCGACCGACGTCTCCCAGCGACACGCCCAACGCTGCCGTCGCGGAAGGAACGCAGCCGGAAATAATCCCGAATGGCCCTGGTTCGACCGGGTCCACGGAAAATGCACCTGTCTCCATCATCGAAGCGGCTACAAAGATCGCTCGCGACCAAACGGCAGCCCATGATGCCAAGCTGGCAGTCTTTCGGGCCTTTAGCGAATCATTCGAACAGACAGCCAAACAATTCACGTCCGGCTCCCACAATAGCATCGCAAAGCAAGTTGCCACCAAGTTTCTGAACCTCTGGACTCAATCGCTCGCCGACCTTGAGGAACCACCGAAACCTACGTACAGCAGCGTTCTCGCATCCGGCAAAACGACACAAGGACAGCTGGCCATTACGGCCTCCGCCCCACCACAGCGAAAACAGCAAACCACCACTCGTCTCCAAGGACGACCGCCCGTGGCCCCACCCAAGGAAGACCTGCGTGTCTTTGTCCGACTTGACGCCGATGCTCCGGCCCGAAACCATGAAAGATACGCTATCCGGGCCCACATCGCCGCTAGAGTCGGCATCGACCTACGCCGCATCCCGGCAGCCTTCCCGGTAAACACGGGTTGGGCCATCCTGGCATCGGATGTGGCCACGCGCGAACTACTCGTGCAGCGACAGGCGGATTGGGCCGTAGATCTGGACGCGACGGCCGTAGAGATTAGCCAGAAATGGCATTCGTATGCCGTAGCCGATTGCCCCGTAGGCTCACGGACCTACGCGGCGTTGAGATCAACTTCGATGAGGCGGTCAAAGAAGAAATTGCCTGCCAAACCGGACTGAAGCCCATCAGCATACGGACCTCGCGACACGACTCGGGCGATATGCCTACCCAGACCCTTATTGTATCCTTCCTGGAACCCACGCAGAGACCCTGGCGACTGTTCGGCGCCAGCCGGTTCGCCCGCTATATCGACAAGCCCAGCATTCCTAGCCAATGTGACAAGTGCTGGGATTTCCACGCTCGACACAGCTGCGATCGAACGGCGCGCTGCAGGCATTGTGGCAAAACCGGCCATCGTAGCCAAGAATGCACCGCCCTTGAGCAGTGTGCAAACTGCCTTGGACCCCATTGCGCGGATGACCCCAAATGCCCTGCCCGCCCCAAGCGCGTTCACGGCATGGTCCGGCGCCTGACGAAGGAGGAGAAGAGCCTGGTACGGCAGATGGGAGTTCAGCTCTCTGCGCAGCAGAAGCGGCAGACTCCAAAGGCCAGAGTGTCCGACCAGTATGATCAGAGCCCTGGCAGGCCGCAGACACTTCCCTTGGAGTCAACGGCGCCGCGGGCAGCTGGAGGAGATGGAAGCTCCGACATGGGCGCCATTTACGAGCCAGCCGCGCCGTCAACTCCATGCATCGTTGTGGCCACAACGCCGCCGCATGTAAGGGACGGCGACCAGTTCCTCCCTGTCGTCCCATCGAAGAAACGACGCACTAGTCCTGTGACGCTACCCTAATGCCTCGCTGTTTTCCACGCAATCGAAGCGATAGGAGGATCTTGCGAATCTTCCAAGCCAACGTAGGCAAGATTCCGCCGGCACACGATTGTGCCCTTGCGTTGGCCGACTCGGAACAATACGACATTATCTTGTTGCAGGAGCCATGGACAGGACTGAAAGATGGCCGATGCCTCACTAAGACGCATCAGGCCTACGACACCTTCTCACCCGTCAACGACTGGGACGGCCGCGACACTCGCCCGAGAGTCATGACATACGTCCGGCGTTCCGCAGGTCTCGTCGCTGATCAAAAGAGACCTGTGGCGACTCGTGACATCCTTTGGCTCACCGTCAACGGCATAACAGTCGTCAACTTCTATCGGCAGCCGTACCACGACGGAGCCCTTGAAATCTTGCTTCAGTGGACCGTACCGGACAAGTGTCTTGTTGCTGGTGATTTCAATGCCAAACATCCCAGCTGGCAGGCCGGTCGACGAGAGGACCGCGGCGAAGAAATAGCGTTTTGGGCAATGGACAATCGACTCGGCTTACTGAATCCTGTCGATGTCCCGACCAACGCACACGGCAATACGGTTGATCTCGCCTTCTGCAACATACCTCTGGCCGACGCTGTTGTCGAGGATCATCTAGCAACCGGCTCCGATCATTTTACCCTTAGTATCACGCTGCCAGGACAAGTTCTGGCACCCCCAATAGGAAAGATCCATCTCAACTCCGACGAGGAATTGAAGCGATTCATTGAATTAGTGGAGGCCGGTGCCGCCTTCATCCCGATCACCACGGCATCTCCTTCCGAGCTCGACAGCTTTGCGTCGGCGCTCGTGAACCTTCTTGGTTGTGCAGCCAGAGCTGCCGGTCGACCTGCCCGTAAGACTACGCATGGTGCGCGGTGGTGGACTGAAGAATGCGCAAAGGCGGCGGCCAATTACCGCGCGTGGAGGAGAGTTCACTCTCTCGGCTTCGACCGAGAAGTACAGCTAGCCAAGAGGGAGCTCCATAGCGTGGTGCGCCGGGCCAAGCGCTTTTACTGGCGTAATTTGATTGACAGCTTCACCGATAGCGCCTCCGTCTTCAGGGCGGTCCGCTGGCTGAAGTCTCCAGGTCCGTTTCAAGCTCCTCCCCTGCAAATTGACGACCGAGTGTATGAGACGCAGCTGGAAAAGGCCACCGCCTTGCGACAAGCCACTCTGGAACGGCGCACGGCGAACGACGACATCCCAGATCCGTGGATCTCCGTGAACACAGATAGGACGATACCCTTCACCGACCGAGTCTCTCCGGAGGAGACCCGCGACGCCACGCTACGCACCGGGAATATGTCCCCTGGTCCCGACAATATTACGGTGCGGATGCTCCGCGCTGTCTGGCATGCGATCGGAAGTCTCGTCCACCAGCTATATCAAGGCTGCCTCAGGATTGGCCACCATCCGAAGCCCTTCCGAGAAGCAGAAGTGGTCATGATTGCCAAGCCGGGGCGCAGGGATCTCTCTACACCCCGCGCTTGGCGCCCCATCTCCCTTTTGTCCTGTCTCGGCAAGGGCCTCGAGCGGCTCATCGCACGGCGTCTAGCGTGGGCCTCGGTCCATTTCGGCGTACTACACCCACAACAAGCCGGCGCGCTCCCGAAGAGATCGGCCGTGGATCTCGTTGCTGCCTTGATTCATGACATCGAGGAGGCATTTGCCTGCAAGCAGGTTGCAACATTGGTGACTTTGGACATTCAGGGCGCCTTCGACACAGTCCTCCGCAACAGATTGATCCTTCGCCTACGGGAGCAAGGGTGGCCACCGAACCTCGCGCGATGGGTCGGCTCGTTTATGCAAGACAGGTCGGCACGCATCCGCTATCAAGATATCGCAACGAATTCATCGCCTCTCCAGTGCGGGCTGCCACAGGGATCGCCAGTCTCGCCGATCCTCTTCCTACTGTATACGGAACCAATCTACCGCTTGGGCAGCTCAAAAGGGCGTTTCGGCTATGCGGACGACACTGCCATCCTTTGCGTCGGCGATAGCCTGGATGAGACGTCCGCCGAAGCATCTCATCATGTGCGTGAGCTTGTATCGTGGGGCGCCGCCAACGGGATCTCCTTCGACCCTGAGAAGACAGAAGTGATGCACTTCTCTCGAACGACGCCCAAGACGGCGCCGCCAGTGCTCCATGGCGAATTTGAGAAACGGCCGGGCCGGGCGATGCGTTGGCTCGGCGTCTGGCTCGACAGCACTCTGTCTTTCAAGACTCATGTCGAGAAATGGACGGCCAAAGCGCAAGCAGTCGCCTTCCATCTCAGGAGACTGACAAACACCAGGCATGGTCCTCTACCGAGCGCTGTGCGACGAGCGGTCTGCGCTTGCGTCATTCCAGTGCTGCTCTACGCGGCGGAGGTCTGGTATCCTGGTTCTACGCGCCCGCGCTGGACCAAGCCGGGCAAGGAAGGACCGTCCAGGATCGGACACCTCGTAAAGAAGATGAGCAAGGCACTCTACACATCTCTTCGGGCTATCCTGCCAGTGTGGAGAACTACACCAACGAATGTTCTGCACCGGGAGGCAGGGATACCGCCGGTCCCTCTGCTGCTCGAGGCGCGCCGGACTGCATTTGCTGCGCGTCTCAAATCCCTGGACGAAGCTCATCCGCTCGTGAAGCGCACGTCGAGGCCAAAAGCCCCTATACTGAATGAAATGATCAAGCTGAAGTACCAAAAGCAGCCAAAACCCTTCCGGACTAGGCTGCGGCGCTCCGACGAATTGCTACCAAGCTGCCCAAGGCCTGCCTTGCTGCAGCGCGGATTTGTCGAAGAGCAGACTGCGCCTCTGCAGAGTGCATCGAAAAATGAGACGGCGAAGAAATTTCGCGATTGGCTCCAGGCACTATCGCCCCGAACTCTGGTCGTCTATTCCGACGGGTCCCGTTCTGCCGAAGGCCACGCCGGATATGGCTATGTTGTTCATCGGGACGGATCCACCGTCTTGCGCGACAAGGGCCGTCTCGGGCCCGCCGAGGTTTTCGACGCTGAGGCGAAAGGTGCGTTGGAGGGGTTGAAGGCTGCGGTGAGCCTTCCAGAAACTGACCGCATCTTTGTCTGCCTCGACAACCTCGCGACCGCAACATGCTTACGGGGCACGCCGAGCGACTCCTCGCAAGAGGTCTTCCTTGAGTTTCAATCTTTGGCGCGAAAATACGGAGCTGTGGAGGTCCATTGGATCCCCGGCCATGCTGACATCCCAGGCAACGAGGAGGCTGATGCTCTGGCAAAGGCGGAGCATCACTGCCAGAACCCGCTGATAACGTCCCGACGCTAGCGCACCTGCGAAAGATTGCCCGACAGCAGCCGGAAGAGGCTTTCAAGGCCTGGTGGGAAGCCTCTGCGCCGGAGCGATACAGAGACCTGAGGCTTAAAGCCACAACCAGCTGTCCGTCAGAATTGGCGCTCTCGGCCCCTGCTTCATAACTTGCTTGCAGCAAGAACCCACGATGGGGATTTTGCTGACTACCACGAAAGGTTTGGTCACGACAATGCGCGACTGACGTGCTCGTGCGGAAGACGAAAGAGCCAGCACACATCTTTTACTGCAGAAAGGTTGCGCCACGGCATCGTATGCGGCTTGCACCTTGGCCGGCTGCAGCCATCAACCGCGCAATCGGCAAGGACTTTGACAAATTCGTCAGGCTGGCGAAAGCGAGCTCCTTCTTCGGAGGATCTGCCCACGCCACTAGACGGTCATCATTCTCCTCTCTCCCTACCTTTCCTCTCAATCCTTTCTGTTACCTGCTCCGATCTCGGCGGCGTCAAGGTCTCGCGACCATGCGATCGCCGAGGTCATCAAGGGCTGCAAGGCCCCAGAAGCAAATTGGCTGATCTGACCACGGGACAGCTTTCTCTTCATGCCTGGACGTCCCGCTGACGGGCAACAGGTTTGTCATGAGCGCCGTTGAGCCGCTGAAATGCTGGATAGTGGGTGAAGTGTACGATATGTAGCATGTAGACACCTGCTAGCTCAGCACGTCCTGTGCTCCCCTGCGGAGACCTGAGCGACCAAAAGTTGCTGGACGGAAAATACACTAAACTAAACTAAACTAAACTATAGTAGAACGTCGGACTGCGTCGGTTCTCCTGGGTCCCGCTTATCCCTTATTGAAATTCGCTTTGGCTCACCCGCCTTTGCGCCTTTAAGTGGAGTTGGGCACGAGTAGGCCTATGGCAAGGATCTCAATACACTGACAAATACGTATTGTCTCACGCCCCTCATTACAGCAAAGGGTAACTAAGACTTGGGGCAATCCTATCATGTTGAATGACCTAACTAACCCTTTTCAAGCAAAACGTCATTGTCATCAGAAGCTCCTCAAACACGACCACCTGCTTGGCTCAAAGCCAATCTTTCCGTTGTCAGCAAAGAAACCATACATACCGTGATTTGCATCTGACATACCTTTCCCCCAAGCTGTACTTTTGGCTCAAGTTTACTGCGGCGTATGCTTCACTGCTTTCGGTCCGCAATTTGCATAATTGCATACCAGGAAAGGGGAAGCATTGCATGTTGGGCATTTGCCTTTCCAAGTATGGGACGTTTCTGTGCGGCAATGGTAACACGGTGAAATAGCCATCTTTAAGAGAGTAATAGGTCGACTTGGGCAAAGTGTTGTTCGTAAGAGCTTATGTAGATGACTTTGGCTGAAAAAACGTCGAGATCCAGCAGAGATTAAATATGTATTTGCCATTAATCCTTCGCCTTCGCCTTGTCTACACAAGGCCAGGCATTATTTTGGATATGCATCGCGAGATTACTTGCATGGTCAGCGGCACGGCACGTGTCCGGGTGAGCCAGCCGCCAGCCAATAGGAAGCTGCAACGTGACACACAACCTTGCATACACTTGATTCAGGCGGCTGCGATGTGACGGGACTGGACTGGACGGGACGGGACAAGACAGGACATGACAGGACGAGACAAGGCAAAAAAGGTGAAGCGACGTGACAGGACAAGACATGACTTGGCGTGACGCGACAAGACGTCGCGTATCTTACTCCTTATATCCAATTTTATCACTTTGACGCCTTACAGCATTACCCTACTCAAAGAGCCTACGATGCCAGGAAGAAAGCCGCAGTCTGCAAAGGACGCCAAATGGCTCATCAATCGACTTGAGAGGCATAAACAATCGTTCGATGATAACGAGCGCCCGTTGACCACGCAGCAGGAAACGTTGTTTCTTTCCCACCGCCGCCTTTTGCGGGAGAATGCTGCTTCTTTGGCGAAGAGTTCGAGGCAACGAAAAAGTGCCAGGTTACGAGTGCGGAAGATTTTGGTAGATATTTTCTCAGCCCTAGGCACCGACATCTTCGTGTTGTGTACGCTGGCCACGACAATTACAGCTCTCAGTGAAATGTCGAGAGACGGTCTCATGCCGACGCTTCGTAAGTGGTGGAGCGATGCCGAGCACCCAATGGGTCTAGCAATAACAGCACGCAAATTATGTTCGGACAATGAAATCGACAAGCTTGTTTTCACGGCCCGACAAATTGCTATCAGCGCAGTTCATGGGGTTAGTACTCGTTATTTATGCATCCCTTTCCGACTTCGACGAAAGCTAATAGCCCCAGAACGATGGGAAGACGAACCCTGAGAATCGCGAAATATCAGCATCTACCGAAGAAGACACGCTGCCTGAAGGATTAGACGCAGTTGAAGCAGCGCCGGTAACGAACCAAGAAACAAGGCCGGAAATGAATACAAGTGTGCCAGTTGCTCAAGCAGCACAAGTCACAGGTAGACAACACGGAGTCCGAGGAAGGATTGAAATAACAAGATGATAGGTTCTCTGGCTGGACGCATCTTCCAACTCACGACGACAGACGTTCAAAAAATTCTGACGACTAGTAACCTGGTGGGACGTCCATGGCTAACAGATCCATACAACTCAACTTTGCCGTTTGTCACCTTTCAGATCACCCAAGAACTAGCACGCCTCCTCGGCATGCAACTTCCTCATGAAGACTTCTGAACATCGGTCTCCGGTGCGGACTTCTGACCACCATGCTCTGAGATGTATCGCACGTTCAGAGATCCTATCGAATAATAATGCCATCCACAACTCCATGGAACGATGACAAAGACGTCAGAGTCGTCTATGTTGACGTCATGGACAAATTTGCCAGTTCCTGTTCTTTCGTATATTTTCAGTCGGCCACCTCTTCTGGATATGTCCACCACGAGGGCAATTGTATTTTTCGGGGGTGTTATCATGCTTGGTGGTTCTGTCGTCGGCGAAATAGTCGGACTTATGGAGCATTCATCGCATTGTATCTATGGACTGTCAGACTCGGTGTTGAAACAACAGGAGCAAACTTTCCTCTTCCTTGCAACGATCGAGAATTTCTTTATCTGTTGCGGACTTTGGACACTTGATCGTCATCGTATGTTGATCGGATACAGCCGGATTTTCCTCCGTTCTAGATGAGGTAGGACCCCAGACTTTCGAGAGTGCGCCACCCCTAGCCAGGCGTTTGGCCGAACAAGCGAGACGCGTGCAGTTCGACTGTTGGGCCTCGCATTCGACGTGTGACCGAGCTCTTGGCGCAAAGACAGGCCACTAGCCGGCTGACTCCAGTAAGCCGCGAGGAAGGAAGACTTTGAATAATTGAGAGATGAGATGTGGCACCAGCAGCCGGTACGCCTCCAAATCAGGAGGTGTCAAGTTTTAGCGCTGCAGAAATATAATGAATAGGGTTGCCGACGTGACTTCGGAGATGTATGTGATCCACGAAGCGGTTGTTCCAATTGTTCGAAGACTGAAGACCTTGGTGGTTAGGCATGAACACGTTAGGAGTGGGTGGGGAAAGGATGCGAGAAAAATGGAATTGCCTAACTTTTCCCACTCCGATTTGAGCTGCGGGATTCGGGAGGATTCGGTAATAATTTCCCCTCTTTACCTTCACGTCACGTGCACTCGGTGTCTTGGCAGATCGACATGAAAACGCGCCACGAAGCGGGTTCACGTCATGCCCGGGAAGGACAAGCCCAGCCGCCATAACAAATTAGTGGCCACTGATAGTAGAGCGCCTAGAGGTAAGCTTGCTGCGTTCTTGTTTTCATTCGCTGGCTCAGCGATTCCGACTTTCCCCGACCCTCTCCATGGGCTACGCCATGGCTCGTTATCGAAGGGAGGAGCTCCGCCGCAGTGACCGTCGGCTTCCATTTCGGATCTTCGACCTCGGTCGTGTAGTTCGTCACTCTCAGATTAGGGGCCGAGAGCACAGTGGAGGCATATGGGAGAGTCATGGATGAAAGTGATGATGCGTGCCCTCTATCTAGCTGTGGGATTAGTGCCGTAATTATAGGTAAAGGAACCTCGGGATACCGACACTGACGAATTATCTCACCTATCCCTTAGCCCACAGAGGTTGTCTCAAGTTTATATACATGTGGGCACCGACAACGCCCTTTGGCGCCTTCTGGTGCCCTCTATGGGCCATGGTCTTCTGCTGCGTCGCTATGAAGAAAATATCCCTGGTTGTGCCGCAAGCATAACTCAGTGCAAGCGCCCTTGGTCGCCGACTACCCCTTGCCATTCGGCCTGGCCATCCACGTAATCCCACCCGCTATCGAGATGGAGCGCTCTCACGGCCAAGCATGACCCGTCGTGAGCAGATACGGAGAGCCCGCCAACGCTGTCGCACCGACCAAACAAGGGTAAGCCGTTCTAACATGAGAAGGGTTGAAAAGCTCCCGAGTCAGAGAATCACGCTGCTAATCACCCCATGTACTTTCGTAGTGTGACGGAAAACGCCCTTGCCAGCGATGCGAGGTTAATGACGAAGAGTGTCTGGACACCCGTTGCCCCGGCGAAACGGAGGACGACTTGCGAGCCGAAATCGAGCGACTGAAGAAGCGAAAGGAAGATAAGGATAGGCTTCTAGGTTCAATCTTGCTGCTGCGGGATGCCGAAGTGATCAGATCTGTCGTTCGGAAGCTGATGGACGGCGACGAGTTTCGTTAGGCCACATGCATTGTCGAGGAGCTGGAACTGACGGAGTGATTGGGGACAGGAGTAGCGACGCACCGAGGCTCGGTGCACAACACCTTCAAATTATTCTTATCCGCTCATAGAGGCTTAGTATCTTGCAGTTCTGATTTTGTTGGCTCTTTTGTATTTCAATACGTCAGGGTGAGGTACTTCCTCGATGAAGCAGCTATTGGTTTTGCAGCCTCGCCACCTCAACTCCCTTGATTATGATGTCGCTTGAAAGTGAGGGGTCGTTCTTTCCAACGAACGCGGATAGCTCCGTGAGGAGGAGATGGAACAGACACTACATGCAACCGCTTTGACGTTCTATTACCCTGTGAAATCCGCCATCATGTCTGCTCTGTAATATTGACTTCTTCCAAGACAGGCCGAGTAGATGAGGGAAGCCTCTGGGTCTATGGGACGATCACTGGGTTCTAAACAGCGTGCCGAGAGAATGATTAGCAAAGTCCTAGAAGAACAGATCAACATTATCCTAATCAACCTGTACCAATGTCAAGTCTTAGGAAATCTCCACGAGCGGAGATATAAACGCTGTTTTGATCTCTGATTGAGATGGGCAGTGGGCCATCCAGTGACTCCGCATTGATGATCATCGTCGACTCATCGTCCTTGATCAGTTCCGCATCCTTTTGCGTAAGCCATTCTATACTGCAGTTCAGCTCCGTTTCGCCTTTCTCTTTCTTGTCATAGTTTGGGCCAATTTCGTATTCGATCTGCAGCCTGAGCGGCTGAGATTCGAAGAAAGAAGATGAATGGCCAGCCCGGACAGCGGTCGAAATAGGCTTCCCTCGCTGCAGTGTAGATACTTGTGGCTGAAGTTGTGCAGTTGTGTAAACCGTGCTTGGGATGAAACTCTTAACCAATGAAGCCTCTTCCTCTACCCCTGATGTCGAGTTGGCGTCCATATCAATCTCCAAAGTCGTCTCAAGCTCACAATTGGTATTCGGTTCCGGTTGCAGCGTGATCACCGCGGTTCCGGTACAGGTTAGTTCCGCATCACTGTCCAACAAGATCGCCCTATCCCGGTGACTTTTGTCGTCTTCGGCGGCCAAATTGATGGTAGTTTCTAAAGACTTCATTGTCCAAAGTGTGCTCTCGCTTGGTTGAGGGTAAGCTGTTCTTTTCTGTCTCGATAGTAACGTCTTGATACTCAGTTTAACTTGTGTTTCCAGCGTCTGCGTGAATCGTCGCTCCAAGTCATTTGAAAAAGGAAAAACCGGTATTTTCCAGCCTGGATATAGTCTGCCGTGACATCGTGTCGTATAAAATTTTGTCATTTGGCATATAAATGCGTTGCAAAGGAAGCAAGCCATTTTGCTCGATGCAATGACCCTCGGAAGTGGAAAGGGCTTGATTGTTTCGCAGTAGTAGACAAGTTGCACCTCAGCATGAACTTTACCTTTTATCAAGGTTTCTGTGCATTGCTTTGCGAACAAGTTCTCGGCCAGGGCTCCATTCTTGCTTAAGATGTAGGAGATGTGGTTTAAATTGTATTGCGATCCCGTCATCTCGAGTTTCGCAAAGACGGATAACAGATCTGGGGAGTATTCTCGGCTGGGCTGAAAGAATGCTGATTTGGGCAAGCTGACGAGGATGGTTGTCATTTTTCGAGCAACTATGTGCTTCTTTGCGAGCTGGCATAGAAATCTTGCGGCTTCCCGGTACCTGCCCACTCTCTTAACCATTTTAAGCAAATTTGTCCGTTCGCTGGGCCCCATACGACGATTTGGAATAGATCCCAGAAGCCGTGGCAAGTCATTGGTACAGGAAAGCTGAAGGACAGCGTCGACAACATTACACAGGCGTTGTTCGGTTTGGTGCTTTGTCCACAGATTGAGCAGTTTAATCACCGTTTGCGCACTGCGTCGAAAGTCGGGGAACTGAGCGCCAAGCAAGTTGACCGTTTCTTGGAGAAGCGCGTTAATTGTTTGTCTGGGCTGGCCCCGCTTATGCTTTACGAGACGCATTCGTGAGAGTATGCGACCTGAGCACATCGCGACAATTGCTGAGAATATTTCATCCTCTGCGTTATTGGCTGTTCAGTTCAGTTGATGTCGTTCTTTTTGAGAGAGCGGACAGAACTGACATTCTTGGACTTTCGATAGTGATTTGAATATTTTCTTAAATCCCTGCTCGATGCTCTGCAAACGTGAAGTCCCATCTCCATGATGAGCTTGATTGACAGCGATCAAGACGCTCAACGATTTCGTCGCCGAGTCTTCGTGGATACAAAGAGCCGGTATGCGATTCGGATCATCCTTAATGCTGGAAAGGAAAGCAAGAGTGCTTGCTAAAGAGCGCTCTATTTCGAATGGTAAAACATAGGCGGCTCCGCGGTCGGCATTTTGCGAGCCAGGAGGATTAGACGAAGGGTTCGCTGGGACAGGGTGTAAAAGATGAAGAAGCGAGATTGCCTCTATACAAGCAATGCCTGGAGGAATTTTCGGAGAGGTCGCCATCCACGAAGTACAGGACTCCGACACGAGATCTTAATTGAGCTTCGGAGACTCGTATGCGCCCTCGGGTAGGATAGTGGAAGATTCAACTCGGCTGGATGAAGGGTGGTGAGGGTGCGGGGTTCTATCAAGTGCGGGGTATTGATTGCTGTGTGCTACAGTGGGTCTACAAAAGTTGTCGACGGATCGTAAGTTGAGGTACGGATGTACCCGTTGGCGGGGCCTCTGGCAGCCAACTAAGGGGCCCTTCCCCTTAGTTGGCTGCAAAAACCGTGGACAGCCCCAAAAGGTGTGGACGCCCTTTTGGTGGGCAATTGCGCGCAAAGGTCTGCCACAGCATTCTATAGGCGTCCAAATTTATTTTTAAGATATGCAAATTAAAGAGCCAATTTTCTTCTTTATTTGAGGCTATTTGCGATGTGGAAAAGGCGCGTTATGCGGCGTTGCGCGGCGTTGAGGCATGCGCATTACACTGTTGATGTCGCGAAGAACGGCCCATGGTCGAGTCAACCAGGTCACCCATGGGTAGCTAGGGCAGCAAGGGAGCTGATAACCAGGTCTGAACGAGGAGGCTGGAAAGCTCCTCTTAAAAGACTGGAACATCTCCAGTCGAGAGGCTGGGGACCCCCAGGTCCCCAGCCTCCCTGAACACATTACCTTTACTACGAAAGAGGGATATAAATAGGGGCTTGGGTTTAGGGCAGAAAGGGAGGAGGACAGAGACACGGAATACAATATGTCCTTTCTGCTGACTTTCTTCGTGAGAGTTGAAGCGTGCGGGCAATTTTCGCCCAAATACAGCTATTCTCGGCCCCGACATATAGATGATTGAACCCCTGCTAATTTATATGCCGTCTTGACCCAAATTCGATGCTTGAGAAGCTCGGCCGTCTCGTATGATCTCTTGAAACCGCTTCCACGCCGGAAGAGGCGTTATTTGGGCGTTCTTGGTGGTGACGATGGTGGCGTTGTCGAGAAGAAGGTCCGAACGAAGTGAGGCCTCTAGGTCTCTCTAGGTAATACAGCTCGAAACCAGGTAAGGAGGGAGGTTTGTGGTCCACTGAGGGGTCCGGAGGATCTCCTATTCGATCGGGATCCTCCAAGGAGCCCGGTATATCTTTTACTGGCTCGGGGACCTCAAGAGATTGAACTATCGACCTAATAGCTTGGAAAGCTATTGATCGGGGAGATCGAGCTGAATGTGCTGACGTAGATGGCTTACGCGGCCTTCAGTGAGAGGCAAGAAGTGCCCTCTTCTTGATAGAATGTACATTATACCTGAACACGGGATATGAACACAGGGAAGGCACAGAGGGATATAAAAGGGGAGGGCTAGACGGATACAGGGCAACTGGACAGAGCATCAACACATGCATTTCACATACCAAGTATTATCAGGGAGTAAGTACCCTTGTGCCTTGCCAGTAGCGTGGTAGGCGTCTTCAGGGTCCTTTTCAGTGTCAAATTCTCGGCAGTACCTACACTGACTCCATAGCGGCGTAGGCGGCGGTAGCGGCAGAGATATCACGAGAAGCTGTCACACAATGCGTAGAGGAAGAGCGCCCACATGCAAAAATTTTGCGAGGTCGGTCAACCAAACGTCAGATGCCGGGTGGTGAGCGGGTTCTGCCCACACACCGAGAACAGGGAGGGGTGTCCAGGCTCATTTCACCCTTGCAGGAAGGGGGGACATGGGTCCGCGGCGCGGAGCGACTCGCCTCTGAACTCCTATGCCCCTGCCGGCTGGGAAAGCAAGAAAGCACCAGATTGGCTGTTCATTAACGAACCAAAAGTAGAGAGGACACTTCGCCGTCGGACCCCTTCGCCTTTTGTCCAGCCGTGCGCAATGGAGGAGTCTGCCACTGAGAAGTACAGCAAGCCGCAGGTCGCGCCGACAGTGCCCAAGTCTTCATCAGCTGCCTCCGCTGCCGGCGGCCACGAGCCAGCGGCCGCGACGGCGCCATCGCCAGCCGCAGGCTTTCGAGAGTCGTCCTTGGCCGCAGGGGCAGGAGCGGACGCCACCGCAGCCGCTATGGTCGGCGACGAGTCATCACGGCAGGCTGTCTCTCACTACCCCAAGCGCAAGCGCGCCTGCTTGTATAACGACCTGAGCGAGAGCAAGATGGAGATTTCTCAGCCAGCGTCCACTCAGTCCATGACCGTTCATCAAACCCGCTTTCCCACCGACCCTCTGCCTGGCACCCGCCCGACACGAATCCTTCTAGGATACTGGAAGCAATCCAGCGAGCCTGATCCAAGGGATCGACATGCCGTCTATGGAATACTTGCCCACGACAACAAGTTCCGAGTCAAGGTGGTACGAGAGACGAGAGACGGCCGCTTCGTGGATGGAAACTTCCCCTCGGGAGCTGGGGCTCTGTGGATTCCGTACGAGGAGGTAGGCTTTGAGAACCACCTCAAGGCTCTCAACAAACAGGAAGTCAAGGAGTACTGCCGCATTCGGCAGTACCAGCTGGATCACGGCGAAATCGATAGGAAGCGGATCGGAAACGAAACAAGGGCCGTGTATGAGGCCAAGACCCGAACCAGAACCCCCATTAAACAGACCAGTGTCGCTATGCCGACTTTCGGCATCACCCGTCCTGCCAACGTGGACATGGATCGGACCAGCCCAAGAACAAGCTATGGCGGCGGTGAGCCTGGCCAGTCGCGGCGAATCGATCCGCGAGCGGACAGACGGGCGCCGCGCCAATTGCTCAACGAGAACGAGCTGAGCTCGGCTCAGCTTCGTCAGAGGCTCCACGTCATAGAACGCACCAGCGCCTTAGCGCGTCGCGAGCTAGCCAGAGCTGAGGCGGCCCAGGATCGCGCCGACCGCCTTGCTCTAACCCGAGAACGTGCTTTCTTCGCCGCGGCTAACAATGCTGTTGCGATAGCGGCTCCCGCTTCAGCCATCAACGGACGGACGCTTCTTCACGAGTCAGAGGATACGCAGCACGTCAACAAGGTCTGGGCTCGCAAGGAGTCGTTTCGCATGAAAGCCTATGCCGAGGACGCCAAGATGCACGACGGCGTCAAGTATGGGCGGAAGTCGACCGGGCCATTTACGGGAAAGTTCGTGTCGGCGGGCACTATCGTTCATATTGACGGCGAGGACTATGTTGAGTATCGTGTTCTGACCAAGCCATTCTGACGGTGTGGCTAACAGACAGACCGACCGGCCGGAGCAGTCGGTCGGTTTGGGTGGTCTGAGATTATCTGACTGGACTGGTATTCCTGTGATGCCATTGGTCCGTTCCACCTTTAAGGTAGTACCTAAGTCCTGCCTACGCTGGCCCCGAAAGCTCGCTACGACTTGACCAGAGTCAAGGCAGGGTCTGCGGACCTCATGAGAGTGCCGTGCCGGCCGAGATTGACGATGAGAAACACCCCTGGCTCTTTCACATCCGGACGGCGAACCGCTTAGAACCGTCGAGCAGGAGATCACAGGCGAGGCGATTCCTGCCAAAGACCTAGCTGAGATGAGCATCCATTGGCCTAGAGCCGATGATGATGCGGAGGAGATCCCGGCAGACAAACTGTGGCGAAGGCGTGCAGTCCCTACGCGTGTCGGCGTTGTCAGAATGACCTAAATCAACAAGGGCCTCGAATACTTGTCGACGTCAGTCCGGCCACTAGCTTCGCGGAGATGGGACACTCCTCAAGAGCAATGGCAGGCAGCTATTGTAGATGAAGCTGCGGTTGCTTCGGGTGTCATTTTTGGTCGAGTTGTGGGTGTTTGAAGGAAGGAGGCAAAACGAGGCGGGACGCGTTGACGCAACGCGGTTGCGGGGTTGCCCGGAACTTTTGCCGCCCCACTGTACGCTCGAGTCTCAACCATGGCGCATAAACCAAACAAGCTCCACCCGGCAGCCAAGCGAGGAGCCCCAGTACAGCTGAGATGGTGAGACGTGGCCCTGGCCAAGACCAGGTGATGCCAGCAGTCGACATACCCGTGCCACTTCCCACTTAAAAGTTGGTTGGGCCGAGCGAGTTCCAAATTAAAGTGGCGCTTGTCCCCTGCCCCCCGTGGGCCGACAGGCTGCCGATGCATGGGTCGAAATTGCAGGTATTTAAATGCCTTCTCCTACGTCCTACGCCCTACTTCGTACCTCCTACCTGTTTATCCCCCTCTCTTGTTGCTCCGAGGTATCATGTCCGCCCCAAGTAAAGAAATCATCAAAAAGCAAAAAAAAAAGGGGCGAGGGTGAGAGGGCTCGAGCTTGCATATTCCTCGTATGTGGCAATATTCGCGCCAGCCCTGTGCACCCGTCGAGGTTCGCCTAAACCCCCGGCAGTCGTCGACCCGTCATCCAGCCATCGCCGTCTTATTACTGATGATCTCAGCACGTATTCGGGGTAGTATAATTCCCTTAGGTATGTTTTAATGGTGGAAAATGTTGCAATGTCTCGGCCATGGAACTTTGGACTCGGCCATTCTAAGCTTTGCAGCTTCAAATTGCCGTGCCATCTGTGAAGGCAATTTGACATATAAAAGCTACTTTTTTCCGTGCGCCGGCTTCCTCCCAGATTCATTGCCGCTACACTCTCAGCTACACTTCTTAATCTACCAAGCAAAATGAAATACCAACCCGTCGTTGTTTTTCTTTCGCTCTGCGCCACCACCTCGAGTGTTCCACTGGATAATTCCTATGGGCAAACAACTAAGAACCTGGAGAATTTCGTCAAGAGAACACCTGACGTGGGGTTCATCAACGCCCCTCCACCCACTGATAAAAAGCCTGACGAGAAGAAACCTGGTGCCAAACCCCCTAAGAAACCGGGGAAGAAAGGTGGCAAGGGGAAAAAAAAGGGCCTTCTCGGCTTAGGATTCCTTGGACTCTGATGAAGGGCATAGGGAACACTTAAGACGTTTCCAGTGACGGAATAGAGTTCTAAGGTCGTGAAACTTGCTGCGGAATTGGCTGGCCTAGCTCATGCGCATATTATGCTCGACGGGCCCATCAAAAACAATTAATTATCTTGAAGACTTCGACCTTTTTCTCTCTCAGGGCTACCCGACAAATGGACTTAGTGATGTTGACCAAGCAGTACGTGCCAGTTGTCGGGAAGAAAGACAGACATCAGATATGTGTCAATTGCAGCGCACCTGTTGGAGCGCGTTCCACTTTTGCCTGCGTGGCGCAATGGTCTTCGCAACACCAGTCTCCGGCTAGTACACCTTAGAAAACCTGGCGAGCCAGAACTCGTGAAAGTCATTAAGGCCGCCGCACAGCCTGAACGGCGCCCACCACAGCCTGTCGATGAATATTTGTTAGATTTTATGAAGTCAAGGATAGAAGCCTGTCTAAGTCACACACGAGCCATGGCAAAGCTCCGCATCTCGCGAAGGAGAGATCAAAAGTGGGCATAAAAGTGAATAAAGGGACTTTTCGTAGGTAGATTCCCAGATGATCTGATATAGGCTCGTTGCCTTTTGCGCCCCTGTCCAGGAGATTGCCATCTTCGCTCAGGGGCTTGAAATTCCGCACCCATCCTCCGGGAGGACGACATGAACGTTAAGAATCCTCTTGCGTGGTGGGTGGACCTGTGAGGGAACGACCACGTGACTTTCATCCTTTAAAATACTTCGTCACGCCTTGCACTTTAGAGCAGTGGTGCAAGGCGTACAATCAGCCCAAGGCTGCAAGTCTGCTGTCAACGGTAAGGCAGGCCTGAAAATTCAAGAATCTACAGTCATGCATTCATTGCGTCATCTACGTCTTGGTAGCATCAAGTGGAGTTACGTAGCCCCTAACCGTTCTTATACGGATTCTGAGTGAGAACCTGCCAACTCCTAAACCTTTGGTCCCTCATCTTCATCTTGATACCCTCCGGGGGGGATGTGTATGTCAGATGATTGCGGTCGAACGGGGCATCGAGCATCAAACCCTGTAGCGTTTTTACACGCGAGACGGCCACATAACTCAAACCTGTCTGAAAGTCACGGCAGGACAGATCTGTCACGATCCTGTCTTCGGTGATGCTCTGCGACTTATGAACCGTAATGGCGTAGCATACGACCAGGGGAAACTGCGTGCGAGTGCAGAGCGTTGCTCCAACGAGGAAATCCCTGTCTACTGTCAAAATCGGGACAATCTTCCTACCATCCGCGGTGGTCAGGAATGCCGGCAGACATCTCAGTAATCAATATATATTGATAAGTATGGGCATATTTATTGTTAAGCTTATCGATATCGATAAAAATATAGATGTCCCCTATCAATATGTATTGTTAATATGCCCCTATTATGCTTTGATTGCCTGTCTTAGGCGTACTTACTTTTTTCACGTCAGCCGTGGAGCTGTGGAAAGGGGCTCGGCATTGAAAGTATGTATCTTTCGTTGAAGATTCTCCATGCTCGCCATTTTGCTGGTTCGAGTGCACGCTCCGCTCAATGTCTCGGTTTCGACGATGGATCTTCGTGTGCCATGCGTGCCAGAGCTTGACATCACGTCAAGCTCTTCGTCAGGTTTACCCTCCGACAGTGTCTCGCAATCTGCCGGTATACCGTCAGAATCTGAGGAGCATTCCACTCCAGCAGCAGTCAAGAGGAGGAAGTTGAGAGCGACATCGACTTGGCATCACTTTCGGCAAGCTCGAGGCGATGAGCCACGTACGACAGGTGGCAATATACTCCATATTACTGCAAACGTTGTCGCAACCCATCGTGGTCAACCCACATTTCTGGTAATGCCCGCTATCATCTTGAGAAGGTCCATCACGTACAGGTTAGAGAAGATACGAGTGCCCGCTGCAAGCGTCAAATAGCCATCGAGAATGCCTTTGCGAGAACAAGCGGAAAACAGCTGAAGCTGACTCAAGAGAGCGAAACCAACATTTTGCGGAGCGTGATCAACGTCGATGCCTTCCGCGAGGCACAGATGCTACTTTCCGCGAACAGGCATCTGCCGCTGAGCTGCGCGACGTGGCCAGAGTATCAGGCACTTTTGACCGCAATCAACCCCGCGGTCGAGGAGTTCCTAGTCGATTCCGGGAACACGGTCGCTTCGAATCTAGACAGGGCCTACGATGCGCATCAGGGATCCGTGTGTCGTTGGCTAGAAGGCGCTCGGAGTCTCGTGCACATCGCGATGGATGTATGGTCCTCTCCCCAGCGCAAGGCATACATCGCTGTCCACGCGCAATGGGTCGACGAGACATACAAGCCCCGCAAGGCGTTGCTGGGGCTGCCAAACCTGCGCCGATCGCACGCGGGTGCGGCCATGACGCCGCACCTGATGAAGATCATCCGAAGATACGGCTTGGCACAAAAACTCGGCTACTTCACTGGGGACAATGATGCCAAAAACGATACTTGCCTCCGCCAGCTGTCAGTTGATTTATCGCAAGAACATGGGGTGGACTTTGATCCGATATCTTCTCGAACACGTTGCGCTGGCCATATCATCAATCTCTCCCTGCAAGCATTTCTCTTTGCGACTAGCGAGAGCGCCCTCCAAGCCGCCATTGAACAGGCAGACGATGAATCGAATCAGACAACTGTCGCGGACGCCTTGCATGATCACATTCAACAGGAATCTGTGCCAAAAAGTCACGGCAGGCGCAGGAAAAGAAATGACACTGCCGGCTGGCGGAGCATCGGTCCAATGGGAAAACTTCACAACATCGCTGTGTTCATCCGCAACTCTACGATCCACAACGATGCATGGGACGACATTGCCGGAAAAGCCCTGGGAATCGACAACATCACGCGCTGGAACTCGTGGTTCAAGCTGCTTGACGCCGCCATCAGCCAGGAAGGTCCATTGTCGGTCTTCGTCAATCAGTATCATAAAGAGCTGGAGGACGACATCTTGACTCATGATGACTGGCAAGTATTGAAGATGACACACGAGTTCTTGCAGCCCTTCCACCAGGCCACCATGGAGCAGCAAATGGCCTGGGCGTCAATAGATCAGGTGCTTGAGAACATGGACATCCTTTTTGTGCAATTCGAAGACGCAAAGGTTGGTCATCAACTAGGAAAGTATCGCCTTTGGGCTGGAGAAGTTAATCTTAGATTTGACGTAGGTCAAATACGCCGACAACGCCCACATGGTGAACTCGATTCACATGGGCTGGTGGGTTCTTTCAAAATATTACGAAGAAACCGACAAAAACCCCGTATATGCCACAGCACTTTTGCTGCATCCAGAGAAACGGCGGAGATATCTTGAACGTCATTGGGCGCCAGAGTGGCGACGGACAGCCATCGCCGCTGCACAGCGACAATGGGCGAAGTACAAGGACAGACCGATTTCGCCGGAACGAACAGTACGAGCCAGTTGTGAAACGCGAGAGGTTGCCTCTTACGAGCGCATACGGCAGTCAATGAGTGTCCTGGATGAGCCCGGCGATGAAGACGAGTTCGACAAATTCATTAACGCTCCTCCGAGACATATGATGACTGCCAGCCCGCTCGAGTGGTGGTGCCGTGAGGAGCAGAGAGCCGAGTATCCACGCCTACACCAAATGGCTATTGACATACTTAGTGTACCGGCGATGTCGGACGACCCGGAGCGGGTGTTCTCCTGCACAAGGCGCACGATCTCATGGGATAGAGCTCGACTTACCGCAGATAGGATCGAGAAGCTGCAATGCTTAAGTAATTGGGTGAGGAATGACTTGATTCGCAAGCTGTATATTGCCGTTGACGAAGAGATCATGGAAGTCAGTAGCGCCATCGGAGACGGAGTTGACCCTTCCGTCTTATATTAATAATTATTGATTAGCTTAACAATACATATCTCTCAGCAAGCTGAGAGCGCGGGCGGAAGGATAAGGGCAGGCACAATTGAGTCCAAACGATGATGCATGTTTTCTATCTATCTGTGCGACATTGAGGGGGTATTTATACGAATAGATACCAATCTGGGACCCGTGGTGGCCCTGAATCAGTGCCAATTCCCGTGTATCCCGATTAGGGCAATGTTCCCCTACTGTATCGATACCTGACTCAAGTCCTTGTGTCTGACCTGCCTCTTTCACCGGAGTTTATACGTGTGCGGATTAGACCGTCAGTCTGCTCCCTCTGACAATATCAATATAGCCACGCCACTAACAATACATAACAATATGCCAAAATTATGTATTTATTTATTATTGAGATGTCTGAATGCCGGTCCGGTATATTTGTCAAACTCCATCATGATTACACACGGTTGGTCTCGGATGGGATCAGCGCCAGGTGCCCAGCCAATGTCGTGCACTGTGCCGCGAGCGCCGTTGCAGAGGCCAACTTGTTGCCAGAGGTTGCACGTCAGCATTAAGCGGGCACCAATGCATACAGGGACCTGTTTCGCAAGGTTGCCCGCCTTGTCGTCCGGAGCAGCAGCCGCGCCGGGGCCAACATTTGTAGCGATGACCTGGATGACTGGTCGGTTGAGGCGGTCATGGTGGTAATGGTTATATTCGTTCACCCGGTCTTTCGTGGCATATACCCGTAAGGCGTTGGCGAACCTGGCGACCTCCTGATCGTCTAGCTTTGCCTGCACGCGGCCGGAGAGAAGTTTCCAGGACTCGTGGGATAGTAGGAGCAACCGCAGTTCTCCGAGAGCATTGCGAAAGGCCGCCTGATCATCGCCGCACTGCCGCTGAACAACGCTCAGGAAGACGGTCTTATCGAAGCGCATATAAGCGTTCCTTCCCTTGATCTCCACTCCCTGCACCTCTTTGTCGTAGTACAGCGGTTTCTGTAGAACAGGGGGAAGCTGGAAGAAGTCGCCCACCAAAAGGATATTGAGTCCGCCAAAGAACTCCTCGTTCCGATGCGGAAATGCCTCACGGAGACGGTCGTCGATCCAGGATAGCATACGCAGTCCCAGCATACTTTTCTCGGCAATGATTAGGTACTGAATATCCTTCAACTTCTTCTGGAGCTGGGCCTTGTCGATGGCGGAGAGCGGCCTGAAGTCCTTGTTGATCGGGAGGTGAAGCAGCGAGTGCAAAGTAGTGCCTGATATCTGGTTCCCTGCGACACCCGTCGGTGCGGCACGCCAGACAGGTGTCACTCTCCCGCGTGTGGCGGCCTGGAGGTGCGCCGAGAGCAGGTTGATGAGATATGACTTGACAACAGAGGTTGGTGGTGTGCTGTATGCGGCAAAATCTGATCCGCAAGCCTGCAGTAAGGCTCTGTCTTCTTCTCCGATTTGCTGCAATACTTGGCAGCGTACGTAATGACTGCTTGCAAGCTGGTGCATGGAGATATGTCAATGTTGGCCAACCATCCCAGAATGATGGCAGGATTGAAATGGTTCATGAGGCTGTCGTTGCGGGCCGCCTCGAAGATGTAGTACGACCTGCCTTCCTTCCTGATGACCGCGGCCAGCTCTCTCAAGGCACGGGGGAAGTCAAAACGACACTCCCTTTCCGGATTCGCCACGTTGGCCGCCTCAATGTCGGCAGCAGCTCCTTCCATGTCCCTCGCGAGGTCACCGCTTCCCTTTCTGACTCGCAAGCAGTACGTGGTATTGCATCTGTGGCGCTGGCAGTGGTTGACGATTTGCGAGAGCCGCAGGAATGTCATCTCCACGCCCAGCGGATCCACGCTCAGCGGATTGCCCTCCCCCTGAGGCACAGTCCTACGGGGCTCCGGGTTCACGGCCGTGACGTGGAAGCCCCATACGCGTGCAAACATGTCACGAGCAGCTTCGTCCTCCATGTCGGCGGCTGGGCCCTCCTGCATCCAATACAGACCGTGGTTGTGCGGACTGCCACGGCCTTGCCATTCATATCGATCCCAGTAATCCGTGACGTTGAACTTTTTCCGCAACACGATATCTCGAAAGAAGCAGTATCGGCGGTAGAAGTGGAAAGCAGCAATGTGAGGGTTCTGACGCAATAAGTACCGCGACAATGCCATCCTTTCCGGCTCGGACGCGCGCAGCCATTCTCCATATCGGGGCATGTGTTGGTAGAGGCTCCGCCAGTGCAAATCGGCCGGGCTAAATGTGATAAATGCGCCAGGACAGCCCAGGCTGTACGCATACGCCTCGAGGTCCTGCCTCTTTCTGTTCCAAAAGGGGCGCGTACCGCGAATCGACACCGCATGCCTTGTGATCGAGTTGATCAGTGCCTGCGCCTCGGGATCCTCGCTGTGTTCGAGCGCCTGAATAAGCTGCTCTCGCGTGAGCGGTTCACGGGTGCCATCATGTTGCTTCACGAAGAATTTCGACCGCGCACGTGCTTGGGACCGCATCAGGGTATTGAATGCGACAAAACGGAATGTTGGGTGCCGCGCAAAACGCCCGTCGTGCCACCGCATCGCGTGCTCGATGTAATCCTTGTAATCTATCGACCGCAAGCGAGGCTCGACAAAGTCGGCTCTCCCGTCTGGGAAGAGGCAGGGGAATGCCAAGGAGAGCAGGGCATGAGAGCGATTGAACTCATTGATCGGCGTATGCCGTATATTCGGGAGCCGCAGCTGGTGGTGCCGCGCCCGCCCTTGGGATCCTGTGGCAAGAGGAAGACTTACCTCCGGTTCTGGCTCGCCCACGAGAATAGACCGCAGAGCATCGAGCTCCGTGTCCTTGGCCAACAGGTCCGGTACCGCAGCCGCGTCCTCTAGGTCAGGCTCCGCCTCCTGATCTTCCTCCTCCGGTCCTACATCGGCAGCCTCCACCTGGCTTTGGGGAATGGCGTCCACCACGTTGCCGTCCTCGGGCAGTTGGCTCAGTCGCTCGTTGTCGATGACGATGCATCGATATCCAGGATGATGATGGCAGAGGTAGTCAAGCCATATCATAACCGCCTGGCGGCGCACACGGAACTGACGGGTAAATTGCCGGCTCAGATTGGCGTGTGATGACGTGTTGGCAGGACGCAGCAACACCGTGTTCAACTCCCGCGGCAGAAGCGGGAGCTGGTTGTACACCAAGCCAACTTCGCGAAGAAAGTGAACGACATGCCCCCGATACTTGTACTGCTGCCCTCGCACCAGCATGATGTTCACATGGACGTGGACGCGAGCGATCAATGACTCTTCTGTAGGCGTGAGCTCAGGCAATCGTGTCGGTACGGGACCAAAGTCAAGTTGATTTTCGGCAGAGAAGAAATAAGGCTCGTCAGAGCCGCGCTTCTCATCCTTTCGATAGCAACGCGAGCAAATGCCGTCATAATCAATTTCCATCTGAAATCAACACTCGCGACATCGGCTGCAGTATTCCATCTGATCATTGTCAAGTTTGGTCCAAAACTCGCGCAGGGTGGCCCTATCGCGGTCGGTCAAGGCGCAAGCGTCGAGGTCGCCATTCCACACCGGATCTTGCGCATGGAAGACTGCCAATTCTTCCGGTGGAATTATCACTGGACTCCGAAGACGTCGTTGCGGTCTCGACGATCGTGTTTCTCTGCGAGATTTTCTTGGCCGCCCTCCTGTACCCGGGGCGGGACCGCGGCGACCGCATCGTGGCTGTGCGGACGGCTCCAACGGCCGGCGGCGAAGAGGGCTTCTATCCGCAGAATCATCATCTCTCTCACCGTTCTCGGCTTCCTCCCCTGGTTCAGAGTCCGGCTCGACCCCTAATTGCTCGAGGTACCTGCGTGGTCGAGCGGGCGAAAGCAGTACGTTGACGTAGTCCTCAGCATCGATGTCGGACTCCGAGAACTGGCCTCTGTCGTCTCCTTGCCTCGATAACATACCTCCGATTTGAATGCCACCTGTCCGCAGTTGATCTTGACTCTGACTCGCATCTGCGTTCCCTCTTTAGCCTGAGACCCTACTGCAAATCTCAGCACAAGCATAAATACCTTCTCCAGCAGTCTCCGATTGACAGACACCCAGTTGAGATATTGTGGGCGTCAATGAGACGGTTTCCCCAGCACGGCGTCGTGAACGATGGTCACGCTTGATAGCAGCCAGCTTGACCCTCACCCCAGCAGTGGAAGGGTTATCTTGCGAATCCTTCCCCCCTTTGCGGTATCTAGTTGCCAAGTAAGCGTGATCCACACTGATTGTACTGCTTCGGATAGTAGCGGGATCAGAGAGTGAGACGATCGGATGGATCGTTCGCTGAACGGGAGGTGAGGGAGCCAGTGCCCGGAAGAGCCCTGAACTTTGTTGGGTCGGCGGCAGTGGTGTCCCCAGCACTACACGCGGTTGGCTCATCGAGTCCTCGGAAGAAAACCTCACCGTATGACGTTCCTGGAAACTTTCAGATGATGTAGGCTGGGCTTCAGGTATCTTTTGCTCGGGTTGTAAGCGAGCATCTCGGTCTGTTCTTTTCGCAGCAGGCCCGTCAGCGGAGGAAGGACGGACCGCGACCTCCCCTCAAAGTCTGGGTTATGCGTCTGGACCTGGAGTACTTCAATTGATCAGCATTGAACATCTTGTGGAGCGCGAGATAAAGCCAACATGATAGGCGCGCTTATTGCGGCAGCCCAGGCAGCTCTTGGTGTGCCCAGCCGATTTTCTTCTGCCGAGGAAGTCTTGCGCTGGTTTCTCCTCGCCACAGCGAATGCATACGATGGAAACCACGCCACCTTGAGACCCTCGATGAGGCATAGGGTTCACTGCAGTTGAAAGCAGCTGCGTACGATGGGTTTGTTGGCGACCCGCGATGCTCAGAGTATGTATGTATGTATGTGTATTTCACCCGGAGGATTTCTCCTATAGGGCCTAGACGTAAAAGCTACTGACATTTCAATACATTAATGCGTACCACCTTAAGCCCCACGGGTCAGCATACGCTACACCAACCTCGCCGCTACTCGCTCCGTGACAGGCCTGCTTAAAGGCCAATTTCTCCAAGTGTTCAGAGTCCTACCTTCAGCAGCTGAAGCGCGGTCTGTCGAAATCCGAAGTCGAATACCTGTGTGTTAGTATTGTTGAAGGTTAGTGCCATAATCGACCCTAAGTGGATTCTCACTTCCGCTGCTTAGCCCGAAGGGCCAGACGCTGCCTGCGTCTCATCCCCAGGGTTCCGCGCCCGACAGTTCCGGCTGTACGATTCGTGTGGTCCACCGCAGGGCACGCACTTTGGCACTGTCTCCTTGCATTCTCTGTGGTGATGTTCTGCTTTCGCGCATCTGCCACATCTTTGCGGCTTCTTGCATGAAAACGCCTTGTGTCCCATCTCTTGACAGTTGAAGCACTGAATCGGTCCTACGCGGCGTTCAAAAACATTGGTGCAGGCGGACTCTCCCGCAACATCGAACCACACGCCGTCCAGAAGTCTTTGCGCGTCACTCTCTTTAGTGACATAGATCACCATTGACCCGTACGCTTTGGCTTTCTCTGTTGCTAAGCCAGGTGATCTTGGCAATCGTGACGTAATTCTCGGCTCCGAGCGCCTCAGCTGCGCCCGGCAGAACGTTGCCTTCGGCGTCCAGCACTGCGGTACGCTTGGTGTTGTCGACTTTGACAGGATAAAGCTGATCTCTCAGTACCCTGGCTCCCGAAGTTACCGTCTTCTGCGCTGCTTCCTTGACCTGCTTCAACTCGGTTTGGTCTCTGCAAAATTTTGATCCGGTCGGGGTTTCGAGCGTCTGTCACGACCGCTGCGCATTTCCAAGTCTCCTGCCTCTGACTCTTTCTCATGTCGCTCTCTATGGCCTTTCGGATGTTGCCGATCTGCGTCTGGCACCTGTTCGCTTCTTCGACTCGTGATGTGTCCACCGTACAGTAGAGACTATCGCTGACGGCTGTTCGTGCCGATTTAGCTGCTGGTACGGTGCCCCGGTTCATTGTCTGGATCGTCGGCGATGACCCTGCAGCGCTCGCATACGACATCTGCGGACTGCTCTGCAGAGAAGATGCGGGCGTAGCCAGGGCCTCTAACTGCGCTCGGATGTGACGAAGCTCATCTCTCATCTTTCCCTTGTTGATCCATTTCCTGGATCATCTGCTGTTGCTTGATATGATCTCGTTTTGCGCATCTATCGCTCGACTGAGCTTTTGCGTTTCTTGACGTGACTCGCTCAAGAGTTCGAGAACTTTCTGGAGCATGGCTCGGCCTTCGTTCGCGCCACTGCTGCTGCTGGCAACTTTGCGCCGCTCAGTCGCGTCACTGATGGCGACATCGTCCGAGGCAATGCGCGTTGCAAGCCTAGTTGCGCGTGTTGTCTTCTCCGCCAGATCGTCGGGCTGTCGCGCGGCTTCTCGAATTTTGGTGCTTGGCCTCACGACGCGTGTCGATCTTTTCGCGGGTGTCGACGCAGGCGACGCGCTTCGCCCCACCATGATCACGGCCTCAGCCGGCGTCTCCATGATGAGGCCCCTCAATGCCTAGCTGGCGTTCGCTTCAGGCTTCTTGTCGAGTTCGTCGGATCCCCCGTCTCAGCCTCTCCCGTCTGTCGACTTGTCTGTCGACCAGTCAGTCTGTCCATGCTCAGAGTAGCTCTGTGACATTCAGGGGCAAGTGCAAAATTGGACCCACTTTTAGAAGGCCATCATCCAGTTGAGTTACGTTTTAGAAACCATACAACCAATCAGATGTCAGAAAACTTAACTGATCCCTGCTGCACCAAACCCTCATACGAGAGGAAGGCTCGCCAGCCGCGGCTCGCGCAAAGAAGCCTTTCGGAACGAAATTTGGCGACAAGAGAACCGGAGAAGAGTTGGCTACAGAGAGAGAGAGAGTTGGCGACAGTAGATAGGAGACAGGAAGAAGAGTGAGGTCGAGATACGAGACACGGCGAGAGACGTAGAGCATTATCGTGAGTGAAACCGAGACAGAGCGTCGGGAAGGCAGGCTAGGCCGCTGGAGGAAAATTTGGTTTAAAAAGGCGCAAACTCAAAGGGCGTGGAGAGACGGCAGGGTTGAAGAGAGATGTGAGTGGGTAATGCATGTCTGGGCGAGTGGAAGGCTCGGAAAATTTACATGTGCTACCGGTATAAGTCGTAGGTATAAACAGAATAAGGAGTATATTGGGAAGTTTTGACTTGATCGTCTTCATGAAAAGGAGAACAAGAAGAGAAGAGAATGTGCTATTCGAGCCTTTGGCAGTTGATTTTGAGGATGATGAGACATGTTGTCATGTTGTATTGTTTCGTTTGATGCTTTAAAGTTCAGAGAATATTCTTGGGCGGACGTCGGGCGCGCAGTGGTCGGGAAGATATCGACGCGGGAGGTCTGATAGAGCCAGAGGCGGATGTGTCTTGGTGATTGACCTGTTCGGTGTCCGTCTCTGACTCTGCGGGGTCTTCCGGGGACAGAAAGGAGGAGGTATCGGATTTGGGGGAGTCTTGACCGTCACAGTCGGTGATTATGGTGGAAGTTTCGGGAGAAAGTCGCGGTCTCTTGGTTGGGGTTTGGTAGGGATCGGGCAATGACCGACTTGATGCCAGCATAAGGGGATCGACTGGGCCAGAAGCATGCGGCGTGGGGGAGGCGGGGCTTTGGGCGGCCTTGGGTTTCTTCGTAGAGGTAAACCTGGCCAACGCAACGCTATAGTCCGAGGGATTGCCGACCGCGCTCTTGGGTGTCGTCGGCAGTAGTTGTGTTGCAGAAGCCTGGCCGGACATGGCCTTGTCGTGGAAAGTCCACGTGTCGGGGACGACGATGAAGATATAGTCTTGGTCGAAAGCCGGGGCATGTTTCATGATCTGGTGATCCAGTAAGCCGGCGATTTTGCCCGTACAGGTGAAGAGAGCGTTCGACTGGAACTGGCTGTCGCGCCTCTCGGTCATATTCTTGCATAGGAGGTCCAAGGATTAGCGTGAATGGGGAAGATGACGAAAACTTGAAGGGTGAAAGCCCTTGAAGGGGTTTGCCGGGAATCCCAGGACAAATAAAGGTGGAGAGCTGGACAAAGCCGCAGCAGCTCAGCTGGGTGTCGTCAAGGGCCGCAGCCGAGTTTCCATGCAGGAGGTCGCGGCCGGAGCCGATGACAGGTCCCGTGAAGGAGACAATGGGTTGTATCGTTGGGAAAGTATCCACCGAGCTGAGGGTGCGAGTGACAATTCTATGGATATCGTCAGGGAGGGCAGTGGCGACAGAGAGATTTGGAGCATAGACTCACGGTTGGTAGCTGTGATCGCGGACTATAAGCGCGGGGACGGTGTATTCTGTGATGTTATCATCGTCCGACTCCAAGCCATCACGTCGCTCGATTTCCCACGTCAGGGCAAAGGGATGAACACGGCCGACCATGAAGAACCATTGCTCGGTCCATTCCGAGGAGATTATCTGTTGGTTGTATATGGAAATATTAAGGCTGAAGAAGATGCAGGTCGATGGATTGCCAGTATCTGACCGGATTGCTGCATACCCGGAGTCGACAGCCATGAGGGCGTGGGAAGGAAGACCTCGCTAGGGTTTCTGCGTTGAGCCCTTTGACACGATGCTCATTCTGGTAGGCGAACCTAGCCGGGCAGCCGGGCTGGACAAAGGCCATCATGGACATGTCGGCGCCAGCATTTTTCTGGCTGTCAAGAGGTTGCCGCGGGGAGGACGAGGTATCGACGTTGAGCTGGGAGGCCGACATCGTGAGAACATGGCAGATGTAGTCACCGTGGAAGTGTAAATGAGGGGTTACGCAGAGTGGAGGTGGGCATCCTATAAAGCAGGTTTTCTTGCTGCTCGAAAGAGGGCTCGCGGCTAGGGTCGGGGAGACTTAAGAGTCAGAGAATGCTACCTAGGTGATAGATCAGAAGCGGGGGTATGCGGGAATGAGCTGGCGAGGTTCTTGAACAGTCTCGACCATCTGGTTCTATGGTCGTGAGTGAAGTAGGGAGCCGGGGGTTGGAAGTTGAGTAGGGGTGATGGCTATGTCGCGAGAAGTTGGAGGTCGGCGAACAGTAAGGTTAGTGTGGGTAAGTCTGCGGAGAAAGAAAGTCCAGCAGTACCCTTCGGTGTCATCGTTGCATGGAGTAGATAGCAAAGGCGACAATAACGAATGAGAGTGAAGGAAAGAAAGAGGTTATGGTAGTATTGCAGGGTCCCTTTTGACGGTCGTCGGTAGTTGGATGGGCATTGCGTGCGGCTGAGCGAGGCGGGTGCCGACCGTGTCGAGTCCACTATTGGGACACGGTGAAGTCGGATATAGGGGACGACCTGAGGAGGAGGATGCGAGTTGGTCACGAGAACTCTCAAGAGGGTCTGCAAGTCGAGACTCCGGTGGCTAGCGACTACAAGAGGACAGGCAGGGGATCCTGGCTGTCGCTTTAGCATGAAGGCCGTTGATGCGACGTTGGTGGTGGCGAGGAGCAAACCTAGCCGGGTAGTCCGGTTGCACGAGGACACCGTGGACATGTTATCGCCGGCAGCCTTTTGGCTGTTGCTCGACGAGGTGGAGTGGCAGATATTGATGGAGCAACTGATGCGCAAGGTGGGTGGGACGGCGTTGGAAGGGCCGGAGAGTATGGTTGGAAGTGTGCGGCGGGCGGTTGGCGCGGCCACCCCATGTGCCGGAGGTCGGCAGTAGCCAGGGATTCGCTGGAGTGCGCAAAGAGAGCACGGCGATGGAAGGGCCGCCTTTGGCAAAGCTGGGGTAGCAGGTCGCACGTGGAGACCAGCCGAGGGCCGGGACGGTGGACGCACATAGGGAGGGTAAATGGGGATTACAAAGGGTAGTAGTATTGCATCGCTTCGGTACCATAGGCAAGCATTATAAGGAAGAAACGCCACGGCCATGAGAGTAGTGATCGTTAGGAAGCTTCCCACTCGGAAAGAAATAGTGTACGCCAAGAAGCGAGATTATCCAAGTGGAAGTGCTCCGGAGCCAAAACTTTCTAGCCTGTTGCCAATCCACGCTAGTCGACGTCGAGGAGGCAGTAGCATGGCGGACAGTCCTGGGGGAAGCTAGGCGAGGCGGCCGCTCACCGTGGAGCCTGTTCGTTGTCAGTCGAGGATGGAGAAGAGGGTAGGAACGGGGAGTGCCTGTTTCGGGGTGCGGAGATGATACAGGGCAACTCCGAGAAGGGCACAGAGCACGGGAGACAAGGTTGGGGCGGTTCGGGAGATACAGATCAGTGGCGAATGAAGCATTAACGTTCCGGCTGATTCAGCCTAAGCAGTCTGCGGTCGAAGAAACCGCATGGAGAAAGCATGCAGAGGCGATCGCAAAGTCACTGCCGAGAAGACCGCCGCGAGGCGGTTTGCGGTCAAGCAGAGCACGGAAGTCCCGTAATTTGGTCAGCAGCGGAAATTCCGCGCAACGTCAGTCACCGAGTCCGCTTCCGAGGTTCGTGTTGCCTACAGAACGTGGAGACCAGGGGCAGTGGGCTCTAACAGTCCGCCCTTCATCGGCCGTTTTTGCCCCAGGAGAGGGGTCCTGAAGGTGACGGGCAGGGAGATAAGGTGGCGACCGGCGGTGTCCCGGGTGTTCGTTCGAAAGGGACCGACGCTCCGACCTATCCAGCCCAAGGATACGACTTTCCAAGACCTAAGACGAACGGCGCAATTTGCAGCATCGATTGCATGGGGTTTGCCCAAGCTCCGTCGGGGACCGGTTCGGCGGCCAAGGGCACAGGTGGGTGTGGACGATGGCGCAGCAGAGGCAGCGGACGGCTCGCTGCGCGGACAGAGGCAGTCCCGGAGGCGGGAGAAGAGAGCCCGTCTTCCTAGCCGGGATGGGCGCCCGATAAAACAGGTCCGAAGTGGAATCGGAAGGCATAGGAGACGGGAGCTGCAGGCCGAAGACCTGGCGAGTGTGCTGCGCTTTTTGGAGGAAGACTTTGCCTTGAAGGAGAGATTGTCTAACGATCAGACGTGGTGCACGCCAATACCGCTCGAGAGGAAGGTGTCGACGGTGCGAGACTTCTATCAGGCGTTCCACGATGCGAGCACGTTGCCGATACGGACCTGCATGGTGTGCTACCGCAAGTGTACGAGAGGAGAGTTGAGGGAGATTACATGGGATCATTGGCTGTCAAGTTGCGTACCAAAGGGCGGCCGCTCACCATTTTCATGCCGGAGTTGCTTTCCTGAGGGCGAGTCCGTGTCGGTGTGCGCCGAGTGTGGCCGATGCCTGGCGCGCAGGAGCCTGTCGCCGGCGATCCACCTTCACAGTCGCCTTGGCTGCGAGCACATGTTCCCCGATGAGCTCAAGGGACTGACGCCGGTCGAAGAGAAGCTCATCTCGCTGAACTCATGTTACGGGTTTGTCACGAGATATAGCATTCCGGGCGGGCAGAGGCAGAGCGTGAAGTATCCGAGGCATGTCAGGGCCACATCACGGTGTTTCCGAACAATGTGCAGGAGCTGGCCACCAAAGCTGCACCCCTTTGCAAGCACTGGACGAGATCCACATCTCGTGGCAGGGCGCGGAGAATCCGGCACCGAGCGACCTGTCGAGTCTCTTGTCGGTGAGGCGGCGGGTGGTCGAAAGGGCCCTTGTCTGGCTGAAGCGGAACAACCCCACTACGCCGAGATCGAGATCGACGCGGCGGAGATGGAGAGCTGGGAGACTCGATACACGGGTACCGTCGTCGGTGTGCGATCGTATGGAGCGGAACGAGCCGTCTGGGTGGGAGAAAGCGCGGACGGCGCACGTTGTGCCGCCCACGGAACGCGCCATGGACGAGGGGCCGGTGGAGATCGAGGAGCTCTTCGCCCTGCTCAACCAAGGACAAGAAGCCGGCGGCCAGGGTGAAGGTCACGGGCCCAACGGAGAAGGCGCGGTTCGCGATGGAAGTGACGCCTGCCCCGACCAGAACGTTCCAGCGATCAACGAGGTGACGTCTTCTGGCATGTTCGCGCTCGACGGACCGCCAGACGTCGCGGACGTGGAGAAGCTGCAGTTTGCCTGTGACGCTGTTGGTGAAGGTGCCGACGACGGCCGTGCGGGCCCGAGAGCGTGGGTCGGGTCCCTAGCCGGGGGGGTTCGGGGGCGTGGCGACGGTGGTTGTGAGCCATACATCCGGGTTTCGCGGGGGGGTGAGTTTACCGATTCCTTTGAGGCGTCCTTCTTTGCCAGGACGTTCCCGACCCTGTTCCCATTTGGCGTTGGGGGACCAAGGCTGGTTGAAGAGACCATGGTCGACGCGGGGAAGGTCACGGCCAACTTGCGAGGCAGGGCTGTCGAGGCAGAGGCGGCCGCGGAGACCCGTATCGTCTCGAAGCTTGAACCTTCAGGCGTGGGCCGAGATCGTGCTCCGGCGCCATGGTGGTCGATTTGCACTGCACCACATCTTCGCATTTCTCGTCTTCAACATGGGGTGCGATCGAGGAACCGCCGGGTCAGCATGTTGAGTGTGGGAGGAAGAACTTCCGCAAGGTAGAGCGCATCGTGCGTTCGATGACCACAGAAAGGCTAGCGGCGGCGAGGGTCGAGTTGGAGAGCTCGGGTAAGACGACCGATGGTGACGTGAAGGAGCTTCTCAGGAGCCTCTCGCTTTACGGCCACCGGCAGCCCATGTCGAGAGGTCCGTCTCAATATGCGGCGGAAAATCCAGTCGCTCATCGTCGGATATGGCGTGCCGGCCATCTGGTTCACCATCAACCCGAACGACATTACGAACCCGGTGAAGCTGCGACTGGCGGCATACCGCACACGCGATCCCGACGCGGCCGAGGAGTTCTTAGAAGGCCTTGGGGATGCGTATAAGCGGGCACGGCTGGCGATATCGGATCCCATGAGCTCGGCCGTGTTCTTCCACCGCGAGATGAAGCTGTTCTTCGATCATTACGTGAAGGTCGGTGAAGAGTCGGTATTCGGGCGCATCGGCAAGTACTATGGCGCCGTGGAGACGAACACGCGCATCTCAGCTCGATGCTTGCCGACATCCACGGGGAGGATCAGGCGGCGTATCGCGAGCGAATCGTCCGATACATCGATAGCGTCTTCTCAGAGGTAAGAATGCCTACCTAAGATATGCCACCGGGAGCCTGAAGTACTCTTCTGATGGCCAAGTGGGGCCGGGTTGACGTGCAAGGCAGGATCTGGACCAGGAAAGTTTTTGCGCCGTGCAAGCGGAGCGATCTGTGACGGGCGGTATTGGTTCCCTGCTGGACAACGCCGCGCAGTTCTCGGCCGCGTTTATCGAGGAGGCCAACTTCTGTGCCGGCGCGACGCAGGTGCACACGCATAGCCCGACCTGTGTGAAGTATTCCTTGGGCAAAGGAGGGCGGAAGGGGACCTCTGCCGGTTCAAGGCGCCATGGAGGTTAGTCGACAAGACCGCCCTCACGGCAGACGGGGTGCTGCAGATCCGGAGGACACACAGCATGGTCAATCGATGAAACGAGGCTATTGCTGTCGGGCCCGGCACAACCATGATATTTCCTTCATTGCGACGCAGCGCAAGACAATGGCCCTCATCTATTATGTCACGAACTACGCGACCAAGGTGGAGGACCCGGTGTGGAAGCGTGTGGCGGCCGCGGCCGAGCTCCTGGCCGCCTCAACAGGTGATGGCACGGCCAACGGAGGGCGGGACGGTGGCGGAGACGCTGCCACCGATGACCCTGTCAAGGGAACAGGACGCGACAGTTCCTGATGAGAGTGGCGAACCGCGTGTTCACGGAGCGTCCGCTATCACAGGTCGAGGTCGTCGCTCACCTTCTCGGATATCCGGCCGAGTTCACCGACAGCAGCGCGTGGGCGTACCTGAACTGTTCTCTGCTGTACTGGGAAGTCTTTCGGCGATGGCGGCATCTCCGAGAAGCCAGTGGCGCTGCGGCTATGGATGACACCTTGGATGAGTCGGTCGTCGTCGAAGAAGAAGGCCTGAGAATCTCCCACGTCGAGGCGTACCAGCACCGGGAGAGCTGCTGAAAGGCCTATGCCTGTATGACTACATATCGATCGTCAGACTGAAACGCATCGGCAACGACGAGAGCTGGGCGGCGGGGAGATGTCTTTCGAGGATGGATGGGCGCCGGGACGACGCTGGGTTCAGGTGCTCAGGCGGCCGGGCAAGCACGCTACCGTCTGCCTCGACGGCTACCTGAGCAAGGACTTCACCTACGATGACGAGTCGTGCTACCGGAGGTGTGTATGGCAACTGCTCTGTCAGCGGGCATTATCGGAGAGGCTAACCCACCCCCTGAAGGGCAGCCGTGCAGCATCTTGCGCTGTTCGTGCCGTGGGAGTCCTTCCTGGGCGAAGGAACAGGTGAGATCAACAGCATCTGGGCGCGGGCTCGAGACGCTATGGCCCCGAGAATATCATGTCTCGTCGACAACGTGCAGCTGCTTCGACGATCCGCCGAAGACGCAAAACGCGACGCCAAGCAATGGGCAGCCTCGTCCGGCGATGGCGACCCGACGGTCGCACACGTCGAGGAGGGTGGAGCAGGCGAGGCGGGCGCGGAGTCTGCAGCGACATATCAGCCCAACAGCATCGGAGACGCAACGCGGCTCATCGACGTCGTCCGAGGTGCAGTGGGAGCGAATCAGGTGACGGCCAAGTCGCCGGAGCTCATGGCAATGATACAGCAGCTCTGTCGGTTTCAGCAATCGGCGCTGCGCTCGACGGCCGAGCTCGAGGCCACGGCGCTGATCGAACGAGGGAGGGGCGGTTAAGCATGCCAGGGCGGGTATTTTCCGGGGCCGCACTACCGCCGCAGGATCAGGTCAAGGCTATCAAGTCGCAGCAGGTAAGTGCCTCGAAGGAGAGAGAGGATGATCCAAGGGATACAAAGCACGCCCGCCGCCTGGGAAAGCGATCGCCGCGCAGCGTTGCGAAGGGTGATGACCGGTTTCGGGAGGACGAGGTCGAAATGACGATGGCCGACTCCGACGAGACCGCTATCGACGCAGGGGCGGGAATGGACGTTCAGTTTGGCCCATCAACCTCCTTCCTCGCGGCGGGCAAGGTGTTGGCAACACGGCTGACGCTGAACAAGAGGCAGTCCATCGCTTTTCTGATAATATGCCGCCAGCTCGATTTGATGCAGCAGAACGACGGGGCGATGCCTGCCAGCTGCGCCAGTTCGTCGGTGGCGAGGGCGGTACCGGCAAGTCGCGAATCATCGAGGCACTCGTCGAGCTGTTCAGTAAAAGAGCCTTTCGAATCGTCTGCTGATCACGGCGACGTCGGGGACTGCGGCGGCGCGGATCAACGGCATCACGATCCACTCCGCCTGCGGGTTCACTAAAGACCAAGGGGCGGGGGGCGCGAACATGGTCAAAGACCTTGACGGGGTGCGGCTGCCGAAACAGGCGGAGCGGTTCATCCACGGCCAGTCTCGAATGGATTGGCAGGAGAAGGATGTGCTCGTCATCGACGAGGTGAGCATGCTCGGGGCGCGGACGCTGCACGCCGTGAACGAGCGGCTTCGCCGGCTTCGCGGATCGCGGCAAGATTTCGGGGGGATCCCCATCGTCCTCTTCTGCGGAGATTTTCAGCAGTTCCGGCCGGTCCAAGAGAGGTCGATCGTCCTGCCTAGCGCGGCCATCTCGTGGGACGTAGACAACTCGTTCAAGGCCGAGCAGCGTCACCAGCACGACAAAGCGCACGCACTGTGGAAGAGGTTCACGACGGTCGTCATGCTGGACGAGCAGATGCGCGCCGCCGGCGACCCGGAGCTGCAGAGGCTGCTGAAGCGGATCCGTCTAGGCGTGCAGGATCGGACGGATCTAAACCTCCTCAACTCAAGGTGCTACCGGGAGGAAGGCGGATCCCTTGGGAGACGGGCATCACCGTGGTGACGCCGCTCAATAGGAATCGGTGGAACCTGAACATGGAGGCGAGCCTGGCGTTCCGGGTCCAGCAGCGGTCGACGATGCGCATTTTCATCTCCGAGCACAAGTGGAAGGAGGAGCTGCCGACGGAGGAAGAGGCGATCATGATACTCAACCAGGGCGACGATAGCGCGATCCCGGTGCCGGCCGTCTTCATGTTCGTGGCCGGGATGCCCATCGTCGTGAACCACAACACCCACCAGGGGCTGAAGCTAGTGAACGGCGCGAGCTACTCGGCGGTGGAGGTCATTGTCGACAAGGCGTACCCGGGGCATCGGATCTCGGCCGATATGACGATCCACTTCGGGCCGCCGGCGGGGATCATTCTCGAATCGGAGACGACGAGATATCTCCACTTCGTCGGGATGCCGCCGGGCACGATCTTGTTGACACCATGACCGTTAAGATACAGTGCCAGCGAAAAGGCCGTGGCAACGCAACGACGTCAGCCGAAAGGGTTTGCCGTGCGCAGCAGCGTTCGCGTGCACGGACTACAAGGTGCAGGGCAAAACGCTGGAGCGCGTGGCCCTCGAGCTGCGAGGACACGGACGACGAAGATGGATGGAACGGTGGTGCCCTCGCAGTGCGACCCGTACGGCCTGTACGTGCAGCTATCGCGCTGCCGAACTCTAGACGGCATCATGCTCGTGTCCAAGGTGCGGGACAGAGACTTGGTGGGCAACCGGGTCCCCGAGGAGATGACTGCCGCACAGGCCAGGCTCGAGGTACTGAGCGAGAGGACCGTTGAGGAGGCGTTGCGCTGGCTGGACGGTGATGCTGAAGAGTCAAGGCGGCCGCGCTAGGTGACGCGATGAAGAGTTCGGCAGGCGGGAAGAGTCGGCAGTGGTGGGATAAGGCACGCGAAAAGGCAACAGAAGCCGGGGGAAGGGCAGCGACCAACAAGGAGGAGGCAAGGAGGACCAATCACAAGGGACCAATCAAGGGGCGGAGAACTTTTGGGGAGAGGGCGGGGTCTGCGGGGCACGTTAGACGAGGGGAAGGCTCGCCAGCCGCGGCTCGCGCAAAGAGGCCTTTCGGAACGAAAGTTGGCGATGGCGACAGGAGAAAGTCGGGGAGAGGAGAGAGTTGGCGACAGGAGATAGGAGACAGGGGAAGTGAGAGGAAGACAGGAAGAAGAGTGAGATAAGAGATATGAGATGGAGATCCGGCGAGAGACGTAGAGCATTATCGTGAGTGAAATCGAGACAGAGCGTCAGAGAGGCAGCCTAGGCCGCTGCAGGGAGATTTTGCTTTGCAAAGGCGCAAAGGGCGTGGAGAGGCGGCAGGGGTGAAGAGAGTTGTGGGTGGGTAATGCATGTGTGGGCGAGTGGAAGGCTCTGAGGATTTACAGGTGCTATAAGTGGTGGATATAAACAGAATAAGGAGTATATTGGAGAAGTTTTGACTGGATTGTCTTTGTGAAAAGGAGAGCAAGAGGAGAAGGAAATATCCCATTAGGGCCTTTCGCACTTGAGTTTGAGGATGATGAAACATGTTCCTTGTCATGTTGTGTTGTTTCGTTCGTTGCTTTACAGAATATTCTTGGGCGGATGTCGGGCGCGGTGCGGTCGGGAAGAGATTGACGCCGGAGGTCTGATAGGGCCAGAGGCGGATGTGGCTGGGTGATTGACTGGCTCGGTGTCCGTCTCTGAGTCTCCGGTCTTCGTGGGACAGAAGGGAGGAAGTGTCGGATTTGGCGGGGCCTCGACTATCACAGGCGGCGACTATGGTGGAAATTTCTGGAGAAAGTCGCGGTCTCTTGGTTGGGGTTTGGTCGGGATCGGGCAATGACCGCTTTGATGTCATCATAAGGGGATCGACTGACCTAGATGCAGGCGGCGTGGGAGGCGCCGCTTGGGGCGGCATTGCGTTTTTGGTAGAGGTAAACCTGGCCAACGCATCGCTATAGTCCGAGGGTTGCCGACTGAGCCCTTGGGTGTCGTCGGCAGTAGCTGTGTCGCAGAAGCCTGGTTGGACATGGCCCTGTCAAGGAAAGTCCATGTATCGGGGACGACGATGAAGATATAGTCTTGCTCGAAGGCCGGGGCATGTGTCATGATCTGGTGATCGAGTAAGCCGGCGATTTTGCCCGTGCAGGTGAGGAGAGCGTTCGGCTGGAACTGGCTATCGCGCCTCTCGGTCATCTTCTTGCATAGGAGGTCCAAGGATTGGCGTGAATGGGGAAGATGACGAAAAGTTGAAAGGGATGAAAGCCCTTGAAGGGTGTTTTGCCCGGAATCCCAGGACAGATAAAGGTCGAGAGCTGGACAAAGCCGCAACAGCTCAGCTGGGTGTCGTCAAGGGCCGCAGCCGAGTTTCCATGCAGAAGGTCGCGGCCGGAACCGATGACAGGTCCCGTGAAGGAGACAATGGGTTGTATCGCTGGGAAGGCATCCGCCGAGCCGAGGGTGCGAGGGATGACTCTGTGGCCATCGTCAGAGATGGTAGTGGTGACGGAGGTCTGGAGCATACACCTACGGCTGGTAGCTGTGGTCGCGGACGATGAGAGCCGGGATGGTGTATTCTGTAATGTTGTCATCCTCCGACTCGAAGCTATCACGTCGCTCGATTTCCACGTCAGGGCAAAGGGATGAACACGGCCGACCATAAAGAACCACTGCTCGGTCCATTCCGAGGGGATTATCTGTTGGTTGTATATGGAAATATTAAGGCTCAAGAAGATGCAGGTCGATGGATTGTCAGGATCTGACCGGATTGCTGCATACTCTGGAGTCGACAGCCATGAGGGCGTTGGAAGGAAGACCCTCGCTAGGGTTTCTGCGTTGAGCCCTTTGACACGATGCTCATTCTGGTAGGCGAACCTAGACGGGCAGCCGGGCTGGACAAAGGCCATCATGGACATGTCGGCGCCAGCATTTTCTGGCTGTCAAGAGGTTGCCGCGGGAGGACGAGGTATCGACGTTGAGCTGGGAGGCCGACATCGTGAGAACATGGCAGATGTGGTCACCGTGGAAGTGTAAAGGAGGGGTTAGGCAGAGTAGAGGTAGGCATCCTATAAAGCAGGTTTTCTTGCTGCTCGAAAGAGGGCTCGTGGCTCGGGTCGGGGAGACTTGAGAGTCAGTGAATGCTACCTAGGTGATAGATCAGAAGCGGGGGTATGCGGGAATGAGCTGGCGAGGTTCTCGAGCAGTCTCGACCATCTGGTTCTGTGGTCGTGAGTGAAGTAGGGAGCCGGGGGTTGGAAGTTGAGTAGGGGTGATGGCTATGTTGCGAGAAGTTGGAGGTCGGCGAACGGTAAGGTTAGTGTGGGTAAGACTGCGGAGAAAGAAAGTCCAGTAGTCCTTTGGTGTCATCGTTGCATGGAGTAGATAGCAAAGGGGCAATAACGAATGAGAGTGAAGGAAAGAAAGAGGTTATGGTAGTATTGCAGGACTCCTTTTGACGGTCGTCGGTAGTTGGATGGGCATTGCGTGCGGCTGAGCGAGGCGGGTGCCGACCGTGTCGAGTCTACTATTGGGACACGGTGAAGTCGGATATATGGGTCGACCTGAGGAGGAGGATGCGAGTTGGTCACGAGAACTTTCCAAGAGGGTTTGCAAGTCGAGACTCCGGTGGCTAGCGACTACAAGAGGACAGGCAGGGGTCCTGGCTATCGCTTTAGCATTAAGGCCGTTGATGCGACATTGGTGCTGGCGAGGAGCAAATCTAGAAGGGTAGTCCGGCTGCATGAGGACGTCATGGACATGTTATCGCCGGCAGCCTTGTGGCTGTTGCTCGACGAGGCGGATTGGCGGGTATTGATGGTGAACTGATGCGCAAGGTTGGTAGGATGGTGTTGGAAGGGCTGAAGAGTATGGTTTGAAGTGTGCGGCAGGCGGTTGTCGCGGCCATCTCCATGTGCCGGAGGTCGGCAGTGGCCAGGATTCGCTGGAGTGCGCAAAAGAGAGCACGGCGATGGAAGGGTCGCTTTGGCAAAGCCGGGGTAGCAGGTCGCACGTGGAGACCAGGCGAGGCCGGGACGGTGGACGCACATAGATAGGCATGGTAACGGGGAATATAGAGGGTAGTATTGCATCGCCTCGGTACCATAGGGAAGCATTTTATAGGAAGCTATAAGGAAGAAACGCCACGGCCATGAGGAAGTGATGGTTAGGAGCTTCCCATTCGGGAGAAGTAGCGTCGTCAACAAGCGAGACTGTCCAAGTGGAGGTGCTCCGGAGCCAAAGCTTTATAGCCTGTTGCCAATTTACGGCAGTCGACGTCGAGGAGGCAGCAGCATGGCGGACAGTCCTGCAGTGAAGTTAAGCGAGGCGGTTGCTCACCCTGAAGCCTGTTCGTTGTCAGTCGGGGATGGAGAAGAGGTGAGAACGTGAGCGGGTCGGGTTCGGGGCTCGGAGATGGTGCGACAGGAGCCGGTGTAGATGTGGTGGCAGCTTCTGAGAGGGCCGCAGAGCACGGGGAGAGCCTGGGACGGTTACGAAGATACGAATCACGGGCGAATGCGGCATCAACGTTCCGGCCGATTCAGCCTAGGAAACCTGTGGTTGAAGACACCGCATGGAGACAGCACGCAGAAGCAATTGCGAGGTCGTTGCCGAGAAGACCGCCGCGAGGCGGTTTGCGGTCAAACAGAGCACGGAAGTTCCATAATATGGTTAGCAGCGGAAGTTCCGCGCAACATCAGTCACCGGGTCAGCTTCCGAGGCCCCTGTTGCCTAGGGAACGTGGAGATATGGGGGTAGCGGACTCTGATCGTCCGCTCCCTCATCGGCACTTTCTGCCTCAGGAGGGAGATCCTGAAGATGAGGAGCAACGTGTTACGGCGGCGGCGGGCGATGTCCCGAGTGTTCATTCGAAGGAGGTACCGAAGCTTCGATCCATCCAGCCTAGGGAACCGGTATTCGACAACTTAAAAGAAAACGGGCAATTAGCAGCAGCGATTGCGTCTGGTTTGCCCAAGCGCCGTCGGGGACGGAGTTGGCGGGTAAAGGGAGTACCAGGCCGCAGGGGTGTCTCCAACGCAGCAGGTACGGCGCAGCATCCGGGGCCGTCTCCTGTGGGGGTGGGCGACGCCGCGGCAGAGCCAGCGGACGCTTCGCTGAGCGGGCGGAGGCTGCAGCAAAGGGAGGTGGGCGGCTCATCGCGGGTGGCGGCTGGGGAGCCCGTGCAGTTTGATCGGCAGCAAGAACGAGGAGAGTGCTGGAAAGGGCAAGGACTGAGGTCAAGGTTCGGCGTGGAAAACGTTCGCCAGCACGGCCCGGTGCCTGTCCAGTGCAAAGGGCCGGATGGCGTGTCAGGGATGCGCACGTAGTCGGGCAGTCGTCGCCAAAGCTGCCGCATCCGACGGCTTGCGAAGAAGCGAATCAGCCACGGAGAGAAGAAATCATGGATCGGAGGCGGCCCGGAGGCGGCCCCGGAGGCGGGAGAAGAGAAAACGTCTTCCTGGTCCGGACGAGCGCCCGAGAAAACAGATTCGGAGTGGAATCGGAAGGCAGAGGAGTCGGGAGCTGCGGGCCGAAGACCTGGCGAGTGTGCTGCGTTTTTTGGAGGAAGACTTCGCCATGAAGGAGAGGCTGTCTAACGATCAGACGTGGTGTACGCCAATACCGCACGACAGGAAGGTGTCGACGGTGCGGGATTTTTATCAGGCGTTCCACGATGCGAGCACGTTGCCGATACGGACCTGCATGACAGCTACCGCAAGCGTACGAGAAAAGAGCTGAGGAGATCAGATGGGATCAATGGCTGTCAAGCTGCGTGCCAGAGGGCGGCCGCTCACCATTTTCATGCCGGAGCTGCTTTCCCGAAGGCGAGCCCGTGTCGGTGTGTGCGGAGTGTGCCCGATGCCTGGCGCGCGGGAGTCTGTCGCCGGCGGTCCATCTTCACACTCGCCTTGGCTGTGAGCACATGTTCCTGACGAGCTCAAGGGACTCACGCTGGTCGAAGAGAAGCTCGTCTCGCTCAACTCCTGCTATGGGTTTGTCACGAGATATAGCATTCCGGGCGGGCAGAGGCAGGCCGTGAGGTATCCGAGGCACGTCAAGGGCCACATCACAGTGTTTCCCAACAACGTGCAGGAGCTGGCGACCAAGGTGCTCCGCACCCCTTTGCAAGCACTGGACGAGATCCACGTTTCGTGGCAGGGCGTGGAGAAGCCGGCACCGAGCGACCTGTCGAGTCTCTTGTCGGTGAGGCGGCGGGTCGTCGAGAGGGCTCTTGTTTGGCTGAAGAGGAGCAACCCCACTACGCCGAGATCGAGATCGACGTGGCGGAGATGGAGAGTTGGGAGACCCGATAGACGGGGTGCCGGCCTTGGTGTATGATCGCATGGAGCGGAACGAGCCGTCCGCATGGGAGAAAACGCGGACGGCGCACGTTGTGCCGCCCACGGAGCGCGCCATGGACGACGAGGGGTCGGTGGAGATCGAGGAACTCTTCGCTCTGCTCAACCAAAGGCAGGAAACGGGAGGCGAGGCTGAAGGGCACGGGCCCAACGAAGAAGGCGCGGGTCGTGATGGAGTTGGTGCTAGCCCCGATCAGAACGTTCGACCAATCAACGAGGTGACGTCTTCCGGCATGTTTGCTGGACGGACCGCCAGACGTGGCGGATGTCGAGAAGCTGCGGTTTGCCTGTGACGCTGTTGGCGCAGGTGCCGACGACGGCCGCGCGGGCCGAGAACGTGGGTCGGATCCTCGGTGGGGTCGAGGGCGTGGCGACGATGGCAGTGAGCCATACATTCGAGTCTCGCGGGGGGATGAGTTTGCCGACTCCTTTGAGACGTCCTTCTTCGCCAGAACGTTCCCGACCCTGTTCCCATTTGGCGTTGGGGGACCAAGGCTGGCCGAAGAGGCCATAGCCGAGGCGGGGAAGGCCTTTCCAACTTGCGAGGCGCCGGGAGAGCTGCTGAGGGAGGGGCGGCAGCGGAGACATCGTATCCTCCCGAAGCTTGAACCTCCGGATTTGGGCCGACATCGTGCTCCGGCGCCATGGTGGCCGGTTTGCGTTGCACCACATATTTGCATTTCTCGTCTTCAACATGGGGGTGCGGTCGAGGAACCGCCGCGTCAGCATGCTGAGTGTGGCGAGGAAGGACTTCGGCAAGGTCGAGCGCGTTGCCCGCTCGATGACCGCGCAAAGGTTAGCGGCGGCGAGGGTCGAGTTGGAGAGCTCGGGCAAGACGACCGATGAGGGCGTGAAGGAGCTTCTCAGGAGCCTCTCGCTGTACGGCCACCGGCAACCCATGTCGAGAGGTTCGGCTCAATATGCGGCGGAAAATCCAGTCGCTCATCGTTGGCTACGGCGTTCCGGCCATCTGGTTCACCATCAACCCAAACGACATTACGAACCCGGTGAAGCTGCGACTGGCGGCATATCGGACACGCGATCCCGGCGCGGCCGAGGAGTTCCTAGAAGGCCTTGGGAGTGCGTACAAGCGGACAAGGCTGGCCATGTCCGATCCGATGAGCGCCGCCGTATTCTTCCACCGGGAGATGAAGCTGTTCTTCGATCATTACGTGAAGGTCGGAGAAGAGTCGGTATTCGGGCGCATCGGCAAGTACTATGGCGCTGTGGAGACCAACGAACGAGGGCGCTTCATGTTCACGGCTTGCTCTGGTTGCACGGAAACGCGCATCTCAGCTCGATGCTTGCCGACATCCACGGGGAGGATCAGGCGGCGTATCGCGAGCGAATCATACGATACGTCGATAGTGTCTTCTCCGAGGTAAGAATAGCTAAGACGTGTCACTGAGAACCTGAATTGCTCGTCCGATGGACAAACGGGGCCAGGCTGACGTGCAAGATAGGATCTGGATCAGGAAGGGTTCTGCGCCGTGCAAGCGGAGCGATCTGTGACGTCCGATATTTCCTCCCTGCTGGACAACACCGAGCAGTTTTCGGCCGCATTTGACGAGGAGGCCAACTTCTGTGCCGGCGCTACACAGGTTCACACGCATAGCCCGACCTGTGTCAAGTATTCCTTGGGCAAAGGAGCGCGGAAAGGAATCTATGCCGGTTTAAGTCTCCATGGAGGTTGGTCGACAAGACCGCCATCACGGCAGACGGGGTGTTGCAGATCCGGAGGACTCACAGCATGGTCAATCGATGGAACAAGGCTATCGCTGTTGGGCTCCGGCACAACCACGACATTTCCTTCATTGCGACGCAGCGCAAGACCATGGCCCTTATGTATTATGTCACGAACTACGCGACGAAGGTGGAGGACCCGGTGTGGAAGCGTGTGGCGGCCGCGGCCGATCTCCTGGCCGCCTCAACGGGTGACGGCACGGCCAACGGAGGACAGGACGACGGTGGAGGTGCTGTTGGCGATGACGACGCCAAGGGAACAGGACGCGACAGTTCTTGATGAGGGTGGCGAATCGTGTGTTCACGGAGCGTCCGCTATCTCAGGTCGAGGTCGTCGCTCATCTTCTTGGATATCCGGCCGAGTTCACCAACAGCAGCGCCTGGGCGTACCTGAACACATCTCTGCTGTACTGGGAAGTCTTTCGACGGTGGCCGTATCTCCGACGAGCAAGTGGCGCGGCGGCCATAGATGATACTCTGGATGAGTCGGTCGTTGTCGAAGAAGCAGGCCTGAGGATCTCCCACGTTGAGGCGTACCAGCACCGGGAGAGCTCCTGCGAGGGCTATGCTTATACGACTACATATCGGTCGTTAGACTAAAACGCACCAGTAAGGATGAGAGCTGTGCGGCCTGGGGAGGTGCCCTTCGAGGATGGATGGGCGCCAGGAGACGCTGGGTCCAGGTGCTCAGGCGGCCGGGCAAGCATGCTACCGTCTGCCTCGATGGCTACCTGAGCAAGGACTTCGGCCACAACGACGACGAGGAGTCGTGCCACCGGAGGTGTGTATAGCAACCGCCCTGCCGGCAGGCATCATCAGAGTGGCTAACCTCCCCTCCCCTTAAAGGGCAGCCGTGCAGCATCTTGCGCTATTTGTGCCGTGGGAGTCCTTTCTGTGCGAAGAAACAGGTGAGATCAATAGCATCTGGGAGCGGGCGCGAGGCGCTGGCCCCGAGAATATCATGTCTCGTCGACAACGTGCAGCTGCTTCGACGATCAGCCGAAGACGCAAAGCGCGACGCCAAGCAATGGGCGGCCTCATCCGGCGATGGCGATTCCACGGTCGCCCACGTCGAGGAGGGCGAGACAGGCGAGGCGGGCGCAGAATTTGCAGCGACGTATCGGTCCAACAACATCGGAGACGCAACGCGCCTGATCGACGTCGTCCGAGGCGCAGTGGGCACGAATCAGGTGACGGCCAAGTCGCCGGAGCTCATGGCAATGATGCGGCAGCTCTGTCGATTCCAGCAATCGGCGCTCTGCTCAACGGCCGAGCTCGAGGCCATCGCGATTCCCGAACAAGGGTTGAGGTGCATAAGCATGCCAGGGCGGGTATTTTCCGGGGCCGCACTACCGCCGCAGGATCAGGTCAAGGCTATCAAGTCGCAGCAGATAAGTGCGTCGAGGAAAGGAGAGAATGATCCAAGGCGTACAAACCACAGTCGCAGTCCGGGAAAGCGATCGCCGAGCTGCGTTGCGGAGGGTGATGACCGGCTTCGGGAGGACGACGTCGAAATGACGACAGCCGACTCCGACGAGACGGCTAGCGACGCAGAAGCGGGAATGCGCGTCCAGCTTGGCCCATCGACCTCCTTCTTCGCGGCGGGCAAGGAGTTGTCAACACGGCTAACGCTGAACAAGAGGCAGTCGATCGCTTTCCTAATAATATGCCGCCAGCTCGATTTGATGCGACAAACGAATAGGGCGATGCCGGCCAGCTCTGCCAGTTCGTCGGCGGCGAGGGGGCACCGGCAAGTCGCGGATCATTGGGGCACTCGTCGAGCTGTTCAGTGGGAAGAGCCTTTCGAATCGTCTGCTGATCACGGCGACGTCAGGACTGCCGCGGCGCAGATCAACGGCATCACGATCCACCCGCCTGCGGGTTCACTAAAGACCAAGGGCGGGCGGCGCGAACACAGCCAAGGACCTTGACGGGGTGCGGCTGACAAAACGGGCGGAGCGGTTCATCCACGGCCAGTCTCGGATGGACTGGCAGGAGAAGGACGTGCTTGTCATCGACGAGGTGAGCATGCTCGGAGCGCGGACGCTGCACGCCATAAACGAGCGACTCTGTCGGCTTCGCGGATCGCAGAAAGATTTCGGGGATCCCCATCGTCCTCTTCTGCGGAGACTTTCAGCAGTTCCGGCCGGTCCAAGAGAGGTCGATCGTCCTGCCGAGCGCGGCCATCTCGTGGGACGTAGACAACTCGTTCAAGGCCGAGCAGCGGCACCAGCACGACAAAGCGCACGCGCTGTGGAAGAGATTCACGACGGTCGTCATGTTGAACGAGCAAATGCGCGCCGCCGGTGATCCGGAATTGCAGGGGCTGCTGAAGCGGATCCGGCAGGGTGTGCAGGACCGCACGGATCTGGACCTCCTCAACTCAAGGTGCTACCGCGAGGGCAGGCGGATCCCTTGGGAGACTGGCATCACCGTGGTGACGCCGCTGAACAGGAATCGGTGGAACCTAAACATGGAGGCAAGCTTGGCGTTCCGGGTCCAGCAGCGGTCGACGATGCGCATCTTCATCTCCGAGCACAAGTGGAAGGAGGGCCTGCCGACCGAGGAAGAAGCGATCATGGTACTCAATCAAGGCGACGATAGCGCGATCCCCGTGCCGGCCGTCTTCATGTTCGTGGCCGGGATGCCGGTCGTCGTGAACCACAACACCCATCAGGGGCTGAAGCTGGTGAACGGCGCCGGCTACTCGGCGGTGGAGGTCATTGTCGACAAGGCGTCCCCAGGGCATCGAATCTCGTCCGACATGACGATCCACTTCGGCCGCCGGCGGGGATATTACTGGAATCGGCGACGACAAAGGACCTCCACTTCGTCGGGATGCCGCCGGGCACGATCTTGTTAACGCCGATGAGCGTCAGGATACACTGCCAACGAAAGCGGCCGTGGCAGCAGAACGACGTCAGCCGGAAGGGATTGCCGTGCGCAGCAGCCTTCGCCTGCACGGACTACAAGGTGCAGGGCAGAACGCAGAGCGCGTGGCCCTGGAGCTGCGGGGACACGGACGACGAAAGTCGATGGAAGGGCCGTGCCCTCGCAATGCGACCCGTACAGCTTATATGTGCAGCTATCGCGCTGTCGAACGCTAGACGGCATCACGCTCGTGTCCAAGGTGCGGGAGAGACTTGGTGGGCAACCGAGTCCCCGAAGAGATGACCGCCGCGCAGGCCAGGCTGGAGGTGCTAAGCGAGAGGACTGTCGAGGAAGCTTTGCGTCGGTCGGATGGCGACGCTGAAGAGTCAAGGAGAGTTGTCAGGGTGAGGTGACGAGGGGAGAAGACGGAGGAGCGCCGGCGGGCAAGAAGACAAGGGCACTGGGCAGCAGCGATCAACGAGGGGCGACTTTAGACTTGAAGGAAGAACCCGCTAGAAAGGCATGAACGAAAGGGCAAAGACAAAAGACGCAAGTTTTAGACACAATAAGAAAACCGGCGGACGAAAGGAAAAAGGTTGGCATTGGCATTGGCAAGGGTAAACAGGAGTATAAACGGGGGGGAAACAGGGCAAGGCATGAGAGGGGCAAGAGAAGGCGGCAGCGACCAATGATGAGGGAGGGACGGAAGGGTCGGCGACCAATCACACGGGATCTTTTATTCCGAAAGAGGAAATAAATCAGCCAATCAGAGGCGGAGGATGTGGGGGTGAAGCAGTCTGGGGCCTTTTTTCCCCGCGCGCTAATGATAATGAAGTCCTTTCGTTCCTCAAGGCATCGTTCCTCAAGGCAAGGCCTTTCGTTCCTCAAGGCACAGGTAAGGCAACCCCTCATGGGTTGCGCAAAAAGCCTTGAGGAACGAAGACTGAGGATTGAGACAAACAAGACGAAGACAGAGGGCGAGAGCAAAGAACGCAAGCAGGCGGTAGCGCCAGGAACTAATGCATGCAAGAAGGTAGGCAAATAAATCGGCCATTCGGGCACCATCCCGCAGCGGGAAGAGGGAGAAAAAGCAAGAAGGCAAATACAGCGATGATAACGGTTGCGGGGTAAGAGAGAGGGAGTATAAGAGAGGCACCAAGGCACGAATAGGAGAGCAGAAGCGTCTACCCTAGCTACCGATCGAGCAGTTAGGAAAACAACTACAGCATGGCCACTTGCAACGTTTCCGTGGAGTTCTGGTGCGAATTCGGGCCACGGAGCTCAAGTACAAGCATAGCATCCCGAAGACGCTCGTGACGCAGGTAGGCCAGGCGAGGCCGGACGACGAAGCCAGCGCACTGTTCCTACAGTGGATAAGGCCGATCCTACGGGAGCACGAGGCGGCGTGTCGGAAGGCAGCAGGGCGCGCTGCGAGTTGCGGCGAAGTCGCAAAGGACATTCTACAGAGCCCGATATCGTACCTACATGCAGAGAGGCCGTTTGTGCTCGTGGTCGTGTCGTCATTCTGCGGCCAAGAAGGATGCGAAATAAGGGCGAGGCAGGAAATGCAGGACACGATGGCAGAGGCGGGGCAGGCGGACGGAAGTATGGGCGCAAAGCAAATGCAAGGGCAGGATGCACAGAGCACTGAGGGGAAGGTCTGCCGGGTTTGTGGAGAGATGGCGGGGGCGAGGAGGTGCAGCCGATGCCTGGCGGTCGCGTATTGCAGCAGGCAACACCAAAAGGAGGACTGGAAGGTACACAAGAAGGGATGCAAGCCAAAGGCAAGCTAGGGAGCTAGGGAGGGGAAGCAAGCAACGCCGTCGAGGCGGCCTTACGGCCAGCCTCAAACGCCGCAACGGCCTTTGTAGAACCCGCCGACTTCAACGACCGTCGTCCCTATGGCTTGCACAACTAAGGAACGGCATATAATATTTTATAGTAGAAAACCGTATCCTCCATGTAGAGCAATGACCGATAGGCGAGAAGCGGAGTCGGCTTCCGCAACAAAGACGCCTTTGCCGAGGCGCAACTACAGGCCCCGTCGCCGCTAAATGCAGCCGAGAGTGCGGCGGCAAGCTGGCAAGGAAAGAGAAGGGCGAAGCGCAACGCACAGGACACAAATGAAGTCACGGAGAACGTCTAGAGGCAGGCACTTTCGTAAGAAACGGGTTCGGAAGCTAAAGCTGTCCTTAAAAGGGACAAACGCTGTAATGTGCAGAGTAATAGTAATTCTAGAGCGACAATTTGCGTTAGGAGCAGCACCCCGGGAGGGAGAACAGTTCGTTTTAGTAAAGGTAGGAGGCTTAAGAGAGCGATGGGTCTATAGTAGGTAGCTTATTTCTGCATGCGATAGCGAAGAGGGCGTGCGGGCGGGTCGGAGGTGCTCGCGACGATAGAGTTGAGAGGGGAATCCGGGCTGGCAGTCGGAGCGGAACGGGTGGGGCGCCGTCCGGTCGAGACGGAAAAGCGGCCGGCGGAGGAGAGGAGGAGGGCGGCGGAGCCGACGGTGTTCGAAGACGAGGAAAGCGGCGAATACTGCTGCTGCAGGAAGCGCGCCCTCTTCATGGGCGTATCGGCCAGGGCCGGGGCGATCGCTTAGGCGGCGGCGTGACGGGGTCGAGGGCTGGCGGGGCCGGGGCCGAGAAGGGGGGGTAGAGGGGGGGGATTGGGTCTGACGCCTAAAGGGGGAGGAGGGGGGAAGCCGAGGCGGCGGCGGCGGCCGCCGAGGGCCTATCGACAAAGGTCCAGCTGTCCGGGACGATGATAAAGACGTAATCGCGCTCCGAGCCCGGGGGGGAGAGCATAACGCGGTGGTCGAGAAGGCCGACGACCTTTCCGGTGCAGGTAAAGGGGACGCCGGGCAGGAAGGAAGAGTTAGGCTTTTCAGCGATTTTCTTGCATAGCACGGCCCAAGGGTTAACGTAGACGGAAAGATAACAAAGACCTCGAAGGGTGGTAGCCCTTATATGGAATCCTGTCCGGCAGGCCAGGGCGATGTAGGTCGTGAGCCGGACGAAGCCGCAGCAGCGGAGCTGGTCGGGCCCGAGACCGGGCAGGAAGTCTCGACGCAGGAGGTCGAGGCCGGGCCCGGCTACGACGCCATGGAAGGAGACAACGGGAGGCGTAGACGGAACTGGCCGCTAGAGGCCAAGGAGCGCGGCAGGACGCTAGGGGGCAAAGTCAGCGGGGCGGTGGGTGAGGAGGCGCATTACAATGAAAAGGGGAGGGGGGCGCACGGCTGGTAACCTTGGTTGCGGACGATAAGGGCGGGCACGGTGTAGAGAATAGCATCGTCCGGGCCGGCCTCGAGGCCGTCGCGGCGCTCCACCTCCCAGGAGAGGGCGTAGGGGTGAACGCGGCCGCTCATAAAGAACCACTGCTCGGACCAGTCGGTATCGACGACCGGCTGGCCGTAGATGGAGAGGTTTAGACTAAAGAGAGAGGGCCTAGATCGTCGCCCTCGGCCCGGAGGGTGCATACTCCGACTCTAGCAGCCACGAGGGCACCGGCAGGAGGACTCGGGCGATGGCCTCGGCGTTAAGCCCGTGATGCGGTGCTCGTCTTGGTGGGCAAACCTCGCGGGGCAGTCGGGCTGGGCGAAGAACATCATGGACATGTCGCCGCCCGCGCCCTTGCTAGTGGCAAGGGGCTTGCGGAGGTGCGGGGCAGAGCTGTCCGCCGACGGAGACGAAGACATGGCGAGGCCGTGTGGTGGAAGAGCAACGTTGCCGGAGCGAAGCTAGAAGCGGCGAGGTATAGGGGCAGGAGTGCTCCCTACCAATATGCCGTCTTAAGAGTTTAGTGTAGTAGGGAAGGGCTGGTGGCCGTGGTGTATAAGAGAAGTCAAAGGATACTAAACGAAGACGCAACGTAGCGTTAGCGGTAGGCTAAGATAAGGAGCCTATATAAAGGAGGTCTATAAGATGTGTATACAGAAAAATGCGACAAGAGGAGAAGAGGAAACCTCGAAAGGCGGTCTAGTAAGACGTAGGGTTTTAAGACAAGCAGGACGCGCGAAGCTATGTTCGAGGAGAAGGAGGCAGGCTTATTCGCAACACGTGTAAGACATGGGTTCAAAATTCAGCAGGCGAGCGTCTAGGGGCGTACTGAGGCTTTGACCGACAAGACCTAGATGACTAGACGGAAAAGTGTACCATGCAAAGCACAGGCAAGAGGAAGCTGTCTTGGCGACCTACATGTAAGGACCGGCCGAGGCCGTAGCCCGCCGCTGAAAGCGGCGGGCAATAGCGGGCGGGCTCGATAGAAAGGCGGCGCCGGTATAATGTAAAGAGCAGCGGCACGCCTGTAGACGTACTAGAGAGCTACGAGTAAGATATATAGACTTTCCTAGAGGATCCTGTACGCACAGGAGGGGTGCCAGTCAGCAAGACAAGTGCAGGATGAATGGTCGAGGCAAGGACTTATACGCCGTTATTACACTTACACTTACGAGGATTTACGCCGGGAGCCCAGTAGCACCGCAAGTAGGCGGGGCCGGAGAGGCAGCGCAAGCGAGGAAGACAAGAGGTCCGCGGGGCCTCGGTAGACCGGTGTCGCGATGAAGCCAGCTAACGGGAGGGTCCAGTCCGGAGCGGGTGACAGGGCAAGCCCGGCGCCAGAAGCCCGAGCAGCGCCGTACACAGGACCAGAGATCCGGCCGATCACAGCAGCGCCGGCACTCGGTCGCGGCGCCTCTCGGAGAGAGCAAGAAGAGGCGTCAAGGGAGGCGCCTCCGAGGCGAGGGCGGGGAAGACCGCCAGGACTAGGGAAATGGAGGATCAGCGCAGGCCGAGTCGCGCCGCGGGATATCCAGCCTCAGCCGACACCGAGTGCGGCGGCAACTTGGCTGCCGCCTACCGAGGGCGGCGGGGCACTGGCTGCCGCTGGGCGGGCCCAGCGCCGTCTCGGCCTCAGGGAAAGGCCAGCGCGCACCGAGAGAAATCCGGTCTCTGCCGACGGCGGAGACCGCCGGGCCCTCGCCGCCGCAGACGAGAAGTTCGGACGCTCCACGGGACATTCGGCCCCAGCCGACATGGAGGGCCGCCGGTCCTTCACTGCCGTCGAACGGGATAGGTTTGGCTGCAGCCTCGGCCGGAAGCAAGGGGCTCCGCAGGATACCTGGCCCCAGCCGACATGGAGGGCCGCCGGGCCTTCGCCGCCGTCGAGCGGGACTAGCCCGGCCGTAGTCTCGGCCGGAAGCCAGCACGTGCCGCGAGCCATCCAGTCCCGGCCGGCTAGCAGGGCGAGGCCCCGCCACAACTCCCCGCAGCCGGGCCGCTTGTTAGCGGCAGAGATAGCGCACCGGCAGGTACGGTCGTAGAGCGAGGTGAAGGCGTGTGACGGTGATAGCTAACCGGACGCAGGTAGAGCGGCGATAAGACGCCAGGCGAGAGACGAGCAGAAGAGGAAACGCCATCTTAGTAGTGGGCAGGCCGGGCGGAAACGCGCCAGGGTGGGTGAAAGATGCCGAGACGAAGGGAGCTGCAGGCCGAGGACCTGGCCAGCGCGCTGCGGCACCTCGACGAGGAGTTCGAGGCGGGCGAGAGGCTGGCCAACGAGCAGACGTGGTGCGCGCCGGTGCCGCGCGAGAGGCAGGTGAGGACGGTGCGGAGGTTCTACCGGGCGTTCCACGACGCAGGCACGCTGCCGATCGCGACCTGCACGCTATGCTACCGGAAGCGAGCCAAGGAGGAGCTGAGGAGACGACGTGGGAGGGTGGTCGCGGAGCAGCGTTGCGGGGGCGGGCGGTACCGGTTCGGATGCCGAAGCTGCTTCCCGGAGGCAGGCCGGTGCCGGTCTGCGTAGAGTGCGCGCGATGGGCCGGGCGCGAGGGGGCGTCGCCGGCCATGCACCTCCACGGGCGGCTCGGCTGCGAGCACGCGTACCCCGACGAGCTGAAGGACCTCACGCCGCTCGAGGAGAAGCTCATCTCACTCAACTCGTGCTACGGCTTCGTGACGAAGTACAGCATCCCGGGCGGTCAGAGGCAGAGCGTGAGGTACCCGAGGCACGTCAAGGGCCACATTACCGTGTTCCCAAACGACGTGCAGGGCCTAGCCGCTAAGGTGCTGCCGCACCCGCTGCTCCGGGTCATGGACGAGATCCACGTCTCGTGGCAGGGTGCCGAGAGGCCCGGGCCGCGCGACCTATCGGGCCTGCTGTCGGTAAGGCGGTCGGCGGTGGAGAGGGCGCTAGCCTGGCTCAAGGAGAACAATCCGCTCTACGGCGAGGTCGAGATCGACGCGGCGGAGATGGCCAGCTGGGGGCGCCGCCGCACGGGGTGCCGCCGGTGGGGTGCGAGCGGCTAGAGGGAAGCGAGCCGTCGGCGCGGAGAGGACGCGGACGGCGCAGGTGGTGCCGCCGTCGGAGCGGGCCATGGACGACGAGGGTGCGGTCGAGATCGAGGAGGTCCTCGCGATGCTGAGGCAGGGGCGGGACCCCACCGAGGGGAGCCGTGACGTCGGGCTCACGTGCGAGGACGACGACGGGGACGGCGCTAGGCCCGAAGAGGACGGGGACGTAATCAACGAGGTGACGTCTTCCGGCATGTTCCCGTTGGACGGGGCGCCAGAGGTGGCCGATGCTGAGAAGATTCGCTTCGCCCGCGGTGCCGTCGGGCCCGAGGGAGCGCGCGCCGGCCCGAGGACGTGGGTAGGGACTGCGGCCCGAGAGGCGGAGGGCGATGGCGGCGACGTCGAGCCGCACATACAGGTGCGGCGCGGCGAGGATTTCGCCGACTCGGCGGACGCCTCCTTCTTCGCAAAGGCCTTTCCGACCCTGTTTTGGCTTAGGCGGGCCGAGGCTCGCCGACGAGGACGCCACTGGGGAGAGCGCGGGCCCTAGCGTCGGGAACCAGGGCACGCAGGCGGAGCGGGTCGCGGAGGGCCTTATGTCGACGCGGAACATGAAGCTCCAAGCATGGGCCGACGTCGTGCTGCGGCGCCACGGCGGCCGGTTCGCGACGCACCCTATCTTCGCCTTCCTCGTCTTTAACATGGGCGTACGGTCTAGGAACCGCCAGGCCAGCATGCTAGGCGTCACGAGGAAGAACTTCGCAAGGGTCGAGGGCCTGTTAAAGTCGTTAACGGCGCAGAGGCTCGAGGCGGCGAGGGTCGAGCTCGAGGCCACGGGCAAGACTAGCGACGACGGGGTAAAGGAGCTCCTCCGGTCCCTCTCCGTGTTCGGTTACCGGCAGCCGATGTCGAGGGAGAGCCGCCTCAGTATGCGGAAGAAGATACTATCCCTCATCATAAGGCACGGGGTGCCGGCCATCTGGTTCACGCTGAACCCGAACGACATCACGAACCTGGTAAAGTTGCGGCTGGCGGCACACCGCGGCGCGACCCGGACGAGGCCGAGGCCTTCCTACGAGACCTAGGGACCGCGTATAAGCGGACGCGGCTGGCCATATCGGACCCGATGAGCTCGGTCGTCTTCTTCCACCGGGAGATGACGCTCTTCTTCGAGCACTACATCAAAGTCGGGGAGGAGTCGGTGTTCGGCCACGTCGGCGCGTACTACGGCGCGGTCGAGACCAACGAGCGAGGCGCTCTCCACATCCACGGGCTCCTCTGGCTAAGGGGCAATGCTGGCCTCGGCGAGGCGCTCGCCGGCCCCGATACGGAGGAGCAGGCGGCGTACCGGGATCGCATCGTCCGCTACGTAGACAGCGTCTTCTCCGAGGTAAGGCGGCCGCCTTAAGACGCCCCCCCCCCCCCCAAACCCCTAAGCCCCTATCCGAGGCAGGCCGAAGGGCCCGAGCTAAACCGAGGCGGCAGGAGCTAGACGCGGAAGGTTACTGCGCCGTGCAAGCGGAGCGGTCGGCAACGGCGGACATATCGTCGCGGCTCGACGACGTCGCGCGCTTCACGGACACCTTCGACGAGGAGGCCAACTTCTGCGCCGGCGCGACGCAGATCCACACGCATAGCGCGACCTGCGTAAAATACTCGCTCGGCGCGGGGCGCGGAAGGGGACCTTTGCCGGTTCAAGGCGCCGTGGAGGCTGGTGGAGAGGACGGCGCTGACGGCGGACGGGGTGCTCGAGATCCGGCGGACGCATAGCATGGTGAACCGGTGGAACCGGGCGATGGCAGTAGGGCTACGGCACAACCACGACATCTCGTTCATCGCGACGCAGCGCAAGACCATGGCCCTAATCTACTACATTACCAACTATGCGACGAAGGTAGAGGACCCCGTGTGGAAGCGTGTGGCCGCCGCGGCCGAGTTCCTCCCCGCGCTAGAGCCGACGGGAGAGGGCAACGGAAGTGGCGCCGACCGCGACGCCGGCCGATGGGGCGGGGCCGAAGGGGTGGCGACGGCGGCGGACCCCATAGGGGGGAACAAGACGAGAACGTTCCTGCTCAAGGCGGCGAACCGAGTATTTACGGAGCGGCCGCTGTCGCAGGTCGAGGTGATCGCGCACCTCCTAGGGTACCCGGCAGAATTTAGCAGCAGCTCGGCGTGGGCGTACGTGAACGCGAACCAGCTCTACTGGGCCGTCTTCCGCCGGTGGCGGCACCTCCGACGGGCGAGCGGCGCGGAGGCGACGGGCGACGCGCCGGACGAGACGGTCGTCGTCGAGGAGGCCGGCCCGAGGATCCCCCTCGTCGGGGCCTACCGGCACAGGGGCGAGCTCCTGCGGGGCCTCTGCCTTTATGACTACGCATCGCTCGTAAGGCTAAAGCGAAACGGCCGCGGTGCCGACGGTGGGACGGGCTGGGGCGAGGTACCCTTCGCGGAGAGCTGGGCGTCGGGGAAGGGCTGGGTGCAGGCGCTTAGGCGGCCGGGTAGCGGGGCGACCGTATGCCTCGACGGATACCTCAGCAAGGAGTTTAGCGAGGGAGACGACGAGTCGTGCCACCGAAGGTGCGCACCATAAGACGGGGAGCGCCCAAGGGGAAGGCAGCGCGGCTAGGGGCATCGGCTAACAGCGCCTAGGGCGGCGGTACAGCACCTGGCCCTATTCGTGCCGTGGGAGTCCTTCCTCGGCGAGGAGGCAGGCGACATCGACGACATCTGGGCGCGGGCGCGGGAGTCGCTGGCGCCGAGGGTCGCGCGGCTCGCAGACAACGTGCAGCTCCTCCGGCGGTCGGCGGAGGACGCGAAGCGCGACGCCAAGCAGTGGGCCGCCACGGCCGAGGAGGGCGGTACGACGGTGCCGCAGGCCGGCGACGAAGGCAGGGGGGCGGCCGAGGGGGGCGAGGAGGCGTACCGCGCCGGCGGGGCGGGCGACGCGGCCCGGCTCATCGACGTCGTCCGGAATGCCGCCGGCGCGGGACAAGTCACGGCGCAGTCAACAGAGCTGCTAGCGATGACGCAGCAGCTCTGCCGGTTCCAGCAGTCGGCGCTGGGGTCGGCGGCCGAGCTCGCGGCGACGGTAGTGGCGGAGGAGAGGGCAGGCAGGCGGGTGAACCTACCGGGCTCGGAGCTCTCGGGGGCGGCGCTGCCACGGCAAGAAGAGGTGCGGGCCATCAAGTCGCAGCAGAGGAGCGCGGCGCGGGGGCGGGAGCGAGCCATCCAGGGCATCCAGGGCGGCGGGGCGGCGGCGGGCGTCGGGGCCGACCGCGGCGCGGCTCTTCGCGGGGTGATGGGGGGCTTCGGCGAGGACGACATGGACGTAACGGCGGCCGACGGCGACGTAGACGCTGGCACGGCGGCGGGGATGCGCGTGCGGCTCGGCCCGTCGAGCTCGTTCGTCGCCGCCGGCAGAGCTGGCGGGGCAGCTAACGCTCAACGAGAAGCAGGCCATCGCTCTCCTAATCGTATGCCGGCAGCTCGACCGAATCCGGCAGCTCGACCGAATCCGGCAGGGCGACGACGCAGGCGGCGATGGCGGCGGCCAGCTCTGCCTGTTCATCGGCGGCGAGGGCGGCACCGGCAAGTCGCGCGTCATCGAGGCGCTCGTCGAGCTGCTCGCCCGGAGGGACCTATCGAGCCGGCTGCTGGTGACGGCGACGTCGGGCACGGCGGCAGCACGGATCAACGGCATCACACTACACTCGGCCTGCGGCCTTACGGTCGGCCAGGGCGGCCGGGCGGGAGGGCGACGAGGACGTAGACGGCGTACGGCTGCCGGGCCAGGGCGAGCGCTTCGTCGACGGCCGGTCGCGGATGGACTGGCAGGAGAAGGAGGTGCTGGTGATCGACGAGGTCAGCATGCTCGGGGCGCGGACGCTGCACGCCGCCAACGAGCAGCTGTGCAGGCTGCGGGGGTCGGCGCGAGACTTCGGCGGCATCCCGGTGGTGATCTTCTGCGGCGACTTCCACCAGTTCCGGCCGGTGCAGGAGCGGTCGATCCTGCTGCCGAGCGCGGCGGTGGCGTGGGACGAGGACGGGGCGTTCGCGGCCGAGCAGCGGCGGCAGCACGACAAGGCGCACGCGCTGTGGCGGCGGTTCACGACGGTCGTCATGCTGGACGAGCAGATGCGGGCCGCCGGCGACCGGAGCTGCGGCGGCTGCTCGGGCGCATCCGCCGGGGAGCAGGACCGGTCGGACCAGAGCTGCTCAACTCGAGGTGCCACCGGCCGGGCAGGCGGATCCCGTGGGAGACGGGCCTGACGGTGGTCACGCCGCTCAACCGGAACCGCTGGAACCTCAACCTAGAGGCGGCGCTCGCGTTCCGGGCGCGGCGGCGGACGGCGGCGCGCGTCTTCCGTCCGAGCACAAGTGGAGGGAGGGCCTGCCGACGGAGGAGGAGGCGTTGCTAATGCTGGGCCAGGGCGACGATAGCGCGACGCCGGTCCCGGCCGTCTTCGTCTTCGTGCCCGGCATGCCGGTCGTCGTGAACCAGAACACGCACCAGGGGCTGAAGCTAGTGAACGGCGCCGGGTACACGGCGGTAGACGTCATCCCCGACCGGGCCTTCCCCGGCCACCGGGTCTCGGCCGAGCTGACGATGCACTTCGGCCGCCGGCGGGCATCGTGCTGGCTTCGGAGACGACGAGGACTTCCACTTCGTCGGGATGCCGGCCGGGACGATCCTGCTGACGCCCATCGGCGTCAAGATCACGGCGCAGCGGAAGCGGCCGTGGCAGCGCAACGACGTCAGCCGGAGGGCCTGCCGTGCGCGGCGGCCTTCGCCTGCACCGACTACAAGGTGCAGGGCGGGACGCTGGAGCGCGTGGCGCTGGAGCTGCGGGGGGCGAGGATGACGACGGTCGAGGGGAGGGCGGTGCCGTCGCCGTGCGACCCGTACAGCCTGTACGTGCAGCTGTCGCGGTGCCCGACGCTCGACGGCATCATGCTCGTATCGGAGGTGCGGGAGCGGGATCTAGTCGGGAACCGGGTGCCCGAGGAGATGACGGCAGCGCAGGCCCGGCTAGAGGAGCTTAGCAGGCAGACGACGCAGGAGGCGGCCGACTGGCTCCGCGGGTAACGCGGGCGGCGTAGGCGTCTCGCTCGCAGCGGAGGAGATCCTGCCCTTAGGACGACTACCCTAGCACACAATCAGGGGCGGAGAAAGCAAAATTATGGGAAGGCGCAACGTAGAGATAGAAATAAGAGCAACAATCTCAAGGTAGTTAATGGACATCGACGGGTGCGTGTCTAATATAGACGGACCGCAAAGGCGGAGATTTAGACTTCACAGGCCAGCCGGCTCTAGGCTAGCGGGCTTGCCGTAGCTACCGACGTAAAAGGAGCACAGGTCAAGGGCCAGGAGGGGGGCAAAGAGGAAAAGGGCGTATTCCGGGGCGAGCTTGAAAGAAAGGGCCAGGAAAGAAGACGGGCTTCAAGGAAAGAGGGCAAAAAGGGGCGGCGACGAGGGCGGTGAGGTTGTATTTTTAAACCAATCTGAAGAGAGCAAGCCGACGAATTAGAGGACGGCAGCCGACGAATCAGAGGGCGGCATTTAGGGGGGGGGAAATTGATGGCGGCGTTTTTTTTTCTTTCTCCCCGGGGAGGAACCAGAAGAACCTTTTCGTCACTAACGTTCCTCAAGGCACTTATCCGATTAATGTTAAGTCAGCCTCCGGCTGAATTATTTTGTATTGCGCCCGGAGGGTTCCCCCATAGAGCCACTACGCTAAGCTACGTACCTACTGTACATGGTTCCATCGCACCTGAAGCCCCACGCTTCTTTTCATCTGTTTCCAGCCTCGTTCGCTGTGACATGACAGGCCTACTTGAAGGTCAGTTTCTCCAAGTGTTCAGCGTCCTACCTTCAGCGACTGAAGCGCGGTCTGCCAAGTTGAAGGCTGTTGTGTTAGTATGATCATCCCTTGATCAGTACATGGTCCCTCGTCGGTCCATACTGAAGCGTTTCGTTGCCAATGCGAACTGTATTGTCGCCCGTACAGCCCCCATATCGGGCTGCCACTTGTCATCGTCTGACTCTGCCTTGCCTCCTAGGAAGAAAGACAGGTTTCCCATCTTTCCGCGAGCATATCGAAGCATGATTTCCCGTTGTACCGTCCATCTTCTGCATCGAAAGAGGAAATGTTCCACCGTTTCCGCCGACTGTCCGCAGGTGCACTCATCCGATTCCTCTGCCCCGATTTTGCAGAGGTAGCCATTCAGTCGTGATTTGCCAGTTCGAAGTTGTACCAACACTTCAGATTCCTTTCTAGTTAGCTCGTCGTACATCTTGCGGGTGTGCTTGCCCGGCAATGCTTTATCGATGCGCTTTGAGTGCTTTCCAACCCTTTCTGGGATCTGACGAACGCGAGTGTGTTCGTTGAGCAGCAGTCGTAACGTCGTTGCTCTTGCCTGAAACGTTGCTGGTTCAGCGATGCATTCATCTCGCGTCGCTCTTTTCGTCTGCATTTTGGCCAGTGGCCCAAGGGTGAACTCCTCATTCTTTGCAGGCACCCAACGAAGTCTGACTCTGCAGCCTCTTTTCGCAAGATACTCAAAAGATCCGTATATCGCCCGTATCGTGCACTGACCAGACTGCTGCCGCGGTCGCCCGATGACTTGCAGGACAGAGCGGTTGCTTGTCACAACTGTGAGCTGTCGGTCATGAAGACCTAGAGGTACACACCTCAGGGCCATGGCGATTGCCTCGAGTCCTGCTGTGTAGGCATTCTGCTCATCACTGGAGCCAAGGGTGACGGAGTAGCTGGTCAGCACCTCGTCTGCGCTGTCACGGGAAGCATCCCGAACGACGCCTCCCAACCCGACCTTGCCTTTCCTTTGCGAGCTGGACGTCGCGATAGTGATGTCCTCCGGGTCATCCGACTTCAGCACCTCCGCTCGGTCTGCCTCATACGTTGCCTGCACTCGTTCGTCCCACGGCGCCAGTGCGACTCAGAAAACCTACTCCTTCCCGGGAAGCCACCCGGCCGGCCGTGGCTATGCCTTAACGACCCCGTCAGTCTTTTGCTCCTTCTGGAGACCTTCCCACAGGAGTACCCCGACCCTGCCAAGGTCGAACGGTGCCGCCCCGTATCCGGTACGGGCCATACGGTCGGTAATCTAAGTTTGCACCTTAAGCCAGCCGCAACGGCAATATATTCCGTCTCTAAGCTGACCGACATGCGCATCCGTCCTCTCCGGCTACCGTAGCATCTCCGCGGTCTCGTGTCGTCTCGGTGTAGCGGCGACACCACGGCGCGGTCTCCCGCGCCGGCTCTAGTGCGAGTAGAGACTGCCCCTCAGACTTGCCTCTGGTCATGCTACGGCACCACGGCCCACCGGCTTCCCCGGGCGCGACCCCGGGACCGGCTTCCCGTTACCGCGAATCGTCTCCGAGACGCGGCCGACCATGTCTTGCAGACCGGAGACGCAGAGACACCGCCACACCGGCACGGCAACCTGCACTCCGTCTACTAACCTAACCAGGTTCTGCCTTATGATACTCGGGAGCGGTGCGCTGTGTCATCAGGGACGTATCGCTGGCGCCGGGCTTTGCTTCTCGCGCCGTTCGCCCAGCGTATACGCGGGTGGTTCGGGCTTTCTGTGATCGCTTCCTTAACAGATCCGACAACCACCTGCTCCCGTCAGCCTTAACAACTTCCATTACACCCGAAAAGAGCACTTAGGCTTGTCCTGAGCCCTCGGATCGGCGTCGCTTCAACCCCCTTGGGCCACCTCACGAGCCGACCACTCAGAGCCAGACTGGTTCGAGGGTGCCCTGTCTCGTCGCCAGAACGGTCCCGAGTCGGGTGGTTTTCATATCCAGTATCCCTCTTGCAGCTTGTTAGCTTCGCTTTGACGCAACCCCGTTACCGTGGGCACGATGTGCGGTCAGCCTGGTGAGCTGTGGCCTACCGTGAAATTTTTTCGCAGCCCGCTCACGCCCACCAGACCTCGCCACACTGCCCACGCAACGAGTGTGCACCGCAGCTACTGACACCGGACACCACGAGAAGGTCCGCTGCTTCGTCCTACTGCTCTTTCAAGCAGCATCCAGTGTGCTCACCGGAGGCAAACCTAGGTATATCGGTTTGAAACACACGACATTACCTAATTGAGGGGCTGCAGTACGTTGGCTTGGCAGCCTCCGCTGTGGAGTGGGCGGGCAGCTAAGAAGGCTGCCTCTGCAGCAAGGACCCTTCATTGCAACGACTCATTGCCAAGCTCATAGAAGAGATCCGTCAGTTGAAATAAGTACCATCAGACCCTGACGAACCATGCCATGTCGAGCACCGTACGGGTCGTCCACTTCCACTCGCCGGGCCTCTTTGCCATAAAGCAAAGGTGCAACCGATGATGGAATAGGCACGTACTCATCGGGACCATTCACAGCAGAAATATGAGGACTGAATCAGTGCGGCCACAATGGAAGGAGATTGAAGGCCATCATGTAATGCAGCCTCGCCGGTGGGCAACAACGTGGCATAGTGCCACGAAACGTTTGTCCTACGTGCGTTATGTGGTCATGACGTATAAGCTAGAGGGATAAGAGTAGTGGCCATGGATAAGCGCGCTGAAACGTACGGTAGTCACCGTGTTTGGCACTAATTTGCGATGCAGGATTGCTCCATTAGGGACAAACTGCTGCTCTTTGATGATATAACTGTGCCGGAGACGCCGCAGCTTTAACGTGACCCGGCGGCTCCTGGCTCCCCCGACTGTTGCTATTTTGCGCTGCTCTTGACTTTAGGGCTGCCTTGATTCGCGCCAGTTTCGTTGTACTTGAACGCTCGGGTCAGTCTACTGAAGCGGTCTTCTTCGGATAAGACGCAAACGCATGTGCCTCGCATCAGTGCTATTACCGTCTCCTCAATGCTGACGTCATACATATAGGAAGAGAAGTGGCCAACCCTTGACGAAGGACTCATCAGGCGTTCTGACTGGATAGCCGCGAGGTTAGGTTAGTGGCCGGAGAAGGTCAAATGGGGACGGTGGCTGCGGTCGCCGCTGCGACAAGGAGTATCGCGGAGGGGACAGTTAGCGCGGCGGACAAGGGCCGAAGCAGGTGTCACACCACGAAAGTCAAGCGGACGCGGCATCCAAGTCCGGCCTATCGAGGCCAAGCAGGCGCCGGCGTTCGAGGCGGCCTTGCGAAGGGAACGAGCGAAAACACTCAAAAGAGCGTTGCCTGTAGGAATACGGCGAGGTACTTAGCAGCGAAAACGGACGAGGTACATCGATGGCGCTACTTTAGAGGGAGGGCAAGCGCAACGGTCAGCATCGATAAACGCTCGTGATGGGCCAGAGGCCGTGTTAGTTGGGCGAAACGAAGGCGCAGGCATAGGGGAATCGTCTGCCGCGGCCAGAGGTGGTCTTGAGACGGCTAGGCCTAGGCAGTCCGGCGATGGCGCCCGGGTAACTCTGAAGGGTCTCATCGAGCGTACAACCGGCGCTGGGGGGAAACGCGCGAGGGGAGACCGAGAAAACCCCAACCCGTTCAGCCCAGAGAGGCTACGAACGTGGCCGGACAAGTGCCTCGCTCGGGTGAAGGCGGGTTGCACGTCGGTAAGGAGCCCTTCGTTCGGCCAGTCCGATCTAGAGAGACGGAAAACAGAACAGCGAATCTGCAGTCTTCCGGACGTTCGCCACCGCGACCATTATGCGAGGTCGCAGCGGAGGAACAAGATCGGCCGAGACGAGACAAGGCGGCAGCGAGACCGTCGCAGCCCGTAGAACAGAGAAAGATAATGGGCCAGCCCGACCGAGACCGGCCCCCGGCGAAACGTACTCGAGGCGGCCTTTGGAGGCAGAGGAGAAGGGAGTTGCAGGAGGAGGATTTGGCCAGCGTCTTACGTTACCTTGAAGAGGAATCGCCGTAAAGGAAAGGCTGTCCAATGCAAAACCGGTGCACGCCCGTACCGCACGAGAGGAAGGTGTCGACGGTGCGAGGTTTCTATCGGGCCTTCCACGACGTAGACAAGCTGCCGATACGGATGTGCATGCTATGCCACCGGAAGCGCACGGCAAGAGAGCTGAGGGAGATGGCATGGGACCAGTGGATGTCGAGTCCCACCATTAGGGGCGGTCGCGGATCGCCGTTTGCGTGCCGGAGTTGCTTCCCCGAGGGCGAGTCCGTCCCGGTCTGCGAGGAGTGTTCTCGACCCTTGGCGCGCGGGGTGTTGTCGCCGGCGGCTCAACTCCATAGCCGTCTCGGTTGTGAGCACGTGTTCCCCGATGAGCTCAAGGGCCTAACGTCGGTGGAGAAGCTGATCGCGCTGAACTCATGTTATAGGTTCGTCACAAGATACAGCGCCTCAGGCGGCCAGAAGCAGACGTTAAGATATCCCAAGCACGTCAAGGGCCACATCACGGTGTTCCCGAACGACGTGCAGGGCCTGGTCGCCAAGGTGCTGCCCCACCCGCTGCTCCGGTCATAGACGAGATCCACGTCTCATGGCTGGGCGCCGAGAGGCCAGGGTCGCGCGGCCTGTCGGGTCTCCTATCGGTGAGACGGTCAGTGGTCGTGAGGGCGCTGGCCTGGCTTAAGGAGAACAACCCGCTCTACGGCGAGGTCGAGATCGACACGGCGGAGATGGACAGCTGGGGGGCGCCGCCGTACGGGGTGCCGGCGGTGGTGTGCGAGCGGTTGGAGCGAATCGAGCCGTCGGCGCTGGAGAGGACGCGGACGGCGCAGGTCATGCCGCCGTTGGATCGGGCCATGGACGAGGAAGGCGCCGCCGAAATCGACGAGATTTTCGCGGCGCTGAGGCAGGCCGCGGGACCGTGGCGGTCTGAAATGCCTACCCGTGCCACACCCCACTTTATTGGAACTCCATAGCTCCTCGGTTAATTTATTCTCCGAGTCCGAGATAGTCTCCGCAAGACGCGTTTCTCGACGCGTAACAAGTTCTTTTGAGCTTCTTCTGCTGGTCATTGTCTCTGCCTAACGAATCCACTTCTTCTACATTCTTGGCTGTACTGAGCTCGTTCATGATACACAGCATCCAGAATGGTCCCACAAAAGCGTCCAAGACAAAAGCGACCAAGACAGACAATTCCGCCAAACCCAAAAAGACCGCCGCTGTAGGCACCAGCCAAGAGGCTAAGGAGCTCTACGCCGACACCCTCAAGGCCCTCGACAAACGCGTCGATGAACTCGACAAGAAAGTTAGGATTATGAGTGGTAACAGCGCGGCGATCACGACCTCCAGCTACGCTACCTCCATCCGTAAACACATGGGCGCCGTCAAGAAGCTAGTCGCCATGGACACCACACTTGCCTTCAACCTGCTGCTCAGCATGCTGATGCATCACACACTGACCTCGACGCCACCTGCAAGATGTGCGGCACCCCATGCGACAACAGCATTCCGACTTTCAAGCTGCTGGACGAGGCACTTTTGTCGCTGATCAAGGCGAGGGAGAAGCCCGTCAGTCTGGCAGCTAAGTTGCCCGAGGCCCCAAAGCGGTGGACCGTGATGGATGCGGATGTCGGCGTGTTCAAAACTGGGAGGCCGAACAAGCAGCAACGCGGCCAGATGTACCGCCAGAAGCTGATGTGGGAGAAAAATAGGCGGCAGGCCAGAAGGGAGCGGAGAGAGAAGACGGTCGACTGGGTCAAGGTGGCATTGAATGATTTGGTTGAGGAGCGGGACTATCTTAACGCCTATGGCGTGAAGGAGTACTTGCCGAGGTGCATTGCGAAGTTAGATGAACTGGTGATGGCGAGGGGAGGGGAGGCGTGAATTTTCTTATTATTTTATTTTGGCGCAGCAGAGACTTGTTACAATTGAAGCCGGGTGAATGTCGCATATCAAGCCTGTCCAGGACGATTATTCATAAGGTGGCGATTTTACTCGCAACGCCGCTGTTGCCTGCTAGGCAACCGCTACTGCGTAATCACGCGACTTTTCATTTGTGTATAAAGAGCTGCACATTTTCGTGCGTTCGTTCATTTAGCTCCTGTTCTTCAGATAATTCTCATCAATTGCCTGATCTGACGGCAGCCCTGGGGTTTGTTGCCTCTTTGCATCGTACACCACTATTCCGGTAATCACCCAGCTATCAATACCACACAGCCTCTCCGCATATTAATATACTATTACAGCGTACCCTTTATCCAGTAGTAGTAGACGCATTCGTCGCCCATCGTCATCACGTTCGATCATAAACGTCACTTTCTCATTTATGGCCGTCCTCCATCCCCAGGAATGCTGTCCTCACCATCAGAGTATCCTCTGCGAATCCAAAACTTCCCGCACCTCGCCGCTTGCATACTCTGCCCTTCCCTGGACCTGTCGTACTGCCCGAGTCCAATCTTCTCTTGTTGGGCACCAGCTGCGCAAGTGGCCGTCGCACTAGTTCAAGCAACATAGCACGCTCAAAGTCGATCATCATCACACCGTCCGTCTCTTTGTTGACCAGCATGTTGGCGCTTCGCACGTCTTTGTGCACCACACCTTCCTCATGTATCGCCCGCAGGGATGCAAGCGCCTTGGCCTCAAGGATTCTTCCCGTGCTGGCTGCGACCTTGGCCTCGTCAATTATGTCTCCTCCCCATGAAAGAAACGTCATGTGCACGACGTAAACCCGATGGTCGTAGTAATAGGTCCTCTTCAGCGGCCGAAGGTCTACGGCTCCGAGAAAGACGGGTACGTTAACGCCCTGAACCCGCTCTAGGCGCTTGTAGACGGTTGCTTCATGCTCAAGGTCTCGGATGAAGGCCTTCACTGTGCCCTTGCACACAAACGTGTAGCCATACGACAGAAGGGTCACCTTGAAAAGCACTCCTCGAGCACCGTGCTTTCCTAGCTTCGTGATCCCGGCATCCAGTGTCTGTCGCAGCTGCTCACTCAGAAGTTGCAGCCATGTAGAATGACTGATCGGATGTAGCGCGCCTCGAGGTCTGCCATGACACCCCGCGTTGGGACAACAAGGATCGAGGGTGCCTCCCCGAACCAGTCCAAGGAGGCATGCTTGGGTGCAGTACCGCCGTTCCACTTCCTCATCAGTCCCTTGGCGGGGTCGGCGTGCCAGGATTCGTTGACTTCTTCGAGGTACATTTGCATCGCCTCGTCCACGTTGTCCGCGTTGTCCACGTCGTCCTTGCCGCTCAGAGGGGCTCGGCGTATCCGGAGGTCGATATCCCGACTCGTCCGATGATTCCGACTGATCTCGTCTAGTCGCAATTGTGTTGCGCTCGTCGCCTATTCTACCTCGACGGTGTCTCCTCCCCTGCCGCGTAATCGGCGACCGGTCAAAGTCCTCATATGTCGTAGGTGCCCAGCTGGATGCGCTGTTCGATGCCATTCGGTCGCTCTCTGGAATCGATCGCAGTGTCGTTTCGAAATCCTCCGCCCACCTGTTGAGATTCGCCGTCGCCCGATCACGCTCATCCTGCCCGTGTTCCACCCGTCCGCCCGGCCTACCTAGCGCCATCAGGCTGAACGCGAGATACTGCCCCACCGCGGAGCTAGACTGCATATGCTCTGGATGAGCCAACACCTCCGGCCAGGGCTCTGCCAGGTGATAATACAACGTTTCAGGCTCGGCCCAGTCCACCTTGAGGAAGACGGTCGCCTCGCCAGTTGTCAGCAACCCGTACTCGAGACCGCCCTCGATCATGTAGTGATACGTTTGTGTGAGGGCAGACGCCGTCAGTCTCTCGGCGTGATATTCAAAACGGCCGTCCGGGTCCACAGATGGCGGGATCGTCTTCCGATTGACGACTTCCTTGTAGATATTCATCGGCCGTAATCCGGCGCGGAGATGCGGAGCTGTGAGCTTATGGGGTGCCTTATACTCGGACACATAGATCATCGTCCGCTTCTCCGGGGATGGGTCATCACCAGACCGATAAATGCAGATTTGGTCGGGCCGCAGCTGATGAAGATCTCGTCGGTGGTCCGGTGTTTGCGGCGGTGTTGACGGGTTCTCCCGGGCGACTACTTCCTCTGCGACGTCGCTGATGGCGTGAGGATGGTTCTCGAAGACGATCCCGTTTCCCATGTCGAATGCGTCGCACACCTCGTCAATCTGCCTGAGTTGCTCCATGATGACTCTGACAGGATCTTCGACACTATTATGCATGAAGTATTCCAGCGTCTTCTCATCTGCTATCGATCGTTGCGCCACTCTCCTTCCTAGACCGGCTAGGAAGTTTTTGCTCTCGAAGACACGAATGCCGACGGGCAGACATTCGTAGAGAGTATCGAAAACGCTCCCCTGCTGTTCCAGGAACCGTGGCCAAGGCTCAAGACTAGTAGGGCACAGCTTGTTTCGAGGGTTGGTGATGGAACCCCTTGACGTAAGCCTGCGGTCTCTTTCCACCGTGAACTGGGAAAAGACGTGGTGATGACAAGCAGCGATGTACTCGTCGAATGTGGTCGGTCGCGTCTGTTCCTCTGCTTCTTCGGCGCGTTGCTGCTCCTTCTCGGCGCGTTGCTGCTCCTTCTCGGCACGATCTCGCTCTTGTTGACGCTCTCGTTCTGCTTCTTCGGCGCGTTGCTTTTCGCTTGCAATGCGTTCTTCCGCCTCACGAAGTCGCCTCTCTAGCTCCTCGATTTTGTTTGTTTCCTGCATGTGGTAGTGATGTTGGTTGGAACTTGCTAAACGTGTGTTTTTTGATGTTGACGACAACCTTCGTGGAAACGATGGTTACAAAAAGGCTAGAGACAGTTGAGAAGGCAACCACATCATGTCACGTGACTCGCCTGAAATTCTTCCTGACCAACGCACCTAGTTGGCTGCCCCACCTAGTTCTCCACCCACACAGTCTCGCGAAGAGGGCAGGCAAAGGGCGACGTTACCCGTTGATCTTGGTGTGGGGCCACAGCAGCCCAACTAAGTGTCTTCGCCACTTAGTTGGCCCAAAAAATCCGGGACAGCACAAAAACCCCCGGAACAATCCTGGGGCCTAGTAATTTACTAGAAAAAGTGTTAAGAAGTTAGTACTTCTTTGAAAATACGCTAAAATCTGAGGTACTTAATTCTTAACAGTTGTATTAGTAATTTCCACTATTCTAAGATTGTCCCGGGGGTTTTTGTGCTGTCCCGGATTTTTTGGGCCAACTTAACGGCAGTTAAGTTGGTCAGCCGCGCCTGCCTTTGACCAACGGGTATGTGTGTGTATTTTCCGTCCAGCGCCGTCAGGCCGCTCAGGTCCCGGTGGGGCACAGGACGTGCTGAGCTAGGCTATCGAGAAAATCCTGCCACAGTAGGCTTCATCCAGCGCTTCTTGCAAGGCCTCGCAAGGGCGAGCTGTCGGGCTCAATCCCCGGAGACGACTTTCCTACCTCCTCCCCTCGTAGTTTTTCGCTAACTTCATCAAGGTAGGGTTGCGCGATGCTTTGACGACGATACACCTCAGCTTTGGCCTGTGGACGTCGCCGAATCGTTTTGCGATTGTGGCTTGTCTCGCACACTTCATCGACCAGGGGGCACGCCAGCAGTCGCGGCTGCTTGCACTTCGACGTCAATTCGGCATCCATAGCGGAAAGAACCTTGCTGCGTCACTCGTGGGCATCGTCCAGGACTGGGAGATCCGGGGGCGAGTCGGCTGTGTTGTCTCTGACAACTTAGTCACAAATGATCATTGCCTGCACTACATTACAAGCAGCTGGACTTATCCATGAGAACCGCTGACATCAAGGCACGCCGGATGCGTTGTTATGAGCACACTCTCAATCTTGTTGCGCGGGCCTTTCTCTACGGCAAAGATGCAGAGTCCTTCGAACTCGAATCCGAGATCAATTGCATGCGAGGCCTTGCAGAGCAGGACCTCGGCCACTGGCGCGCGAAAGGGCCCATCGGGAAACTTCATAACGTTGTCAAGTTCATCCGATCGTCGCCACAGCGGAGCGAACACTTCAATCGCATTGCGCAGGAGGAAGAGTATGAGGAACATCGGCTTTGCGAAGAGTCAACTGCGGAACTGGAGGTCATCCTGAACAACGAGACTCGGTGGAGCTCCACATACATGATGATCGAGAGGGCTTTGAGGAATCGAACGGACATCCGGGCATTCATCTTTGCACTTGAAGGCGAACAAGATGAGGCAAAACGCATCCCGGCGGCTGACATATTATCGAATGAGGATTGGCGCGTACTTGGTGAAGTCAATGCGATTCTCAAGCCAATATACCTTCAGACAATGCGGACCCAGGGCTGGGGCAAATCTGACGGCCATGGGCACCTGTGGGAGGTGTTGGTAGGGATGGAATATCTCTCAGAGCACTTTGAGGACTGGAAGGCATTTACGCGGAGATGACAACACTGACGATGAGTCAAGCTACCTTGGTTGACCTCGAGCCGGTTGAAGCAGCGTCCATTCCCACTGACTCGCCAGGAGGCCGGCCAAACCGTGCGCGTCGTCTCCCCGCTCGCTTTGATGATGACGAGGTTTACGTAGCCAGACAGCGGACCCAAACGTCAAGGTTCACAGAGTTGGCTTTGCCAGAGCAATATCACTTTTAGTCACCTTCACCCTCATATTGCGAGGCCCAGGCAATCCTTCCACTCGACAGGCGTTTCTTCTGCGGCGGCAGCATTTTTCGCACCTTCATCGGCGAGAGCGTTCCACTGGCGTGGGATCTTCCAGAACTGGATGACCAGGCCATTACGGTGGGCCTTCTCACACCCCAAGAGCATCTCCCACAAGTCCTTGTTCTTGACGTTGCCGCCGCCAATTCCCTTCTTACCTTTCGTCCTCCAATTGTTCTGCACCCAAGCCTTCGCCCACTGTGTCGAGCCCTCCACGACGTACTCAGAGTCGGTGGCGATGATGACTGTGCTGAAGCCCTCGCCCGGCCAGTGTCGGAAACGCAGGGCGGCGATGACAGCTCGCAGCTCAGCCCGGTTGCTGCTTTGGATGCCGTCATCACCCCAAGGGCCCTGCTTTTCCAGACGACCTGAGACCACGAGCGGTTGGCCTTCAATATTAAGCCCCTGTACAAATGCCCAACCTGCCTTCGGATTGGATTGGCCGTTGTTAAGGCATGCTCCGTCGGTCATGATGAGAAGCATGGACTTGTCGTTGGGGTAGGTGCACCTGTGATCACGGACCGCGGGTTAGCCAGGCACGAGAAAGTACGTAACGAAGAAGAAAAAGCTTCATACCTGACGATATTCATGAAACGAACCCTGCCGCGAAACAGCTCCATCGGTCGCAGGGGGCTAGTGGGATGTCGAAACTTGGAGGGGAACACCAGACCAGTGCCCCTCATCACGTCAGATCCTAGGGAAGGGATGGCGATGGTGGATGGCGGCGCAAAAAGGAGCCACGTCATGATCCTCATCATCTTCCTCGTTGTCCTCGATGTCTTCACCAAGGACATCGTCCATAAAGCTGTAGTCGCTGCAACATATACCACAACGCACCAATCCATGAGGTCCACAGACAAGTCGACCGTTTGGCAGCTCACAAGGGCCTTCGTCGTCGTCGCTGCTGCTGTAGCCGAGTGGGACTAGGCCCTGGGCGAGGTACCAGCCGCGAGGCATTGCGGATGCCTGTTTTCTGCCGCTCTGTTCGGTATGTTTGTGCTGAGGTATTTCATTTGACCAAGTGGTGGTCGTGAAGGGAAGGTCGAGAGCGGGGCAGATTGCAAGCTGAGGTAAGATACTTACCGGCAGCCAATCAATAACGTAATCCACCCCCTTCCCGGTCAGACCCTGTCAGACATTTGGCTCCACACGGGTCAGAGATGGCATCAGGCAATTGATGAGAATTATCTAAAGAACAAGAAGTGAACGAACGAACGCACGGAGTTGTGCAGCTCTTTATACGCAAATGAAAGGTCCGTCGCGTGATTACGCAGTACTAGGGGGGTCTAAAAGTCGACCCCCCGCGCTTGAACATCAAGCACGGGGGGGCCATTGACTAGGAAAAGGGTGACTGACTGGGAAAGGGAAAGGTACCTCTATCTCGCTGAGAAATTAGTGCAATAGAAAGTACCGCATTATACCGCTTATTTAGATCGCCCCGATAAATAAATCTACCTCAAAAGGGGTACTTTCACTTACTGCCCAGATATCCGTAAAGTAGAGTACTCCCAGGCATTTCCCAGTCAGTGACCCTTTTCCTAGTCAATGGCCCCCCCGTGCTTGATGTTCAAGCGCGGGGGGTCGACTTTTAGACCCCCCTAGTAGTGGTTGCCTAGCAGGCAACAGCGGCGTTGCGAGTAACATCGCCACTTCATGAATAATCATCCTAGGCAGGCTTGATATGCGACAGACCCCCTACTCGGTCAGAAAAACTCCCCACCGCCGCGACCCACACTTATGGCAAGACAAGCCGAGCACGATGACGGCGACGGGAGACCAATCGGTTCCACGCGAAGAACGGGTCCTGCTCGCCGTCAGGGCCTATCAGCAGGGCCAATTCGAAAGTACCCGCAAGGCTGCGGCCGCATACGACGTCCCTTAATCGACAGTATCTAATCGACTGCGCGGTGTCATTCGCCGACGCGACGCTCAGATGAACAACCTGAAGTTGACGGAGACGGAAGAGACTGCCCTGGTACAATAGATCTTGTCGATGGACGAGCGAGGGATGCCGCCGATAGTGGCTTATACTTGTCGGATGGCCAACTGTCGATGGAACGTTATGCCAATACACATCGGAATAAGAAGGAGGTCACACACGAAGGTTCAAGATGCATGTTCTATGTCTAAAGGGGCAGTCTGAGGGGGCTATTTATACAGGAGGTCTTAGGGACTTCTGGGGACCTCCTGAGTAATGGGCTCTACCCACGCATACGTGGCTGTGCCCACGCATAAAGGGGTTGCCTTCCTTACTCAGGAAGTCCTCATGCGTTCCTGCTACATGGGCCAGGAATCCCTTCTCCGGGTCCCTCCCTAACAGGGCTACCCTGGTCCACCGACACCAACTTATTGCTTTCCGAGCGAGGCAAAGATCCTGTCGGGGAAAACTAGGTGCGGAAGTTTATTGGCCGCCACGGCGATATTAAGGCAAAAGTCTTTGATCCGAATATACGGCGCCGTATAGTTAGTACGCATCGACTTCTTATTCTCGACGGGCACGGCAGCTACGTCAGGCCGGAATTTGACAAGTACTATACGGCTAATTCCATCGTGGTACTTATCGCACGGGGTGTAGAGCAGCAGCAAGCATGAAGATCAGGAAGTGGAAGAACTCTTGATTTAGCTATCTAGAGGGGAAAAGGAGCAACATCTTTATAGATGACATAAAGGAGTGGCTGGGAGATGCTAGAAGCATCTGATCATATACTGTAGGTGTCTGATCATTTGTACGATAGAGCGCACATCGCAGAAGGATATCACGTGCGTCATCAGGGAACAACGATTACCCGCACACACACACACAACCTATCAAACCTCACCGCATGGTCTAGATAGAAAAAGAATAACAAGAACAACATGATCACCGATCAAAGACCCAACTGAGCCTCAGTTAGCCTATCCACACTGATCAGTTGTTACCTGGCTGGTAACCTCAGAGCAGCAAGATAGAAGAGAGTCTTTCTAAGCATCATCTGCATCAGATTGCCCTGCGAAGTTAAGATTGCTAGAACGCGAGACTGACTACGAAGACCCGACCGGCGCCCACTCTATTCAGTCAACCGTGCCTAGTTGTTTGCCTCAGCCGCTGACCTCTTAGGCGTGCCCTATCGCACATACAAATCTCTGGTATCCCGCTTGATTATCAGCTTCATTGATCACTCTCGATCAATTTGACCTCTCTTGACACCTTCTTGCCCTATTCCTCGCAGATTTTCCTGTCAAGCCCCATCCGACATCATGAGCAGCAGCGCAAGCGGCACCAGCGCGAACGCGAACGCACCGACGCTCGACATCAACGAATTCCTCGATATTGCTGAATTCAACCGTGGCCTCGCCACAATCTTCAACATGGACCTCTTCAACACCCCAGTCAACGAGACTTCCGATGAGATCCACTATAATACCTTCGTTCTCGCCCGCATCGTTGATTATAAAGTCTCTCAACATGTCAAGGTCTCGAGCTGCTTGGATCATTCCAAGAAGACTTTGAGGATTGGGAGGAAGACGACTTCAAGAAGGTCGATCCAAGGGTCCGTAAGGTCCTACGGAATACCCTAAGGTTCAGAGGAATCTATACAGGAAAGCTGAACGCAAAGATCACGGCATTCCTAGTAAATCTGAAGAACCGTGACCGACTTCCTGAGTGGGATGAAGACGATCTTCGTGATGCCATCTTATACGAGAAAACGGCCGCCTACCGACGCCAACAAGAACTCCTCAGACGATCGCCATCGCTAGCAACAACCCCAGCACCAACCCCAGCACCAACCCCAGCACCAGTCACTCCCGATCTAAACCTCCCGCAAGACCCCCCCAATGACCAATCCCTACCCCTGTCACGATCGAATCAACAGCAGCAGGAACTTATGATCAGACCAGCTATCGACCGCGAAGCTTACCGGACCGTGCCCCCAGTCCAGGTCCCCAATGAAGACCTCGATCCTGCCATCGCCAACCAGTTTTCTAAGCTATGGGATCGAAAGCTCAACTATTCAGGTGACGCCTACGATATCCTAGATGATAAGATCCGTTACTTTCTCGATGCCTGCCTCACAGCTAGCATCAAACCGTCACAATTCCACGCTTTGCTCTCAAATATCCTCACGAAGAGAGCAAAGAACTTCTTCGTGCATCAAGTCAGCCGCGATTCAACGTTCGCGGAGATGTATCAGAAGATGAAGCAGCACTTTGATACGGAAGTCAATAGGCAACAGTATCACACTGACTGGACCTCGATCAATTTCACACAGCTTCGGAAGGAATCCCGAGAAGCCTCTCTGTGAAATCCTCCAGGCTCTTCTTGACAAATTGCAGCTATGCCAGAGAGCTCTTGGGAATAGCTATGGCGGCGAAGACCAGCTAATTTCAACGACAATTCGAGCATGCCGTGGCGTGCCTGAATTAGAATTCGCCCTCTTCGTGCCGGCTAAGACCTTCGAGGGACTATCTTCACAGCTAAGATCGTCACTCACAACCGTCAGCCAAAGACAGCCCGGACAGCCCAGTCAATATCTTCAAGATCAAGACCAATTCTTTACTGACCGCCGCTATCAGCACCCCGCTGACAAAAGGAAGAAGTGGACGAAGCGCTGCTACGTCTGCGGCAAAGAAGGCTGTTTTTCAACGAAGCATCCGGATGACGAGAGAAAGAGGCCAAGGAAAGATATCTTCGAGAACGAGGATTTCACGGCCAGAAGTCATCTTCCCGTCCATTTACTACGTTCCTTGCCGATTACGAAGGGGACCCAGATGAAGATCAGACCTCTGATTCTGCTGACGATGACTCTGACGATCAAAGCGATAGCTTCTTTGCAGCTGCCTTCCTATCTAATAGAGCTTTTCGCCACCGCATTCACACCGTCGAGGGAGAATCGATATGCGAGGAATCACAGCATTTCTTGCTCGATCGCTACAACCGGACCTCTTCCAAGGGATCCTGCCTGACACGGGTGCAGCGAAGATATCTACAGCTGGGATCGACCAATTCCGCGCGCTCCAACGAGAGATGCCGACGGTCCAGCTACGGAAGAATGCGACGATCGCAACGGTCAGATTCGGTGGAAACGAGCCGACGAACACGATCGGGATCACAACAGTCATCACCCCGATTGGAGAAGTCGTTTTCCACGTTATCAATATGTCAACGCCCTTCTTGCTATGCCTCAAGGATATGGACCGTCTCGGTGCCTATCTCAACAACGTCACGAACGAATTGATCTGCGGCGATAAGAGGATTCCGATCGTACGCAAATGGGGTCATCCGTGGTTCTTCCTACGGAAGGATGAAGCCGCTATTGCCTTCCTATCCGAAGCCGAGCTTCGGCGCCTACACACTCGCTTTGGCCACCCGTCAGTACACAAGCTACATAAGCTACTGACAAGCGCTGGGCATGATGTTGAATTCGAAGCAATCGCGATGATCCGAAAATTCTGTCATTTTGCCAGATCAAGGCAGACGCACCGCGCAGGTTCAAATTCACGTTAAAGGATAACTGCGATTTCAACTACGAATTGATCGTCGATGTAATGCATCTTGACAGCCGGCCAGTCCTTCATGCCGTTGACCTAGCAACCTCTTTCCAAGCCGGACGATTTCTTCAGAATATATCGGCTAAAGAGACGTGGGAAGCACTCAAATTGTGTTGGATTGACACATACCTAGGCCCTCCAGATGTTATCACGCACGACGCTGGTACGAATTTTGCCTCCTCTGAGTTCCAAGCAGAAGCGAAGCTGCTAGGAATAACCTGTCACCAAGTGCCCGTCGAAGCCCACTGGTCAATTGGCAAGGTGGAGAGATATCACGCCCCGATTCGAAGGGCATACGAGATCTTGAAAGCCGAGCTAAAACAGCATCAGCTGAGTCGTTGCTTCAAATGGCCTTCAAATCCGTCAATGATACCGCCGGACCTGACGGTCTAGTGCCCACACTACTAGTCTTTGGTGCCTACCCTCGGATAACGATGGATTCGCCGCCTTCTGCTTCCGCGATCACACGTGCGAAAGCCGTGACGAAAGCTATGGCAGAGCTACGCAAGCTTGTAGCTAAAAGGAAGGTCAATGACGCCCTCAATGCCCGTAATGGGCCCAACTCGATTGAGAAGATGCCACTATCATTGCCGCTTGGTAGTGAAGTTCGAGTATTTCGTGAGAAAGGAGGATGGAAAGGCCCATACAAGGTCCTAGCTGTGACAGACACAGAAGTCACAGTTGAGCTAGACAACGGGCCAGCTAAATTTCGCAGCACGGCTGTCCAGCCCTACTTTCGCCACCCGGATTCGCAGCAGCAACGAAGTCACGATGTTCTACAGCAGCCACACGCTGACAATCAGACTGCTGACAATCAGGCTGATAGCATCAACGTTGAGACCGAAGTGCCTAAGCCATTCGAATATCCCGAGCCGGAAAGACCACGCAGACGCGGCAGACCAAGAAAAGTCCCTCGAGATCAGCAGCAATACGATACCTTCGTTCCTTCTAGTTATTTCCTTAGTCTTAGCCCTTTTTCGTTACCTCGATCTCAATTTTCACCCGCTAATATGTTTCTATCGCATAAGGAGTGCGCCGCCCTCGACCTTGCCGTAAAGTTACGTGCAGAGAAGAAAATCACTACCGCCGGACGACCGTTTGAAGCCTCTGATGACCTCGAAATCACGAACCTGCTAGGCGCAGGCGTCATCGTGCCCGAACGATACGATATGAATAAGCATGGAAAACACAGGCTATTCAAGTCACGAATGGTCCGGGAGGTCAAAGGCAAGAACACTGCTACACCGTACGAGAAGTCTCGTCTTGTGGTACAAGGATATGGTGACGACGAGAAGCGTGAGATCCTCACGCAGGCTCCAACAATCTCCCGTCCTGCCCAGCGGGTAGTACTCGCTCTTTCCCTTTCCTTTGCTCTTTGAAGATGTCTCTTGCTATCCGAGACATTACGATGGCCTATACGCAGGCATCGACCACTTTGAATCGCACTATCCTCATCTCTTTGCCACACGAATTAAAAGAGAGATACCCAGGGGGAACCATCCTTCGTGTGGTCAAGCCATTGTACGGAATCGCTGAAGCAGGCGCTCATTGGTTCAATACGTATCATGAGCATCACCGCATCAAGCTACAGATGGAGCCGTCAACGTTTGATCCATGTTTAATGATAACGACCGCAGAGATCAACGTCACGACCGCAGAGACCAACGCGGATACCGCACTTCAGGTTAATGCCTTCGGCGTTGCCGCGCTTCAGACTGATGATACGTTATTGGTAGGCACAACAACATTCCTGCAACGTGAAGACCGCGAGCTATGCTTCCAAGCCAAGCCAAAGAAGACCCTACGAGAAGGCGATACCTGTGATTTCAACGGCAGCCTCATTGCTCTAGAGAAGGGCTATCTTCTAGTCATGCAGAAAGGTCAGGTCAACAACCTCAAAATTATCGATCTATCCACGGAAGATCGGGCCCAACGATACGTGGAACAACGTGCCCGTGGCGCCTATATAGCCTCAATTTGTCAACCAGAGGCTAGCTTCGATTATTCAATCGCGGCACAATCACAAGATCCAACCGCGGAGGATTTTCAGGCGTTGAATAAACGGATCCAATGGCAGATCGACAATCCACAAAGAGGCCTTCGATTTGTCCCAATAGGTCTAGAAGCAGCAAAGGTCTTCGTCTTCACAGACGGATCATTCGCCAACAACAAGGACTTAAGCTCTCAGATCGGATTCGTTATAATCATTGCAACCGAGACTAAGTCAGATGAGTCATTCACGATCCACGGAAACCTGATCCATTGGAGCTCGACGAAGTGCAAGAGAGTCACCCGCAGCGTCTTGGCTTCTGAGATATATGGATTAGCTTCAGGCTTCGATTTGGCATATGTGATCACAGAGACGATCAACCAGATCACAAACCGCCTTGGATTGCCGCAAATCCCGCTCGTGGTGTGTACGGATTCGTATAGCCTATACGAGTGCCTCGTGAAGCTTGGCACTACGACGGAGAAACGCCTGATGATCGATATCATGGCGTTGAGGCAAGCGTACGAACAGAGAGACATCACAAGCATCCGTTGGATCAATGGTGCGGACAACCCGGCTGATGCAATGACGAAGCTATCTCCGAACGGAGCCTTGACCCGATTCGTCAACGACAACGAGATCACGATCCGGCTTGAAGGTTGGGTTCAAAGGAAGGAAGATATGACGATTGAAGAGGCGATTAACGATTGACGATTTCCCTTGGTTATTTCCCCCCCCCCCCCTATTATCTGATGCGTTTGCTTCGACTTTAAAAGAGCTGCCAGTGTCTGATCATTTGTACGATAGAGCGCACATCGCAGAAGGATATCACGTGCGTCATCAGGGAACAACGATTACCCGCACACACACACACAACCTATCAAACCTCACCGCATGGTCTAGATAGAAAAAGAATAACAATAACAACATGATCACCGATCAAAGACCCAACTGAGCCTCAGTTAGCCTATCCACAATGGGGGAGATATTAGCTAGGCTGCCGACGCCCCACTCTCTCTCTTTAGCATCTGGAATGGCCGCCTAGTGACGAACAATGCTGCATCCGCATCCCTTTGAGTGCGCGAAGGCCGGTCAGGGGTCACGAGCAGGGATACCAACCAATGATACATAGCGCTATAGACAGTACTTAAATTTACTAGCAAATTAGGCTATGATAGAAGTCCCAACAATGCGGGCTTGTACAAATAGCTACTTTACACTCGCTGCAGCCCAGGTCTGTTTTCTTTGGCACCTTATTACCGCTAGCTGCCCCCAACGGCATGCGTTGACTTTGTGATCGAGGCTGCCCAGCCTTAAAGCCTTTACAAGCAACGCAGCGAGACCCTTTTGAATGCTTGACGTGTTTGTGTTGTGATAAAGGCGTAAAGATGTCGCCTGCCCGAAACCTTTGTCTTGAGCTACCGTCTTTGCTGTAAGCCTCGCAAAGATCTCTCAAAATGCGTTGCCGCCACTCACGCTGTGAGGTTATTCGTGGCCAGCTTGGCTGCCCCCAAAGCTGTAAAAGAAAGCTGTTAATAAGAGCAGTCTCAAGCAGGAAGGTCCACGCAAGTGCCCGCCAATTTCCCCTATAAACACGATGGTCTAATCCCCCCCCTGCTCTTAGTTGGTCACCAATATCAACGCCGCCCATTTGATCATTGTAGACTGCAGCAATAGACGGCACAGGAAGACGTAAGACAGGCTCGGTACCGAATTTTTGCTATATAGGGCGTGCTCGGGGCTGTGCTGTTGTCGGCCGGCGCCGAATTCGCTCTTCGAATTCCTTGCCCGAATAGACTGTTGAGAGGAATAAGACTAGGGCATTGTCTTTCCATGCGAATTGGTTGACCTAGAGAAGAAGAAGAAGACAGATTAATAAGGGAATTACTAGGAAGCCTGTCTCTTGACTCTGACTTACCTGCCCGTTAGGGGTAGGTGCAGTCTTCAGCATGCCCCAAGGCCAACAGTCACCCTTTGTGTTAGCTTTCTTCGCCTCCACAAAGGGCTGATAGAAGCCATAGTTGACTCGGGCTGTGCCTGTAGCCCCAATCGGGCCAATCCCTAGCTGACGAAGGGCGGTAAGAAGGTTCGGCGAGGAAAAGAGGTTATCGAAGAAGACATGGTATGTCTGTTCTGGCAGCTGCTTGACTAGAGCAACAACGACGCTCTGGGTCGGGTTGAGAGAAATGCTGCCCTCTGCCGTGCCTATGGCCCTCTTCCTTTTCTTCCCAGCAGCCGGGCCAAGGGCGTTGGAAGGTTGGTGCCAAAGCCACCGAACAAAATAGCCTGCTTGGGCCACAACCCATACTTTGAAGCCCGTGGGCGTAGGCTTGTTCTTGACAGTGACTGTCTGCTTCGACCTACCTGTATAGCCGACGATACACTCATCCACAGCCAAACAAGTGCCTAGTTAACAGAGGGCAAGAGACGCCTGTTGTATGTGTTCGGCCCACTCATTGACCTGTGCGAAGGGCGCAGGAAGCCCACACGAGATGCTACTCGAGTCGCTAATCCGTATATGCCGTTGGAGAAGAAAGAAGCGGTCAAATGACATATACTGAAGGATTGGGTGTATAGGGACTATTGAGGCTGCTGTAGAAGTCTTCCAATAGTCTCGGACTCTTGTTTCCTTATGTAGGCCCATATAAATTAGAGTAGCGACCCAGGGAAAGACCTCTCCAAGAGACGTCTCTGACCAGCTATTCTCTCGCGAATGCTGCTGCTTTGGACCCTCTGGGCCCGGCCTTGGACCGTCATTTGTGTACCCGACCCAGCCCTCGACTAGGGATTCGGGTAGGAATTGCTGGAAAAGTAACAACGGCGTTGGTGGCAGCTGTCGGGGCTGCGGCTCGCGCTCGGGAAAGTAAAAAGGGGTAAATTCGGGGCCCCGTTCGGGCTCGGGATCGAATATAGGGCGGATTGTGCTGTCGATAGGCTGCTCGCGCTGACAGTGGTCTAGCCGCACATAGAGGGTATGTTCGAAGCTATTCACAGCTGGAATAGCTGTCTGCAAAGCTTGTGGATCTTGTTGCGAAGCCATAGAGCTTAATTTGAATGCATTGCTAGGACAATTGACTGTTAAAGGTTTTGCTGATGCTGCTAGCCCCTGAATGTGTATCTGACATGTAGCTACGTATTGTGGGGCTCGTGACCCCTGACCGGCCTTCGCGCACTCAAAGGGATAGTCAGCTACGCATTTCTCGGAGCAATTGATGCAAGCCAAGAGGTATGCAGCGTGTATGGCTATGCTTCTATGTGCGCTAGGCCTCGCAGCATGGCCAAGCCCGCGCGGCAGGCAGTCTGTCTGCCTTTCATACCGTCGATCCTTGGCCAGCTTCCACCCATTTGGTGTTCCGTCGTTGTCTATCAAGCCGCAATTCGGGCCCCAAAAGCAGTAGATACAAGCCGCATGGCTAACTACCTACCTAGCAACAATTGTTGTTTTTGAGGGTTGCCTTCCCTTTTGTCAGCTGCACTGGGGGATCTCTTCCTCCTAGTTAGCTCATCAATGATTTTCTCCAGCCTCTCCAGCGTCTCTTCAATAATTACCAGCGCAAAGGAAGTACTGACAACGGGTTCCAACCGACGCTACCCTGAACCAGCGCCATGCTGGACTGTTTTCGACTGTCAGCGTTGAAGCCGGTGCCTAGGACCAGCAGATGCTCACGCCCCCCTCGTGCGCGAGGAAGTGAAGCTGTCTCTGCTAGGTCGACCCCTCCGTAAACGTGGAAACAAGGACTCACTCAATTCCGATCGCATCGTTGACGTTGACCTTCGGAACCGGGAACGGTGCCTCAGAAGTCATGTTGCCGGAGAACTCTGTGGCAACATTAAATCACAGTTGCAGAAATCCTACGATCGACCATTGGCTAACCTTGTAAAAGCTTTGACAAAACTCCAAGCGTCCTGGTGGCAAATCAGAGGCATATAGAACAGTCGCTCTCCCTAGATCCCTTTCTTTGTCAAAGATATTAAAACTCTAAGAAAACCCCTTCCCTCCGAGACCCCTCGTCTCGCACTCTAACCTACCGGGCGTCGTTGGCGTACCTGGTGGCCGTGCTCTCATGGTTAAATCCATAAACTCTTCCATATTGTCAATATTGGCATTTCTGACCCCGTCTGGCATGTTAATATAGGACATCCTATTCTCGATATACCAGCTAAATTGTTCCTCAAAGGCTCGGTGGAATAAAATCTTAAATAGTGACCCCGCGGGTGGGCCGCTGAGAAGGGTAGAATAGAAATTCTCATGTTTTCTTAGTACGGCCTCTGCCAAATGGCCTGCACTCTTAGACTCTAGTAGTCCTACCACGGCCGCTAGGATCCTGTTAGACAAGCTCGACTGCTTCTGCAGGACCTCCAGGGCGGCCCGTTGCACTTCCGTGTTTTCGTCACCTAGCTGTTGGACCACGGTCGTAAGGATCTCGTTAGGCAAGCTCGACTGCCTCTGTAGGACCTCCAGGGCGGCCCATCGTATATTTGCATCTTTGTTGCCCAGTCGTTGGGCGGCGGCCGCGAGGATCCTTTCAGACAAGCTTAACTGCCCCTGTAGGGCCCCTAGGACGGCCCGTCGTACGCCTGCGTCTGTGTCATCTAGCCGTTGGACCACGGCTACGAGGATCTCGTCAGGCAAGCTTGACTGTCTCTGTAGGGCCCCTAGGACGGCCCATCGTACGCCTGCGTCTATGTTGTCTAGCCGTTCGACCGCGGCTGCGAGGATTTCGTCAGGCAAGCTCAACTGTCCCCGTAGGACCTCCTGGGCAGCCAATCGTACGCCCGCGTCTTTGTCGCCTAGCCGTTGGACCACGGCTGCGAGGATCTCGTTAGACAATATTGACTGCTTCTGTAGGGCCCCCAGGGCGGCCCGTCGTGCGCCTGCGTCTGTGTAGACTAGCCGTTGGACCGTGGCCGCGAGGATCTTGTCAGATAAGCTCGACTGTCCTTGTAGGACCTCCTGGGAAGCCAATCGTATACCTGCGTCTTTGTCGCCTAGCCGTTGGACCGCGGCCGCGAGGATCTCGTCAGGCAAGCTTGACTGCTTCTGCAGGACCTCCTGGGCAGCCAATCGCACGCCCGCGTCTTTATCGCCTAGCCGCTGGGCCGCGGCAGCGAGGATCTCGTCAGACAAGCTTGACTGCTTCTGTAGGACCTTTAGGGCGACCCGTCGTACGCCCGCGTCTTTGTCGCCTAGCTGTTGGACCGCGGCCGCGAGGATCTCGTCAGACAAGCTTGACTGCTTCTGTAGGACCCCTAGCGCGGCCCGTCGTACGCCCGCGTCTTTATCGCCTAGCCGTTGGACCGCGGCTGCGAGGATCTCGTCAGACAAGCTTAACTGCCCCTGTAGGGTCCCTAGCGCGGCCCGTCGTACGCCTGCGTCCTTATCGCCTAGCCCTTGGACCGCGGCTACGAGGATCTCGTCAGACAAACTCGACTGCTTCTGTAGGACCCCTAGTGCAGCCCGTCGTACGCCCGCGTCTTTGTCGCCTAGCCATTGGACCGTGGCCGTGAGGATCTCGTAAGACAAGCTTGACTGCTTCTGTAGGACCCCTATCGCGGCCCATTGCACGCCTGCGTCTTTGTCGCCTAGCCGTTGGACCGCGGCTGCGAGGATCTCGTCCGACAAGATTGACTGTTTCTGTAGGACCCCTAGCGCGGCCCGTCGTACGCCCGCGTCTTCATCGCCTAGCCGTTGGACCGCGGCCGCGAGGATCTCGTTAGATAAGCTCGACTGTCCCTGTAGGACCCCTAGGGCGGCCCATCGCACGCCTGCGTCGTTGTCGTCTAGCCATTGGACCGTGGCCGTGAGGATCTCGTTAGACAAACTTGACAGCCCCTGTAGGACCTCCTGGGCAGCCCATCGCACGCCCGTGTCTTTGTCGCCTAGCCGTTGGACCGCGGCCGCGAGGATCTCGCTAGACAAGCTCAACTGCTGTAAAGCCTCCCGGGCGGCCCTTCGTACGCCCGCGTCTTTGTCGCCTAGCAGTTGGGCCGCGGCCGCGAGGGTCTCATCAGATAAGCTCGAGTGTTTCTGTAGGACCTCCTGGGCAGCCCATCGCACGCCCGTGTCTTTGTCGCCTAGCCGTTGGACCGCGGCCGCGAGGATCTCGTCAGATAAGCTCGACTGCTTCTGCAGGACCTGCTGGGCGGCCCGTCGCACGGTTCCGTCTTTGTTATCTAGCTGTTGGACTACGGCCATGAGGACATTGTTTGTTAAGTCCGTGCGAGAAGCCCGTAGTACCACAAGGACCTCGGCACTCAATAGCGGGGAGTTGCCACCTATCAACCAACAAGCCACCTGTTCAATGACGCTTGGCGGGATTGCCGGTCGTCTTTTCAATGACCTGAGAATTTTGATCTTGACGCGATCAAGCCCTTCTCGTAAGGCATCGCGCAAGACCTGCTCTGGAAATTCCATTTCGCTTGTTAAGTGTACCTCCCGTCGATAAGTGCATTCGAAGAGTAGCCACTGCCTCAGTTTCTCTTCCAAGCACTGTCTGAGCGGCATCTTGGTCGATACTTCGCTCAAGCAATGCATGACCAGCCGTTGATGCGTAGGGCCCAAGAGGTCCAGCGGCTCCTCCTCGATCGCGTGGAAGAAGCCAAGCGCCCCTCCCTCATCCCTGGGGTCTCCCTCATACTGAACAGCTATTAAGCCGGCAACAAAGCGCCAAAATACGTCGTAGCGTGCCGAGTATTTTTGCTTCTGAAGAAACTCGACAGGAGAGACCTGCTTGGTTCCTTTGCCACTGAGATCCAGACACTTGAGCGGTTGCGCGGAACTCCAATGGCGCATGAAATATCGCGCCGCAAAGTACTCTTGAAAGGTTAGGTGTAAAAAGCGACAGTTTCGGTTGGAGTCTTTTGAGAAGTGGTCTGATGTCCGCAGAAAAGAAAGGCGTAGCAGTATTTTGTCGAGTAAGAGGGATTGGTGCTTGAACTGCTTCGATATCGCTGCCTGATGCTGTGGCGTGAAGTCTATTACGTCGTTGTACAGTCCCGTGAAAGCAAGACCTTCAAGAAAACATGCCTCATGCTCGATAAGGTCCTCGACATCTGAGACCCCGATCTGAGAATGCGTCACCAGTTCCCCGTTGTGTCTTTTACCCAATCGCACGGCATCCTTTCTCCACAGCCTTTTCTCGATGGCTCTGTATATGCCCGTCATTGTGTTCGGCACTATCCCAGTACCGAAGTCATCCCAAGTGTAACAAAGCGCGTCCAGCTGAATCGGGATTCGCATAAGCCCCTCGATGAGCCAATGTTCTTGAAGGAAGGACCGGACTTCGGCGGCCCGGTGTTTTATTTTCGGATCGACGTTGAGGTAGGCCTCCACTTGACCGGGGTAGAATCCAATTGTTTCCAATTCGAGATCAATATCTCGGAGAGACGGAAGGTTGGCATTTGGCCGCGATGTGATGACAACGTTGGGCTGATATAAAAGTTGCGCGAGAAAACGGGACATGTCGTTATCACCGCCTACATCCTGGGATACTTCATCCAATCCATCGAGGATGAACAAAGTCCTACCGCTATCGTCGTCCTTCAATATTCGCCACAGTTCTCTGGCGAGACGGCGGCCATCGTCGTACCCCTCTCCAGAGAAGTATTCATGGTAGAACAAATCCTCATAATTGTATCCCGCGGCTAACCGCCCTTTCAGATTTCGCAAAGATACCCAAAGCAAGCGGTCGAACAACTTCGCCCATAAGCAATGTAACTGTGTCTGATGGGTAAAATCGTAAACCATCTTTTTGCACAGGGTAGTCTTCCCAACTCCTGCGCGTCCTCGAATCAAGATTCGTCTTGGCTGTATCATGTGATTATCGTGCCCCTTCCGTTGGTTGAAGATTGTCGCCAAGTCAACCTGGATCGTCTCGTCTGGTGTCTCAACCTTCTGTCGAGCGAGGAGTGAAAACGGGGAGGACTGAGATGTATCCGCGCGGTCCACCTTATGTCCCAGCTGCTCCACAATGGCAAGATTGATATAACACTGATCAATTGGCAATAAGTCGCCCGAGAGGCGTTCAATCGTGAGCCTCTCGGGGGTACAATGCTTGTCTCGTATCCAGTCATCCGCTTCCTTCATGCGAATATTCCGCAGAAATTCTTCAACTTTTCCAGCAACACGTTCGTAATCGTGATCTTGAAAGTCGCCGCGGTCGCCGCAAAACTTATTCATCATTCGGTGGCCTCGATCGAGTGGCAGAGGGTGTGGAACCATTTGCAGTGTCGCTGAGGACTTATCAACAAGCTGATGACTATTAGCATTGTTCTATTACTGCGAACATGATATTATGGTCCGAGAAGGACGATGTGTTTTATGGTTCTTACTGGCTTGGCTCCAATAGGCAAGCAAGGGAAGACTTTGTGGTAAAGGTTCGTCTTGCCTAGTTCGTAGAAGGTCATTACTTGGGGGCAATTCGGGTCTCGGCACAACTGATCTCGATACAACTGAGTGAAGCTTCTGACAAGTTCGTCAATATCGACAGATTTTTTGACGCTATCGAGCAGTCTGGACACCTCCCGGCCTCCTAACGAAGCCCAGGCCCTGAGACCTGGCTCTGCCCATTTGGCCACGTCTTGAAACGAGGTGCCTCCGAAGGGAGTGGCAAGGAAGACGATACCACGCGTGGCTGTCCTGACGCAACGGTACTCGTTATCGGCCATGACAAGAGCCTTCATCAAGATGACGCCCCCGAGACACGACGCGATGAAGAGGATCGGCCGGTCTTGGCGCGTATGGTCTTTCATTGGTGTAGGCCGTCTCTTAATGCCATCGAGCAACTGCCGAGCAAACTCGTCATTCGTTTTTGGGGTCAAGTCCGACGGTTCGAACATGTCGGCCGGCCAGTCGCACGTGAGTATTCGAGCCCGTCCGACTTTGCTCGGGAGCATATGCGAGTCAGAGAGCCAGTTAATATCAGGCGTTTTGCGCTCTTTGTCCATCCATATCCAAGTGTCCGGTGACTTCGTGTCCAGGCCATGTATGGCAATGATGTCGACATCTGATTCGGTCTCATCCTCATTTGGAGCGGGAACCGGGCGTAGACGGACACCTCGCTTTTGCCCAGAGGGCGGTGTTGGTTCTTCTCGAAGGGGGATTGCGTTTGAGAGCCGCTGCTCCCCGCGCAGCCGAGATGCCCACTGCGGACGCGCCAGCCTGCGGCGGAGCCAAAGATAAAAGCCAACCGTTCCTGCAGTCAGGAAAATTACCTGGCTAATATTGACTGGGCTCATTATCTCGACTATCAGCACTGCCAAACGTTGGGGGTTGAACGTATGGCGGCTAGACCCGTCCGTACACGCGTTCGCCGCCATTCAAGCAGGGCGAGGGATCGAGCTGTCGATGGCGTGGCTCCCGGGTCGAACGGCACAACTGTGAAACGCACGAAGGAAAATGATGACTGCTCAAGTGCAGAAGCGTTTGCCCAAGACCGAACAGAGGAGTGTTTGCCCCTCACGCGGTCTAGGAGGTAATATTACTTGTTTTGGCCCCCAGCGCGGGGCCAACCCGCGCAACTAGTCGTCTGAGTTGCTCCTCGAAATCCAATAGAAAGGCGTTGGGTAGCGCTCGGCCCTTCGAGCACGGTATGTTGAGGTGAACGAGCTGAAAATTGCTTGCATGGTTGGATCAACGCCGCTGTGACTCGCCGCCGCATAATGTGCCTTCACGATCGCCACGGCGCTTAGGCGAGACACATGGCGAACCAAACCTAGGCGCAATTCTGGGTCAGGCGACAAATAATTCCCATTATGTCGATTGTGAAGGTGGGCGAAACACCGGCACGTTGCACTTCTTTTTCAGCATCTGTCAAGCTGGTAAAATACCGCTACACCAGGCAAAATAGGGGCACCTCCATTGGAGATGTTGTTTTGACAGCAATGTTGCGGATGATGGCGAGGGGCAATGATTGCGGGCGTAACGGGTCGTGTGAGGGACGATACCTAGGGACGATAGCGAGGTGATCAGCCGCACTAAAATACTGCGTCACACCTTGCACTTCAGGGATGTGGTGCAAGGCGTACTCGTGCCACGCCCCACTTTTCTGGATTCCGGTTCACCTTCACCAGCCAAGCTGGTCACAGACATCACTATTGCGACGTCCAGCTCGCAAAGGAAAGGCAAGGTCGGGTTGGGAGGCGTCGTTCGGGATGCTTCCCGCGACAGCGTAGACGAAGTGCTGGCCAGCTACTCCGTCACTCGGCTCCAGTGATGAGCAGAATGCCTACACAGCAGGACTCGAGGCAATCGCCACGGCTCTGAGGTGTGTACCTCTCGGTCTTCATGACCGAGATCTCACGGTTGTGACGAGCAACCGCTCTGTCCTGCAAGTCATCGGGCGGCCACGGCAACAGTCTGGTCAGTGCACGATACGGGCGATATACGGATCTGTTGAGTATCTGGCGAAAAGAGGCTGCAGAGTCAGACTTCGTTGGGTGCCTGCAAAGAATGAGGAGTTCACCCTTGGGCCACCGGCCAAAATGCAAGCGAAAAGAGCGACGCGAGACGAGTGCATCGCCGAACCAGCAACGTTTCAAGCAAGATCAACGACGTTACGACTGCTGCTCAACGAAAACGCTCGCGTTCGTCAGATCCCGGAAGGGGTTGGAAAGCACTCAAAGCGCATCGATAAGGCATTGCCGGGCAAGCACACCCGCAAGTTGTACGACGAGCTAACAAGAAAGGAATCCGAAGTGTTGATACAACTTCGAACTGGCAAATCGCGGCTGAATAGCTACCTCTGCAAAATCGGGGCGGTGGAATCGGATGAGTGCACTTGTGGGCAGTCTGCAGAAACAGTGGAGCATTTCCTCTTTCGATGCAGAAGATGGACGGTACAACGAGAGACCATGCTGCGATATGCGCGCGGAAAGGTGGGAGACTTGTCTTTCTTCCTAGGAGGCAAGGCAGAGTCAGACGACGACAAGTGGCAACCTGATATTGGGGCTGTGCGTGCGACGATACAGTTCGCATTGGCGACAAAACGCTTCAGTATGGACCGTTAACGGGCCATGTACTGATCAAGAACAACCATACTAACACAACAGCCTTCAACTTGGCAGACCGCGCTTCAGTCGCTGAAGGTAGGACGCTGAACACTTGGAGAAACTGACCTTCAAGCAGGCCTGTCATGTCACAGCGAACGAGGCTGGAAACAGATGGAAAGAAGCGTTGGGCTTTAGGTGAGGAGAAACCATGTATAGTAGGTACGTAGCTTAGCGTAGTGGCTCTATGGGGGAACCCTCCGGGCGTAATACAACCAAAAAAAAAAAAAAAAGCTGGTCACACTCCCTTGTATTCTTACTTTCTTGGCACCATCTGTTAAGGACTTCGCTGTACACAACACACATCCGCTAACAAGGGCGTTTAACACCACGCTCAGCGCAAGCTGAGGGCGGCGATGGCACCCAACCCCGCGGACCAGGCGCGACTGCCGCCCCAGGAACAAGAGCCGATGACTCCACGAACGCCCCAGGAGCTAGAGAAGCGCTCCTCCGGCAGGCCCACGCGCGGGTCTTGCCGAATTACTGTTGCCACGACGCGCACAGCAACCCGACGACTCTCCATTCGGCTCCACGAACAGCGACAATGCCCACACCGACACCGACCAGCTAGATGCTGTAATGGGAGACGCAGCAGACGAAACCGAGACCGACGAGCCGGACGACCTGCCCGAGGCTCAAGGCCCAGCAGTAACGGTTGCCCACGCGGCAGAGAGACTTATCGCCAACCAGATGGAAGCACAACAGGCAAAGCTGGCCGTCTTCCGCGCATTCTGCACCGCCTTCGACAAGACGGCTGCCCAGTTCAACTCGGGCCACGCGCTCAGCTTCGCGAAGGAATTCTCGCGCGGCTTCATTAGCTACTGGGACGACGCGCTCAACGGCGCGCCCACACGCGCCGGTCAGAATGTCAACAGCCGCCACGGCAGAGACGGGACCGCACCGACCTACGCCGCTATGGCCCAGAAGGGGATGGCACAGACAAGGGCCCCCCTGCCGGCACGCCTCGGCCCGAAGCCCTGGAAGGCGCCTCCGGTCCAGCCGCCTAAAGATGACCTGCGTGTCTTCGTGCGGCTCGACGACAAGTCCCCAGCATGGGGCTATCAGGGGCATGCCATCAGAGCTCACGTAGCTAAGACTCTCAACCTAGGGACAGAACGCATGCCACAGATCGCCCGGGTTAAGACTGGATGGGCTATACGGGCCTCAGACCGGGAGGCGAGGGACCTGCTTGTGGAACGGCAGGACGACTGGGCGGCCCGCCTCGGGGCCGTGGCGGTTGAAGGCTTCCAGAAGTGGCACACGTACGCTGTGGCGGACTGCCCCAGGCAGCTCACGGATATCTGGGGGGCCGCCGTGGACTATGACCAAGCTATCAAAGAAGAGATCAAGCTCCAGACAGGTGCCGAACCAATTGATGTGCACATTGCTAAGAGATACTCCGAAAGCTCCGACCAGCCCACTGTGACAATGATTGTGTCCTTTCAGGCGGCGATACAGAGGAGATGGCGGCTCTTCGGCACCAGCCGACTAGCCCGACTGATCGCCAAGACCGCCCGGCCCGCGCAGTGCGACACCTGTTGGGATTATCACTCCCGCTACGCCTGCGACCGAAAACAAGCCTGCCGACGATGCGGCGGGAAAGACCATCGCGATAACGACTGCAAGCAGCCGGAGAGGTGCGCGAACTGTTCCGGACCCTTCCCGGCGGACCATAAGGAGTGCCCTGCCAGACCCAGGCGCTCACGGCCAACTCGTGCGGCTCTCCAAGATCGAGAAGTACGCCGTAAGGAAGATCGGCTCTCAGCTATACCGGCAAGCCAATATGGAGCTCGAACGGGCCACGGCGACCGCCTCCCCCCAACCCTCCCAAGGACCGACCCCGTCGCCCTGCATGAGAGCTGCCGAGGCCCGCCTAGGCAAGCAACAGGACCAGCAGCAGCAACAGCAGCAGCAACAGCAGCAGCAATGTCGACCCCAGCGGCTGCCCCCCACCAGCGCGCAGGCGCCAGACTCCACAACGCTCCTCCACCACAGGAAGACAGATCCGAGTCTCCTATGAAGAGGCGCCGACGAAACGTATCCCTGGACCCCTATGAACAATAGGCCCTAACACTAACAACTCGCGACAGGAGGACGATCCGAGTTCTCCAGGCCAACGTGGCCAAAATAGGGGCCTATCATAGCATAGCCCTACGACTAGCGGAAGCAGAAGACTACGACGTCGTGCTCATCCAGGAACCGAACGTTTGGATAGAAAAGAAGGCGGAGCCTGCAGGACCCAGACGCACCGCTCCTTCCACGCATTCGCCCCAGAACGCGCCTGGGAACCGGATCAGGCCCGAGAGTGATCTCGTATGTCCGGAACCACCCAGATATACGGGCAGAGCAACTCTGCCCCGCCCCTACGCGTGATATCCTGTGGCTCCGGGTAAACAGCACCCTTATTATCAACTTCTATCGACACGCGAAGACACCCGAGCCACTCGACTACCTCCTCCACCAGCAGGACGTCCCCGAGAGATGCCTCATCGCGGGCGACTTCAACGCCTGTCATTTCTCCTGGCAGCCTGGAGCCCGGAGTGCGAGGAACGGAAAGGACATCGCCCAGTGGGCGGCCGACAAGGGGCTCGGACTGCTCACCACGCCAGGCGAGGCCACACACGCCCGCGGAAATACCATTGATCTAGCCTTTGCCAATATCCCTCTGCTGACGCGCTTATCGAAGAGCACCTTCATACCGGCTCGGACCATTACACGATCAGCATTACGCTCCCCGGCGGATTCCCCCAAGGACGATAGCTAGACCAAGGGTAAGCTCCGAGGAAGAAATGAAGCGATTCGAGGAACTTGTGCGGGCTGGGGCCACAGCACTACCCCGGCTGGCCGTTGAGCCCAGAGGCCTGGAGAGGCTGGCCGAGGCGCTGTCTCGCCTACTCCAAGAGGCGGCCGACGCAGCGGGCCGACGGCCCAGGAAGAACGCGAGAGGCACCCCATGGTGGAACGATCAGTGCGCCGGTGCAGCGGCCGAACTAAGAGCTATGCGGCGGATCTACCCCACAGGGCACGGCAGAGAGGTCCAGACTGCCCGGCGGGAGCTGCGCCGGGCGGTACGGCGGGCTAAGAGACATTTCTGGCAGACTGTTCTAGAAGGCGCCGAGAGCTACCAGGATATCTATAAGATCATGCGGTGGTCGAGGAAACCGAGCCCGTTCCGGGCCCCGCCTATACAGGTAGGCGACCAGGTCTTCGAGACCCAGACGGAAAAGGCAAACGCGCTCCGAGTCGAGATCCTAGAAAGGCGCGGGGCCGCGGACGACATCCCGGACCCCTGGGCCCCAGAGGTGCTGGCCCCAGGAGGACTCTCGACTGCAGCGTCACGCTCGCGGATGCGGCATGCGCCTGCACCTCTACGGGCAACACCTCCCGGGGATCGACGGCATCACGGTCCGAATGCTGCGTCGCGTCTGGAACCACATCGGCGAGGCGGTGAGGGGACTATATGAAGGCTGCCTACACCTGGGCTACCACCCCGCCTGTTTCCGCGCAGCAGAGGTCGTAATGATCCCTAAGCCTGGCAAGAGGGACCTGTCTATTCCGAGAGGCTGGAGGCCGATTTCTCCTAGCTTGCCTCGGCAAGGGACTCGAACGCCTAATGGCCCGGCGCCTAGCCTGGGCTGCGATCACACAACGAGTCATCCACAGCCAGCATGCGGGTGCCCTGCCCAAACGTTCAGCGCTCGACCTAGCGCTAGCATTGCTCCACGACGCGGAGACGGCCCTCACCGAGGGAAAGTCGCCACGCTAATCACGATGGATATACAGGGCGCCTTTGACACGGTTCTGCGGAACCGGCTCCTCCTACGCCTACGGGAACAGGGCTGGCCAACAAACCTGGTCCGGTGGGCAGGTTGCTATGGAGCAGAGATCGGCCAGAATACGGCTCGAGGATATAACGACGCCGACAACCCCTGACGTGCGGGCTGCCACAGGGCTCCCGGCCTCCCGATTCTCTTCCTCCTCTATACAGTGCCCATCTACTCGATAGGGAACCGAACTCGCGCTTCGGCTACGCAGATGACGTGGCCACCCTGATCCGGGGCCGGTCCCTACAGGAGACGGCCGCCCGGGCCACGCGCGCCGCGGGTGAGCTCATCCAGTGGGGAGCCGATAATGGCGTAGTGTTCGACCCGGGCAAGACAGAAGTCATCCACTTCACGAGACCGAGATACAAAGGGGACCTGCCGTCGGTCTGGCACGGGTCCGTAGAAAGGAGCCACAGCAGGACCTGCGCTGGCTCGGCGTCTGGTACGACAGAAAGCTCTCATTCCGCACGCATGTGGAGAAGTGGGCCGCGAAGGCGATGACGGCCGCAGGGTTCCTCCAGAACCTCTCAAACACCCGGCGCGGAATCCTCCCGGTCGACACGGCATGCGGTCACGGCCTGCGTCCTCCCGATCCTTTATACGGCGCCCATGTATGGTACCCGGGGCGCTTCGGCCTGTGTGGGGACTGCCCGCTTAGTTCCGTCGCGGATCACCTACCTGAAGAATAGGATCCAGCTGACCTTAAACGTCGCGATGCGCGCCATCGCGCCCGTCTGGTGTACCATGCCCATTGTGGCCCTCCACCGAGAGACCGGGATCCCCCCTGCCACGCTGCTCCTCGCAGACGCTCAGAGACGCGCCGCGGTCCGTCTACGCTCCCTAGATGAGCGGCACCCTTGACACCCGTATGAGCATCCTCCCAACGCCTGGCCGGGAGCTAATGAAGAGGCACGGTATGCGGCCCCTCGCGCGGCCCAGAAGCAGCACGCCTCGAGACTCCTGCGTCTTCACCAAATGACGGCCCATGCTCCGAGGCCCCGACTTCTCCCCCCAGCACCCCCTCAGCCCGACCCGACAGGGGGCGTAGACAAAACGCAGGCGGCGAGAGACTTCAACTCGTGGCTCCGGGTATGCCCTGAAGATACCCTCATCGTCTACACTGACGGCTCGCAGAGCGAAGACGGCGCCTGCGGGTATGGGTACTCAGTGTGGCTAGGCCCAGCGAAGTGACCTACGGCAGCGGTCGGGTCCTACTCGCTGAGGTCTACGACGCAGAGGTGGAAGGCGCCCTCGAGGGCTTCGAGCGGCACTCACGTGGTCCCCAGGACCCCGGACCAGCAGTGCCGGATAGTCGTCTGCCTTGATAACTCTGCGGCTATAAGAGCCATACGAGGCAGCCCATCGATCTCGTCGCAAGCGGCGGCGGAGAAGTTCGCTGAGGCCGCGGCTCGGCACGGAGACGTCAGGACGCGCTGGTGCCCCGGCCATACGGGGATCGCCGGCAACGAGCGGGCCGACCAGCTAGCAAGGAGGGCTGCCGGGCCTCGGCCCGACAGGCCGCCGACGTACGCGAACATCAAGAGACAGGCCAAGGCTGCGGCCAGGCGCGACTTCCAGGACTGGTGGGCCGCGGGGCCCTGAGCAGCTACAAGAGCCTAGGGCTCAAGGCCTCGCTCGGGTGCCCCCCGGAGCTGCACACCAAACGACAGCACCTCCATCACCTGCTCGCTGCGAGGAGCGGGCACGGGGACTTCGCCGACTACCACGAGAGGTTTAACCACGAAGAGGCCCGGATCGAATGCTCCTGCGGAAGAGAAAATCACCGACACACCTTCTACTGCCGGAAGGTAGGTACTCGACACCGCCTAAGGCTAGCCCCCACGGCGGGCAAGGCTATCAACCAGGCACTAGGAAGGGGATTTGACCGGTTCCTCGGGCTAGTAACGGAGGCAGGATTCTTTGATCGGATTTGCCACCGCCACTAGCTCGAGGCAACCCCCCAACCTAATATGTACAATTCTCTCTTTTCTATGTTTTCTACCCGTAGGCTCCCCGTGGGCCTACGGCCCAGCTGACTGCGTGGGCTTTCTCAGTCACCCGGCTCTGACCGAAGACTGACTAATATTACGGCTTTACCGCCGTGCCCGGAACCCGCTGACGGGGGAAGGGACCTGAGAATCCGAGCGGCCACAGAGTCCAAGAATTGCTAGATAGGGGAGTAGAAGTAAGGAAGGCGCGACGGGTTTCCGGCGAGCACCCTCATCTTGTACTATACCTAGCCTAGCACGTCTTTTGCCCTTATAGGGATGTCCCAGACGGTAATCAATACTACTACTACTACTACTACCAGCCAAGCTGGTGTCGGTGATTTTCTCCTCCCGCAGGAGCATTCGATCCGGGCCTCTTCGTGGTTAAACCTCTCGTGGTAGTCGGCGAAGTCCCCGTGCCCGCTCCTCGCAGCGAGCAGGTGATGGAGGTGCTGTCGTTTGGTGTGCAGCTCCGGGGGCACCCGAGCGAGGCCTTGAGCCCTAGGCTCTTGTAGCTGCTCGGGGCCCCCGCGGCCCACCAGTCCTGGAAGTCGCGCCTGGCCGCAGCCTTGGCCTGTCTCTTGATGTTCGCGTACGTCGGCGGCCTGTCGGGCCGAGGCCCGGCAGCCCTCCTTTGCTAGCTGGTCGGCCCGCTCGTTGCCGGCGATCCCCGTATGGCCGGGGCACCAGCGCGTCCTGACGTCTCCGTGCCGAGCCGCGGCCTCAGCGAACTTCTCCGCCGCCGCTTGCGACGAGATCGATGGGCTGCCTCGTATGGCTCTTATAGCCGCAGAGTTATCAAGGCAGACGACTATCCGGCACTGCTGGTCCGGGGTCCTGGGGACCACGTGAGTGCCGCTCGAAGCCCTCGAGGGCGCCTTCCACCTCTGCGTCGTAGACCTCAGCGAGTAGGACCCGACCGCTGCCGTAGGTCACTTCGCTGGGCCTAGCCACACTGAGTACCCATACCCGCAGGCGCCGTCTTCGCTCTGCGAGCCGTCAGTGTAGACGATGAGGGTATCTTCAGGGCATACCCGGAGCCACGAGTTGAAGTCTCTCGCCGCCTGCGTTTTGTCTACGCCCCCTGTCGGGTCGGGCTGAGGGGGTGCTGGGGGGAGAAGTCGGGGCCTCGGAGCATGGGCCGTCATTTGGTGAAGACGCAGGAGTCTCGAGGCGTGCTGCTTCTGGCCGCGCGAGGGCCCGCATACCGTGCCTCTTCATTAGCTCCCGGCCAGGCGTTGGGAGGATGCTCATACGGGGTGTCAAGGGTGCCGCTCATCTAGGGAGCGTAGACGGACCGCGGCGCGTCTCTGAGCGTCTGCGAGGAGCAGCGTGGCAGGGGGGATCCCGGTCTCTCGGTGGAGGGCCACAATGGGCATGGTACACCAGACGGGCGCGATGGCGCGCATCGCGACGTTTAAGGTCAGCTGGATCCTATTCTTCAGGTAGGTGATCCGCGACGGAACTAAGCGGGCAGTCCCCCACACAGGCCGAAGCGCCCCCGGGTACCATACATGGGCGCCGTATAAAGGATCGGGAGGACGCAGGCCGTGACCGCATGCCGTGTCGACGGGGAGGATTCCGCGCCGGGTGTTTGAGAGGTTCTGGAGGAACCCTGCGGCCGTCATCGCCTTCGCGGCCCACTTCTCCACATGCGTGCGGAATGAGAGCTTTCTGTCGTACCAGACGCCGAGCCAGCGCAGGTCCTGCTGTGGCTCCTTTCTACGGACCCGTGCCAGACCGACGGCAGGTCCCCTTTGTATCTCGGTCTCGTGAAGTGGATGACTTCTGTCTTGCCCGGGTCGAACACTACGCCATTATCGGCTCCCCACTGGATGAGCTCACCCGCGGCGCGCGTGGCCCGGGCGGCCGTCTCCTGTAGGGACCGGCCCCGGATCAGGGTGGCCACGTCATCTGCGTAGCCGAAGCGCGAGTTCGGTTCCCTATCGAGTAGATGGGCACTGTATAGAGGAGGAAGAGAATCGGGAGGCCGGGGAGCCCTGTGGCAGCCCGCACGTCAGGGGTTGTCGGCGTCGTTATATCCTCGAGCCGTATTCTGGCCGATCTCTGCTCCATAGCAACCTGCCCACCGGACCAGGTTTGTTGGCCAGCCCTGTTCCCGTAGGCGTAGGAGGAGCCGGTTCCGCAGAACCGTGTCAAAGGCGCCCTGTATATCCATCGTGATTAGCGTGGCGACTTTCCCTCGGTGAGGGCCGTCTCCGCGTCGTGGAGCAATGCTAGCGCTAGGTCGAGCGCTGAACGTTTGGGCAGGGCACCCGCATGCTGGCTGTGGATGACTCGTTGTGTGATCGCAGCCCAGGCTAGGCGCCGGGCTATTAGGCGTTCGAGTCCCTTGCCGAGGCAAGCTAGAGAGAAATGGGCCTCAAGCCTCTCGGAATAGACAGGTCCTTCTTGCCAGGTTTGGGATCATTACGACCTCTGCTGCGCGGAAACAGGCGGGGTGGTAGCCCAGGTGTAGGCAGCCTTCATATAGTCCCCTCACCGCCTCGCCGATGTGGTTCCAGACGCGACGCAGCATTCGGACCGTGATGCCGTCGATCCCCGGGAGGTGTTGCCCGTAGAGGTGCAGGCGCATGCCGCATCCGCGAGCGTGACGCTGCAGTCGAGAGTCCTCCTGGGGCCAGCACCTCTGGGGCCCAGGGGTCCGGGATGTCGTCCGCGGCCCCGCGCCTTCTAGGATCTCGACTCGAGCGCGTTTGCCTTTTCCGTCTGGGTCTCGAAGACCTGGTCGCCTACCTGTATAGGCGGGGGCCCGAACGGGCTCGGTTTCCTCGACCACCGCATGATCTTATAGATATCCTGGTAGCTCTCCGCGCCTTCTAGAACAGGCTGCCAGAAATGTCTCTTAGCCCGCCGTACCGCCCGGCGCAGCTCCCGCCGGGCTGTCTGGACCTCTGCCGTGCCCTGTGGGGTAGATCCGCCGCATAGCTCTTAGTTCGGCCGCTGCACCGGCGCACTGATCGTTCCACCATGGGGTGCCTCGCGTTCTTCCTGGGCCGTCGGCCCGCTGCGTCGGCCGCCTCTTGGAGTAGGCGAGACAGCGCCTCGGCCAGCCTCTCCAGGCCTCTGGGCTCAACGGCCAGCCGGGGTAGTGCTGTGGCCCCAGCCCGCACAAGTTCCTCGAATCGCTTCATTTCTTCCTCGGAGCTTACCCTTGGTCTAGCTATCGTCCTTGGGGAATCCGCCGGGAGCGTAATGCTGATCGTGTAATGGTCCGAGCCGGTATGAAGGTGCTCTTCGATAAGCGCGTCAGCAGAGGGATATTGGCAAAGGCTAGATCAATGGTATTTCCGCGGGCGTGTGTGGCCTCGCCTGGCGTGGTGAGCAGTCCGAGCCCCTTGTCGGCCGCCCACTGGGCGATGTCCTTTCCGTTCCTCGCACTCCGGGCTCCAGGCTGCCAGGAGAAATGACAGGCGTTGAAGTCGCCCGCGATGAGGCATCTCTCGGGGACGTCCTGCTGGTGGAGGAGGTAGTCGAGTGGCTCGGGTGTCTTCGCGTGTCGATAGAAGTTGATAATAAGGGTGCTGTTTACCCGGAGCCACAGGATATCACGCGTAGGGGCGGGGCAGAGTTGCTCTGCCCGTATATCTGGGTGGTTCCGGACATACGAGATCACTCTCGGGCCTGATCCGGTTCCCAGGCGCGTTCTGGGGCGAATGCGTGGAAGGAGCGGTGCGTCTGGGTCCTGCAGGCTCCGCCTTCTTTTCTATCCAAACGTTCGGTTCCTGGATGAGCACGACGTCGTAGTCTTCTGCTTCCGCTAGTCGTAGGGCTATGCTATGATAGGCCCCTATTTTGGCCACGTTGGCCTGGAGAACTCGGATCGTCCTCCTGTCGCGAGTTGTTAGTGTTAGGGGCCTATTGTTCATAGGGGTCCAGGGATACGTTTCGTCGGCGCCTCTTCATAGGAGACTCGGATCTGTCTTCCTGTGGTGGAGGGAGCGTTGTGGAGTCTGGCGCCTGCGCGCTGGTGGGGGGCAGCCGCTGGGGTCGACATTGCTGCTGCTGTTGCTGCTGCTGTTGCTGCTGCTGGTCCTGTTGCTTGCCTAGGCGGGCCTCGGCAGCTCTCATGCAGGGCGACGGGGTCGGTCCTTGGGAGGGTTGGGGGGAGGCGGTCGCCGTGGCCCGTTCGAGCTCCATATTGGCTTGCCGGTATAGCTGAGAGCCGATCTTCCTTACGGCGTACTTCTCGATCTTGGAGAGCCGCACGAGTTGGCCGTGAGCGCCTGGGTCTGGCAGGGCACTCCTTATGGTCCGCCGGGAAGGGTCCGGAACAGTTCGCGCACCTCTCCGGCTGCTTGCAGTCGTTATCGCGATGGTCTTTCCCGCCGCATCGTCGGCAGGCTTGTTTTCGGTCGCAGGCGTAGCGGGAGTGATAATCCCAACAGGTGTCGCACTGCGCGGGCCGGGCGGTCTTGGCGATCAGTCGGGCTAGTCGGCTGGTGCCGAAGAGCCGCCATCTCCTCTGTATCGCCGCCTGAAAGGACACAATCATTGTCACAGTGGGCTGGTCGGAGCTTTCGGAGTATCTCTTAGCAATGTGCACATCAATTGGTTCGGCACCTGTCTGGAGCTTGATCTCTTCTTTGATAGCTTGGTCATAGTCCACGGCGGCCCCCCAGATATCCGTGAGCTGCCTGGGGCAGTCCGCCACAGCGTACGTGTGCCACTTCTGGAAGCCTTCAACCGCCACGGCCCCGAGGCGGGCCGCCCAGTCGTCCTGCCGTTCCACAAGCAGGTCCTCGCCTCCCGGTCTGAGGCCCGTATAGCCCATCCAGTCTTAACCCGGGCGATCTGTGGCATGCGTTCTGTCCCTAGGTTGAGAGTCTTAGCTACGTGAGCTCTGATGGCATGCCCCTGATAGCCCCATGCTGGGGACTTGTCGTCGAGCCGCACGAAGACACGCAGGTCATCTTTAGGCGGCTGGACCGGAGGCGCCTTCCAGGGCTTCGGGCCGAGGCGTGCCGGCAGGGGGGCCCTTGTCTGTGCCATCCCCTTCTGGGCCATAGCGGCGTAGGTCGGTGCGGTCCCGTCTCTGCCGTGGCGGCTGTTGACATTCTGACCGGCGCGTGTGGGCGCGCCGTTGAGCGCGTCGTCCCAGTAGCTAATGAAGCCGCGCGAGAATTCCTTCGCGAAGCTGAGCGCGTGGCCCGAGTTGAACTGGGCAGCCGTCTTGTCGAAGGCGGTGCAGAATGCGCGGAAGACGGCCAGCTTTGCCTGTTGTGCTTCCATCTGGTTGGCGATAAGTCTCTCTGCCGCGTGGGCAACCGTTACTGCTGGGCCTTGAGCCTCGGGCAGGTCGTCCGGCTCGTCGGTCTCGGTTTCGTCTGCTGCGTCTCCCATTACAGCATCTAGCTGGTCGGTGTCGGTGTGGGCATTGTCGCTGTTCGTGGAGCCGAATGGAGAGTCGTCGGGTTGCTGTGCGCGTCGTGGCAACAGTAATTCGGCAAGACCCGCGCGTGGGGCCTGCCGGAGGAGCGCTTCTCTAGCTCCTGGGGCGTTCGTGGAGTCATCGGCTCTTGTTCCTGGGGCGGCAGTCGCGCCTGGTCCGCGGGGTTGGGTGCCATCGCCGCCCTCAGCTTGCGCTGAGCGTGGTGTTAAACGCCCTTGTTAGCGGATGTGTGTTGTGTACAGCGAAGTCCTTAACAGATGGTGCCAAGAAAGTAAGAATACAAGGGAGTGTACCAGCTTGGCTGGTGAAGGTGAACCGGAATCCAGAAAAGTGGGGCGTGGCACGAGTACAATCAGCCGAAGGCTGCGAGTCCGGCCAACAGTCAACCAGTCACCGAACAATCAGTACAGTATCTACAATCATACACTTCATTTGTGCCTTGGAAAGCGTCGTTCTTGTTGCGGGTAGCATCAAGTAGAGTTACGTAGACCCGTGGCCTATCTTGTATGGATTCTGGGTGAGAACCTGTCGTTTGCGAAGTTGCTGATCCCTCATTTTCATCTTAATTCCTTCTTCCAGCGGCGACGCATAAGTCAGGTGATTGCGGTCAAACGGGGCATCCAGCATCAGACCCTGCAGCGTTTTCACACGCGAGATGGCGACGTAGCTCAAACCGGTCTAAAAGTCACGGCAGGACAGATCCGTCACGATCATGTCTTCGGTGATGCTCTGCGACTTGTGAACTGTAATGGCGTAGCATAAATGGCGTAGCATACGATCAGGGCAAACTGCGTACGAGTGCAGAGTGTTGGCCCAAGAGGAAGTCCCTCTCCACTAGTAGAATCGGCACAACCTTCCTGCCATCGGCGGTGGTCGGGAATACCGGCCCCATGTACTTATCAAACTCCATCATGATCACGCAGGAAGGGTCTTGCATGGGGTCAGCTCCAGGCGCCCAGGCGATATCGTACACTGTACCACGTGCGCCGTTGCAGAGGCCAACTGGCTGCCAAAGGTTGGACGTCAGCATCAGACGGGCGCCAACGCATACGGGACTCTGCTTCGCAAGGTTGCCTGCCTTGTCGTCAGGAGCAGCAGCAGCACCGGCACCAACGCTCATAGCCATGACCTGGATGACAGGCCGGCCTAGGCGGTCGAGGTGGTAGTTCTTATACTCGTTAACCCTGTCTTCGTGGCGTATACTCGTAGGGGATTGACGAACATGGCCACCTCCTGATTGTCCAGCTTCGTCTGCACGCGGCTGGAGAGGAGCTTCCAGGACTCCTGGAATAGACGGTGCAGTCGCAATTGATCGAGGGCCGTGCGAAATGTGCCCCTTCTGTTCTTTGCCGCGCTGGGCAACCGTCAAGAAAACCGTCTTGTCGAAGCGTCGATGTGCATTCCTGCCCTTGATCTCTACTCCTTGCACCTCCTTGTCGTAATAAAGACGCTTCTGCAGCACAGGGGAACTGAAAGAAGTCGCCAAGCAGGAGGATATTTAGACCACTAATGAACTCTCGTGATCCATGCCTGTGCAAAGAGAGCGTGGGCTTGGTTGTGAGAAACTTATTCTGATTAACGGGTAAGGCAACCCCGCACGGGTTGCGCAATAGGCCTTTCGGAACGAAGACGGAAGACTGGGTTAGAAGTGAGAGAGTGAAAAACCCAGAGGATGAGAAGGAAAGAAGGCAGGCGGTAGCGTCAGGGACTAAAGCATGCAGGAAGTCATGTCCACGCAGTAGCAAGCGGCGATTTAAGGTTATGCCTAGCCTGGGGCGTCGTGCCTGCAGCGGGAATGGGCAGAAAAAGCAACAAGGCAAGCAAAGCAGCGATGACATGTGCGGGGTAAATGAGGGAAAAGACCACAAGAGAAGCATAAAGGAAGGAATGGGGGAGAGGAGCAGAGGCGTTTATCTTTGCCGCTAATCTACCAGGCAAGAAAACAACGACACTATGGCTACCCGGACCATATCCGTCAAGTTATGGTGCGACTTTGGGGCCACAGAGCTTGAATACAGGCATAGCATCCCGGAGACACTCGTCACGCAAGCAGGGCGAGCTCAGCCGAGTAGCGAAGACGGTAGACGATTTTTACAATGGATAGGGCCGATTCTAAGGGAGCACGAGGCAGCATGTCGGAAGGCCGCAGAGGCATACTGCGAGAGCTGCAGCAAGCTGGCCAAAGATATCCTGCAGAGCCCAATGTCGTTCCTCCACGCAGAGACCCCCTTTGTCCTCGTGGTCGTGTCGTGGTCTTGTGGCCAAGAAGAGTGCGAAATAACAATGAGGCAGGAAATGCAAGACACGGTGGCGGAAATGGGGAAGGCAGACAGAAGTACAGGGCCAAAGGAAGGGCGGATAATCTCTTATATAAAGTAAGATAGTATAAATGAGTTTATAGTGATAGATGATAGCAAAAAGGACCATAGTAGATTATATAGGTTATGCCTAGTAAGAGCGATGGGAGTAGATGGCAACGATATTCAGGTATAAGGCTTATTTTTGCATGCGATGGCGCAGAGGGCGGGTAGGTGGGTCAGAGGTGCTCGCGACAATAGAGTCGAGGGGAGAGCCCGGTCCGGAGGCCGGGGCAGGGGCAGGAGGGTCGCCGGCCAGTCTAGACGACAAAGCCGACAGCAAGGGCGAGGAGGAGGGGGCGGCGGAGCCAGCAGTGCTGGACGAGGAAGAAGAAAGGGACTGCTGCTGCTGCAAGAGGCGGGCCTTCTTGGCCAGGGTATCGGGCGCGCCCGGGCAGGCGCGCTTGGGCGGCGGCGTCACAGGGTCGGCGGCAGCCGGTGCTGGGGCCTTGGAAGGCGTGGGCGGTGCGGTCGACGGGGGCGTGGCAAGCGAGTAGGAGGCGGCGCGGACGAGGTCGAATGCAGACGAGGCAGAAGAAGGTTGACGCCCGTGGGGCGCGGCCAGGGGGGATGCGGAGGCAGCAGCCGCCGCAGAGGGCCTATCAAGAAATGTCCAGCTATCCGGGACGACGACGAAGACGTAATCGCAGTCCGAGCCGGGCGGTCCACACATAACGGCGTGATCGAGAAGGCCGGCGACCTTGCCGGAACAGGTAAACGGGGTGCCAGGCAGAAAGGGAGAGGTGGGCCTCTCGGCCAGCTTCTTGCACAGGACAAGCCAGGGGTTAGCATAGATGGGAAAGATGACAAAGACCTGAAAGGGATGGTAGCCCTTGAAGGGAACCTTTTCCGGGACGCCGGGGGCGATATAGGTCGTCAGCCGGACAAGACCACAGCAGCGGAGCTGGTCGGGCCCGAGGCCGGGTAGGAGATCGGCTTGGAGGAGGTCGAGGCCAGAGCCGGCAATGACGCCGCGAAAGGAGACAACGGGAGACATGGACGGGAAGTCGGCGTCAGACGTCAAGGGGCGCGGGAGGACACCCGGGGAAGAAATCAGCCGGGACTAGAGAGGGGAGGGGACAGGCAAGGCGAACGGCTGGTAGCCCTGGTCGCGGATGACGAGAGCGGGCATAGTATAGAGGAGAGTTTGCCCGGCATCAGCCTCAAGACCGTCACGGCGCTTGACCTCCTAGGTGAGGGCAAAGGGATGAACATGGCCAGACATAAAGAACCACTGGTCGGACTAGTTGGAGTTGACGACAGGCTGGCCGTAGATGGAAAGGTTGAGGCTGAAGAAGAGGGGGGTTGGGTTGGCGTCGCTGTGCCCTGCCCTCAAGGGAGCATACTCGTCCGCCAGCAGCCACGAGGGGACAGGCAGAAGGACACAGGCAATAGCCTCGGCGTTAAGGCCCCTCACACAGTGCTCATCCTAGTGTGCGAACCTCGCGGGGCAGTCGGGCTGGGCAAAGAACATCATGGTCATGTCGCCGCCGGCGACCCCGAGCTGCGGCGGCTGCTCGGGCGGATCCGGCGCGGCGAGCAGGACCGGTCGGACCTCGAGCTGCTCAACTCGAGGTGCTACCAGCCCGGCAGGCAGATCCCGTGGGAGACGGGGGTCACGGTGGTGACGCCGCTGAACCGGAACCGCTGGAACCTCAACCTCGAGGCGGCGCTCGCGTTCCAGGTACTGCAGCAGACGGCGGCGCGCGTCTTCCTATCCGAGCATAAGTGGAAGGGGGGCGAGCCGACGGAGGAGGAGGCGGTGCTGATGCTCGGCCAGGGCGACGACAGCGCGACGCCGGTGCCGGCCGTCTTCGTCTTCGTGCCCGGGATGCCGGTCGTCGTAAACCAGAACACGCACCAGGGGCTGAAGGTGGTGAACGGGGCCGGGTACACGGCGGTGGCGGTGATCCCAGACCGCGCCTTTCCCGGCCACCGGGTCTCGGCGGAGCTGACGGTGCACTTCGGCCGCCGGCGGGCCTCGTGCTGGCGTCGGAGACGACCAAGGACTTCCACTTCGTCGGGATGCCGGCGGGGACGATCCTGCTGAAGCCCATCAGCGTGAAGATCACGGCGCAGCGGAAGCGGCCGTGGCAGCGCAACGACGTCAGCCGGCGGGGCCTGCCGTGCGCCGCGGCCTTCGCCTGCACCGACTACAAGGTGCAGGGCGGGACGATAGAGCGCGTCGCGCTCGAGCTGCGGGGGGCGAGGACGGCGACGGTCGAGGGCAGGGCGGTGGCGTCGCCGTGCGACCCCTACAGCCTCTACGTACAGCTCTCGCGGTGCCCGACGCTCGACGGCATCACGCTAGTGTCGGAGGTGCGGGAGCGGGACTTCATAGGGAACCGGGTGCCAGAGGAGATGACGGCGGCGCAGGCACGGCTAGAGGAGCTAAGCAGGCAGACGACACGGGAGGCAGGCAGCCTGCTCCGTGGCTAAAGGTGGGCGGCACTGGGGTCATAATATATTTAAGGCGAGGGAAGGCATGTCCTAGAGGATTGCGATAGCACAAAGGAAGGATAAGGAGAACGACAAGGCCAGCAGCCAAACCATACACTAGATGGACCAATTAGAAGGAAGCCCCCAAAGAGGTCGAAAAGGGAGCAAAGACCAATGAGGAAGACGCCTCAAAGCGCCTTAAAGGGGAGGAAAAACATATCCAACCAAGGGCAAGAACGAAGGCGAATCAGAGGGCCACGTAGACGGCAGCGAATCAGGGGACCACGCAGACACAGCGAATCAGAGGGCTGGAAAGAGGGCTGGAAATTTTTGCCCATACCTTCGCAGGGCAAGAACCTTTCGTCACAGGAGAAGGCAACCCAGCAGGGTTGCGCAAAGAGCCTTGAGGAACGAAAGACTTGCGGTTGGAAAGACTTGCGGTTGGAAGGGGAGGTTTGGAAAGACTCAAGCTAAAAGATCCAAGCTCAGAAAGGGAAGCTAGGAAGATTTAAGATTAGTTAAGAGGGGGAAGTTAGAAAGAAAGAAAAAGACTTTAAGCTAAGGTTGGAAAGTTAGGAAGACTCAAGGTAGGAAAGGGGGAGGCAGGAAAGACTCAAAGTTGGGAGGGGTGATAGGAAGTTAGGACGATATACGAAGGGACGAGGTTTAGTTTGGTAGGTGTAAGTGACGATTCACGACATAATGTGCCAGGTCAAGGCCTCTATCAAGTAATATAAGAGTAGATAAAATAAAGGTCAACTAACATGAGCTGTTCAAGCAATCCCAGCCGACAGTAAACTTGCCTTATTATTCTATATCTATCGTTCTCTTAGCTGGGTGACGGTTTCGAGGCGGGCGGGCCGGTGAGGCTACGGGGTGGGCGACAATCGAATCAAGGGGCGGGTTTCCCGAGGCGGGACCCTGTTTAGATGATACATCCGGGTCGGGAATGGATGAGACAGCCGAGACCGAGAAGGATTGAGTAGCCAAGGGGCCAGGGATAGGGGAAGAAGAAGGCACAGAGGCCTGTTGCGTCAGGCACGGTCGCTTCGTCGGCGTATCGGCAGGTTCAGGATAATGGCGCTTTGGGGCGGCGTGGGGAGCAAGTCGAAGCGCAGCCGCGGCTAAGGACGGAGGACTAATTGGGAGAGTGCTAGGGATAACCACGGACATAGAGGCAGCGCGCATATTATGAAAAGCGGCAGAAGCGGAGGACTGTTGTCGTTTTGGTGGCGTAGAGGGTAGCGGTGTCATCGCAGCCATAGAGGTGGACGACTTGTCGAGAAAAGTCCAGGAATCCGGGACGACTATAAAAACAAAGTCACGGTCAGAGCCCGGCGGGTGAACCATGACGCCGTGGTCCAGCAGGCCAGCGACCTTGCCTGTGCAGGTAAAGGGGGACATTAGGCTGAAAGGAAGAGTTTCGCCTCTCGGCCATCTTCTTACATAGGACGGCCCAGGGGTTGGCGTGAATAGGGAAGATGACGAAGGCCTGGAAGGGGTGGAAGCCCTTAAAGGGGATCTTATCCGGGTTCCCCGGGGCGACGTAGGTAGATAGGAGGACGAAGCCGCAACATCTAAGTTGGGCGGTGTCTAGGCCTGGCAGCAGGTCCCTCCGCAGCAGGGAGTGGCCGGTGCCGACGACGAGGCCGGTGAAGGAAACAACAGGCGGGACGTGGGGGAAGTCGTCCATAGAGGCAAAGAGCCTAGGAAGAACGCTTTAGGACAGATTTAGCTACCCATTTCCTCGCTGCCACGCGCGGGGGAATGGGACCCGGCCTACGGCTGGTAGCCCTGGTCGCGGACGACGAGGGCGGGCATGGTATAGAGAACGGTGCCGCCCGTGTCAGACTCCAGGCCGTCGCGCTGTTCGACCTCCCACGCAAGGGCGTAGGGGTGGACGCGGCCGTTCATAAAGAACCACTGCTCGGTCCAGTCGGTGTCAAGAATGGACTGGCCGTAAATCGAGAGGTTAAGGCTAAAGAAGACGGAGGTTGGGGAATTGTCGGCACCCGACCGCAGGGGCGCATATTCCGCTGTGAGCAGCCACGCGGGCGGAGGCAGCAAGACGCGGGCCATGGCTTCGGCGTTAAGTCCCTTGATGCGGTGTTCGTCCAGGTGGGCAAACCTGGCGGGGCAGTCGGTTTGGACGAAAAGCATCACGGACATATCACCGCCAGCGCCGGTTTGGCTATCGAGCGGCTTTCGGAGGTGCGGTGCGGGCAGGTCGGTAGGATGTAGAGAGGAAGACATCGTGCACCTGGGCAGGTCGATAGACTCGTCGCGCCCCGTAGAACGACCGCTGCCTAGCGTTAAGAGCGGAGTAAGGAGGAGATCGAGCGTAAACGTGCGTAGAATGAACCAAGGGTGATATAGATTGGCCGGGAAATGTGAGGAGTTTTGCCACGGCAAGTGTTTGCCTAGATGTCGAAGGGATACGCAGTGGTGTCGCGAAGCTGGGCTCCAGTCAGGCACCAGGTGACGCGGACTCAAGAGTCCGGCAGGGCTGTCGGCAGACTCGTCTGCCGATAGGTCTAGAGGAAGCCCGGAAAGTCCGGGAGAATAGAGGCCCAATGCATAAAGGGGGACATTATTGCGGAAGGACATGCACAAGGGGCGTGTTGGAAGGCCGAAAGATAGGGGGATAAAGCAAGCCAGGTCGACACACGGAACCGAGTCCCGGCCTTCCTCGCCTTGCCGTATGATGACTAGCATGCCGTCCTCAGTAGGGGTAGAAGAAGTCGACCGAACATCATATAATATAAACAAGCGCACGGAGAGCGGCTATAAGGAAGGTCGCGGATAGGGTTGACAGGGAAGGTCGGGCAAGACGGACCTAAAAACCACCGTGCTAGGCGAGCGGAGCCGGATGGCAGGGCGATTCCTGGTTTCGGCGCGGCGGGGATGGTAAGAGATACCAAGGAAGGAGAATGTCTTAGTATAATGCCCGATTGGACGCCCTTTGGCAACGGTCAAATAGGGAGCTGCCAAGGAGAGTCGACCAGGAGAAGGCCGCGCTAGATAGAGCTGCAGCATCAGTGCCTGGGCTAGGGCTGGTCAAGGCCGTCCGTAGGGATAGACACATGGCGGTAAGGTAGGGAAGGAGGGGGAGAAGGGGAAAGATGGGAGGGGCCTCTCCCGGACCAGGTACTGCCGTGTTGCCTGCATGGTATCGAGACCATAAGGTTGCCATCGCTTGCAAGCGGGGTGGCCTTGGATCACACCTCGGGCGAAGGCTTCGTAATTCCTCGCTTGTTCGCAGACCCTTACCGTAAGGGAAATATAAGTTTGGGGGAGAATCCTAGGGGCGACGTTAGGTCGGTGGTAGGAGAGGGTGAACCGGAGACAGTGGAGCTGCCGCTGCTGCAACGAGGATCATTGCGGAGGCGAGGATGATCGCAACGGACACAGGGCCGAATCGGGGGTCGGGCGACGAAAGTCAAGCGGGCGCGGCACCTAGGTTGCGGCCTATCGAGGCGAAGAAGGCGCCGGCGTCCGAGGGAACTCACGAGGGGAAGCAGCAGAAGCACTCAAAAGATTGTTGCCTCAGCGAAGTCGGCGAGGCGGTCAGCTGGGAAAAAGGCTGCCGCACGTCGATGGTGCCACTTCAGAGGGAGGGCAAGCATCACGTTTAATAAGATTTCGGCTGAAGGGCGTAAGCAGGCACTCGCCCCAACCCATCCGGCCCAAAGGGATCGGGGACGCGGCCGGACACATAGCTCCACCGGACGAGGGCGGGTCTAACGTCGGGCCAGCGGCAGTCGCTATAACGAGGAGCATTGCGGAGGCGAGACCGAGCGCAACGAAGGAAGGGCCGAGGCGGGCGTTAGGCCATGAGAGTCAAGCTGGCGGGGCACTTGGGCTGCGGCCAATCGAGGCGAAGCCGGTGCCGGCGTCCGAGGAAGGCTCGCGAAGGGAACAAGCGGAAGGAGTGAAAAGAGCGATGCCTAAGGGAAGTCGGAGAGGCGGTTGGCCGCGAAAGAAGACGACGCGCGTCGATGGTGCCACTTTGGAGGGAGGCCAAGCGCCACGTTCAGCATCGATAAACGTGCGGGACAGGCCGGAGGCCTTTGTCAGGGGAAACGAAGGGTCAGGCATCGGTGAATCGTCCGTTGCGGTTGGGGGTGGCTTCGAGACGGTCAGGCCCAGGTCACCGAGCGATGGCGCACAGATAACCCTGAGAGGTCTTGTCGAGCGGGCAGCGGGCGTGGCGGGGGAGCATAGGAGGGGAAGACCGACTGTCAGGCTAAGATTTCGGCCGGAAGACGCATGCCAGCACTCACCCCAACCCAAACAGCCTAAAGAGATCGGGGACGCGGCCGGAAATATGCCACCCCCTGACGGACACTCAACTGGCCCAGGAGGACAGGATCGGCTGGCGGGTGCTGCTGGGGGTTCGCCTAGAGTCGTCAGGGAGCCCTTCATCCAGCCAAGTCAAGCCAAAGTGACGAAAGATGGAGTAGGGGACGCGGAGTCATCCGGATGGTCATCACCACGTCCGTCACGCCAGGCAGGGCAGGATTGGCCGGCAATGACGGTCGGGATTTCATCCACGGCCGCCAAGGAGCCCTTCGTTCAGCCAATCCAACCCAAAGAGACGGAAGATGAAGCAGGAGATGGACAGTCATCCGGACGCTTGGCATCACGGCCACCACGCCAGGCAGCGGCGGGAGAAGAGGATCGGCCGAGGCGAGTCGAGCCGGCGGCGACGTCTTCGCCGCCCGTGGAACAGAGGAAGCGGATCCGCCAGCCCGACCGAGACCAGCTCCCGCCGAAACGTAGCCGAGTCGGTCATCGGAGGCAGAGGAGGAGTGAGCTGCAGGCGGAAGATTTGGCCAGCGTCTTACGTTACCTTGAAGAGGAATTCGCCGTCAAGAGAGGCTATCCAACGAGCAAACCTGGTGCATACCAGTATCGGACGAGAGGAGGGTATCAACGGTGCGAGGCTTCTATCGGGCATTCCATGACGTAGACACGCTGCCGATACGGACGTGCATGCTATGCTACCGGAAGCGCGCAAGAGAAGAGCTGAGGGAGATATCATGGGACCGGTGGCGGTCAAGTCCCATCTGCAAGGGCGGGAGCTCGCCGTTTGCGTGCCGCGGCTGCTTTCGCGAGGGTGAATCTGTCCCGGTCTGCGCGGAGTGTTTTCGACAATTGGCGCGCGGCGGGCTGTCGCCGGCGGCGCGTCTTCATAGCTGCCTCGGTTGCGAGCACATGTTCCCGGATGAGCTCAAGGGCCTGACGCCGGTGGAGGAGAAGCTGATCGCGCTGAACTCGTGCTATGGGTTCGTCACAAGGTACAACGTCTCAGGCGGCCCGAAGCAGACGTTGAGATATCCCAAGCACGTCAAGGGCCACATCACGGTGTTCCCGAACAACGTGCAGGAATTGCTGACGAAGGTGCTGCCGCACCCACTCTTCCGGGTAATGGACGAGATCCACGTCTCGTGGCAGGGTGCGGTAAGGCCGACACCGAGTGACTTGTCGGGTCTGCTGTCGGTGAGGCGGCGTGTCGTCGAGAGGGCCCTCATCTGGTTGAAGAGGAACAACCCACACTACGCCGAGATCGAGATCGACGTGGCGGAGATGGAGAGTTGGGGAGACCCGGCCCACGGGGTGCCGCCGTTGGTGTACGGGCGCCTGGAGCGGAACGAGCCGTCGGCGTGGGAGAAGACGAGGACGGCGCACGTCGTGCCGCCCACGGAGCGGGCCATGGACGACGAGGGGGCGGTAGAGATCGAAGAAGTCCTCGCTCTGCTGAACCAAGGGGAAAGCAGGACGAGTCGCGAGGCCGGCGAGCCAGGGTCAAACGAGGCGCACGAGGCGCACGGCCAGAGCGACGGCGAGACCGGTGATGATGCGAAGACGATCAACGAGGTGACCTCGTCGGGAATGTTTGCGCTGGACGGACCGCCCGACGTAGCCGACGTCGACAAATTGCGCTTCGCATGCGATGCCGTCCGCGACGGCGCAGCCGACGGCGGCACGGACCCGAGAACGGGGTCGAATCCTCGGCAAGGGCAGCCGGGGCATGCCGATGGTTCTGAACCGTACATTCATATTCGCCGTGGGGATGAATTCGCCGACTCGTTCGAGGCCTGCTTCTTTGCAAAGACCTTCCCCACGCTGTTACCATTTGGCGTCGGAGGGCCGCGATCGGTCGATGAAGCGACCCTACATCTGGGCAGAGGCGGCGCCAACACGCGCGAGCCGGAGGTGGGGACGCAGGACCTCGTGTCGTCCCGGAACATGAGCCTTCGGACGTGGGCCGACACGGTGCTGCGACGCCACGGCGGCCGGTTCGCGACGCACCACATCTTCGCGTTCCTCGCCTTCAACATGGGCGTGCGGTCGAGAAACCGTCGAGTCAGCATGCTGAGCGTGACGAGGAAGAACTTCGGCAACGTGGAGCGCATCGTACGGTCGCTGACCGCAGACGGATTAGCGGCAGCCAGGGCCGAGCTGGAGAGCACAGGCAAGACGACCGACGACGCCGTGAAGGAGCTCCTCAGGAGCCTTTCGCTGTATGGTTATCGCCAGCCCATGTCCCGAGCTCCGTCTCAGCATGCGGCACAAGATCCTGGCGCTCATCGTCCGCTACGGCGTGCCCGCGATCTGGTTCACGATCAACCCAAATGACATTACGAACCCAGTGAAGCTCCGGCTGGCAGCGTACCGCACGCGCGACCCCGAGGCGGCCGAGGCGTTCCTGCGAAGCCTCGATATGTCGTTCAAACGGGTCCGGCTATCCGTCTCCGACCCGATGAGCTCGGCCATGTTCTTCCATCGCGAGATGGCGCTGTTCTTCGAGCATTACGTAAATGCAGGGGGGGAGTCGGTGTTCGGGCGCATCAGCCAGTATTACGGTGCCGTGGAGACCAACGAACGAGGCTCCTTCACGTCCACGGGCTGCTCTGGCTACACGGGAACGCGCACCTGGGCTCGATGCTCGCCGACGCCCACGGCGAGGAACAGGCGGCGTACCGCGAGCGGATCGTCCGCTATGTCGATAGCGTCTTCTGCGAGGTAAGGGGCGGGGCGTCGCGGTCATGGGCCAAGAGGATGCAGGCTGACACACGGAAAGCAGGACCTGGACCAGGAGGGTTTTGCGCCGTCCACGCGGGCGTTCGGTGACGTCCGATGTCTCGTCCCTGCTGGACAGTGCCGAGCGGTTCTCGGCCGCATTCGAAGGAAGCCAACTTCTGCGCCGGCGCGACGCAGATCCACACCCATAGTCCGACATGCGTCAAGTACTCCCTGGGCGACAAGGGACGAAAGGGCGACCTCTGTCGCTTCAAGGCGCCATGGAAGCTGGTGGAGAAGACGGCCTTCTCGCCGGACGGCGTGCTGCGGATCCGTAGGACGCATCCCATGGTGAATCGATGGAATAAGGCCATCGCCGTGGGGCTCCGCCACAACCACGACATCTCCTTCATAGCGACGCAGCGGAAGACCACGGCGCTCGTCTACTACGTCACGAACTACGCGACCAAGGTAGAGGACCCGACGTGGAAGCGCGTCGCCGCCGCCGCGGATCTACTGCCCGTCGTCTCGGCCGGGGAGGACGCCGGAAGTGGCGTCGTGGGCGGTGATGATGGAACCAAGAACAAGACACGGCAGTTTCTGATGAGAGTGGCGAACCGTGTCTTCACGGAGCGGGCTCTGTCCCAAGTCGAGGTCGTCGCCCATCTGCTAGGGTACCCAAGCGAGTTCACGAGCAGCAGCGCCTGGGCGTACCTAAACGTGTCGGTGCTCTACTGGCACGTCTCGAGACGGTGGCGACACCTTCGACAGGAGAGCGGCACCGCGGTCGCTGACGTGTCCGTAGATGAGTCGGTCGTCGTGGAAGAAGCGGGCGAACGGATCAGCTTCGCCGAGGCGTACCATCATCGCGGAAACGTCCTACGAGGCTTATGCCTATACGACTACGTTTCGCTCGTCAGGCTCCAACGCGTCGGCAAGGACGGGTGTTCCGGTGCCTGGGGAGAGGTGGCGTTCGAGCGGCTGGGTGGCGGGTAAAGACTGGGTGCAGGTATTGAGGCGGCCGGGAAGCATGCCGTCGTCTGCCTTGACGGGTACCTAAGCAAGGATTTTGAAGAGGACGACGAGGATCATGCCATCGCAGGTAAGCACGGTAAACGGGCGGTTGAAAGGGGATCGCAACGCGTCGCAGCTAAACCGTTCTGTTCGTTATAGGGCAGCCGTGCAGCATCTTGCACTGTTCACCCCGTGGGAGGCCTTTCTTAGCGAGGAGCGAGGCGACATCAACGACATATGGAGGCGCGCGCGGGCAGCTTCCGCCGAGAACCTCGTGCCTCGTCGACAACGTTCAATTGCTCAGGCGTTCCGCCGAGGACGCCAAGCGAGACGCCAAGCAATGGGCAGCCTCGTCCGGCGACGGGGGAGGAGGGCAGGGCCAGGGCCAAGCGGATCACGAGGCGGCATCGGCGTACCAGTCGGACGACGTCGGAATGGCGACGCGACTGATTGACGTCGTGCGAAGCGCGGCCGGGGCGAACCAGATCACGGCGGGATCGCAGGAGCTTTCGGGAATGATGCAGCAGCTCTGCCGCTTCCAACAATCCGCACTAGCCTCGACGGCCGAGCTCCAGGCCACCATGGTGACCGAACGGGGTGGGAGGTACATCAACATGCCCGGCCAGGTGTTCTCCGGGGCCGCCGTGCCGCCGCAGGATCAGGTCAGGGCCATCAAGTCGCAGCTCTCACGAAGAAAGTCAGCAGAAAGGTCATATTGTATTCCGTGTCTCTGTCCTCCTCCATTTCTGCCCTAAACCCAAGCCCCTATTTATATCCCTCTTTCGTAGTAAAGGTAATGTGTTCAGGGAGGCTGGGGACCTGGGGGTTCCCAGCCTCTCGACTGGAGATGTTCCAGTCTTTTAAGAGGAGCTTTCCAGCCTCCTCGTTCAGACCTGGTTATCAGCTCCCTTGCTGCCCTAGCTACCCATGGGTGACCTGGTTGACTCGACCATGGGCCGTTCTTCGCGACACACCCCCTTAGCTGTAGCCTACCCCATAGGGAACAGCTAGATCAGCCTTATAGGGCCTCCTAGACGGAGGGACATCATTTCGGAATTAAGAAGGGAGAACCGTAGGACTCCTTCGCGAAAAGCTGGGCCATGTATACGCGGCAGGAAGTGACCTCCCAAATATTACTGAGCTAAGCCAGAGGAAATCCCTCCTTTATTGCAAAGCTAGTTGGGGGTTTTGCTTTCCTGCTGGCTCTGATCTTGTCAGCTAGGAGTTCCAATCGGGCTTCTCGCTGTAATCGGCTCCGTAAGTCAGCTACCCTATCATTCGGAGGAAATTTTGTAGCTTTTGGAAAGGGAGGGCCTTCGTAAGGCCGTCCGCTCGCATTCGGGCCGTTGGAACCCATTGGATTTTGATCCTTCCTTGTTGAGTCTCTTGACGAAGCCAATGCTGATGGATATCAACGTGTCGAAGTCTCGTAGAGAGCTTTGCACTAGCTTCTTCAAGCAGTCTGATGGTTTGTGTGTTATCAGACTCAAGCAACAACGGCTCTGGGATTTGAACTTGCAGAGATCGCAGCAACCGACTAATAAATATAGCTTCTTTTGCAGCTTCTGATATAGCTAGCAATTCGGCTTCTGTGCTTGACGTAGTGACTGTGGCCTGCTTCGAAGCTCTCTAAGCAATTGGTCCGCCAAATAGTGTCATGACGTAACCTTGGGAACTTTTCCTATCGATTGAGTTGTCCGCAAAGCTTGCATCGCTCGAACAGAGGAAGATCTCAGCAGCAGCCTTTCGACCCATGTTACCCCCTAGCCTAATACCATATGATCGTGTGGCGTAGAGGTAAAGGATCACTCTGTCGGCTGCCTGCTGGTGTATTTCGCCGGGGTTCTGGTTGTGCCTTGCTAGTCGAGAGACCGCAAAAGCAACATCCGGCCTCGTTGAGATAGCCACAAATAGTATAGATCCAACCTTTTGCAGAAATCTGTGTAAATAACCCTTCTCTGCTTGGCTCGTTGAGGAAGCAGTTCCTCAGATGCCATTGGAGTATCAGGGGATTTGAGACGAGCCTGCTTGGGTCTAGGAGCTTATGGGCGATCTTCTCGATATAGGCGTCTTGCGTCAGCCAAATCGTTCGTTGAGATCTATCCCTAAGGATGTGTATCCCGAGGAACCACCTAGGCTCTCCAAGAAGCGTCATTTGATATCGAGCTTGAAGCCCTCTTATCGCTTCCTTTGCAACCTCCTGGTCTCCTTTCTTATAGGCCCAGATGATATCGTCCACGTAAAAGAAGACAAGAATTGCTCCTTTCTCATAACACAGGGTTCTTGTGGGACTGTCTGAAAGCCTAGGGATTTAAGGGACCCGGTAAGGTGTTGTTGCCAAAGGAGTGGCGATCGTCGTAGGCCATAGAGGGCCTTCCTAAGTAGCAGAACTCTGCCTGGCTTAACGAATCCGGGAGGCATCCTCATATAGACTACCTCGTCCTCGAGTGGGCAGTTGACGAAGGCGTTGACTGCATCCATTTGATCAAGCTCGAGGTCGAATTCTGCCGAAATCGCCATTAGGGCCCTGAACGACATCCCGGCTAAGGTCGTAGCCCGGGTAGGAAGGTCCCCCTTTTCCTGCTGGTTGCCGCAGACCACGAGACGAGCTTTGCACTTTTGAAGGATCCCGTGCTTGTCTGTCTTGTAAATAAAGACCCACTTGCAGCCTAGAATTTGCTTGCCGGCAGCCCTCTTCAAGGAACCTCGAGAAAGGACCCCATCTCCTCGTGTGAGGCAAGGTGGTCTTTCTGAGCTTTGATGAATTCCTCTTTATAAGGGTGCCTTTCGAGCTGCTTCTGTGTCTCTGGCGGTTCGGGTAGGTTCTTCTTATGCGGCCCTTGTGTCTTTGGCTTGAAGATTCGTCCAGCATTGAAGGTTCCATGGAGCATATTCCTGATCTTCTGGGGATAGAAGTCCGAAATCGGTCTTGAAATTGATCTTCCTGGCGTATCCCTGTATGATCAAGTGGCTCCTGCGTTAAGTGCTCCAAGAAGGTAACTCTTTTCTTCTTAGGAGTCGAAACCGAAGGATTTATTAACGCAGATTTCCTCCCCACCCCCTCAGGGGTAGCGACAGGAAGAAATACTGATAGAACGGCTTGAAATTCATCTTCAGATGGCGGCGGCGTTAGCAAGAGTTCCTCGTTGGCTTTTTCTTGGTCTTGTGCCTCCTCCTCGTCAGATTCTTCTTCAAAGAGGTCTTCTTCCTCAGACTCGGATTCTTCATCAAGGATTTCCTGATTTACTTGCTGATCCTCTGGAATAGAGACTTTTCGACTAGCTCGTCGATATTTGCAAGCAGCGGTGGTTGCTCGAGCTTGCCGTCGAAGAAGGTTCTTTCGTCGAATGTAACGTCCGGGTTGAAATAACCTTCGAAGCAAGGAACCCATATCCTAAAGATATTCGTAGAACTATAACCAACCAGGTAGCCGATGTGAGTTCTTGGATCGAGCTTTGTAGCCTTCTCCTCTTCAACTGTGCGTTGGCAGTCATTGCGTAGGCCCTACAGCCGTACGCCTGAAGAGTTGCATGCTGGTTGTGGTCGGGTTCCTTCTTTTTTGTAAATAGCTCCAAAGGGGTCATCCACAGCTGTCGATGCAGATTCTCCTGATCAGAAGGTCTTGATAAGTCCGGTCTGGCTTTTGGATTCCGTGGGGTCCTGTTTTTCAAATAACAGGCCGCTTCCACGGTCTCTTTCCAAAGATCGTGAGGAAGCTTTGCAGCTATCCTCATCTTGCGGGCCCTCTCCATTAGGGCACCTCCTGATCTCTCGGCACCTCCATTCTGGGATTGGGTGTTTGGGGACGAGGGTTCTGCTGAGATACCCTTCTTTCGAAGCCACTTCTTAGTTGCCTTAGTAAAGAGTTCTCCGTCTGAACGAATGGTCTTTACACTATAGTCAAATCGAAGCTTCATCCAGCTAACGAAGTCCCTAAGTGCCCCCCAGTTGTGTTTGTTTTGATAGGTCCGGAGAAAGTAGGGAAAATCATGCCTGAATAGGCGTCTGTTATGAACATCACTCGAACGAATCCCTTATAATCAGGGGATAGGTCGGTCCAGTCGATCCAGATTTCTTCGCAAGGATGACTTCGATCCTTATTCGGGGTTCGCCTTGAGACCTGTCTATAGGCCCTTCCTTGGGCGCATGGTTCGCACTCAACGGTCCTTGGGCCCTTAATGCGAATACCCTTTCGTTGGCCAAGCATTTCGAGTGCTTGAGGGCCAGGGTGACCGAGGCGAGCGTGCCAAAGGTCCGAATCAGCTGTTGCGACAGGCCTAGGGTCTCGAGAGGTCCTTCTTCGTGCCTTTGTAGCTTTAAAAGCTGCCTCATCGAGGTCGTCTTGCATTGCAGGTTGGAAATCTAGCACAAACTGACGGTGCTTTCGGAATAAGACGCAAATTGGTTTCCTCCCTTCCTTATAGGCCAGCTGGGTTGGATTTGTAAAGGTATCCCAGTAGATCCCTTCTTCCTGAAGAGACTGAAAAGAAACAAGGTTGGCTGAGAATCTCGGGCAATAGGCAACCCGTTTTAACCGTAGCTGCCGGAGGGTTCCGTCTGGAGCTGTAACCGTAACATTGACTCTTCCGTAACCCTCTATCCGGACTTCTGTGTCTCCTGTGACTAGATATTCGTTCCTGGCCTTTCTAAAGGAGCGGAAGCGGGAAAGGTTATTGCAGACGTGTAAGGAGGCCGCCGAGTCTAGGAGGGTCGAGTGACGGAGTGGGTAGTCTATAGAGGTCGGTTTCTGATCGGCTGAATAGACGAAGGCGGGATTTGCTGTGCCAACAATCTTTCCAACTGGCTTTAGTTGCTAAGCCAAACCTTTGTTGATCTCATTGACTCTCCTCTGCAGCTCGGGGTCACTTTTAGAGCCTTTTCTGCTTTCTCTCGTAGCTTGCTGTTTTCCTGTAGTAGGAAGGTCTGTTTTTCTCGAACAGCTGCCAGCACTCTGAAAGCTCGTGCCTATTTTCGCAAGCAGGGCAGCGTTTTCGAGACGAAGATGAAGGATTTGTATCCTCCTTTCGCTTTCTCTTCTTTTTCGGCTGTGCTTCTGGCTCCGAATCGTCTATTGGGTCATCTGTAAGAAAAGCCCCGCCTCGCTTGATTCCTCTTTGCGGTTGTTGTTCCGCAATTTCCCTGATTTTTCTTGCAACAATTTGGAACGTCCAACGGGAAGGTGAGGCTGCGGGTGCTGGTGCCGCTACTCCTGGTGCGGGGGCCGCTGCTGCTTCCACGGGTGCTGCTGCCACATATGCAGGTCGATCAAATGCTTGTTGCATCTTTCTAGCCGCATCCTCGTCAAGGCGCCTGCTCTCTTCAAGGAAGATTGTTGCATAGCCATCACTAAGGGGCTTAATGATTGTTGCAATATCTCGCAGCCACTGGCCAGTAAGCACTTCCATTAGGAAGTACTGTATAGCTTCCTGTATGATCTCTTCCCATTTGACAAGCCACTCAGGGATGTTGTTGCTCTTTGAGTAGCTTCGAAGATGACTCGAGTAAAGCTTCCTGATTCGCTCAGTCATAAATCCTTTGGTAGGGGCGGTTGAAGATTCCAGTGTTGTCATCCATTGACGAAGTGTATCTTCCTCACGCAACGAAATCATCTTTGCTGTGCCGATTGACTCCGTAATTGCCGTTCTAGCTTCCTTAATTAGCTTCTTCTCATATAGGTATTCCTTACGCATATTTTCATAATGTGAAGTGGCTGCCGAGAAAGCTTTCTGCTGAGCCGAAGTGAGGCCTGCATAGGTTATAACACCGGCAGCAAACTCGGAAAACGTAGGCCGAACGGGGGATTGTAACGGGACTGTTCCTTCCTCAAATACTAGTCCATGGATGGTCTCGTCAACCCTCGCACGAAGCTCCTTATTCCACTTATCCCAGTCCTGAGGTTCTGAGAGAATCGTGCGGCGGGTGGAATTGGTGTTCTTCGACATTGCGATTTGAAGGGTAAAGGGATAAAGGTATGAGTGATCAGATGGATTTGATCTTCGATAAATGGGAGTGCCTGCTGGCACTGTTGAAGGCGCAATATTGTGCACACGGAAGTTCCAGAAACTCTGTTTCTCCCGGCTCATAACTCTCACGAAGAAAGTCAGCAGAAAGGTCATATTGTATTCCGTGTCTCTGTCCTCCTCCATTTCTGCCCTAAACCCAAGCCCTATTTATATCCCTCTTTCGTAGTAAAGGTAATGTGTTCAGGGAGGCTGGGGACCTGGGGGTTCCCAGCCTCTCGACTGGAGATGTTCCAGTCTTTTAAGAGGAGCTTTCCAGCCTCCTCGTTCAGACCTGGTTATCAGCTCCCTTGCTGCCCTAGCTACCCATGGGTGACCTGGTTGACTCGACCATGGGCCGTTCTTCGCGACAGCAGCAGACTTGCGCCTCCAGGGAGAGGGTGAAGATGATCCAGGGCATACAAAGCATGGCCCCGGCCCACGGCACCGATCGCGGCGCAGCGGCGCGGAGCGTGCTGACCGGCTTCGGGGAGGAAGACGTGCAGATGACGGAGCGGCAGCCGAGGAGACGGCAGGTAACGCGCAGGCCGGCATGGAAATCCGCCTCGGCCCGTCGACCTCCTTCGTCGAGGCTGGGAAAGGCTTAAGAACACGGTTGACGCTGAACAAGAAACAGGCGATCGCCTTCTCGATAATATGCCGCCACCTGGACTCGATGCGGGAAAGAGACGGAGGCGACGTCAGCCAGCTCTGCCAGTTCGTCGGCGGCGAGGGCGGCACCGGCAAGTCGCGCGTCATCGAAGCACTCGTGGGCCTCTTCGCCGCCAAGGGTATCTCGAGTCGCCTGCTGGTCACGGCGACGTCGGGGACCGCCGCCGCGCGGTCAACGGCATCACCATCCACTCCGCCTGCGGCTTCACCAAGGACCAAGGGCCGGGCGAGAACACGGCGAGGAACGTCGACGGCGTGCGGCTGCCGAAGCAGGCGGAGCGGTTCGTCAACGGCCAGTCCCGGATGGACTGGCGGGACAAAGACGTGCTCGTCATCGACGAGGTGAGCATGCTCGGCGCGCGGACGCTGCACGCCGTCAACGAGCGGCTCTGCCAGCTCCGGGGATCGCGGCGGGACTTCGGCGGCATCCCCATCGTCCTCTTCTGCGGGGACTTCCACCAGTTCCGCCCGGTCCAGGAGCGGTCGATCCTGCTGCCGAGCGCCGCCGTCTCGTGGGACGAGGACAGCTCGTTCAGGGCCGAGCAGCGCCACCAGCACGACAGGGCGCACGCGCTGTGGAGGCGGTTCACGACCGTCGTCATGCTGGACGAGCAGATGCGCGCCGCCGGCGACCCGGAGCTGCAGGGGCTCCTGCGGCGGATCCGACGGGCGTGCAGGACCACGCGGACCTGGATCTCCTCAACTCGAGGTGCCACCGGGAAGGCAGGCGGATCCCGTGGGAAACGGGCATCACGGTGGTGACGCCGCTCAACAGGAACCGGTGGAACCTCAACATGGAGGCGAGCCTGGCGTTCCAGATCCAGCAGCGGTCGACGGTGCGCATCTTCCTCTCCGAACACAAGTGGAAGGACGGCCTGCCGACCGAGGAAGAGGCCATCACGATGCTGAACCAGGGCGACGACAGCGCGATCCCGGTGCCGGCCGTCTTCATGTTCGTGCCGGGGATGCCGGTCGTCGTGAACCACAACACTCACCAGGGGCTGAAGCTGGTGAACGGCGCCGGCTACACGGCGGCGGAGGTCATCATCGACAAGGCGTACCCGGGGCATCGGATCTCGGCCGACATGACGATCCACTTCGGGCCGCCGGCGGCGATCATACTGGGGTCGGAGACGACCAAGGACTTCCACTTCGTCGGGATGCCGGCCGGCACCATCCTGCTGACGCCCATGAGCGTCAGGGTCCAGCGTCAGCGGAAGCGACCGTGGCAGCAGAACGACGTCAGCCGCAAGGGCCTGCCGTGCGCCGCCGCCTTCGCGTGCACCGATTACAAAGTGCAGGGGGGGACGCTGGAGCGCGTGGCGCTCGAGCTGCGGGGGACGAGGACGACCAACGTCGGCGGACGCGCCGTCCCGTCGCAGTGCGACCCGTACAGCCTGTACGTGCAGCTATCGCGGTGCCCGACGCTGGACGGCATCATGCTCGTGTCGAAGGTGCGAGAGAGGGACCTGGTGGGAAACCGGGTCCCCGGGGAGATGACCGCCGCACAGGCGAGACTGGAGGAACTAAGCGACAGAAGCGTTCGGGAGGCGCTGTGCTGGCTCGGCGACGACTTGGACGCCGCGAGGCAAGAGAGGGAAGGCTTGGTAGGCACGACGTCGTCGGACGCCGCGGGAACGGCTGACCGCGGGAACGGCTGACGTGAGCAAGGAGGCCAAAACGAAAGAGGCTATTTTCAGCCCAATCGGGTTGAGAACGAGGCGGCTAAGTCAAAAGAGGCAGATTTTACGGAACGCCGGCGGGCGAGAGCCAACGAAAAGCTGACCAATCAGGCACGCGGATTTTGGGGGGAAGGTCCGCGGGTGGGGCATAAGTCCTTTCGTTCCTCAAGGCACGGAACGCCGGCGGGCGAGAGCCAACGAAAAGCTGACCAATCAGGCACGCGGATTTTGGGGGGAAGGTCCGCGGGTGGGGCATAAGTCCTTTCGTTCCTCAAGGCAAAGTCCTTTCGTTCCTCAAGGCATAAGTCCTTTCGTTCCTCAAGGCAAAGAGGCAGATTTTACGGAACGCCGGCGGGCGAGAGCCAACGAAAAGCTGACCAATCAGGCACGCGGATTTTGGGGGGAAGGTCCGCGGGTGGGGCATAAGTCCTTTCGTTCCTCAAGGCATAAGTCCTTTCGTTCCTCAAGGCACCTTTTCGTCACTAACGTTCCTCAAGGCACTAACGTTCCTCAAGGCACTAACGTTCCTCAAGGCACCTCACTTCGTTCCTCAAGGCACTTCGTTCCTCAAGGCAAAAGTCCTTTCGTTCCTCAAGGCAATTTCGTTCCTCAAGGCAAAGTCCTTTCGTTCCTCAAGGCAAAATCCTTTCGTCACTCGTTCCTCGTTCCTCAAGGCAAAAGGGGGTTGTGGCTCGCAGGGCAAGAAAATCCTTTCGTCACTCGTTCCTCGTTCCTCAAGGCATACATTCCTTTTCAGCTCATATTACATTCCTTTTCCTTTTCAGCTAATACTGCATCCCCTGCTACGTATTACTTTGAATTGGGCTCCGCCTTTGCCCTGTTAGATAGCCCGCTAATCAAGATTCCTACTTCTATGACCTCGCAGCCTCCTCGCCTCGGCATTCCAGACGATGCTAATCTTCTCTTTATTCGCTAAACAGCGTCTTCGATACAGATAGACTATTCTTAATACCCTCTAGCCCCCATCACTAGCCTTTCTTCTGAGTATTCTCCCTGTTACTAACGCTATTGCGAAAACTGTCGGAGCTGGACGTCCGTTAATAGAGCGCATAGTCTTCTCTGGGTATAAATAATGAGCATCAGCCGCTTCGGAAAAAAAAATTATGTCACCACCTATCTCAACCAAGACAGCTTAAGCATTGGATTTGGACTTTAATAACCGCTTGCTCTCAACTTTCTTGCAAACATAGGACTCTGAGCTCCTTACGTTTTACCATCACCTGATCAAACCCGGCACGATGAAGTACGCCACCGGAGCTTTGGTCGCCATATGCCTCGCCACTAGTATCTTTGCCGCTCCCACTCAGGAAACTAGCCTGGGGGAGTACGAAGGCGGCTACCGCCGCTCCGTGGAAGCGGCCGACCATGGCTGTAAGAACAAGCAGTCCCATGGCAAGAAGAAGCACCATGGGAACGACGACGCCCCTGCTGGCGGCTACCGCCGCTCCGTGGAAGCGGCCGACCATGGCTGTAAGAACAAGCAGTCCCATGGCAAGAAGAAGCACCATGGGAACGACGACGCCCCTGCTGGCGGCTACCGCCGCTCCATGGAAGCGGCCGACCATGGCTGTAAGAAAAAGCAGTCCCATGGCAAGAAGAAGCACCATGGGAACGACGACGCTCCTGCTGGCGGCTACCGCCGCTCCGTGGAAGCTGCCAATTAATACCGATAAGGTATTTAGAGAGTTCGTGAAGAGTCTTAGGCGATATAATTTGTCGTGACTACTCGCGTTGGCTGGCTTAGAAGACCTTGTAATTAGGCGAGGTTCTAAGTGACTTATCGCACGGAGGATGAGCAAGTGGGCATAAAGATCAGGGACTGGAAGACTCTTGATTCTGCTATCTAAGGTGGGAAAGAGGCGAGATCTTTATAGACTGCCTGAATATGAGAATGGAAGGGAATGGTAGTGAATGGAAGCATCTGATCAGATCATCTGGGCGGTGGCGAGGAGTGCTTCGGCGTATGTTGCCAAGTCGAAGACTCGCTCATCCTCAGTACGAGGGCTAGCTTCATCCGCCATCTGTGAAATTCGGTGCAGAAGACGGCTAATATGTCGTAGTCCGGATACTCAAGCTCGGTGGAGGGCTTGCCGTGGGTGCCATGGAAATACGCTGCCAGGGCCGAGGAAAGTTTTGGACTTTATAGTGCTCGACCTTGCACCACAAGGCTGAAGCCCGAGGCGACTAGAGTATTATCAGTATACCAGAGCCAAAACGCACCTTGAGGAGGAATCAGGCCGAGATGGGTATGCCAAATCATGTTTGATGGAAACAGGCAGGAATACCATGCAGGGTGGCAAACCACTCAATCCCAGCAACGGTTGCTCAATATAGTTGAGCAACCGTCAACTCAATCAACTCAATCGAGTGTCTGCTGAATAAGCTTGTCAATTCAATTCATGCTCCCGTTGATTGATGGATTGATGAGATTGCCGTTGACGGTCAGGGGTCCTGTATGTATGTATGTGTATTTCACCCGGAGGATTTCTCCTATAGGGCCTAGACGTAAAACCTACTGACATTTCAATACATTAATGCGTAACACCTTAAGCCCCACGGGTCAGCATACGCTACACCAACCTCGCCGCTACTCGCTCCGTGACAGGCCTGCTTGAAGGCCAATTTCTCCAAGTGTTCAGCGTCCTACCTTCAGCAGCTGAAGCGCGGTCTGTCGAAATCCGAAGTCGAATACTTTGGCACTGTCTCCTTGCATTCTCTGTGGTGATGTTCTGCTTTCGCGCATCTGCCACATCTTTGCGGCTTCTTGCATGAAAACGCCTTGTGTCCCATCTCTTGACAGTTGAAGCACTGAATCGGTCCTACGCGGCGTTCAAAAACATTGGTGCAGGCGGACTCTCCCGCAACATCGAACCACACGCCGTCCAGAAGTCTTTGCGCGTCACTCTCTTTGGTGACATAGATCACCATTGACCCGTACGCTTTGGCTTTCTCTCTGTTGCTAAGCCAGGTGATCTTGGCAATCGTGACGTAATTCTCGGCTCCGAGCGCCTCAGCTGCGCCCGGCAGAACGTTGCCTTCGGCGTCCAGCACTGCGGTACGCTTGGTGTTGTCGACTTTGACAGGGTAAAGCTGATCTCTCAGTACCCTGGCTCCCGAAGTTACCGTCTTCTGCGCTGCTTCCTTGACCTGCTTCAACTCGGTTTGGTCTCTGCATAAAATTTTGATCCGGTCGGGGTTTCGAGCGTCTGTCACGACCGCTGCGCATTTCCAAGTCTCCTGCCTCTGACTCTTTCTCATGTCGCTCTCTATGGCCTTTCGGATGTTGCCGATCTGCGTCTGGCACCTGTTCGCTTCTTCGACTCGTGATGTGTCCACCGTACAGTAGAGACTATCGCTGACGGCTGTTCGTGCCGATTTAGCTGCTGGTACGGTGCCCCGGTTCATTGTCTGGATCGTCGGCGATGACCCTGCAGCGCTCGCATACGACATCTGCGGACTGCTCTGCAGAGAAGATGCGGGCGTAGCCAGGGTCTCTAACTGCGCTCGGATGTGACGAAGCTCATCTCATCTCTTTCCCTTGTTGATCCATTTCCTGGATCATCTGCTGTTGCTTGGATATGATCTCGTTTTGCGCATCTATCGCTCGGCTGAGCTTTTGCGTTTCTTGACGTGACTCGCTCAAGAGTTCGAGAACTTTCTGGAGCATGGCTCGGCCTTCGTTCGCGCCACTGCTGCTGCTGGCAACTTTGCGCCGCTCAGTCGCGTCACTGATGGCGACATCGTCCGAGGCAATGCGCGTTGCAAGCCTAGTTGCGCGTGTTGTCTTCTCAGCCAGATCGTCGGGCTGTCGCGCGGCTTCTCGAATTTTGGTGCTTGGCCTCACGACGCGTGTCGATCTTTTCGCGGGTGTCGACGCAGGCGACGCGCTTCGCCCCACTATGATCACGGCCTCAGCCGGCGTCTCCATGATGAGGCCCCTCAATGCCTAGCTGGCGTTCGCTTCAGGCTTCTTGTCGAGTTCGTCCGACCTGATCCTATCGCAGTATCGAAAAGCCTATAGTCGCAGACGGGGACGTTCCATGCAGTTATTCTAGCTAGTCTAGCTCAGCACATCCTGTGCCCCACCGGGACTCCAGAAGCGCCAATGCAAATCCAGTTCCAATATCGCCTAGTAAGCGGTATTTAAGGCGATGTTATTGGTCATTGGTTGGCGCCTATCCACCACGTACAATGCCGCCATGTGAGTTTCAACAACCATCAGTAGATGATCCTTTTTCGGATTGCGACAACAAGTGATGGAATCAAGACCAAGGAGACTATTTTCAGACTCAGAACGTGTCACACACAGGATATCAGCCTCCAACAGGCTAACCCCTACCATCTACACTATGCCGAACAGCCACACCAACCATCAACATTATGCACACGTTATAGGCACCTACACTATATGATCAGATGCTTCTAGCATCTCCCAGCCACTCCTTTATGTCATCTATAAAGATGTTGCTCCTTTTCCCCTCTAGATAGCTAAATCAAGAGTTCTTCCACTTCCTGATCTTCATGCTTGCTGCTGCTCTACACCCCGTGCGATAGAACGCTTCGAGAAAGGGTGAGCACGATATAAAATATGCTGACACCCTCACCGGAGGTGGGGAGGGTGTAATACAGTCCGAAGGATGTATCTCTATGTCCACGTGTTATGGATGACTTTGTCTTCGAAATGAATTGATCTGCCGGCTTCTCCTGCTTGCACTCCCTGCAAACATTCGTTAAAGGGATAGAATCAGCCATGAGTAGTTACGTTGGATTAGAGGGATTGTTTGATGAGGAAGGATGAGGATTACGCGTTGGTGGCATGGGTCGTTGGCAGGCCAACACCAAAGACCGCCCCTGGCTTCAAGGCTTACACCAGGCAGGGATGCCGTCCAATCCACGTCGAGTGGAGACTCCGGTGGCCAATAGGAGCGGAGCTTCGAGTTTCAAGTTATCGTCGTAATAGAAGTCCTTCGGACTGAATAATCATTCCTACTGCGTTCTTGGGCACATATTCTGTTGACCATGTAACTACCCGTTAACATGGACATACACATTTTGACAAGTAATTGGTTCTGAGCGACCTGAATGTCGCTGGACGAAAAATACAAACACACACACACACACGTGTCATTGACGTCACATCGGGGAGGATTAAGAGAAACGTAACACTAAGAGGTCAATTAATAGACGAGAATTGTACCGGGGAACAAAAGAAAAGGAACGAATGCACACCAAGTTATACCTAGTGCAGTGTTTTTATGCTTTTACATGCCGTGCATGGACCCCAGCGATTCTTATGATAGTAGCAGTACGAAGTAGTACCTAGAACCCGTGCCACGCCGCACTTTAAAGGTGTATGTATGTATGTATGTGTATTTCACCCGGAGGATTTCTCCTATAGGGCCTAGACGTAAAAGCTACTGACATTTCAATACATTAATGCGTAACACCTTAAGCCCCACGGTGGTGGTGCGAGCTTGCGAGTTCCTGTAAAGTGGGGCGTGGCACGGGTAGCGGCTTTCCAAGCCAGGCTATTCTCGCCATGCATCTTTGAGCCTGAGACTTCCGATAAATCCAAGGTTGATAAAGTTCGAAACATCTTATACTTGTTGAGGCTTGTTATACTACTATAGTATTGACCGGCAATTCGTGAGAAGATCGGTAAAGGTAAATACATGTCGTACCAAATCACCAAAAGTGGAAGCCACCTCCGCTAGAGGCGACTGGTACCATAGTATATGTAGACTCCGACAACAATACATGTTCTTTCCAGGTAGGGCTGATATTTGAAGATTTTGAAGTCGAATCGGCCTCGGGACCCTTGAATTGAATGAAGCCGAATCGGGTAAGGTCTTCAAATTCGACGAATCAAAAATCAGGAGTCTTCATTCAATTCATTCATAAAAATTGTGAATGAATGGCGATATGGTCGAAACGTAAGGCGAAAAAAAATTATCACCCCGCTTCGCGGCCAAGGGACATACAGGGAGGAAAGGGTCAATACCCGAAGCCACCCACCAAGGGCCTCTTCCCTGTTCTTCCTCGGCAGGCTCACATACACATCAATAAACAAGCTGCTTTGACCCCATCATTAAGGGGTTTGCCCCGCGCGGACACGGTAACTTCGAGTTCGGCCGCGCTTGTGATGACGCTCTGCGTATTTAAAAGTCTGTTGTGCGTGTTTCAGTTGGATTCCACCGTCCACACTCCACTGGCAAAATCCTAGTCCCGCGCCGCCCGCGTCTGGCGGGGCGTCGCTGGGAAATCGAGGCGAAGGACGGCAGTTAGGGCGTCCATATATTGTGGTATAACGACCTAACAGTGCCTGATACGCCACCGTTTCAGCAATCTTGCCACCCTATACGGAGTATTAAAAAACACCATGAAGCTCATGAACAGTGCCATTTTATAATGCACATGATTTAAATGTAGTGCCGCTCGAATGTTCTGGATTTTCTCGTTCGGATGATATAACCCTCGATAGTTACATGTCGTTAACATTTGCTCAAGAAATGCCACATCATCTTGAAGGCAATCAATGGATAGCCCATTTTTTGGTTGGAATACTACATTTCAAGCACATATTAAGCTCGGCAACCCATATTCTGGATATATAATATAATAATTATACCGCTGTACAGCCCCCAGCAAGCTGATTCGAAAAACGCGTTCAGATCCTCAACATCTCAATACTGCGCGAACAATTGGAAGTGACACGAATCGAGTCAGCTCGCGATTTGGAGGCTGTTAGGGACTTATCTACTCCTCGAGCCCAATATGACTGCTACTTGTTTGTCCATACAAATTAGCCGATCAGGAAGTACCCGAAAAATCTGCATGATAAGGATATATTGTGCCAACTAGCCGCGTTCAGACGCGTTATTTCCGCTCAGTTGACCACCTGTTAATTCTACTGCTGTCGGAAAGACAGGGTCGTCAGCCCATCCACCTTTTGCCTGCGTGGCGCAACGGTCTTCGCGACAACTGCCACGACATTATTTTACCACGACCTCGCCTAATTCCTGCTTCGATATTCCGACAGCGGCTTCGGATCAGCCCCCGAATCAACGCCCTGACCGACGACCTATCCTACCCGTTCAACCCCGACTCCTTGACACTTTATTGTGGTTTATTTGGTGTCGTTCCGACTACCTGTGTCGCGTCCATTCTCGAGCCTTTCAGCCAAGATCAGGTAAAACTTCATTACTCTCCAATCTACCCTCCTTATTTAATTACCTTACGAGTGGATAGCTAATTATAACATGATACGTAGTATGGCCCCTGCTGAAACAAAAACATCTGCCGCAGCGAATTTCTTTGCTCCAAGGACCCGGCGTAAATTGCCAACGCAGAATTATGCCCGCATCGAACGTCCTCAATTCAACCTCGGAATCCCGCGCGCGCGCTGATTCTAGCGCAACTCCGGCTCCTTCCTCTCCTCTTCCAACTGGCGAAGATACAATTGTCTGCGCGCCCCCGGGTCATCCTGACTGTGAGTCAGATGATGACATGCCCGACGCGGATACACCAGAGCCGCCATTGAACAGTAGTCATATGACGCTCGCAGAAAGCCGGACTTATCAAGAAGTGGGCCGACAACAAACAAAAGCATGTTCGCAAGAAGAGAGACAAGAACAGCCACGTCTATTGGTATATGCAGAGGAAGCTATAGACAGAAGCTTTTACTCAGAGGATAAGGATGGGCCGAAGATCTTCCAAGAGTTCCGGTGGACTTGTATAGAGTGCCTTCAAAATCCCAATACTCTTCGGAAGAGATTCCAGGTCCTCGAATCGAACCGCCGAGGGTTACCTCTGGCATGGGAGACCATTTAAAAATCCACGGTATTACGAAGGAATCTCACCACGCTCGAATTAATGGATACGGCCGCGCCATTGGTGGAGGAGATTATACAGAGGCAGACGCATGGAGCGGTCGACCTAGGCAGAGAGCAAGACTCACGGCAAAGGAGTCTATCCGCCGGTGGTTTGTAAAACACCGACAACCCTTCTCTGTTGTCGAGACTCCTGCTTTTCAAGAGATGTTCTTGGCTCACAACACAACATGTGTGTACAGGAGTCGTATAACGTTACGCAATCATATATATACAGACTTTGTCGAACGCAGGAGACTGAGAGAGAGGAAGTTATTGAGTTTATTGAGCTCAAAAGATCTCACACTGGCAAACAATTAGCTGAGATAGTTGAGAGGACGCTTGAGGAGCTCAGGCTCAAGCCTAAGCTTCTCGCCATTACGGGAGACAACGCCGGCAATAACGGCACGCTCTGTCAGTCTTTGTACGATTCTCTCAAGACCAAATTCGACGACAAGGTGAGCCCAATAGGGAGGCCCGCATGCGCTTTCACGGCAGGAAGAGTTGGATCCGCTGTCTAGCTCATATTACCTCGCTCATTTGTGAGGGCGTCTTGCAAGATCTCAAAGCAGGCACAGCGAAGGAAGCCAAGAAGATGCTTGACAAGTGGGACGAAGAGAATAAAAGCAACAACTACACCATTCCGGGAGACTCTAGTCGAAGTGGGATTGCCAAAATCCGCCTCCTCAATCTCTGGATGTTGAGATCCGGGTCTGGGAGCAAGACTTCAAAAGCATGCCGCGCACGCACTACCGGAAGCCAACCTACGATGTCGACACTCGCTGGAATTCGGCCTACGACATGATTGACCAATTCCTCGAGCTTGAGGCAGAGTATACTGAGTTCGTTGATACTCACCCGCAAGTCAAGTGCCTCCTGCCCTTATCAGAAGAGATTGTCGCTCTCTATCAACTGCGGAAGGTTCTGAAGCCGTTTAAAGACCACACTCTGAAAGTCTCCGAAGTTATGCCGCCGATCTCACAAAGTCTCGATATCTATTGGGATTTGGAAGCTCTCCTTGATGATGTAGTCGAAGGAGTTGGCGACTTTACAGACCTTGATATGTCCATTCGAGACGCCTTCTCGAAGGGCAAAGCAAAACACGTTACTTATATGAAGAAGCTTGACGATCAAATGATGCTATTCGCAGCTCACATCCTGGATCCGCGTTATAAAACTCACCAATTGGAAATGATGATACCGGATCAATACTCTGAGATTATGGCTAAAGTCAAGAAGTATTTCAAAACGGAGTGGCCGGAGCTAGCAGCATTGAATGCCACAAACTCAACTATGAGCCAATCCAGACCAGCTGAGCGTCCTCAAGGAGTCTCCATTGCGCAATGGAGAGCCATCCAAATGAAGAAGGCGAGGGAGGCGGAGACGGGCGCGGCGATCCCTATTTCGGAGCTTGAACGGTGGCTTGCAGCTCCTCGAATAGAGTTCGACGAGTCTATTGCAAAGTCTCCAGACTTCCTACTGAAGTGGTGGAAAGAACACAAGGTCAGTGGCCACTTTTGGCTGCGGCGGCGCGTGATCTTCTCTCTGTCTCTGGCTCTGAAGTTGACGTGGAACGCCTCTTCAGCGGTTGTAGAGACGAATTCGGTATCCGCCGTCACGCCTTGAAGGCAGATACGGTGCGAGTACTAACACTTTTACGGAGTGCTTATACTCAGGAAGATAAGATCGATCAGGCGTTGATCAAGGCGGCCATGGAGTATGACATCCTGCCCTTTGCCAATAGTATTATTTGGAGACCAGACCACATTCCGGGCAAGCTGGAAGATGGTATGTATGGATATACCCTCATTATATATGTAGGTATATGCTAATCTGTGTTCAGGCGAGAATCCTCCTCAACCTCTTCCTCCCACCGAGGCTCCCACCGAACCCCTACCCCAAACCTCCTGCATCCCAAGCCGATAAGTCTGCGATATCAACCCCCTGTCTAGATACAATGGAGGCTTCGGAGGATTGGGGCTCTAAGAGTGTAGCCGTGTACAGTGGCGGATTCGAACGCGTTGTACCGACGTATTTTGAGGATTCGGCAGAGCTTTGAAAGTGCTTATTTTCAGTCGATTTGCCTAGGACAGGCGGATCAGTATTTATGTAAGTTAATTTTTGTAGTATTCGGGATTATCGACTTCTTAGAAGGCTATAACTTAAAACTATATACTACTTATTGGCGTTTTGAGGCATCTTTGCAATCGCTCAGGTACACACCAAATTCACTTCGTTTAGGGGATCCCTTCAAACCATTCATGAATGGCCTGAATTGGCCCAAACCCAACTTGAATCGCGAAAATTGGAGCTTGAAGATTTTGAATCAAGATCCAAAAAATTCAATTCATTTGATTCATCCTTCATTCAAAATCTTCAAAATCTTCACCTTCGTCTATCACCCCTATTTCCAGGAGGTTCCCGGTTGTAGAAGCTTCTGCCTGGTCACTTCATAGCAGACACATTTCAGCAAATCCAACGCCGGAGTCGCCGACGACTGATTAGGGTGATTGCAGTTCAGTTTTGTCGGATGGTAGTGCCGCTGTACCCGCTGTACCGTGTCGTTGACGTTGACATGGTCACTCATGCTATGGGTGCTCGGGAGCAGCTACCTAATAAAAATCGCGCGATTAGGCCCGGGCGCGCAGCTTTATTTGGGCTCCTCTCATGCAGCCAAGAAAGGCTCTAGACCCAGCTGAATATCGCTTTCCCGCCATCTCGACAAGTCAAACTCGCCAATAGCCCAGGGCCTTTCGCCGGCGGCGTCTCGACTTGTCGGTCCGTCAGCCGCAAGTCTTTGATCTAGAGTCTCCTTTACAAGCCCACGCAGGGCCTGGGCCGCAAACTTGGCGTTGGAACGAGCCATGCGGGTGCTGGGATTACACACCAAGTCAGTGGATGGAGACCCCAGCAGGCCTCGAGGCTGAATACTTGTCGCCCAGTTTCCGATCTCGCATTCTGAGCTGTCCGCGGCCTTGTGGCCTTCGACTTAGCCCCGAGCGGCCTGGACTTTATATATAACCCAGCTCATGGCCCTACGAAAATATCTTGAATCCAGGCATCAGCATCGGTCAGCACACTCTTCTGTCAACTATCCAGAGAGACCCATTTGCTTCACTTCAAGTAACACTCGCCCCGCCATCATGATTCTCAACCATTTCCTCCTCGCCGCCCTCTTCACTCTGGGCTCAGTCGTCGCCAATCCGGTGCCCAGCCTCGAGAATGTCGAGCTCGAGGCCAGAGACCTCGACATGAGCCACGGGGCAGAGCTCTTTACCCGCGACGAGCCCGAAGGAGCCCTCTTTGCCCGTGACGAGCCCGAAGAAGCCCTCTTTGCCCGTGACGACGCCGAAGCAGACCTCGTTGCCCGTGATGGAAGAGGTCGCCACCGCCACCACCGCCACCACGGACACCACGGACACCACGGACATCACGGACATCACGGACATCACGGACACCATCACGGACACCACCATCACCACCATGGACACCACGGTCACCATCATGGACACCACGGACACCATCACGGACATCGTCACGGGCACCATGGACACGGCCACCGCCACCACTAAAGCAATGCCGCCCAGGGCCAGAAGTGCAGCCGCATCTTCTAGGTACTAGAGATATATTACGAAGGCTAGCTTTGTGCGTGGCCTGAGTTTGCCATGGCAACGTCTCGATGCTTATGCTTGGGGTCAAATCCGGGGGCTTTCATGTTATGATTTTTGTCGGCTTTCAAGCCTATCCTTTTACTGCTTCGTGCAGCTACAGATACGAACAAGTCACTCCTTTACAGCCGGTCCAGGACACCTCTGCCGCTACTACGTCAGTATTACTGTAGCCTGTTGATGCCTACACACATGGACAAGTCTCTTGCTGAGTGTGGGAATAAAATACTTCGAACACCCGTTAAGTTGCCAATGCATGGGCCTTAACAGCTGAATATCCAGCCCGAAGGGTGAACATCGTATACCGGTAGCTGAATGCGCTCGTCTGTGATCATCTTCTTTGTCTGGCTAAACACTCTCTCACATTCAGCACTCATGCCAGGAATTGAGAACAGATCTAGCGCCATTCGATACAAGACTGGGTATTCCAGTTGATGCCGGCTCCACCATTCAAGAGGGTTTGCAACGTCAAGATCTTGGGCGTAAATTGGCCTGGTCTGGAATAAGTCAAGCTGACTCACTGCCTTGACCTTCTTCCGCTGTGTGTTTAACGAGCTAATCTATCTCTTTCCAAACGAGCTGTAGTCATTGTCAGCGTCGACTTCCTCGGATTCGTCTTCCAAAAACCCAGCTTGAGCCTGAGTTTCAACTTCAGTCTGCCTCCGGTATTCATCGAATAGGCTACCAACAGCCGACTGCATGTCGCTATACCATTGCGGCTTGTTCATCGCCTTCTTCCAGTGTCGTTCGAAGTAGTCGTACCCATACGACGGGTGCAGTGCTAGAGCTGCCCGATAAACAGGTGTCCTATCGGTTTTGACGTAATAGTCTTCAAGCTTCGCCCATCCACAGTCAATTCCCGACTTAAAATGGGAGGCCTCCTGGAACTGAGTATCCTCCGCGGCCTGCTTGAATTTCATGAACAGGTAGTCCATGGTTTTAAGTGTCTCCACACAGCTCCATGGCCGCCCTCCGCCCCCGGCTTACTGGCGTTGCCCTCTATAGTCTTCGTCAGGATATAAAACGGCTTCAGGAACTCGTAGAAACGCTCTAATTCAACCCAGTCCCCAGCATTGAGGAAGTCGTTAGTTAGGTCACGGTGATCAGGGTCATTCTTAGGCTTTTGCCAGCGAGATTGATAGAGCTCGATGGCGCAGCGCAGTTCGAGTGCTGGTGTAAGCCGACAAGTTGTCAGTACTCAGAATACGGAAGCAACCTCGGACGAGAAACGTACCGCGTTTGATCATCATGTATATAGAGTTCCTGCGAGTCTTGCCGTCAACAACAATCTCCAGGGTAAAAATAGGATCGTCACCAGCGAGCTCGGTCTGCAAATGCCGAAGACCCCTGATCTGTAATGTAGGTGGCAATGTTGTGGAGTCTGCCGATAGCTCCTTTCTTTGCCCAAATGTCGAACTTGAACTCATCTGTAGCTCCACGAAGCTCAGCCTCGAATTTACTGACGTTGGAGCCAAAAATAACTGCTCGGACAACCAGGTTGATAACGTGGCCTATACAGCGTAGGCGGCGTCGGCTGACATCCATTGGAAACCACCTAGCAAGCGTCTCTAGGCAGGTATCGTTGCTCTTGGCGTTATCAAGCATGAAGTATCAAGCTTGGACCCCAACTCGTATCGATCGATTACCTCCTTGAGATAGGCGGCGATATTCTCACCGGAGTGTGGACCGACTAAGCGCGGAAGTCCAAGAAGGGCATCGCGTTTTTTGCCTTCACTGCCAACAAAATGTCCGACAATTCCGACGTAGTTAAACGCATTTGAGGCAGTCCATAGATCAAAGCTGGTGTGAACCGAGCTCTTCGCGTTCTTGACGAGATCAAAGACAATTTGCTGTCGCCGTTCAAAGGTGTGATGCTCCGGAAGTAGCCGACTTGCAAGCTCTCCTCCATTCGATACGAGCCACCCAAGCCGCTCGCTGGATGCTTGTCGAAAGGTGACATCTTCCACTATGACCCAGTCCACAAAGCGAGCTTTCCATGTCCTCTCGTCGAAATGGGAGGCGAGCTGGTAGCCTAGGCTGGCCTGTCGAGATAAAGGTAGGGACGAAGAGGATGGTGACGTAGCCGCCAAGGTAAACGGAGTCTTCAATCCGGGACGACTCTCGCCGAATTCCGTGATTTGGTGCTGACGACGCAGGTGCTTCGCGGCGTGAGACGTCCCTGAGGAGGCGTATAACGCTGTCGAATAGTTCTTCTTCCCGTGACAGATTCTGCAAAGCCAGTAACGTACTCCGCTATGCTCCAAGTTCGCGCCGTATCTGTAGATCCACGACTCTTTGATCTTTGTGCCGACGACCCTTTTGTGACGAGGTCTCATTTTGGCACCCAAAAGTCGTTTGCCGCCGTGCCAGATGTTCTCCCAATCAATGTCAAATTCGCATTGTGAAGCATCTGTCTCGTCTGCTCTGGCCTCGGACGTGGCAGGCGTAGCCTCATGACTTTCTGGGGTGGGATGTGGACGGGATGCAAATGACTGCGGTACAGACGACACGGGGCTCGTATCCCTAGGTCCGAAGCACCAGAATGAGCAGCAAGCTGTCTGACAACATACCGTTGACGAAGACTGGTCGGGGAAAGTCGGCTGAGCGCTTGAAGATGGACATGAGCGTGTCCAGGTCATTGACGTAGACCCAATTCTTGAGCGGCGTGACGAGGAACCAAACATCGCCCATCTCATGGTGAGAGCGATATCGGTCTTCAACCTCCCATCCTCACCAATTATATCTGGTGAAGCTGCTATCGCCAAATGGCAGACGGCGCAAGAAGGAGACGACGCGTCTGTCGAAAAGGACCCAAAACGGGTTTAGAGGGCTTATAGGAACGACGCGCAGCGGTACGCCGATGGTGCGCGCAGCCAAATAGTTGCTGAGCAGACGCACGCCAGTTTCAACGGCAAACGCCATGGGCAGAAGCAGTAGGGCAGCCAGCAGCAGTGTGAGCCCAGCCATTGCTACAGAAAAAAGATCTAACTGGAGGATAATGGGTCGAAAGTCGGCGCGACCGCGGGAGACGATCGCCAACCCCCTCCGGGCTTCTCCACTTCCCCGCGTTGAAGCCACGCGGGGAGGTGCGACGGGACGACGAATTGGGTGGCCTTTACGAAGCAAAGTGGGTTCAGGTCGTTCTTCGGATGTACCGCAAACGTAGAGTGAGTCGACGTGAAGGATTATCAGAGTGTGCCGTGACGTGGTTGTCGTCCAAGGTCGCCGGGTCTTGAGCTTGCCCGTCCATCTTACCCACACCAGCGGATTGCACAACGACCAGAAGAACGTCGTCAACGCCTCCTTCTGCCGACCCGACACCGACTCAGAGGCATACACCACTTTACATCTCCACGAGGTTGCACTACCTGTCATCCATCGCCACCGAGACTTGCCCACTGACTCGCCCACAGACTCTGTTTCTGTAGCAGGTCTCAGATTAGTACCTCTCCACTTCGACTCGCAAGCCCATAAGGTATCAGGCGAGCATGGGCTTCGACCTCCACGCCGACGGGACCAACGACCCCAGAGTGTGCGCAACTGGCGCATCCACTTGGTGGCCATCGTTGCCTCCATGTCTGCCATCACCAGTAATTCGCCTAAGACTTCGCGCGCCTGAAGAGTGTTGCTAACCATTTCGCGCGTACAAACCATTAGTGGGCTACGACACGTCTGTTATCGGGGGCACGATGGTTCTAGACTCGTTCCGCCGCGACTTTGGTCTCCTCTCAGCGTCGGGCACGTATCGCGACACTCTGCAAGGCAACATCGTGTCCACGTTCCAAGCCGGGTGCTTCTTCGGCTCGCTGCTGACCTTCCCACTCGCCGAGAAAATTGGTCGAAGAAATGCCATCTTTGTCGCCGCGACCGTCTTCATCGCCGGCGGTGTGCTCATGACAGCGGCACACGGCCTGCTCGCCATGCTCATTGTCGGACGTGCCGTTGCCGGTCTTGGCATCGGGGCATCGTCGCTGATTGCGCCCGTATATATTGCGGAGACGGCGCCTCCATCAATCCGTGGCAGGCTGATTGGCGTCTTCGAGGTAGGACTGACGTGTGCCAGACCCGGCATACTCGGATACTGATACCTAGGCCGACAGATTGCGTCTCAGGGAGGTGGCATGCTGGGATTCTGGGTAAGATGCAGGAAAGCAAAGCACAGAGCAGCAGTGGTGATTCTGATTCGACAAAGATCAACTACGCCTGTGACCGAACCATCTCCTCGTCCAAGGCCGCCCAGTGGATCGTTCCCCTTGGCATGCAGCTCGTCCCCGGTGCCCTCCTTTGCCTGGGCATGCTGAAATGCCCCGAATCGCCGCGATGGCTGGCGAGCCACGACCGTTGGGAAGAGGCAGAGAAAGTGCTCGTCAACCTCCGCGCCCTGCCCGCCGACCACCAATACATCCGAGACGAGCTCTCCGAGATCCGCCAGCAGGTCGAGGAGCGCACGGCGAACCGCATGACATTCCGCGAGATGTTCAAGCGCCCCTTCCAAAAGGGGGTGCGCAACCGCATATCCATCGGCATGTTGCTCATGGCATGCCAGAACCTCACCGGCGTCAACATTATCACCTACTGTACGCTCCCGATCACCGTCTGTGTTGGCTGTTACTGTACGCTAGGCTGACTTGGCAGATTCACCTCGCATCTTCGAGACACTTGGCCTCACGGGGACCACCACCAAGCTCTTCGCTACAGGCTTCTACGGCATCGCCAAGACGCTTGGCATGTTTGTATTCTCAGTGTGGCTCGTGGAAAAGGTCGGCCGCAGAAACGGCCTCATCTGGGGGGCCTTTATCGGCTCCGTCCCCATGTGGTACATTGGCGGATACGTCATGATGGCCGACCCTGCCGCGGCAGCAGTCCAAGGGGACATCAACAGGGACGGATGGGGTTACCTAGCCATGGGTAGGCCGCCCGAAATACTCACGTCTGTGTGATCTGCGCTGACGAAGCAGTGTGCGTGTATCTCTATGGCCTCATCTACTGCGCAACGTGGCAGGGCATCACCTGGGTGTACTGTTCTGAAATCTTTCCCATCGGTAAGCAAGCTCTAATGCTCCTGAGACTGCCATCGGGGGCCTAGTGACTAACCCTTGCAGACGTCAGGATGCTCTGCACAGCCATTACGACGGCCGACCAGTGGTTCTGGAGCTTCCTCATCTCCCGCACCACGCCATACATGATCACCTCGCTGGGTTACGGACGTACATGTTCTTCGGCGCACTCATGGTTGCCATGGGCTTCTGGGCGCTCTTCTTCATCCCCGAGACCAAGGGCACGTACAGCGAGGAGTTGCCGCGGTGAACGACGCTGACCAACTCGCAGGCCTTACCCTCGAAGACATGGACCGCCTTTTCATGCAGAGCACCTGTAAGACGGTGTGGCAAGCGCTTGTGCAGCGGCGCAGCATGCAGGACGTGCTCGAGGAGTGCAGGGCAGCGGCTCCAGTCATCAACAGAAAGAAGGAGGCGTATCTCGAACAGGTTGGGTCGACTGACCAGCACCGGTCCTATACCTGAGCCTGAGGCAAGAGTGTCGACGGATGCGAGGGCGTGGGAGGAGATCGATGCAATTGGCACTAAACGTTGGCAAGGCTTGGCGCCTCCACCAATGGATTAATCCGCCTGAAGTGTCGGGTCTGGTCAAGCTCAGACCGTAAGGATGTCACAGTTATATGGATGCGTGCATCGGGATGGCTCCGGACAGTCAGGTTCGGACAGTCAGATTGCAGGGATTGTTGCGCTAAGCAAGGATCCAAAGCCATCGCGCCTTGGCTACAGCCCGAACGGGAAAGAAGTGCCATTTTTCAGTCTGAAGGGAAATCCACTAGTATACAATCCTGGATAGGCCGCTGCTGCAGTTCCAACTGCGTTTCGTCCTCCTTGGAAGCCTTCCGCTTCTTGCACTGCGGCTTAGGCATATCCGGTTTCTCACCCCTTCCCACTCTATCTGAAGACTTCCCAGTAGCAGCTGCCGCCTTCTCTATAGCCTTCGTACTCCGTTTTCGACGTCCCGTTTCCTGAAGAGGTTGTGGCGAAGTTGCCAAAGGAGAGGACGGAGTCGTCGAATGGTCAGGAAGCTGGCCAACTCCCTTCGGCAAATCCGAAGTGGCGCGGTCCGCTCGAGCGGCAGCATGCTCTGCGGCCTCACAGCCGGTCATGAATCGTCTTTTCGTGCCACCGTGGGATTTGAACCTCTTCAAGCCAGGCTGATGCAGTGCTTCAGGCAATTCCGGGGTAGGAGAGCTCTTGACTGTACCTGCGCCCAGAAACCTGCTATTAGACGGTCATTCTGTAAGCGGAAGAGTCTCGAGAACTCCTCTGCCTGCTGTCCGCCGAGGCTCCCCTGTACTTGAACGACCTCTAATCCCGATTGAAGAACCATGTTCCTACCGCCATCTTGGTAACGGTCCCCTGGGTTTTCTGCTTCTTCAGGAGCTGCCTGCTTTTCATAAGACATGGTCCAGCCGCGTACCACGTCAGGACCGTCGATCAACCAGCGTGGATGAAGAAGATTGAGTGGGATAGCGCAGGACCTAACAACAGCCTCGTACAGCCAGTGTCGACAGGGCAGGCCATATCTGAGTGGAAACTCACACGCAGAAGGACATCCGGGCTCGTTCAGAGCGCCCAATGCCTCGCGCTCCTTCTCGATCTCGGTGTTTTGCCCCCACCTTAGGGCCTTTGCTGCCTCCCACTCCGGAGCTAGTTTGCTCAGGACATAGTGTGGAACCTTCCCGATAAGAAGGCGAAAAGCAGCTCGGTCCAACAGCCTTGGGACGTCCGCCCTGCTCCGATCCTCGTCTTCGGTGATTTTTTGAGTCAATTTCTTCAAGCTTTCGGCCAGTTTTGACAAGATGCCTGCAGGGAAGCTGCCTGTTGAGAGACTGTTTGACCACGACATGGTAGCTTTCGTTTCTCTGTGTGCTGTTACATCCGAGGTTCGGGTACTGTCGTGTGTGTGCTCGGACAAATTGGCGCTCTTTCGGTTGCCAATTATTCTTGGGATAAAGGCGTTCCGGCTCCCGAATTTCTGCGAGCAGCTCGCCTCGCCGTTCTTCAAGTCGCGCCTCGTCGGGAGCTTGTATGTAATCCCAAACGAACCGAAGGAGCTCTTCCTTCGTTTCTTCGTATATTTGCCCGAGTCTAACAATCGCTTCTTGAAGTTCTCTGCGGCATGCCATTCACAGAGCTGCAATATTTGCCCATCTTCACCCTGAGGATCAGCTCTCGCTTGGGACGCCGCCATCGCGGCAGCGAGCCCTTTGGTTTGGGCAATTGATATGCGGGCCGAACCACTTTACTACGGGGGCCGTCTTCCGGGGGCCGTGTGGCTGACCCTCCAAATCGGGTAGTTGAGCATTCCATTGTCACTGCCATGCGTCTTGCCCCTTCCAACAGATGGCTGGTTGTCGTTCCTGTGTCTTCTCCCAGCCATCTGTAATATATGAATGGCTAAAACACGGCGGCATTCTAACGGCATCGCCGTTTGTATCGTGGTCATTAAATTTACCGTCGCCAGTACAGTAAAGACTCTTCTCTAGCAGGCAGCTCGTTTCAGCGACCATAGTAGCAGCGACATGACAATCGCGGCACCCTCACCCCACCTTTGTTTGACCCCGAGCTTCACTACGGCCATGGCGACGACAACGCCCTATACAACCTATTTGCGACATGGCCGGAGAGCTATTTCAGCAGCCTTCCTAAACCGCATGGTAATCGCGGAGTCGATGAGCCCTATTGGGAATTGCGGCAGTCGCGAATCTTTCTGGACGACTGCTTCCGCGGCGGTGGCATGCAGCGGTTATTCACCCCTGTGGTTCCGGGGCCCCGACAGACTTGAGAGAGAGAGCGCCTTCGGGAACAAGCAACTTCAGGGGATACCGAGCAACGTACGAGAAGCACGGTCCGTTTTCGGTCTGCCCTAGATTTTGCCCAAGAGCAAGCCAAGTTCGACAATTTACTAGCTCGCGAATTGGCTCAGCATTGCCCGGCACCTGCTGCGCTCCGAGTTGCTCCAGGAGCCCTAGACTCATCATCACCGCCGGTCTTACCAACGTCACCCTCGCCGCCGCCAAGCCAGGAACAAGAGGATTACGAGTACGAGGACTGGGACGGCCTGTCAGATACAGCGTCTACCAGTCGAGATGCCTCGATTCCTATCCCCAACCCGCCAATCCCTGGCCCTGCCGCGGTATCGGTCGATGCTCTTCAATTCCATGTCAACGAATTCGCGAAGGAGAATGAATTTGGTGTTATCAGACGCAATGGCTCCGGCAACCAAGCCAGGAAGACGAGATATGTGTTTCAGTGCGACCGGTACGGCGAGCCTCGTATGCCAAGAGGCGCAGGTCTCCGCCAAAGACGATCGCGCAAGTGTGGATGTAAGTGGAAGGTCATTGCGGAGGCCCTGGAACGAAATGACTACATGTGGACTCTGCGGGCGTTTGCCGACCTTCAGCACAGCCAACACAACCACGACCGTTCTATGAGTCTCTCGGCACATCCAGTCCATCGAAGACTTACTGACTCTGTCAAGGCAACAGTTGAAGCGACGAGCCGACGAGTCGGGATCAGGGCGCGCGATGTCCGTGGCATCGTTCAAGAAAAGCATCGCGGAACGCACTACACAAGACGGGACATATATAACGCTCGGGCACTCTTGCGTCGCGAAAAGCTAGGCGGATTAGGTCCGACAGCCGCCTTGATTAAGTTGTTTGACGAGAGGGGCATCCCATATATCGTCAAGTGGTCGGCGACGGAGCCTGATCGCCTTGTTGGTCTGCTATGGACATTCCCATATTGTCTCCGAATGTGGAAGCGCTTTCCGGGGACATTGAGCTTCGACAACACATACAATACAAACCGCTTCAAACTACCGCTCTTCCAGGTCACGGGGCAGACTTGCCTGAAATCTGTCTACAACGCCGCATTCGGTTTGATCGATAACGAGAGACGCGAAGGGTTCCAATTCCTCGCGGAGGCGGTTAGAGAACTAAATGACAGGCATATGATCCCGCTACCCAATGTTGTTGTTACCGACTACGACCAACAGATGAAGGCAGCACTAGAAAGCCAGTATCCCCGAGAGTCAGCAACAATATGTGTTCAACATATCAACGCAAATGTTCTCCTTAATGCCAAACGGAAATGGAAGAGCAGAAATGAAGATCCAGAAAGCGACGGAGATGGTAACCCGAACGCAAGGCTGTCTTCGGGGGATATGGAAGCTGTGCTCGCCCTAGAGAGACAAGAGAGCTCACTGAACCATAGCAACGTTACTGCGCCTGTGCCCCACAACTACCGTGGTGTCCTCGAACTGTGGAAGTTCGTGGCATTTGCAGAGACAAAAGAAGAGCATGAAAAGGCTTGGGTGCGTCTATGTGGCGAGTTTAACGACCAGCAGGCCATCCTTATGTACCTTTACAAGACATACTTGCCCATACGAGCGCAATGGGCACAATGCTTCATCAAGAAGTACCGCAATTTCGGGGTTCGTGTGACCTCTGGCACCGAGGCCAGCAACAATAATGTCAAGAGTTACCTGCTCAATGGGATGAGCCATTTGTACTCGCTTGTGGAGGCAATCGAGGCCATGCTAGGCGACCAAGAACGAGACTTCATCGATAACTGCTCGCAGGATGAGGTTTTGACCTCCGCACATACTCCGGTCCCGGCTCGGGTATCTAGGAGAGCTTCGCACAGTGATGTCTGAGCCGGGGCTCAAGCTCATTGCCAAAGAGCATCGGCAAGCTTTGAGATCGATACCAAGCAGGTCACGTCCTTGGCCAGAGCCGATCGGGGATTGCAACGAGGATTGTTCCGTCTCGTGGCAGCTAGGGATTCCTTGCTGCCATACAATCTACAACAAATTAGAAGCGGGCATACCCTTGACGAAATGGGACGTTCACCCTCGTTGGCACCTTAGGGAGCCAACCTCGCACAATCCCTACCGCCGAATTCTCGACCCTAAGATCGCAGCATGTCTCCGAGGCCGACCGAAGAATGCGACACAGCCTGTCCCTGAGAGCATGAAAATTCGGCCGTCCAGCCGTAGTCGAGCAGCAGTGGGCAAGGCTGGGCCAGGCAGAAAGCCCGCCCGCAAGTCAGCTATCCTTGGGCCGGGCAAGCAGACAGGCGTGCGACAAGCTGGCCGCAGGAGGCAACCTAGCGTACGGAGGCGACGGTCAGAATGGGAGACCATCTCTGATGAAGAGAGGCAGGAAGCTCAGCCGAAGCGGAGACGGCAAAGTTCCCGTACGCGGCCTGTCACTGCAGCGCCTTCAGTCCTATCAAATTCTGGTAGCAAGGAAAGCCGCGGCGATTGTATCCATGTGCGAATGTAATTTGGGTAGCGAAAATACAGAGTGTTCTGGACCGTGAAAATAGCCTGTCCATAGGGCCTGGCCCTCCGCGTGTCGTCCGGATCTGACCCCGGATCTATTTGCAGGTGGGCGCGATTACCAGGGACCTCTTGAACTCTTCCCGGCAGGCCCGTCATCATATTATTAGTTTATTCTTGCAAAACGCAATGCCATAAAACTCCAGATAGAATACAAGAGCGTTATAGCATCCCTGCCCGAGAAATTATTGCGTGGCTGAAGACAGACAACGGAATGTTCAACTACCCGATTTGGAGGGTCAGCCACACGGCCCCCGGAAGACGGCCCCCGTAGTAAAGTGGTTCGGCCCGCATATCAATTGCCTTGGTTTGATCCCCGAGAACGACTTGAGGTGGTGGGCAATCGTACCAGACCAGTTCCGCCAATTGGGCATTCACAAATTCGAAGGCTTCAGCTGATTCAGATGTTATAAAGGCGAAAGCCAGAGGAATTTCTTGCCTGTGTTTGTGATTCCCACTATGACAGATAAAGGCAGGTGGAGGCAATTGGTGTTGAACGTCGCATCGGTTTGCATGAGGAATCCGCTGACGAATCTTCTACCCAGGCGGATCTGCTCGGAAGAACAGAAGAACAGGTGCTCGAGTACCCGCGCTGTCCGTCGTCCTTGGTCGTCGAGAAGGTACTTGAAGAAGCAACGAACGCGGAAGTCTTCGAACTCCAAACAAGTAAGCAAGAGGTCAAGCGCTTCTTGACTGCTGCGTCTTCCTTCAGACCGACTCAGGTTGTAGAACTCCTTTGCGGAAAGACAATTGCCTAAGCCGTGTTGGTCGAGAATCCGGGTTAATTCAGTCGCCGACAGGCCGGCAGTCCGATGCGCGAGGGCCAGATCGACTGCTGCGGCCCGCTCTGGGATACGGGATCTATGGCAGGCGTAATGGAAGGGATTTTGAAGTGGCGGGTGCGTATGGCATGCGTAGGTGAAACCGACCACCCAGCCCTTTCGCTCCTCTACCCCTCCGCTCCGGATAGTTTTGTAGGAGACATAAAGACTGTAGGGACAGTCCTTTGCCTTGACGTAGGTGAGCTCCTTCTTTCGGTCCCCTCCCTCTGTGACCGTATCCGATAGCTTTCGCGTGTTTCGCGTGCCTCTTCCATGATGGATGCAGCTCACTCGGAGGCGGTCGCGTGCCTTGCTGGTAGTGACGAGAGCGAAACCCTGGGTGAAGGCATAGTCTTGGAACCAGCGAAGGGCTCCTCAGGGTCGTTCGCCTCGTCACCAGTAACGGGGCGCGAAGATGCTCATGCGGCAGGGCTTCCACAGCTTTGTCGAAGGCGGAGCGGATGTCGCCAAGGAGGGTGTCGCGGTACTGGATCTCCATTTGGGTTTGCTTTCGCGTCGCCGCGATCTCCATCGAGCTTGATGAATTGAAGGGCGCGATTCTTACGGCGACGCGCACCTGGCAAGGGGCAATTGACAGTTATCCTATTTGGGCTGCAGCCAAGACGCGATCGTTTTTAACCCTTGCTTAGCGCAACAATCCCTGCAATCTGACTGTCCGAACCTGACTGTCCGGAGCCATCCCGATGCGTGCATGGACTCTTGGTGTGTGCAGATTGCTCTGCCACCTCCATCTAGGAAGGGGGGGCCCCGACCTTTGTAGGTACCGAGGCGAGATGTGGAAACTTTCCCGCTACCGTAAAGTAACACGTTCCTTCTTAAAGACTGAACCTAACTACTCTAGCAATGCAAGGATAGAGATAGCGACTGGTTTACCGCAGGCGTTTTAGTAGCCCCAGGGGCAAACCGTCTTCCCCCGCCGCCTTCCATGGTGCCGTCCGTTTGATGACCTGCTCGACCTCCGAGGAGTAGGCACGGGGACTTCGCCAACTGTCATGACCACGAAGTGGCCCGGATCGAATACTCCTGCGGGAGAAGACAATCGCCCTCCAGGGCAAACCCCCGACTAACATACCTACACTCTCTACTTCCTTTCTTTTTTTTCTACCCCGTAGGCCCTTCAGGGGGCTTGCGGCCGGCCCATGACTTCGTGGTCTCTCTCAGTCACCTGGCCTCGGCCAAAAACTGACTACTATTACTCTTTCACTGCCGTGCCTGGAACCGCTGACGGGGAAGGGCCCCGAATTTCCGACCGGCCTTCGAGCCTCAGAATTGCTAGATGGAGTGGTTAGGTGCTACACCCGGCCCTTAGTCCAGGTACTCGGGATATTCTATGTATCTAGTCTTCTCTAGCCTAGCACGTCTTTTGCCCTTATATGGCTGCCCCAGACGGTAATCAATACTACTATTACCCGTGCCACGCCCCACTTTATTGGCCCTCGAAAAACTCGCACCAGCAAGTGGGGCGTGGCACGGGTACCTGACGCGGCTTAAAGAAATCATTTTTATTGGCTGACGGCGGCACAGGGAGATTAGGGTGGCCCGACCCAACATACAGGAGTCGACCCCCTCACACACTCTTCAGGTAACAGGCTGACTAAGATGAGGGTTAGGCCCTTCGCCTCACTCTTGGCGATTTCACGAGTCACGTGACTTCAGATGCTTGACCCGCTATTCCTCGCCTACACTTTTCTAATCCTTGCTGTTGGCCACCTTGATCTTGCAAACATCCACTTTCTGTCGTCTGCAGGGGCCAAAGGCTTCGCACAATTGGCATCTATGGACAAGTGCGGCAACGCCGGCTGCACAAAGTCGTCCCCCTCTTCCCTAGACACTGATTCCCTCCAGCGGTGCTCTAGATGCCGAACGGCGGCATACTGCTCGCGCGACTGTCAGTCGGCGGCCTGGCCATCTCACAAGGAGGCCTGTTTTCGACCTAACTACATCATCAAGTTTCACCTGGGCCCGGAGCACATTACAAACCCGCCGGTAACGCGCACCTTGTCATGCCCAGCGCACGCCGTCTTCTACATGCTTCACCTGGCGCTGCAAACAGCGTTTGGGTGGGCGACCACCCATTCGTTCGACTTCGCAGTCCTGGATCCAGATTACCGTGAGCCCGCCGACGTGAATGAATTCATGAGAAGACGCATGGCCATAGGTCCGTCAGGCGATCAACTTTCGGCTTCCGAGCCGAGGGAGTATCTCTTCCGCGTTGTCGACCCGGTCGAACAGACCATGTTTTCCGGCATCGATCGCATGCACGAGTCGACGAGGCGTCACCCCAACACACCAGAGAAGAAAGCCGACAAGTACAAGTTGTTCCAGCTATTGGACGATGCACAGCTTCAAAGTATGTGTTCATCAGCCAAGTCTCCCTGACCGCCCTTTTCCTGACCTGAGCCAGATCGCCAGATTGTCTACACCTACGACTTCGGTGACAACTGGGAGCATTATTTTACAGTCCTGGGACGTGCCGATTCCACCGCCAACTTTATCTGCCTTGATGGCTCCGGACACTACGTAGCGGAAGACTCACGCGGTGTAAATGGCTGGGAGGATCTCAAAGCGGCATACCGAGCCCAGAACCCAACCAAGGAGCAGAGGGAGCGGCGGCAGTGGTTCGAGAGGCAGGCCAGTAATCCTGATCCAAGAGGGCTGGCAGGGGATCGCGTGAATGCATGGGATCGAGACAAGATCAACCGGGACCTCGAGACGGACACCATGTTCAACCGCTTTCAAGGTATGGGGGATACTGCTTCGGCTTTCCAAGATCGAGCTTCTGCAGTTTTTCAATCTAAACCGTAGCATTGTCAAAAACTATGTATGAGGCTCGACCCCTTACCGAGGCTCAGTGACGGATCGATCTCTTCGTCGAGCGAAAGAGGCGCAGCAGGTCCTAAACAAGACAATGCCTCCATGGCGAAGATGTTCGAACGATTCATGCAGTCGAGCATGGCTCCTCTTGAAGCATCGAGCAAGTAGTGTCTTCGCACCATTGTCGACGAGCTCTTTTTGGTGATGTGAGACTCCATCGAACGGCTGTCGCGCAGGTTTTTGCCTTCATTCTCCAGGCTCTTCGCGCAAGACCAGTAGACCACCGTCTCAGTCATGGCATGACAGGGCCGAGATGCTTGATCTTTGTAACCTAACCACCCATACGGTTCGAGGTCGATATTATGTGAGCACACCCATGATTTCACAGTATTCATCCGTGTCAAAAGGAAATGAGAGATGCCATGCATATGACGGTTATAGAGAGTCTATTGGCCTTGACCACTGCCCAAGTCAAGGAACGAAGGTCCCAGTTATATACACAAGAACGGTGCCCATGTGGGTCGAGACACCTCCTCGACTGGGGCGGAATGTCGTTTGACAATCCGGACCTTCCTCTGTTGCCGCAGCTTGCTTCGCCGCATGGTCCGCCATCAGATTTAGGGTTCGGGGAATCCTCCAGAATTGGATCTTTAAGCCCGAGGAATCCCACCGCTCAACCTCTCCAAGAAGCATCTCCCACAGGTCCTTGTTCTTCACTTCGGCGCCCGTGCTGGTTCTCCATCCATTGCGTACCCAGCCGCGAGCCCACGTGCTGGCGCCTTCAGCCACATATTCGGCGTCAGTGGCGAAAACCAACGTCATGAAGCCCTCACCTCGCCAGTGACGGAAGCGGAGTGCACCGAGGATGGCTCGTAGCTCAACCCGTAGCTCAACCCGATGCCTTGCCTTGAGGAACGTTAGTGCCTTGAGGAACGAGGAACGAGTGACGAAAGGTGCCTTGAGGAATGCCTTGAGGAACGAAAGGCTTCTTCTTACCCTGTTTCTTACCCTGCGAGCCCAGTGTGGCTAACAATCAATCGAGTTCAATTTCGACCATCGAACTTGATTGATTGAAGGTATGTCCAACTCGATTGAAACTTGACTTGACCAGTCAATGAGCTTGATTGACAACTTGTCAAGTACTTGATGTACTATGCCTAATCCGGTAATTGGTACAGACACTCGCGGTGCAGAAATCCCGCGCAAAATTTTTGGAGCTTGGAGTGCTGAATGACCGACTTGGGCCCCCCGGAACGCGTGTGGCAACGTTATCACGCGTCGAATTGACGCGTTGTTGATGGCTGTTTGGTGTGATAAGAGTGGGGTTCATTTTCGCTTGTGTTGGGACGGTTTGGGGGCCCCCGCGCGGGCCCACTTACGGCTAATGCGCGCTAAGCAACCACGATCGGCCCCACAATATTTGAGGGCGAATCCCACGACTCGAAGCGATGTAATTGGCGGATTACTTCCCGATCTAGGTAGTCCTCTCTTTGCCATGTGGCGTCAAGTACTTGACGACTTGACACTCCTTGAACTCGATTGATTGATGACTACTACCTAACTTGACTTGAGAACTTGACTTGACGAAAAGTCAAACTTGATTGAGAATTGTCAAGTTCGAGCTTGATTGTGCCTTGTTGTGCCTTGAGGATGCCTTGAGGAACGAAAGGACTTGCCTTGAGGAACGAAAGGACTTCATTAGCGCGCGGGGAAAAAAGGCCCCAGACTGCTTCACCCCCACATCCTCCGCCTCTGATTGGCTGATTTGCCTTGAGGAACGAAAGGACTTTGCCTTGAGGAACGAAAGGACTTCATGCCTTGAGGAACGTTAGTGACGAAAAGGTTCTTCTGGTTCCTCCCCGGGGAGAAAGAAAAAAAAAACCCGCCATTAATTCCCCCCCCCCTAAATGCCGCCCTCTGATTCGTCGGCTGCCGTCCTCTAATTCGTCGGCTTGCTCTCTTTAGATTTGTTTAAAAATACAACCTCACCGCCCTCGTCGCCGCCCCTTTTTGCCCTCTTTCCTTGAAGCCCGTCTTCTTTCCTGGCCCTTTCTTTCAAGCTCGCCCCGGAATACGCCCCTTTCCTCTTTGCCCCCCTCCTGGCCCTTGACCTGTGCTCCTTTTACGTCGGTAGCTACGGCAAGCCCGCTAGCCTAGAGCCGGCTGGCCTGTGAAGTCTAAATCTCCGCCTTTGCGGTCTGTCTATATTAGACACGCACCCGTCGATGTCCATTAACTACCTTAAGATTGTTGCTCTTATTTCTATCTCTCTACGTTGCGCCTTCCCATAATTTTTGCTTTCTCCGCCCCCTGATTGTGTGCTAGGGTAGTCGTCCTAAGGGCAGGATCTCCTCCGCTGCGAGCGAGACGCCTACGCCGCCCGCGTTACCCGCGGAGCCAGTCGGCCGCCTCCTGCGTCGTCTGCCTGCTAAGCTCCTCTAGCCGGGCCTGCGCTGCCGTCATCTCCTCGGGCACCCGGTTCCCGACTAGATCCCGCTCCCGCACCTCCGATACGAGCATGATGCCGTCGAGCGTCGGGCACCGCGACAGCTGCACGTACAGGCTGTACGGGTCGCACGGCGACGGCACCGCCCTCCCCTCGACCGTCGTCATCCTCGCCCCCCGCAGCTCCAGCGCCACGCGCTCCAGCGTCCCGCCCTGCACCTTGTAGTCGGTGCAGGCGAAGGCCGCCGCGCACGGCAGGCCCCTCCGGCTGACGTCGTTGCGCTGCCACGGCCGCTTCCGCTGCGCCGTGATCTTGACGCTGATGGGCGTCAGCAGGATCGTCCCGGCCGGCATCCCGACGAAGTGGAAGTCCCTCGTCGTCTCCGAAGCCAGCACGATGCCCGCCGGCGGCCCGAAGTGCATCGTCAGCTCGGCCGAGACCCGGTGGCCGGGGAAGGCCCGGTCGGGGATGACGTCTACCGCCGTGTAGCCGGCCCCGTTCACTAGCTTCAGCCCCTGGTGCGTGTTCTGGTTCACGACGACCGGCATGCCCGGCACGAAAACGAAGACGGCCGGCACCGGCGTCGCGCTGTCGTCGCCCTGGCACAGCATTAACACCGCCTCCTCCTCCGTCGGCAGGCCCTCCCTCCACTTGTGCTCGGACAGGAAGACGCGCGCCGCCGTCCGCCGCCGCGCCCGGAACGCGAGCGCCGCCTCTAGGTTGAGGTTCCAGCGGTTCCGGTTGAGCGGCGTGACCACCGTCAGGCCCGTCTCCCACGGGATCCGCCTGCCCGGCCGGTGGCACCTCGAGTTGAGCAGCTCTAGGTCCGACCGGTCCTGCTCCCCCCGGCGGATGCGCCCGAGCAGCCGCCGCAGCTCCGGGTCGCCGGCGGCCCGCATCTGCTCGTCCAGCATGACGACCGTCGTGAACCGCCGCCACAGCGCGTGCGCCTTGTCGTGCTGCCGCCGCTGCTCGGCCGCGAACGCCCCGTCCTCGTCCCACGCCACCGCCGCGCTCGGCAGCAGGATCGACCGCTCCTGCACCGGCCGGAACTGGTGGAAGTCGCCGCAGAAGATCACCACCGGGATGCCGCCGAAGTCTCGCGCCGACCCCCGCAGCCTGCACAGCTGCTCGTTGGCGGCGTGCAGCGTCCGCGCCCCGAGCATGCTGACCTCGTCGATCACCAGCACCTCCTTCTCCTGCCAGTCCATCCGCGACCGGCCGTCGACGAAGCGCTCGCCCTGGCCCGGCAGCCGTACGCCGTCTACGTCCCTCGTCGCCCCTCCCGCCCGGCCGCCCTGGCCGACCGTAAGGCCGCAGGCCGAGTGTAGTGTGATGCCGTTGATCCGTGCTGCCGCCGTGCCCGACGTCGCCGTAACCAGCAGCCGGCTCGATAGGTCCCTCCGGGCGAGCAGCTCGACGAGCGCCTCGATGACGCGCGACTTGCCGGTGCCGCCCTCGCCGCCGATGAACAGGCAGAGCTGGCCGCCGCCATCGCCGCCTGCGTCGTCGCCCTGCCGGATTCGGTCGAGCTGCCGGCATACGATTAGGAGAGCGATGGCCTGCTTCTCGTTGAGCGTTAGCTGCCCGCCAGCTCCTGCCGGCGGCGACGAACGAGCTCGACGGGCCGAGCCGCACGCGCATCACCGCCGCCGTGCCAGCGTCTACGTCGCCGTCGGCCGCCGTTACGTCCATGTCGTCCTCGCCGAAGCCCCCCATCACCCCGCGAAGAGCCGCGCCGCGGTCGGCCCCGACGCCCGCCGCCGCCCCGCCGCCCTGGATGCCCTGGATGGCTCGCTCCGCCCCGCGCCGCGCTCCTCTGCTGCGACTTGATGGCCCGCACCTCTTCTTGCCGTGGCAGCGCCGCCCCCGAGAGCTCCGAGCCCGGTAGGTTCACCCGCCTGCCTGCCCTCTCCTCCGCCACTACCGTCGCCGCGAGCTCGGCCTCCGACCCTAGCGCCGACTGCTGGAACCGGCAGAGCTGCTGCGTCATCGCTAGCAGCTCTGTTGACTGCGCCGTGACTTGTCCCGCGCCGGCGGCATTCCGGACGACGTCGATGAGCCGGGCCGCGTCGCCCGCCCCGCCGGCGCGGTACGCCTCCTCGCCCCCCTCGGCCGCCCCCCTGCCTTCGTCGCCGGCCTGCGGCGCCGTCATACCGCCCTCCTCGGCCGTGGCGGCCCACTGCTTGGCGTCGCGCTTCGCGTCCTCGGCCGACCGCCGGAGGAGCTGCACGTTGTCTGCGAGCCGCGCGACCCTCGGCGCCAGCGACTCCCGCGCGCGCGCCCAGATGTCGTTGATGTCGCCTGCCTCCTCGCCGAGGAAGGACTCCCACGGCACGAATAGGGCCAGGTGCTGTACCACCGCCCTAGGCGCTGTTAGCCGATGCCCCTAGCCGCGCTGCCTTCCCCTTGGGCGCTCCCCGTCTTATGGTGCGCACCTTCGGTGGCACGACTCGTCGTCTCCCTCGCTAAACTCCTTGCTGAGGTATCCGTCGAGGCATACGGTCGCCCCGCTACCCGGCCGCCTAAGCGCCTGCACCCAGCCCTTCCCCGACGCCCAGCTCTCCGCGAAGGGTACCTCGCCCCAGCCCGTCCCACCGTCGGCGCCGCGGCCGTTTCGCTTTAGCCTTACGAGCGATGCGTAGTCATAAAGGCAGAGGCCCCGTAGGAGCTCGCCCCTGTGCCGGTAGGCCTCGACGAGGGGTATCCTCGGCCCGGCCTCCTCGACGACGACCGTCTCGTCCGGCGCGTCGCCCGTCGCCTCCGCGCCGCTCGCCCGTCGGAGGTGCCGCCACCGGCGGAAGACGGCCCAGTAGAGCTGGTTCGCGTTCACGTACGCCCACGCCGAGCCGCTGCTAAATTCTGCCGGGTACCCTAGGAGGTGCGCGATCACCTCGACCTGCGACAGCGGCCGCTCCGTAAATACTCGGTTCGCCGCCTTGAGCAGGAACGTTCTCGTCTTGTTCCCCCCTATGGGGTCCGCCGCCGTCGCCACCCCTTCGGCCCCGCCCCCTCGGCCGGCGTCGCGGTCGGCGCCACTTCCGTTGCCCTCTCCCGTCGGCTCTAGCGCGGAAGGAACTCGGCCGCGGCGGCCACACGCTTCCACACGGGGTCCTCTACCTTCGTCGCATAGTTGGTAATGTAGTAGATTAGGGCCATGGTCTTGCGCTGCGTCGCGATGAACGAGATGTCGTGGTTGTGCCGTAGTCCTACTGCCATCGCCCGGTTCCACCGGTTCACCATGCTATGCGTCCGCCGGATCTCGAGCACCCCGTCCGCCGTCAGCGCCGTCCTCTCCACCAGCCTCCACGGCGCCTTGAACCGGCAGAGGTCCCCCTTCCGCGCCCTCGCGCCGAGCGAGTATTTTACGCAGGTCGCGCTATGCGTGTGGATCTGCGTCGCGCCGGCGCAGAAGTTGGCCTCCTCGTCGAAGGTGTCCGTGAAGCGCGCGACGTCGTCGAGCCGCGACGATATGTCCGCCGTGGCCGACCGCTCCGCCTGCACGGCGCAGTAACCTTCTGCGTCTAGCTCCTATAGCCTCGGGTCAGCTCGGGGCCCTTCGGCCTGCTACGGATGGGGGCTTAGGGGGGGCTATCATCTTAAGGCGGCCGCCTTACCTCGGAGAAGACGCTATCTACGTAGCGGACGATGCGCTCCCGGTACGCCGCCTGCTCCTCCGTATCGGGGCCGGCGAGCGCCTCGCCAAGGCCCGCGTTGCCCCTTAGCCAGAGGAGCCGTGGATGTGGAGAGCGCCTCGCTCGTTGGTCTCGACCGCCCCGTAGTACGCGCCGACGTGCCCGAACACCGACTCCTCCCCGACGTTGACGTAGTGCTCGAAGAAGAGCGTCATCCCCCGGTGGAAGAAGACGGCCGAGCTCATCGGGTCCGATATGGCCAGCCGCGTCCGCTTATACGCGGTCCCTAGGTCTCGTAGGAAGGCCTCGGCCTCGTCCGGGTCGCGGCCGCGATGTGCCGCTAGCCGCAACTTTACCAGGTTTGTAATGTCGTTCGGGTTCAGCGTGAACCAGATGGCCGGCACCCCGTGCCTTATGATGAGGGAGAGTATCTTCTTCCGCATACTAAGCCGGCTCTCCCTCGACATCGGCTGCCGGTAGCCGAACACGGAGAGGGACCGGAGGAGCTCCTTTACCCCGTCGTCGCTAGTCTTGCCCGTGGCCTCGAGCTCGACCCTCGCCGCCTCGAGCCTCTGCGCCGTTAACGACTTTAACAGGCCCTCGACCCTTGCGAAGTTCTTCCTCGTGACGCCTAGCATGCTGGCCTGGCGGTTCCTAGACCGTACGCCCATGTTAAAGACGAGGAAGGCGAAGATAGGGTGCGTCGCGAACCGGCCGCCGTGGCGCCGCAGCACGACGTCGGCCCATGCTTGGAGCTTCATGTTCCGCGTCGACATAAGGCCCTCCGCGACCCGCTCCGCCTGCGTGCCCTGGTTCCCGACGCTAGGGCCGCGCTCTCCCAGTGGCGTCCTCGTCGGCGAGCCTCGGCCCGCCTAAGCCAGGGGAACAGGGTCGGAAAGGCCTTTGCGAAGAAGGAGGCGTCCGCCGAGTCGGCGAAATCCTCGCCGCGCCGCACCTGTATGTACGGCTCGACGTCGCCGCCATCGCCCTCCGCCCCTCGGGCCGCAGTCCCTACCCACGTCCTCGGGCCGGCGCGCGCTCCCTCGGGCCCGACGGCACCGCGGGCGAAGCGAATCTTCTCAGCATCGGCCACCTCTGGCGCCCCGTCCAACGGGAACATGCCGGAAGACGTCACCTCGTTGATTACGTCCCCGTCCTCTTCGGGCCTAGCGCCGTCCCCGTCGTCGTCTTCGCACGTGAGCCCGACGTCACGGCTCCCCTCGGCGGGGTCCCGCCCCTGCCTCAGCATCGCGAGGACCTCCTCGATCTCGACCGCACCCTCGTCGTCCATGGCCCGCTCCGACGGGGGCACCACCTGCGCCGTCCGCGTCCTCTCCCGCGCCGACGGCTCGCTTCGCTCTAGCCGCTCGCACACCACCGGCGGCACCCCGTGCGGCGGCGCCCCCCAGCTGGCCATCTCCGCCGCGTCGATCTCGACCTCGCCGTAGAGCGGATTGTTCTCCTTGAGCCAGGCTAGCGCCCTCTCCACCGCCGACCGCCTTACCGACAGCAGGCCCGATAGGTCGCGCGGCCCGGGCCTCTCGGCACCCTGCCACGAGACGTGGATCTCGTCCATGACCCGGAGCAGCGGGTGCGGCAGCACCTTAGCGGCTAGGCCCTGCACGTCGTTTGGGAACACGGTAATGTGGCCCTTGACGTGCCTCGGGTACCTCACGCTCTGCCTCTGACCGCCCGGGATGCTGTACTTCGTCACGAAGCCGTAGCACGAGTTGAGTGAGATGAGCTTCTCCTCGAGCGGCGTGAGGTCCTTCAGCTCGTCGGGGTACGCGTGCTCGCAGCCGAGCCGCCCGTGGAGGTGCATGGCCGGCGACGCCCCCTCGCGCCCGGCCCATCGCGCGCACTCTACGCAGACCGGCACCGGCCTGCCCTCCGGGAAGCAGCTTCGGCATCCGAACCGGGACCGCCCGCCCCCCGCAACGCTGCTCCGCGACCACCCCTCCCACGTCGTCTCCCTCAGCTCCTCCTTGGCTCGCTTCCGGTAGCATAGCGTGCAGGTCGCGATCGGCAGCGTGCCTGCGTCGTGGAACGCCCGGTAGAACCTCCGCACCGTCCTCACCTGCCTCTCGCGCGGCACCGGCGCGCACCACGTCTGCTCCTTGGCCAGCCTCTCGCCCGCCTCGAACTCCTCGTCGAGGTGCCGCAGCGCGCTGGCCAGGTCCTCGGCCTGCAGCTCCCTTCGTCTCGGCATCTTTTCACCCACCCTGGCGCGTTTCCGCCCGGCCTGCCCACTACTAAGATGGCGTTTCCTCTTCTGCTCGTCTCGCCTGGCGTCTTATCGCCGCTCTACCTGCGTCCGGTTAGCTATCACCGTCACACGCCTTCACCTCGCTCTACGACCGTACCTGCCGGTGCGCTATCTCTGCCGCTAACAAGCGGCCCGGCTGCGGGGAGTTGTGGCGGGGCCTCGCCCTGCTAGCCGGCCGGGACTGGATGGCTCGCGGCACGTGCTGGCTTCCGGCCGAGACTACGGCCGGGCTAGTCCCGCTCGACGGCGGCGAAGGCCCGGCGGCCCTCCATGTCGGCTGGGGCCAGGTATCCTGCGGAGCCCCCTTGCTTCCGGCCGAGGCTGCAGCCAAACCTATCCCGTTCGACGGCAGTGAAGGACCGGCGGCCCTCCATGTCGGCTGGGGCCGAATGTCCCGTGGAGCGTCCGAACTTCTCGTCTGCGGCGGCGAGGGCCCGGCGGTCTCCGCCGTCGGCAGAGACCGGATTTCTCTCGGTGCGCGCTGGCCTTTCCTGAGGCCCGGACGGCGCTGGGCCCGCCCAGCGGCAGCCAGTGCCCCGCCGCCCTCGGTGTAGGCGGCAGCCGTTGCCGCCGCACTCGGTGTCGGCTGAGGCTGGATATCCCGCGGCGCGACTCGGCCTGCGCTGATCCTCCATTTCCCTAGTCCTGGCGGTCTTCCCGCCCTCGCCTCAAGCGCCTCCCTTGACGCCTCTTCTTGCTCTCCGAGAGGCGCCGCGACCGAGTGCCGGCGCTGCTGTGATCGGCCGGATCTCTGGTCCTGTGTACGGCGCTGCTCGGGCTTCTGGCGCCGGGCTTGCCCTGTCACCCGCTCCGGACTGGACCCTCCCGTTAGCTGGCTTCATCGCGACACCGGTCTACCGAGGCCCCGCGGACCTCTTGTCTTCCTCGCTTGCGCTGCCCTCTTTGGCCCCGCCTACTTGCGGTGCTACTGGGCTCCCGGCGTAAATCCTCGTAAGTGTAATAACGGCGTATAAGTCCTTGCCTCGGCCATTCATCCTGCACTTGTCTTGCTGACTGGCACCCCTCCTGTGCGTACAGGATCCTCTAGGAAAGTCTATATATCTTACTCGTAGCTCTCTAGTACGTCTACAGGCGTGCCGCTGCTCTTTACATTATACCGGCGCCGCCTTTCTATCGAGCCCGCCCGCTATTGCCCGCCGCCCCCAGCGGCGGGCTATACGGCCTCGGCCGGTCCTTACATGTAGGTCGCCAAGACAGCTTCCTCTTGCCTGTGCTTTGCATGGTACACTTTTCCGTCTAGTCATCTAGGTCTTGTCGGTCAAAGCCTCAGTACGTCCCTAGACGCTCGCCTGCTGAATTTTGAACCCATGTCTTACACGTGTTGCGAATAAGCCTGCCTCCTTCTCCTCGAACATAGCTTCGCGCGTCCTGCTTGTCTTAAAACCTCTACGTCTTACTAGACCGCCTTTCGAGGTTTCCTCTTCTCCTCTTGTCGCATTTTTCTGTATACACATCTTATAGACCTCCTTTATATAGGCTCCTTATCTTAGCCTACCGCTAACGCTACGTTGCGTCTTCGTTTAGCATCCTTTGACTTCTCTTATACACCACGGCCACCAGCCCTTCCCTACTACACTAAACTCTTAAGACGGCATATTGGTAGGGAGCACTCCTGCCCCTATTCCTCGCCGCTTCTAGCTTCGCTCCGGCAACGTTGCTCGTCCACTACACGGCCTCGCCATGTCTTCGTCTCCGTCGGCGGACAGCTCTGCCCCGCACCTCCGCAAGCCCCTTGTCACTAGCAAGGGCGCGGGCGGCGACATGTCCATGATGTTCTTCGCCCAGCCTGACTGCCCCGCGAGGTTTGCCCACCAGGACGAGCACCGCATCAGAGGCCTTAACGCCGAAGCCATCGCCCGAGTCCTCCTGCCGGTGCCCTCGTGGCTGCTAGAGTCGGGTATGCAACCCTCCGGGCCGAGGGCGACGATCTAGGACCCTCTCTCTTTAGCCTAAACCTCTCCATCTACGGCCAGCCAGTCGTCGATACAGACTGGTCCGAGCAGTGGTTCTTTATGAGCGGCCGCGTTCACCCCTACGCCCTCTCCTGGGAGGTGGAGCGCCGCGACGGGCTCGAGGCCGGCCCGGACGATACTATTCTCTACCCCGTGCCCGCCCTTATCGTCCGCGACCAAGGTTACCAGCCGTGGGCCCCCCTCCCCTTTTCATTTTAATGCGCCTCCTCACCCACCGCCCCGCTGACTTTGCCCCCTAGCGTCCTGCCGCGCTCCTTGGCCTCTAGCGGCCAGTTCCCGTCTACGCCTCCCGTTGTCTCCTTCCATGGCGTCGTAGCCGGGCCCGGCCTCGACCTCCTGCGTCGAGATTTCCTGCCCAATCTCGGGCCCGACCAGCTCCGCTGCTGCGGCTTCGTCCGGCTCACGACCTACATCGCCCTGGCCTGCCGGACAGGATTCCATATAAGGGCTACCACCCCTTCGAGGTCTTTGTTATCTTTCCGTCTACGTTAACCCTTGGGCCGTGCTATGCAAGAAAATCGCTGAAAAGCCTAACTCTTCCTTCCTGCCCGGCGTCCCCTTTACCTGCACCGGAAAGGTCGTCGGCCTTCTCGACCACCGCGTTATGCTCTCCCCCCCGGGCTCGGAGCGCGATTACGTCTTTATCATCGTCCCGGACAGCTGGACCTTTGTCGATAGGCCCTCGGCCGCCGCCGCCGCCTCGGCTTCCCCCCTCGCTACGCCCCTTAGGCGCCAGACCCCATCCGCCTCCTCTACCTTCGATTCCGTCCGCGCCGCCTTGTACTCCGTTGCCGCGCCGGCCTCGGCCACGTCGGGGCCCCCTTCCTCGGCCTCGGCCCCGACCGCCCCCGACCCCGTCACGCCGCCGCCTAAGCGCTCCCACCCGGCCCTTGCCGATACGCCCATGAAGAGGGCGCGCTTACTACAGCTGCAGCATTCGCCGCCTTCTTCGTCTTCGGACACCGTCGGTCCCGCCGCCCCCTCCTCCTGTCCCCCGCCAGCCGCTTCTTCGTCTCGACTGGACGGCATCCCGCCCGCTCCCGCTCCGGCCCCCCCGCCTTCCCTTCTCGACTCTATCGTCGCGAGCACCTCCGACCCGCCCGCTCGCCCTCTCCGCTATCGCATGCAGAAATAAGCTGCCTACTATAAACCAATCGCTCTCTTACGCCTCCTGCCTTTACTAAAATGGAACGGGATACTATTCCTAACACAGCTTGTCGCTGCGAAATTACTATTACTCTACGCATTGCCACGTTTCTCCCTTTATTAAAGGTCAGTTTTGGCTTGCGAACCCGTTTCTTACAACACTGCCTGCCTCTAGACGTTCTCCGTGACCTCGTTAATGTCCCATGCGTTGCGCCTCGCCCCTTCTCTTTCCCTTCCTTCCCATTCCCTTCTCTCCCCTTGCCAGCTTGCCGCCGCACCTCTCAGTTGCGTTTAGCGGCGACGGGGGCCCTGTAGTTGCGCCTCGCAAAGGGGCGTCTTTGTTATCTTACATTCCGTTCCTTAGTTGTGCAAGTCATAGGGACGAGGGTCGCCGAAATCGGCGGTTGGTTCTACAAAGGCCGTTGCGGCGTGTGAGGCTGGCCTTAAGGCCGCCTCGACGGCGTTGCTTGCTTCCCCTCACTAGCTCCCTAGCTTGCCTTTGGCTTGCATCCCTTCTTGTGTACCTTCCAGTCCTCCTTTTGGTGTTGCCTGCTGCAATACGCGACCGCCAGGCATCGGCTGCACCTCCTCGCCCCCGCCATCTCTCCACAAACCCGGCAGACCTTCCCCTCTGTGCTCTGTGCATCCTGCCCTTGCATTTGCTTTGCGCCCATGCTTCCGTCCGCCTGCCCCGCCTCTGCCATCGTGTCCTGCATTTCCTGCCTCGCCCTTATTTCGCATCCTTCTTGACCGCAGAATGACGACACGACCACGAGCACAAACGGCCTCTCTGCATGTAGGTACGATATCGGGCTCTGTAGAATCTCCTTTGCGACTTCGCCGCAACTCTCGCAGCGCGCCCCTGCTGCCTTCCGACACGCCGCCTCGTGCTCCCGTAGGATCGGCCTTATCCACTGTAGGAACAGTGCGCTGGCTTCGTCGTTCGGCCTCGCCTGGCCTACCTGCGTCACGAGCGTCTTCGGGATGCTATGCTTGTACTTGAGCTCCGTGGCCCCGAATTCGCACCAGAACTCCACGGAAACGTTGCAAGTGGCCATGCTGTAGTTGTTTTCCTAACTGCTCGATCGGTAGCTAGGGTAGACGCTTCTGCTCTCCTATTCGTGCCTTGGTGCCTCTCTTATACTCCCTTCTCTCTTACCCCGCAACCGTTATCATCGCTGTATTTGCCTTCTTGCTTTCTCCCTCTTCCCGCTGCGGGATGGTGCCCGAATGGCCGATTTATTTGCCTACCTTCTTGCATGCATTAGTTCCTGGCGCTACCGCCTGCTTGCGTTCTTTGCTCTCGCCCTCTGTCTTCGTCTTGTGCCTTGAGGAACGTTAGTGCCTTGAGGAACGTTAGTGACGAAAAGGTTCTTCTGGTTCCTCCCCGGGGAGAAAGAAAAAAAAACGCCGCCATCAATTTCCCCCCCCCTAAATGCCGCCCTCTGATTCGTCGGCTGCCGTCCTCTAATTCGTCGGCTTGCTCTCTTCAGATTGGTTTAAAAATACAACCTCACCGCCCTCGTCGCCGCCCCTTTTTGCCCTCTTTCCTTGAAGCCCGTCTTCTTTCCTGGCCCTTTCTTTCAAGCTCGCCCGGAATACGCCCTTTTCCTCTTTGCCCCCCTCCTGGCCCTTGACCTGTGCTCCTTTTACGTCGGTAGCTACGGCAAGCCCGCTAGCCTAGAGCCGGCTGGCCTGTGAAGTCTAAATCTCCGCCTTTGCGGTCCGTCTATATTAGACACGCACCCGTCGATGTCCATTAACTACCTTGAGATTGTTGCTCTTATTTCTATCTCTCTACGTTGCGCCTTCCCATAATTTTGCTTTCTCCGCCCCTGATTGTGTGCTAGGTAGTCGTCCTAAGGGCAGGATCTCCTCCGCTGCGAGCGAGACGCCTACGCCGCCCGCGTTACCGCGGAGCCAGTCGGCCGCCTCCTGCGTCGTCTGCCTGCTAAGCTCCTCTAGCCGGGCCTGCGCTGCCGTCATCTCCTCGGGCACCCGGTTCCCGACTAGATCCCGCTCCGCACCTCCGATACGAGCATGATGCCGTCGAGCGTCGGGCACCGCGACAGCTGCACGTACAGGCTGTACGGGTCGCACGGCGACGGCACCGCCCTCCCTCGACCGTCGTCATCCTCGCCCCCGCAGCTCCAGCGCCACGCGCTCCAGCGTCCCGCCCTGCACCTTGTAGTCGGTGCAGGCGAAGGCCGCCGCGCACGGCAGGCCCTCCGGCTGACGTCGTTGCGCTGCCACGGCCGCTTCCGCTGCGCCGTGATCTTGACGCCGATGGGCGTCAGCAGGATCGTCCCGGCCGGCATCCCGACGAAGTGGAAGTCCTCGTCGTCTCCGAAGCCAGCACGATGCCCGCCGGCGGCCGAAGTGCATCGTCAGCTCGGCCGAGACCCGGTGGCCGGGAAGGCCGGTCGGGGATGACGTCTACCGCCGTGTACCCGGCGCCGTTCACTAGCTTCAGCCCCTGGTGCGTGTTCTGGTTCACGACGACCGGCATGCCGGGCACGAAGACGAAGACGGCCGGGACCGGCGTCGCGCTATCGTCGCCCTGGCCCAGCATTAGCAACGCCTCCTCCTCCGTCGGCAGGCCCTCCCTCCACTTGTGCTCGGACAGGAAGACGCGCGCCGCCGTCCGCCGCCGCGCCCGGAACGCGAGCGCCGCCTCTAGGTTGAGGTTCCAGCGGTTCCGGTTGAGCGGCGTGACCACCGTCAGGCCCGTCTCCCACGGGATCCGCCTGCCCGGCCGGTGGCACCTCGAGTTGAGCAGCTCTAGGTCCGACCGGTCCTGCTCCCGGCGGATGCGCCCGAGCAGCCGCCGCAGCTCGGGTCGCCGGCGGCCGCATCTGCTCGTCCAGCATGACGACCGTCGTGAACCGCCGCCACAGCGCGTGCGCCTTGTCGTGCTGCCGCCGCTGCTCGGCCGCGAACGCCCCGTCCTCGTCCCACGCCACCGCCGCGCTCGGCAGCAGGATCGACCGCTCCTGCACCGGCCGGAACTGGTGGAAGTCGCCGCAGAAGATCACCACCGGGATGCCGCCGAAGTCTCGCGCCGACCCCCGCAGCCTGCACAGCTGCTCGTTGGCGGCGTGCAGCGTCCGCGCCCCGAGCATGCTGACCTCGTCGATCACCAGCACCTCCTTCTCCTGCCAGTCCATCCGCGACCGGCCGTCGACGAAGCGCTCGCCCTGGCCCGGCAGCCGTACGCCGTCTACGTCCCTCGTCGCCCCTCCCGCCCGGCCGCCCTGGCCGACCGTAAGGCCGCAGGCCGAGTGTAGTGTGATGCCGTTGATCCGTGCTGCCGCCGTGCCCGACGTCGCCGTCACCAGCAGCCGGCTCGATAGGTCCCTCCGGGCGAGCAGCTCGACGAGCGCCTCGATGACGCGCGACTTGCCGGTGCCGCCCTCGCCGCCGATGAACAGGCAGAGCTGGCCGCCGCCATCGCCGCCTGCGTCGTCGCCCTGCCGGATTCGGTCGAGCTGCCGGATTCGGTCGAGCTGCCGGCATACGATTAGGAGAGCGATGGCCTGCTTCTCGTTGAGCGTTAGCTGCCCCGCCAGCTCCCTGCCGGCGGCGACGAACGAGCTCGACGGGCCGAGCCGCACGCGCATCCCCGCCGCCGTGCCAGCGTCTACGTCGCCGTCGGCCGCCGTTACGTCCATGTCGTCCTCGCCGAAGCCCCCCATCACCCCGCGAAGAGCCGCGCCGCGGTCGGCCCCGACGCCCGCCGCCGCCCCGCCGCCCTGGATGCCCTGGATGGCTCGCTCCCGCTCCCGCGCCGCGCTCCTCTGCTGCGACTTGATGGCCCGCACCTCTTCTTGCCGTGGCAGCGCCGCCCCCGAGAGCTCCGAGCCCGGTAGGTTCACCCGCCTGCCTGCCCTCTCCTCCGCCACTACCGTCGCCGCGAGCTCGGCCGCCGACCCCAGCGCCGACTGCTGGAACCGGCAGAGCTGCTGCGTCATCGCTAGCAGCTCTGTTGACTGCGCCGTGACTTGTCCCGCGCCGGCGGCATTCCGGACGACGTCGATGAGCCGGGCCGCGTCGCCCGCCCCGCCGGCGCGGTACGCCTCCTCGCCCCTCGGCCGCCCCCTGCCTTCGTCGCCGGCCTGCGGCACCGTCGTACCGCCCTCCTCGGCCGTGGCGGCCCACTGCTTGGCGTCGCGCTTCGCGTCCTCCGCCGACCGCCGGAGGAGCTGCACGTTGTCTGCGAGCCGCGCGACCCTCGGCGCCAGCGACTCCGCGCCCGCGCCCAGATGTCGTCGATGTCGCCTGCCTCCTCGCCGAGGAAGGACTCCCACGGCACGAATAGGGCCAGGTGCTGTACCGCCGCCCTAGGCGCTGTTAGCCGATGCCCCTAGCCGCGCTGCCTTCCCTTGGGCGCTCCCGTCTTATGGTGCGCACCTTCGGTGGCACGACTCGTCGTCTCCCTCGCTAAACTCCTTGCTGAGGTATCCGTCGAGGCATACGGTCGCCCCGCTACCCGGCCGCCTAAGCGCCTGCACCCAGCCCTTCCCCGACGCCCAGCTCTCCGCGAAGGGTACCTCGCCCCAGCCCGTCACCACCGTCGGCACCGCGGCCGTTTCGCTTTAGCCTTACGAGCGATGCGTAGTCATAAAGGCAGAGGCCCCGCAGGAGCTCGCCCCTGTGCCGGTAGGCCTCGACGAGGGGGATCCTCGGGCCGGCCTCCTCGACGACGACCGTCTCGTCCGGCGCGTCGCCCGTCGCCTCCGCGCCGCTCGCCCGTCGGAGGTGCCGCCACCGGCGGAAGACGGCCCAGTAGAGCTGGTTCGCGTTCACGTACGCCCACGCCGAGCTGCTGCTAAATTCTGCCGGGTACCCTAGGAGGTGCGCGATCACCTCGACCTGCGACAGCGGCCGCTCCGTAAATACTCGGTTCGCCGCCTTGAGCAGGAACGTTCTCGTCTTGTTCCCCATGGGGTCCGCCGCCGTCGCCACCCCTTCGGCCCCGCCCCATCGGCCGGCGTCGCGGTCGGCGCCACTTCCGTTGCCCTCTCCCGTCGGCTCTAGCGCGGGGAGGAACTCGGCCGCGGCGGCCACACGCTTCCACACGGGGTCCTCTACCTTCGTCGCATAGTTGGTAATGTAGTAGATTAGGGCCATGGTCTTGCGCTGCGTCGCGATGAACGAGATGTCGTGGTTGTGCCGTAGCCCTACTGCCATCGCCCGGTTCCACCGGTTCACCATGCTATGCGTCCGCCGGATCTCGAGCACCCCGTCCGCCGTCAGCGCCGTCCTCTCCACCAGCCTCCACGGCGCCTTGAACCGGCACAGGTCCCCTTCCGCGCCCCCGCGCCGAGCGACTATTTTACGCAGGTCGCGCTATGCGTGTGGATCTGCGTCGCGCCGGCGCAGAAGTTGGCCTCCTCGTCGAAGGTGTCCGTGAAGCGCGCGACGTCGTCGAGCCGCGACGATATGTCCGCCGTGGCCGACCGCTCCGCTTGCACGGCGCAGTAACCTTCTGCGTCTAGCTCCTGCCGCCTCGGTTTAGCTCGGGCCCTTCGGCCTGCCTCGGATAGGGCTTGGGGTTTGGGGAGGGTGGGGGCGTCTTAAGGCGGCCGCCTTACCTCGGAGAAGACGCTGTCTACGTAGCGGACGATGCGATCCCGGTACGCCGCCTGCTCCTCCGTATCGGGGCCGGCGAGCGCCTCGCCGAGGCCAGCATTGCCCCTTAGCCAGAGGAGCCCGTGGATGTGGAGAGCGCCTCGCTCGTTCGTCTCAACCGCGCCGTAGTACGCGCCGACGTGGCCGAACACCGACTCCTCCTCGACGTTGACGTAGTGCTCGAAGAAGAGCGTCATCTCCCGGTGGAAGAAGACGGCCGAGCTCATCGGGTCCGATATGGCCAGCCGCGTCCGCTTATACGCGGTCCCTAGGTCTCGTAGGAAGGCCTCGGCCTCGTCCGGGTCGCGGCCGCGGTGTGCCGCTAGCCGCAACTTTACCAGGTTTGTAATGTCGTTCGGGTTCAGCGTGAACCAGATGGCCGGCACCCCGTGCCTTATGATGAGGGATAGTATCTTCTTCCGCATACTGAGGCGGCTCTCCCTCGACATCGGCTGCCGGTAACCGAACACGGAGAGGGACCGGAGGAGCTCCTTTACCCCGTCGTCGCTAGTCTTGCCCGTGGCCTCGAGCTCGACCCTCGCCGCCTCGAGCCTCTGCGCCGTTAACGACTTTAACAGGCCCTCGACCCTTGCGAAGTTCTTCCTCGTGACGCCTAGCATGCTGGCCTGGCGGTTCCTAGACCGTACGCCCATGTTAAAGACGAGGAAGGCGAAGATAGGGGTGCGTCGCGAACCGGCCGCCGTGGCGCCGCAGCACGACGTCGGCCCATGCTTGGAGCTTCATGTTCCGCGTCGACATAAGGCCCTCCGCGACCCGCTCCGCCTGCGTGCCCTGGTTCCCGACGCTAGGGCCCGCGCTCTCCCCAGTGGCGTCCTCGTCGGCGAGCCTCGGCCCGCCTAAGCCAAAGGGGAACAGGGTCGGAAAGGCCTTTGCGAAGAAGGAGGCGTCCGCCGAGTCGGCGAAATCCTCGCCGCGCCGCACCTGTATGTGCGGCTCGACGTCGCCGCCATCGCCCTCCGCCTCTCGGGCCGCAGTCCCTACCCACGTCCTCGGGCCGGCGCGCGCTCCCTCGGGCCCGACGGCACCGCGGGCGAAGCGAATCTTCTCAGCATCGGCCACCTCTGGCGCCCCGTCCAACGGGAACATGCCGGAAGACGTCACCTCGTTGATTACGTCCCCGTCCTCTTCGGGCCTAGCGCCGTCCCCGTCGTCGTCCTCGCACGTGAGCCCGACGTCACGGCTCCCCTCGGTGGGGTCCCGCCCCCTGCCTCAGCATCGCGAGGACCTCCTCGATCTCGACCGCACCCTCGTCGTCCATGGCCCGCTCCGACGGCGGCACCACCTGCGCCGTCCGCGTCCTCTCCCGCGCCGACGGCTCGCTTCGCTCTAGCCGCTCGCACACCAATGGCGGCACCCGTGCGGCGGCGCCCCCAGCTGGCCATCTCCGCCGCGTCGATCTCGACCTCGCCGTAGAGCGGATTGTTCTCCTTGAGCCAGGCTAGCGCCCTCTCCACCGCCGACCGCCTTACCGACAGCAGGCCCGATAGGTCGCGCGGCCCGGGCCTCGGCACCCTGCCACGAGACGTGGATCTCGTCCATGACCCGGAGCAGCGGGTGCGGCAGCACCTTAGCGGCTAGGCCCTGCACGTCGTTTGGGAACACGGTAATGTGGCCCTTGACGTGCCTCGGGTACCTCACGCTCTGCCTCTGACCGCCCGGGATGCTGTACTTCGTCACAAAGCCGTAGCACGAGTTGAGTGAGATGAGCTTCTCCTCGAGCGGCGTGAGGTCCTTCAGCTCGTCGGGGTACGCGTGCTCGCAGCCGAGCCGCCCGTGGAGGTGCATGGCCGGCGACGCCCCCTCGCGCCCGGCCCATCGCGCGCACTCTACGCAGACCGGCACCGGCCTGCCCTCCGGGAAGCAGCTTCGGCATCCGAACCGGGACCGCCCGCCCCCCGCAACGCTGCTCCGCGACCACCCCTCCCACGTCGTCTCCCTCAGCTCCTCCTTGGCTCGCTTCCGGTAGCATAGCGTGCAGGTCGCGATCGGCAGCGTGCCTGCGTCGTGGAACGCCCGGTAGAACCTCCGCACCGTCCTCACCTGCCTCTCGCGCGGCACCGGCGCGCACCACGTCTGCTCGTTGGCCAGCCTCTCGCCCGCCTCGAACTCCTCGTCGAGGTGCCGCAGCGCGCTGGCCAGGTCCTCGGCCTGCAGCTCCCTTCGTCTCGGCATCTTTTCACCCACCCTGGCGCGTTTCCGCCCGGCCTGCCCACTACTAAGATGGCGTTTCCTCTTCTGCTCGTCTCGCCTGGCGTCTTATCGCCGCTCTACCTGCGTCCGGTTAGCTATCACCGTCGCACGCCTTCACCTCGCTCTACGACCGTACCTGCCGGTGCGCTATCTCTGCCGCTAACAAGCGGCCCGGCTGCGGGGGGAGTTGTGGCGGGGGCCTCGCCCCTGCTAGCCGGCCGGGACTGGATGGCTCGCGGCACGTGCTGGCTTCCGGCCGAGACTACGGCCGGGCTAGTCCCGCTCGACGGCGGCGAAGGCCCGGCGGCCCTCCATGTCGGCTGGGGCCAGGTATCCTGCGGGCCCCTTGCTTCCGGCCGAGGCTGTAGCCAAACCTATCCCGTTCGACGGCAGTGAAGGACCGGCGGCCCTCCATGTCGGCTGGGGCCGAATGTCCCGTGGAGCGTCCGAACTTCTCGTCTGCGGCGGCGAGGGCCCGGCGGTCTCCGCCGTCGGCAGAGACCGGATTTCTCTCGGTGCGCGCTGGCCTTTCCCTGAGGCCGAGACGGCGCGACTCGGCCTGCGCTGATCCTCCATTTCCCTAGTCCTGGCGGTCTTCCCCGCCCTCGCCTCGGAGGCGCCTCCCTTGACGCCTCTTCTTGCTCTCTCCGAGAGGCGCCGCGACCGAGTGCCGGCGCTGCTGTGATCGGCCGGATCTCTGGTCCTGTGTACGGCGCTGCTCGGGCTTCTGGCGCCGGGCTTGCCTGTCACCCGCTCCGGACTGGGCCCTCCCGTTAGCTGGCTTCATCGCGACACCGGTCTACCGAGGCCCCGCGGACCTCTTGTCTTCCTCGCTTGCGCTGCCCTCTTCGGCCCCGCCTACTTGCGGTGCTACTGGGCTCCCGGCGTAAATCCTCGTAAGTGTAATAACGGCGTATAAGTCCTTGCCTCGGCCATTCATCCTGCACTTGTCTTGCTGACTGGCACCCCTCCTGTGCGTACAGGATCCTCTAGGAAAGTCTATATATCTTATATCTTACTCGTAGCTCTCTAGTACGTCTACAGGCGTGCCGCTGCTCTTTACATTATACCGGCGCCGCCTTTCTATCGAGCCCGCCCGCTATTGCCCGCCGCCTTCAGCGGCGGGCTATACGGCCTCGGCCGGTCCTTACATGTAGGTCGCCAAGACAGCTTCCTCTTGCCTGTGCTTTGCATGGTACACTTTTCCGTCTTGTCATCTAGGTCTTGTCGGTCAAAGCCTCAGTACGCCCCTAGACGCTCGCCTGCTGAATTTTGAACCCATGTCTTACACGTGTTGCGAATAAGCCTGCCTCCTTCTCCTCGAACATAGCTTCGCGCGTCCTGCTTGTCTTAAAACCCTCTACGTCTTACTAGACCGCCTTTCGAAGTTTCCTCTTCTCCTCTTGTCGCATTGTTCTGTATACGCATCTTATAGACCTTTATTTAGGCTCCTTATCTTAGCCTACCGCTAACGCTACGTTGCTTCTTCGTTTAGGATCCTTCGACTTCTCTTATACACCACAGCCATTAGCCCTTCCCTACTACACTAAACTCTTAAGATGGCATATTGGTAGGGAGCACTCCTGCCCCTATTCCTCGCCGCTTCTAGCTTCGCTCCGGCAACGTTGCTCGTCCACTACACGGCCTCGCCATGTCTTCGTCTCCGTCGGCGGACAGCTCTGCCCCGCACCTCCGCAAGCCCCTTGTCACTAGCAAGGGCGCGGGCGGCGACATGTCCATGATGTTCTTCGCCCAGCCTGACTGCCCGCGAGGTTTGCCCACCAGGACGAGCACCGCATCAGAGGCCTTAACGCCGAAGCCATCGCCCGAGTCCTCCTGCCGGTGCCCTCGTGGCTGCTAGAGTCGGAGTATGCAACCCTCCGGGCCGAGGGCGACGATCTAGGGCCCTCCCTCTTCTTTAGTCTAAACCTCTCCATCTACGGCCAGCCGGTCGTCGATACCGACTGGTCCGAGCAGTGGTTCTTTATGAGCGGCCGCGTTCACCCCTACGCCCTCTCCTGGGAGGTGGAACGCCGCGACGGGCTCGAGGCCGGCCCGGACGATACTATTCTCTACACCGTGCCCGCCCTTATCGTCCGCGACCAAGGTTACCAGCCGTGGGCCCCCCTCCCCTTTTCATTTTAATGCGCCTCTTCACCCACCGCCCCGCTGACTTTGCCCCCTAGCGTCCTGCCGCGCTTCTTGGCCTCTGGCAGCCAGTTCCCGTCTACGCCTCCCGTCGTCTCTTTCCATGGCGTAGTAGCCGGGCCTGGCCTCGACCTCCTACGTCCAGACTTCCTGCCCGGTCTCGGGCCCGACCAGCTCCGCTGCTGCGGCTTCGTCCGGCTCACGACCTACATCGCCCCTGGCCTGCCGGACAGGATTCCCTTTAAGGGCTACCACCCCTTCGAGGTCTTTGTTATCTTTCCCATCTACGTTAACCCTTGGGCCGTGCTATGCAAGAAAATCGCTGAAAAGCCTAACTCTTCCTTCATACCCGGCGTCCCCTTTACCTGCACCAGAAAGGTCGTCGGCATTCTCGACCACCGCGTTATGCTCTGTCCCCCGGGCTCAGAGCGCGATTACGTTTTTATCGTCGTCCCGGACAGCTGGACCTTTGTCGATAGACCCTCGGCCGCCGCCGCCGCCTCGGCCTCCCCCCTCACTACGCCCTTTAGGCCTCAGACCCAATCCGCCTCCTCTACCTTCGATTCCATCCGCGCCGCCTTTTACTCCGTTGCTGCGCCGGCCTCGGCCGCATCGGTCCCCCCTTCCTCGGCGTCGGCCCCGATCGCCCTCGACCCCGTCACGCCGCCTCCTAAGCGCTCCCACCCGGCCCTTGCCGATACGCCCATGAAGAGGCGCGCTTGCTGCAGCTGCAGCATTCGCCGCCTTCCTCGTCATCGAACACCGTCGGCTCCGCCGCCCTCCTCCTCTCCCCGTCAGCTGCTTCTTCGTCTCGACCAGACGGCGCCCCGCCCGCTCCCGCTCCGACGGCCAGCCCGGGTTGCCCTCTCGACTCTATCATAGCGAGCACCCCCGACCCGCCCGCTCGCCCTCTCCGGTATCGCATGCAGAAATAAGTTGCCTGCTATAAACCCGTCGCTCTCTTACGCCTCCTGCCTGTACTAAAATGAACCGTTTCCCTTTCGGGATGCTATTCCTAACGCAACTTGTCGCTGCAAAATTACTATTAATCTACACATTACAATGTTTGTCCCTTTGTTAAAGGGACAGCTTTAGCTAACGAACCCGTTTCTTACAAAGTGCCCGCCTCTAGACGTTCTCCGTTATCTCGTTTATGTCCTGAGCGTTGCGCCTCGTCCCTTCTCTTTCCCTTCCCTCCTTTCCCTCCTCTCTCCTTGCCAGCTTGCCGCCGCACCTCTCGGCTGCGTTTAGCAGCGACGAGGGGGCTGTAGTTGCGCCTCGGCAAATGGCGTCTTTGTTGCGGAAGCCGACTCTGCTTCTCGCCTATCAGTCATTGCTCTACATGGAGGATACGGTTTTCTACTGTAAAATCTTATATGCCGTTCCTTAGTTGTGCAAGCCATAGGGACGAGGGTCGCGGCGATGCTACTACTGTTAGACTCTCCGTTCAGACGGGTGGAGAGGCGGTCTTGCAGGCCCGTCGTCGACCTCGGTTGGCGTTCTGTCTCTTGAAGTCGGCGGTAGTTTCTACAAAGGCCGTTGCGGCGGTTAGCGGCCGTATGAGGCTGGCCGTAAGCCCGCCTCTGCGGCGTTGCTTGCTTCCTCTCCCTAGCTCCCTAGCTTGCCTTTGGCTTGCATCCCTTCTTGTGCGCCTTCCAGTCCTCCTTTTGGTGTTGCCTGCTGCAGTACGCGACCGCCAGGCATCGGCTGCACCTCCTCGCTCCGCCGTCTCTCCGCACACCCGGCAGACCTTCCTCTGTGCTCTGCCGATCCTGCCCTTGCATTTGCTGTGCGCCCATGTTTCCGCCCGCCTGCCCCGTCTCTGCCATCGTGTCCTGCATTTCCTGCCTCGCCCTGATTTCGCATCCTTCTTTGCCGCAGAACGACGACACGACGACGAGCACAAACGGCCTCTCTGCGTGTAGGTACGATATCGGGCTCTGTAGAATGTCCTTTGCGAGTCCGCCGCAGCTCTCGCAGCGCGCCCCTGATGCCTTCCGACACGCTGCCTCGTGCTCCCGTAGGATCGGCCTTATCCACTGTAGGAACCGTGCGCTGGCTTCGTCGTTCGGCCTCGCCTGGCCTACCTGCGTCACGAGCGTCTTCGGGATGCTATGCTTGTACTTGAGCTCCGTGGCCCCGAATTCGCACCAGAACTCCACGGAAATGTTGCAAGTGGCCATGCTGTAGTTGTTTTCCTAACTGCTCGATCGGTAGCTAGGGTAGACCCTTATGCTCTTGTCTCCTGTTTGTGCCTTGGCGCCTCTCTTATACTCCCTTCCTCTCTCTTACCCCGCAACCGTTATCATCGCGTTACTTGCCTTCTTGCTTTTTCTGCCTCTCCCCGCTGCGGGATGGTGCCCGAATGGCAGATTTCTTTGCCTACCTTCTTGCATGCTTTAGTTCCTAGCGCTACCGCCTGCTTGCGTTCTTTTCTCTCGCCCTCTGTCTTCGTCTTGTTTGTCTCTCCAATCTTCAGTCTTCGTTCCTCAAGGCCCTTTGCGCAACCCGTGAGGGGTTGCCTTACCCGTTCGATTAATGTTAAGTCAGCCTACGGCTGAATAAATTAGGTGGCTGTGGAAGTGGAAGTAACTATTAATGTGTGAGTTTTTATTGGCTGTAATCCCTGTAAGGTACACGCTTGCAGCCTTCGTACACTCAATGGGATTGGACAGGCACGATAACACGACCTGGCCAATGAGAACAGGAACATCAACAGAATTTCCACCGCCCCCTCCTTCCTTCGCTGCAGAGATGCCTGGCTCACCTGCACGCCAGCGGGGCTCACCCGGCTCACCCAGGGTCGCGCGATTGGCCGGAGCGGGGGAGCCAAGTACGCATTTTCCTCCGGGTCCGCATTTTTTTCTCGACATTGCTGGACTTGCATCCATTTACATCCACTGTGCTTTAAAGCCATCGCGATGTCGAAAGGTTCACGACCTTGGAGCCCCCCTTCAGCCCTAGCCCCTCTCTGCTTGGCCATGGTGACCAAGTCCACCCGGAGCTCGTCGCCGGCTTCCTTTTACGCCGACTCGGAGACGCAACGGTCGGCGACAGCCAGCAGTCCTGACACTCCCTGTCCGTACATCGAGGCGTGACAGCTGCCTCGCGAGCTTAAGGACCATTGCCAGATTTTTCTCGAAGAACAGATTTGTACAGGCCCCCTTTCCTCGATTTTATCCGTCTTTCTATTCGCGCGTTCTTTTATTTTCGAGGGAGATGGGACTGATTGAGGCTTTAGATACTTGTGCCATCAATTTGCTCAATAGCACGCTGGGCTACGGCATGTCCCGGCAAATGCCAACGCGCAAGAGCGTGCCGGTGCCGCCCCCGAGCCATCTCGCGCTTTTGGGTACGCTGGTTGTTCATCCGTTGCATACGACTCGTGCAGACAAGCCGGACCACCTGATCGTTTCCTCCCTCGCGCTTAATTACTTGCGCAACGTCCTGACCATCGCTGGACCCATCAACGCCGGATTCCGCGTCGCCTTCCAGTTCCACTCGACACCGAGATGGGCCCGCCAATCCGATCGTGCTGGCTCTGCCAGCGATAGCGACATGTCTGACGGCGACTCGAACGGCGACCTGGATCACTTGCGGGGTAGAATGGCAAATGAGGCGAGTGTTTGGAGTCGAGGCCAGGACTTGTGGTCCACGGTGGGCTGGGCATTCAACACGGCGACAGTGCATCCTCACCGGTGGCGCTACTGGAAAGTGTGGCTCGGGCTCATGCTCGACGTCCTCGATGCCGACTGGGCCGAGAGGGAGAGACTTGATCAGGAGGCCCACGAAACCAGTGGCAGGCGCGGACACGAGTCCGTTACGTGGCGCAGTGAATCCATGATTTACATGTATATGAATCAGGAGGACGGTCGTCAGACGGGACACAAGCGAATTATGAAAGCGCTCTTTGCCGACGGGGGAGGCCAATCCTCATCTGCCTTCTTGGAGGTCTTCGAAAAGGAGCCAAGGGGGCCTAAGAAGGCGTCGAGAAAACGGAAATGGGAGCAAGCCCTCGACCTGGAAAGCGACAAGCTCGGCGACTACTTTGACTCTGATTCGATATCATCCAGTATTTCTGAGCCGCCAACGCCGGAAAAGGGCCGCGGCGCGAGCAGCGTCGTCTCGTTTGGCTGTTCGAATCCCGGTCTAATCGAATCAATACGTCTCCGACTGAGGTTCTTCAGGCTTCTCTCTGCTGCCACCTCGGTGCTTCGCTGGCGGTTGGACCTTAACCGGCTCCACGAAGACATTGCGGCAGGCATCAAGCTGCTCCCTCTGCAGATGTTCGCTCTGTTTCTGTCACAACGGGAGAATCCACTGCTGCCCGAATCATATGTCACCATCATCAAGGAGCTGTTCCATTTGCTGCTGCCTTCCCGGCACAAGAATCCTGCAAATGCGGATCCAGAAGGCCATGCCATGGGCAGCTTGAGCATACCCATGCTGGAGCACTGCTACATTTCGTTGCCTGCCAATACGGTCGGGTTGGAGGACAACGCGAAGCTGTCTCTGGTGGTTGAACACGCGATGCAGCTGTTATGGAATTGCGAAATGGCGGAATACACGGACAGTTTTGCCAAAGCAGCCTTGAGAGGCGTCGAGGCGCGAGAGGCAAAGGCGAAGAAGAGGGGAATGGGCAAGCGCCGCGCACATGCCCGCGCTATCGTGGCCCGAGATGTCCTGGCTGGCTCTGCCGAAAGAATCCGTATGTTGTTGATACAGTTACTGGAGGCATCGGCTGATACGGACAGTAAGAAACACCAGGGCTTGAACTCGACCACCGACTCAGTAGAGAAGTGTATCGTAGTCAAATTGTAGCAACTTCCACAAAAAAGTTGTCTCACTTCGCCAGCGGTCGCAACCGTAGCGCCGAAAGCGCGATTGACAGCCTGAACTATCTCCGGGGGGCGACGTTGTCTTGAGATCTTGGGTGCTGCCGCTGCCGCGGACTACCAATTCCCCGTCGAATGGAGCAGGGACCGGTTTCTCCGTCGGGGCCGGGGGTTGGCGGGTAGTCTGTGCGTCGGCTACAATCTCCGCCCAAGACTTTAACATGATTGCCCCATTCCACGGAGGCTCGATCGCACATCCCTTTCCCCCTTCATCATCGTCCTCCATTTCCCATACCCATGCTCATATATATTTAGATGCATATATATACTATATATATTATATATATTCTGTCTCCCGATCTCAAGGCAGGAGAGGGTCTGGCTTACCTGGCCGAGCAATTGTAATCGGTGGCCGTGCTCCTCGCTCACGCAATAGATCTGACCCAAGACGACGTCCTGCATCTCGCCGCACGAGTCCCCTCGATGGTGTCGCTGTGATTGCCCTCGCGATGCTAGCCCTGCAAGTCGAGGTATGGCGCTGTTGGTGCTGCGTGGCGTCAGTCAAAGGCAACATCCTGCACCGGGACATTTCCGAGGACAACATCATAACCGACCGCAAAACGACTGGCCACATGGGCATGCTGATCGATCTGGACCTTGCCAAGGAGCTATCTTCACTGCAGCCAGAAAGTGAGCTGGCGCCGAGTAGCATTGCTGTCCCCACCAGGCAGCAGCGGAAGGGTCCGAGTTTCCTCGCCCAACCCGTTCCCCACAACTCGTCTCTACTACAGTTGGTAATCTGGTCTGTCACGAGCGCTGAGGGTGTCACGCGCGCAATCACGTGACACCGCTACTTTTGTCCTTCGTGCCGGCTAGGGACAGTTAGAAGCACCCTTCCACCCACTCGTCCCTTACCGTTCTACCCCAGACGCATGCGGGGCTGCCTCCCATAAACCCGGAAATAACGTGGGTCCGGCCGGACAGGCGATCTCTGAAAGCTTTTCAAGCTCTAGGGCTGATAGGGAGAGCTGCGAGGTCACTTGCCTTTACGCTCTGTCGCGGAGCCATTATTGCCCTTCGCCTTGGCCCCCCTTCTCCCCCCTTCTTCTCATCACTGATAACGTATTCTAGGATGGCGCCCGGCGTCGATTGCATCTTCCAAATCACCTCAAACAAGCGTCGCCTTTTAAGATACAAGGAGGGTGGCGATTTTATTGTCGACAGCTCGGCCATAAGCTTCGGGACTGACCCGTACCATGAATCGATGGCCGACAACGCCGACACGCATAGGGACTGCACGCCTTCGCCACAGTTTGTCTGCCGGGATCTCCTCCGCATCATCATCGGCTCTAGGCCAATGGATGCACATCTTCGCTAGGTCTTTGGCAGGAATCGTCTCGCCTGTGATCTCCTGCTCGACGGTTCTAAGCGGTTCGCCGTCCGGATGTGAAAGAGCCAGGGGTGTTTCTCATCGTCAATCTCAGCCGGCACGGCACTCTCATGAGGTCCGCAGACCCTGCCTTGACTCTGGTCAAGTCGTAGCGAGCTTTCGGGGCCAGCGTAGGCAGGACTTAGGTACTACCTTAAAGGTGGAACGGACCAATGGCATCACAGGAACACCAGTCCAGTCAGATAATCTCAGACCACTCAAACCGACCGACTGCTCCGGCTGGTCGGTCTGTCTGTTAGCCACACCGTCAGAATGGCTTGGTCAGAACACGATACTCAACATAGTCCTCGCCGTCAATATGAACGATAGTGCCCGCCGACACGAACTTTCCCGTAAATGGCCCGGTCGACTTCCGCCCATACTTGACGCCGTCGTGCATCTTGGCGTCCTCGGCATAGGCTTTCATGCGAAACGACTCCTTGCGAGCCCAGACCTTGTTGACAGCTCAGCTCGTTCTCGTTTAGCAATTGACGCGGCGCCCGTCTGTCCGCTCGCGGATCGATTCGCCGCGACTGGCCAGGCTCACCGCCGCCATAGCTTGTTCTCGGGCTGGTCCGATCCATGTCCACGTTGGCAGGACGGGTGATGCTGAAAGTCGGCATAGCGACACTGGTCTGTTTAATGGGGGTTCTGGCTCGGGTCTTGGCCTCATACACGGCCCTTGTTTCGTTTTCGATCCGCTTCCTATCAATTTCGCCGTGATCCAGCTGGTACTGCCGAATGCGGCAGTACTCCTTGACTTCCTGTTTGCTGAGAGCCTTGAGGTGGTTCTCAAAGCCTACCTCCTCGTACGGAATCCAGAGCCCCAGCTCCCGAGGGGGAAGTTTCCATCCACGAAGCGGCCGTCTCTCGTCTCTCGTACCACCTTGACTCAGAACTTGTTGTCGTGGTCAAGTATTCCATAGACGGCATGCCGATCCCTTGGATCAGGCTCGCTGGATTGCTTCCAGTATCCTAGAAGGATTCGTGTCGGGCGGGTGCCAGGCAGAGGGTCGGTGGGAAAGCGGGTTTGATGAACGGCCATGGGCTGAGTGGACGCTGGCTGAGAAATCTCCATCTTGCTCTCGCTCAGGTGGTTATACAAGCAGGCGCGCTTGCGCTTGGGGTAGTGAGAGACAGCCTGCCGTGATGACTCGTCGCCGACCATAGCGGCTGCGGTAGCGTCCGCTCCTGCTCCTGCGGCCAAGGACGACTCTCGAAAGCCTGCGGCTGGCGATGGCGCCGTCGCGGCCGCTGGCTCGTGGCCGCCGGCAGCGGAGGCAGCTGATGAAGACTTGGGCACTGTCGGCGCGACCTGCGGCTTGCTGTACTTCTCAGTGGCAGACTCCTCCATTGCGCACGGCTGGACAAAAGGCGAAGGGTCCGACGGCGAAGTGTCCTCTCTACTTTTGGTTCGTTAATGAACAGCCAATCTGGTGCTTTCTTGCTTTCCCAGCCGACAGGGGCATAAGAGTTCAGAGGCGAGTCGCTCCGCGCCGCGGATGTCCCCTTCCTGCAAGGGTGAAATGAGTTCTGTTCTCGGTGTGTGGGCAGAACCGCTCGCCGCCCGGCATCTGACGTTGGTTGGCCGGCCTCGCAAAATTTTGCATGTGGGCGGTCTTCCTCTACGCATTGTGTGACAGCTTCTCGTGATATCTCTGCCGCTACCGCCGCCTACGCCGCTATGGAGTCAGTGTGTACTGCCGAGAATTTAACACTGAAAAGGACCCTGAAGACGCCTGCCACGCTACTGGCAAGGCACAAGGGTACTTACTCCCTGATAATACTTGATATGCGATAGAACGGCTACCACGTCGACCCCTTCAGGGTCGAAGACTCGGAGGATCCGCCTCGAGCCCGGGGCGAGGGTAAAGCGGACGTCGTACTCACCCGCCTGCAAGAGGTCAATGAACGCATGCAAGCAGTGATGGCTGCCTCGCAGCAACGGACAAGAGGAGGGAGCAAACGCGAAGCGACGACGTGTAATCTCTTTTCGCTGCGGTACGACAATGACTGAGCGTGCTGCCAGGCAGGCGACGCAGAGGCGGGAATGCAGGTCCGGTTTGGCCTATCAACCTCTTATTCTGCGGCGGGCAGAGAGTGGGCAACACGGCTGACGCTGAACAAAACGCAGTCGATCGCTTTCTCAATTATATGCCGCCAGCTCGATTTGATGGGACAAAATGACGGAGGCGATGTCGGCCAGCTCTGCCAGTTCGTCAGCGGCGAGGGCGGGACCGGCAAGTCGCGAATCATCGAGGCACTCGTCGAGTTGTTCAGTAGGAGGAGCCTTTCGAATCGCCGCTGATCATGGCGACGTCAGGGATTGCCGCAGTCCGGATCAACAGTATCACAATCCATTCCACATGCGGGTTCTCCAAAGACCAAGGGGCGGCCGCGAACACGGCGAGAGATCTCGACGAGGTGCGACTGCCAACCAAGCGGATCGGTTCGTCCATGGCCAGTTTCGGATGCATTGGCAGAAGAAAGACGCGCTGATTATACCATGTGCTATCTTCGTCAGAACGTGTTTCCATGTCATACCGGTGCGCTGGTCTGTGAGCGGGGAAACGTTGCAACCCCGCGGTAGAGTGATGGTGAAGTCAAGACGTTCGTGGAGGGCTGGCATGACCAGATTGCCAACTGTTGTAGAGACAAGTTGCGGGGGAACGGGTTGAGCGAGGAAACTCGGGGTGTCGCTCCTAGACCCTTCCGCTGCTGCCTGGTTGGGGGCAGCAATGCTACTCGGCGCCAGCTCACTTTCTGGCTGCAGTGAAGACGATATTGCTTATAAGAAGGGGTTGCAGTCCTTACAGCTCAGTACTACCAGCAGCGAGAAGTGAAGGTGCTGTCAGTCGCCCAAGACGAGGACTTGCAGGACTGTTGTGAAGCCAGAATCGGCCGCAGGTACGTAACGGGAACCCAGGCACCATGGGCGAAGGGTCTAGGAGCGACACCCCGCGTTTTTGTGCCCAACCTTCTCCCTGAACTTCTCTCGTGCGACAGCTGGTAATTTGACACGTTAAAAGGCTCGTACTGTACTGTATGTACATACCGGGGTTCATGCAGAAAGACTGGCATCCATCACAATGGTGGCTGCAGTTCGATGCAGGCAAACATCCGCTAATGCACAGGAGAGGATGTGACGGGGCTACGATCTGCAGCTGCAATGCCGTCCAAATGACTCACACCACCCGTGCCGGGGACAGTCAGAAGCACCCACTTGCAGCAACGCACATCCACCTTGCGGTCACCACCTCGCATTGAGAACCAACTGCAGTATTAGGAGCAACACGGAACTATGGGTGATTATGTACATGTACTCAAAAGTAGAGCTGCTGAAATGCATCTCGAAGCGGACGCTGTCTGGCAATGTAGATTCTGGCTCCTGGTCACTTTATCACCAACGACTCCGAGACCCCGCGTCGCCCAGCTTCCCTTCCTTCCGCCTCCTCTCTCCTGTTGTACTTCATAGTACCTCGATACCATCATATCTACATTGCCTCCCCCACTCTTCCCCTCTGCGTACACCGATACTGCCATCAGGTCTCGATCCGGCAGCCGCAGGAGTGGCGCCGTCAAATCCGCTGAATGCGTTGCCACCTGCTCCGCCTGAAGGTCACATCGCATCCAGAGCATGCTCCGGATCGGCCAGCCTGTCTCGTGCGTCGTCGGCGGTAACATTTTCACCTCGTCGCTGGGGCTTATTGGGCTCGTAACAACTTTGATGTCATCGCTCTGCGAGCTGCCACGCTGCAGCCACATTGTGCTTCCACTTCCAATAGCACTTGTTCTGCAAGACATTGCGCTGCAGCCAGGCCCACATCCTTTTCATGATGCACGCTCGTGCTGCAGGATGATAGTTAGGTGGACAGTGAATGCCCTACAGGGGCGGGACACCTCCGATTGGCCTTAGAGGCCGGTTGTTGGTTCTTGGTTTGTTGCAGCCCTGTAACTAGTACTGTAACGGAGTCATACGCATACACGAGGCGCATGGTTCCCTTTTCGGCGAAGACTGCGTCTACATGGGAGCATGTCGTATTTTGAACTAGAACCGGGCGACAGTCGTGAGCTATTTGGCTTCCATATCGATAAGCGAAGACGAGTAATACTGCCCCAACTGCCGCTTCGCAATAAGAGGTGGAGCGAGGAAGGGAGGCGACTTTGCCGCAGTCGCACAGCGAGCCGCATTCACGTGTTACACATCGAATGTATGTAGGGTTACTCCAGTCGATGGGAACCAACTAATCTACAGACAATGTGTTTTGGATGCTGCCTGGACCTGCAGACTGACCTGTCACTCTCAAAATCCTACGCTAGCTCTTATCGATCGCACTAAGCCTCCATAGTCAGATGACGTTCCTTCCGTCTGTCCACGCTCTGTGGCACGCTGGTGCATCCCAGTAGGTTAAAGTGGAGCCCAACAACGAACTGCGATGATGCATTAGCAGCACAGCAGACCAACAACGCAACGATAGTGCTCACCAATCACGAGTCATGAATAACCAAAGCGGCACGGGGTGCACTCTTTGTTGCCGCCGCCTTCCTCGTCCTTGACCATATTTTGCACTTATAGGGGGGGGGAATCAGGTTTCTGCATGGGACGAAATAAAGTGGAGCAGAATGTGGAGAGAGGAAGGTACGGCACGGTTAAAGCCTACGATTATATCTGCAGCCCTGAATTAAGTCACGTCAGGTTGGCGCATGGCGCTAATTACCCCGGTCAACCCGCCGACCAAGGTTCCCGTTGGGGGGCTCCAGCGCAAGCAGAGCGAATTTTCCGCCTGTTCTCGCCATCTTTGCAGCCACGTAGCGCACCCGCAACAACGTGCGCGCGGCTGCACTTCCGTAGGCAGGGGACGGCGGTCGAGGCGATTTTCATGGTATGGGTGTTCGGATTTCAGTGGCCGTTTCGAAAATTTGGCCAGAAAGTCAAAGAATTGTTTTTTGCACGTATTCGCCTTGTTCTGTGCTGAGCCAGTTAAGAAGCGGCAAATCATGGTACCCCCCTGGCGCACGAACTCCACTGATTGGCGCACTGGCGTTCCCGCTTATTGTCGTAAAGGCAGAATTTCGGTAATATAGCATGTTGTTGGAACGCGAGCAGGAAGGGCGGAGTAGGTCACCTGCCAGGTCACGTGGGGCATTCGGCTGAGATGAACCAATCAAGTATGACGAAGAAGCTCTAGGCACCGCCTCGCAGATCATAAAACGAGCGATCACCCCACAACTATTTGTTACACCTTCCTGCGATCTTCCTACACGCTCTTCATGCCTGAGGCCGTCCACCGCGATGGCCGAGCCGGTGGACTGGCTTCCGGGCTATTGGCCCTGGCTACGTTCGCCTTCCAATCCAGCATTACGCTTTACAGCACTGTCCAGAGTTTTCGAGACCATCCCAAACGTGTGCGCGATCTCATTGACGAGCTTGAAGCTTTGAGCGGAGTCTTAGGCCCACTTACGGAGACGGTCAGTGCCGTCCATACTGTCGACCTCTCAGCGCTCGATCGACCGTTGCTGCGATGCGGCCATGCCTGTGCAGAGTTCAATCAGGAACTCATGAAATGCGTGTCGCAGTCCGGGGACTCAGACGACCTTTCGGGGTGGGCTAAACTCAAGTACATGGGTGATGATATCGACGGATTTAGGCGGTTGTTATCCGGCTACAAGTCGACAATCACTATTGCCCTCACTGACGCCAATCTGTACGTTTCACGGTCTGCAAGCCACCACCCTCCATAAAATAAACCATTCAGTAACAACTCTAATATTTATGCTGTGAATGTAGCCGCGTATGCTCTGCCACCGCCGAGACCATTCGAAGCTACAAAGACCTTGTCGAGACAGCGCACAGTGACCTCCGGGCTCACCTCGAAAGTATCGACGAGAAAATAGGTGTCTTTCTCGCAGACGCCATATCGGAGACCGGCTCAGGCGCGCCAGAATTGCAAACCATGCAGGAAGAGCGATTGAGCACGCAGCGATGCCTTGAAATTTGTGACCAACTGTCGAAGCATATCGATGAATTTCAGCTGGCCACCAAACGTAGTGGAAGCTCGTCCGAAAATGAAGAGACAGCTACGTTCCCCGAAAAGGTCGTCAATGAGGGTCTGAATGGGTGCAGGAAGACCCTTGACAACACAGTCGTGAAACTGGGACAACACGAGAAGGATTTGTTCTATCGCTTGCTGGGAAAATAAAGAAAGTGCCTGCTTCTGAGGGGATACTTCCGAGATTGCGAGGCTGCGTGAAGAATGGGAAAACGCGCGCCAAAGCTTGAGCATTTGTTCTGAAGCAAACAAGCGCTTAAAGGAAAACATTAGCGTTATTGACAACTACGCTACAGGCGACGCCATGCAGTTCATGGTTTCGACTGACGGAAAGACGATTCACGGACAAAACAAGGGACTTGGATGGAGGAGCAGGCAAGTAGGGGGTCACCTTCGTGATGAAACGGTCCGGCAGATATCACGGGACATGATCACACTTAATATCCAAAGGCCCAAGGAGGAGGAATCTCAATCGCAAGACAATGCATATCCTGGACCTGATGTCGGTGCCAAAACAGAGGCCAGGTCCCAATTTGGGGCAAGGTACGGGCGAGGCTTCATGCTATCGCCCAAGTCTTCTGATACACCCAAATCTCCTGGATCTTATTCGGGAAAGTAAACTGACTTTTGCGGACGAGGTTATTGGGGCAGGCCGTGGCCAGCCACATCATTGTCGATTTGGACCACACAAGGGACTATCTCTTCTTGACAGGCGGTTGGTTGTTGGTTAGGCAGCCATGCAGCGTTACTGTTCATGGCGGCGTGCCTGTATACGTGCGTCCAGTTGTTCAATCTGCTGATACGTCTTGCTCCCTGTGCCTAGAGTGTTGCCGCTCGTTTGGGGTTCCTTTGTAGTATTAAGCTACCATCCTAAGCTGGTGTCAGAACAGCGGTTCTGCGGCTCGTCCGAATGAGGAAGGTGGCAACGATAGTGGGCACACAGAAGAGGTCAATTGGAGCTATAGGCACGGCTGTGTGTGTGTAAAGGCGATGTGTGTGATGCCCCTTCCGGCTGGGAATGTGCCCCTTTTGGGCCCGCAGAAATCTCAGCTGAATGCCCCACGTGACCTGGCAGGTGACCCATGCCGCCCTTCCTGCTGCGCCGTTCCAACAGCTGGCCATCTGTCACGGGCTGTGACCGGCATGGTCGACTAGGAAGCGTTCAAGCCACCAATGAACGGTCGACCCGTCAACAGAGGCTACTGAATACGCACTCTCGTCGACTGTGGATGTGACTGTTACGCCGTGATCACGTGGCATCTTCCCAATGACAGATTCGTGCTCGATATATATTCTTCGTGTAGCCGAAGAGTACTCGGACCCACCCTCGGCGCCTGCTTAGCGAGGGCGACCGGGCCTACCATGCCCCACCCATCGCCTGTTACACCCCCTTCACCGGTACCGCAAAAAGGTGCCTTGACCATACAAACTATATCAATTGAATTGAAGCTATTAGCCCATAATAAATTATAAAAGAAATACTACTCTGTAGTGCTTTCAATGTTTAATTGCCGTGGACCGTTGGGTTTCTGGTCTGTCTCCGCCCATGTAAGAAGGCGACGAATCAGGTGGCTTTACCCTCCCCTTCCCTCCTCCTCTTCAACCTGACCAAATGCACCTTCAATCGCATATAGCACCTCTTCATCGCCCTGTGGAAGCATATAGACATTCCTAATATATATCGGAGGTTTATGAACATATTATTAGGATTGGGGATCATTCTTTCCTTCCTTGGCCTCATGCGATGCAGCGTAGCCGCCGAGGCCTGAAATCTCTGATCCTTCAACACCAACTCTGCTCCTTGCGCTCAAACACTCTAGATATCTTTCTCAAAGTCTTCTCGAGGCTACTAGCTTCGAGATTTTTAGCCTGTGGAGTTGTCGGCTCGTGCTCCTCGTAGGTCTAGCTTGGCGTATAGCATCCAAAACCATATTTCTCTGTCTGGTTAGACCCAGTGAAAATGACGCGTGACCTTGAAGCCACGGTAGTTGAGATCTAATGTTAAGATCTCCAGCACTATACCGCCGTCGATATCTTTACTGATGATATTTATCCCTTTTGGTCCGACATCGAGCACAAGATGCCGTCACCGGCGGTAGAGTCGCTCATACTGTCGCTCATACTGCCGTTCATGGTGCCGCGCAGGATTCCGTACGCAAGGAGGATAAACGACAGGGTAATTACGAGCTCAATAAGCCACAGCAGTTGGGTGACAATGATACTGACGACGATACACGAGACCGGCTGGCCGATCCGGAGCATGCTCTGGGTGCGGAGTGACCTCGAGGCGGAGCAAGCGGTAACGCAGTCAGCGGATTTGACGGCGGTAATCCTTCGGCTACCGGACCGAGATCTGATGGTAGTGTCGGTATACGTAGAGTAGAAGAGCGAGGTGCTATCGAGAGCGGTAAGAGAACTGCATGGATTAGTGGTGGGCTTCCGTGGTGGAACTGGACGTCGTCGCGGGGACTTTAATCGCCACGATCTGCTCTGGGAGGCGATGAGGTAGCAACAAGAAGACAAGGAAGCGCAGCCGATCATCGACCTGATGAATGACTGTGGGCTCTGCAGCCTGCCGCGAGGCACCAAGACGTGGCAGGGCCAAGACTCGGAAAGCACGATTGATCTAGTGCTTGCGTCGGCCGAACCGAACCGGCAGACGAGATGGTGACATGCAATATACACCCCATGGAGCACGGATCGGACCATACAGTTCTTGATGAGGGTGACGAACCGTATGTTCACGGAGCGTCCCCTGTCGCAGGTCGAGGTCGTCGCTCATCTTCTAGGATATCCAGCCGAATTTTCCAATGGCAGCGCCTGGGCGTACCTAAACACATACCGGTACTAGCTGTACTGGCACGTCTTTCGACGATTGCGGCATCTGCGACAAGTAGCGCATGGGTCACAGATGATCCCCTGGATGAGTCGGTCGTCGTCGAAGAAGCAGGCCCCAGGATCTCCGCGTCGAGGCATATCAGCACCGTGGAGATCTCCTGCGAGGCCTATGCCTGTACGACTACGTATCGCTGGTCAGACTCAAACGCAACAGCAACGACGGGAGCTGTGGGGCTAGGGGGGAGGTGCCTTTCGATGATGGGCGGGCACCAGGAAGACGCTGGGTTCAGGTGCTCAGGCGGCCGGGAAAGCAGGCCACCGTTTGCCTTGACGGCTACCTGAGCAAGACTTTGCCCACGACGAGGACTCGTGTCATCGGAGGTTTGCGCGGAACCCGATTCGCCGGAGGATATGGGAGACGCTAATTTTTTTCCACCTTTGAAAGGGCAACCGTGCAGCACTTTGTGCTATTTGTACCATGGGAGTTTTTCATGTGCGAAGAAATGGGCGACATCAACAGCATCTGGGCGCGGGCGCAAGAGGCGCTGGCTCCGAGAATATCATGTCTCGACGACATCGTGCCGATATCGTGCGGCTGGTTCGACGATCAGCCGAAGACGCAAAACGCGACGCTAAGCAATGGGCATCCTCATCCGGAGATGCCTATCCGACGGTCGCACACGTGGAAGGGCGGGACGGACGAGGCGGGCGCAGAATCAACAGCGACGTATCAGTCCAAACAGCATCGGAAACGCAACGCAGCTGATCGACGTCGTCCGAGGTGCACTGGACTCGAATCAGGTGACGGCCAAGTCGCCGGAGCAATGGCGATGATGCAACAGCTCTATCGGTTCCATCGATCAGCGCTTTCCTCGACGGCCGAGCTGCAGGCCGCCGTGGTACAGTACTCGAACAAGGGGCGAGACGGATAAGCATGTAGGGGCGGGGATTTTCCGGGGGCGCACTGCCACCGCAGGATCAGGTCAGGGCCACCAAGTCGCAGCAGATGAGTGCCTCGAAAGAGAGGATGATCCAAGGCATACAAAGTATAACCGTGGTCCGAGAAAGCGACTGCCGTGCTGCGTTGCGGAGGGTCATGGTCGGCTTAGCTGGCTTCGAGGTCGATGTCGAAATGGCGATGGCCGACTTCGACGAGACCGCAGACGACGTAGAGGCGGGAATGCAGGCTTGGCGGGCAGAGAGTTGGCAACACGGCCGACGCTGAACAAAACGCAGTCGATCGCTTTCCCAATCATATGCTGCCAGCTCGATTTGATGCGACAAAACGACGGAGGCGAAGTCGGCCAACTCTGCCAGTTCGTCGGTGGCGAGGGCAGGACTGGCAAGTCGCGAATCATCGAGGCATTCGTCGAGTTGTTCAGTAGGAGGAGCCTGTCGAATCGCCTGCTGATCACGGCGACATCAGGGACTGCCGCAGCGCTCATCAACAGTATCACGATCCACTTCCACCTGCGGGTTCTCCAAAGACTAAGGGGCGGCCGCGAACACGGCCAGAGATCTTGTCGAGGTGTGACTGCCAACCAAGCGGACCGGCTCGTCCATGGCCAGTCTCGGATGGATTGGCGGGAGAAAGACGCACTGGTCATACCATGCGCCATCTTCGTCAGAACATATTTCCATGTTATACTGGGACGCTGATCTATGAGCGGAGAATTGTTGCAACGCCGTGGTAGAGTGATGGTGAAGTCAAGAGGTTGGCGGAGGACTGGCATGACTAGATCACCAACTGTTGTAGAGGCGAGTGGCGGGGAACGGGTTGGTCGAGGAAACTCGGGGTGTCGCTCCTAGACCCTTCCGCTGCTGCCTGGTGCTCGGCGCTAGCTCACTTTCTGGCTGCAGTGAAGACGATTTTGCTTACCAAGAAGGGGTTGCAGTCCTTACAGCTCAGTACTACCAAGCAGCCAGAAGCTAGGATGCTGTCAATCGCCCAAGACGAGGACTTGCTGCACTGTTGTGAAGCCAGAATCGGCCGCAGGTACGGTAACGGGAATCCAGGCACCCATGATGAGCGGAAGGGTCTAGGAGCGACACCCCGCGTTTTCTGTACCCAGCCTTCTCCCCGAACTTCTCTTTGCGACAGCTGGTAATTTTGTCCTACAGTACCAATCATCCGCCAACCACTCACTTGAGTTCACCATTATTCCGCCATAGGATAGAGCCGCTACTAGATGTCCAAAGGCACATGTTCAAAGGCTCATACCGGCGGCACAATCACAACCGCGGCCAGCCAAGTCCCTGCGAGCAGAGTCCCCTGCCTGGCCGACCCTGCCAGAAGTATCGCTTCCCAGAAAATGAGGCAATGACAACGACAATAACGACGACTTCGAAAGCGGTGTCGATACTCAGGCTGACAACCCGAGGGCACGACCCCATCTAAGCTTGAAAGCTCTCACAGGACGACAGCCTCGCACAAACCAGCAAGCGTCAGGCAGTTGTATTCACCGGCGAACGACGATGACACCTCGCGCGAGCCCAGCTGCGTTTCCACTACAAGCGGAGACATGGGAGGCGTTACAATGACTGCCTGGCGGGGCTATAGAGCTTTCCAACCGATCAGGGGAGCAATATTTGCCTTTACAAGTTCCATTATACGTGCTATCTCGCACTGAATGATCGCCTCTTCATTACGCCTGTTGGCCCTAACGGGGCAAGTATCTCTCGATACTGGCATGGGTGCAGAGGAGCACGCAGGCCATTGGACCATAGACCGGCCGCCACGTCTGGGAAACGACTTCATCCACTGATCCATCATCAGTCAGATTGATACCGCTTCACAAAGCCGCAGACGCTTCTGATTGGAGCACATTGTCACCTCATCGTACATATCTCGGCCCGGAGGCTTGCTAGGCGGAGCCTACGGCGGTATGGCGGCGAGCCAGTCGTGGACAGCAGTCAGTGCGGCGGGTGGAGGGCTGCCAGCTCAAAGGTCTGCACGGCGATGAATTGCGACGTGACGGCGTGGTCTAGAGCTAGCCTCTAGATGGTAGCCAGATACGCCGGACGGAGAATGGCTTGGGCTTCTGGATTTGCGTCTCGTATCACACCGTTTCCGGGGCTGCCCACAGCGACTCGCATACCCGCAGGAGAACGAAAATAGGCGGAGGTGCCCCCTAACCACATACATGGCGAAGTTCCATTGCGCCGACATCACAGGAACGACATCCGTGTAGGAGAAGATCACGAGATGTCCTTACGCGAGGGTTTGCCTATAAAGACCATACATTCCGACTCCATGTGTCTTCGTCTCCTCATCCTACCTCTACAGTCTACACTATCCTCGTCACGTATTTCCATCCTTCTCCACACTCTCCCCGTCCACAGCGCCATGGCAAGTAAAGAAGCAAATAGCGACAAACTCACCGGCTGGTCAGCCCGGGGCGGAGAGGGTCAATCCGGGCCGAAATATATTCGCGAATACAATGTCGACGACTCCAGTTGTGATCCCGTTTTCGAAGGTCACATCGAATTGGAAGAACTTACCTATGTGAACGAGGCACTTAAATCCTGCCACATGCCAGCAGACAGTGGAATCGATCATGTCGGCTGTAATGAAACTGCCGCTGCGAGCACTACTTGTACATGTGGCAGCCTCTTTGCTGTGACGGACCGCAAGATCAGAGACCTTTGCTACAACGAGCACTGCGAAATTCGAAATCAGCTGGCCGACATCAGCTCTCGTCTCGGCGCCTTAGAAGCTCAACTTGCCAATACCAAACCCGTCTGTCAGGAGTGCCACAGCACCAAGGATCGCAAACGGCATGCCAAACAGGACCCGCAGCAGCAGCGAGACCAGCCACCTCATGGGCCCGCAGAGCAGGCGCTGGATGACGAACCACGCGCGCGTCGCCGAAGCGGTGGAAGGCATCGGAAGACTTGCCCAGAGGGGGCGAGCGGAGCCGCGAAAACAGTGAACAAAGTCAAGCTCTCACGAGTCTGGCTCGGAAATAACCAAGGGAGTGCCCGCCATGAGTATACGTTGAAAGGCCCAAGAGAGCATGGTGGAGGGGCCGGAGGGCTCTGGAGGTCTGAAACAATCGGGGCCGATACCACGCTGGAAGGAGTACATTTTGCGCTGATGACGGACGTTCTTTTTCTTGAAGTCGAGATTAACGGCGGCAGCCACTTTCCCATAACGCTGCAATGGAATGACGAGACCGAAGCCTTCGAGGGCAGGATATGCTGAGGAAATGAATCTCCTCATCGGTTACGACGAGATGTTTGAGATGCTCTGCAACCCCTATCAGGCGTGTAGGGATTGGCGGGTTTGTCAAGTATGAGTACAACGGATCACAATAGTCTGCTAGAGCCTAGTCGTACTGTACGGTTTGCAACGAGACGCAGCATTTGTTGCAGATACGAGTGGGATACTACTTTCTGGAAATAGCGCTGGGGCAGAGATCAAGTGACAATATACATGCGCCGGTTGCCGTGAAGCCGTTTTGGGTTGGCACAGGATGCCAAGGAGGTCGCATTCGAGCGTCCAGCCGTGAACATGTTTTGCCATTCATGGCTATTGCCAGTGTGTCCATCAATCAAGTAACTTGACTTGGTTGCTTGAAGTTGGTTGATTACATAACAGTCAATCACGAGTAACGATCTCTCCGACCAAGCAAAAGTAAAGCTTTCTGCATTACTCGGGTTTACTCCGAGTTACCGGTACCTGACTAGCGTTGATTTCAGGCAATTTCGTGATACCCATGTCATGAAAGTGGACGAACCCTTTCCTCTCGCCGATTGAGCTTGGTGATTACAGTTACTTTCTTCGTGCCTGATTCATCAACATCCTGCAGAAACTGTTCAACGCTGAGGAAGCCAGCAATGCCCTCTCACTCAGCTTTCGATCCTTGCAATCATCTCGGGCACGTCACGCCTCCCAAGACGCCTTCCCAGTCGGTCCCCGACGAGCCAAGCATCTCCCATGAAAGGGACTTGCCAAAGGCATCGCAATGCGTTTTCCCCTATATCTTGGGAGAAGATTCGTTACGACAGAAAACCGTTGGCCACCATACGATATCGTCAGCCTCACAAGCGCGCAATGAACTCGAAGGCGCAACCATCGATAATCTACAAACACGGTGCGCAACTCACGACAGACGGCGACAACAAGTACTGGCTCTGCAAATATTGCCATGTAAGCGGACGTCACGACACAGCGCTCTTTGCCAGCGAGAGTACGACGAGCATCATCTATCACCTTAGGCACCACCACAAACTTGCCGAGTTCGGTTACAAAGTGGCAGGGTCCGACCCCCTTCAGCATCTCTCAAGGAGCCACCAAGGCCGCGTCGTACTTGGGGAGCCGACGCATGGTGTTCAATGACCTCCAGTTTCGAAGTCATTTTGCCGACTGGGTCATTGATCTTGATTTGACTTTCCGCCAAGCGACTCACCGACGAACAAATGAAATATTTGCATTGTGCCTGGAAGACATCGACAAAGTTTTGCCGAAAAGCCCGTCAGCGCTGAGCAGTTGGGTCAGCGAAAAATGGTTCGGTGACAACGGCAGGCGCGCCTGGCTGAAAGAACAGCTCCGCCTGTCCAAAAGCAAGATCCACGTCTCGACAGATGCTTGGACATCTGAAGAAGGTACCAACTATTTGGCTATAGTTTCTCACTTTCTAGACGCTGCATACAAGCTGCAAACGGCTTTGCTGGATTTGCCAGTTTTGAAGGGCCCCCACACTGGCGAGAATATCGCCAAAGTCCTTGCAGCGGTCATGGGGTCATACGAGATCGGTCAGAACGTTGGTTTCTTCATGATGGACAACGCAAGTAGTAACGACACTTGCATTCGAGAGCTGGCGAAGCGCTATCCTGTCATCAAGCCTCAGAGTCGCCTGCGCTGCGTCGGCCATATGCTCAACCTAATCGTCAAAGCCCTTCTCTTTGGGCAGGGTGTCGGCAAGTTGGA